GGATTTGATATCCCGCTTTATCACTACCTGGAGGAGTCTCAAAGCGGCTAACATTCTCCTTTCCCTTCCTCCCCCACAACAAACACTCTGTGAGGTGAGTGGGGCTGAGAGACTTCAAAGAAGTGTGACTAGCCCAAGGTCACCCAGCAGCTGCATGTGGAGGAGCAGGGATGCGAACCTGGTTCATCAGATTACGAGTCTATCGCTCTTAACCACTACACCACACTGGCTCTCAACTGTATGAGAGCAAATGGTGGATCACTTGTTGGAAACACATGTGCAAAGCAGGCTGCATAATACCCAATTTCCATATGTAAAGAGCTTTTGTGGTGGTGCATTTTCAAAGAAGGAATCCCTCCTTCTAAGTTGGCAGAGATTCCAGTTCACATTGTGAAGCCAGCAGAGTAGTATAGCAATCAACATTATTTACATCATAATTCAATGGAGATTTGTTATGTGGTTAATAAAGATACTTTAATCCAAAATGTACCTGAGTGATATTCCTTGCTGAACTATATAACCTTTCTGTAAGCTTGGCAAGGCTAATTACAAAAATTCCCAGAGGGGTAACTATGTGAGCCTACTAGAGCAACAACAAAGAGTCTTGGGTTGTTGCACCTGAAAGAAGAACACATTTTATTAAGATATCAGCTTTCAGGGACTATAGTGCACTTCACTGGATGCATCTAATGAACTGCACTCTAGCCTATGAAAGAATAACATTTGTTAGACTTTTAGGTGCCACAGAACTATTCACTGCTGCCAACACAAGTTGAGAATTTAGACTTGAAGACCATGATGCCCTCCAGGCTTTATAGCAAGGACATTGCTAGGTGCTTAAAAGGACTCAGGGCACATATCATAACCCTGGGGTCAGAATCCCCTTCTTTGAGGAATGAGGTTAAAAATTCGGAATCAGAAACAGAATTGTGTGCAGGGTCAACCCCAGAAACACTTCCACCAGACATGACTGAAGTGCCAGTTCCTCTCTGGCCCAAGGGTGTCACATTGTTGCCCTCTGGCTTCCGTCGCAGAATTCCCAGTACAACCAGAATCTATAGCGCTCTCTTGGAGTAAATGGCTATCGGAGCAATCGGAGGCACTTTTCAGTGAATGTGAAGCTTGCAAGCAGGACAGACCTGAAGCAACACCAGAGCTCTGCTTTCCTTTCCCTCAGGCTCAGTGCCAGTAATGTGTCCACATCTGTGATGGGATTTATTTATGCTTAATTTTTAAAATATATATCCCCACCTCTTGGGTTATGGTGGTAATTTAGTCGGGATTTCCCCCTTTAATTCTCCTTTTAAAAACAGCTGCGTGTAATAGCCAACTGAAGAGATTCAGCTCATTAAAAAGATTGGAAGTAACACCAGGGAATTGCTAGGCCTAAGCATACTTGTTTAGTCTTGCTATGATTGCTGCTTCTTTTCTTAGAATAAAATCCTCATTATTTACCTCTGCCTCAATCCTTGGACACAACACTTACATATAAAACAATGAAATATCGCAGAATTGTAAAATCACAGTTACAAAGTTCTTGGAAAACAACAGGAGAGCAAACAGTGCAGAGGAATTAGTTGCCTCATAAATTCATATTTGCAGACGTACTGTTTGTCTCCACCAAGTAGCTATGACAGTAGGCATTTCTGGGCCCATCTTACATCTCCAGTTCCAGTGATCACATTCTGAATCTGTGTGTGCATAAGGCACTCATCTGGATCATTGTTTGTAGGATCTTGGCTAGAACAAAGGCATTCTCAGTGCTCTCTTGGACTTCCAAATAAGTCAGTGGGAATTTTGCCATTGCATTACATGAGAGTTGTCATGAATTGAGTTAATGGCTGATTTGGGCCTTTGAACCCAGGATTCCTGGTTCACATGGACTGCCATATTAGGGGTGCAGTGGACAAAGACACACACCCGCACCCCAGGCTCTAGGAGGCCCACCAAATCCCACAATAATACACAGATTACAGCTTTTTATTTATCAGATTTTTTTAAAGTTACTAATGCGAAGAAATAAAACGTTGTAATATACAGTGGTACCTCGGGTTACAGACACTTCAGGTTACAGACGCTTCAAGTTACAGACTCTGCTAACCCAGAAATAGTACCTCGGGTTAAGAACTTTACTTCAGGATGAGAAAAGAAATCGTGTGGCAGTGGCGCGGCAGCAGCGGGAGGCCCATTAGCTAAAGTGGTACCTCAGGTTAAGAACAGTTTCAGGTTAAGAATGGACCTCCAGAACGAATTAAGTTCTTAACCCAAGGTACCACTGTAATTGTCATCAACTTACAGGACAACGGAGAGGAGGAAGTGGATCTTGATGAGGGATGTAACCAGGTCTGGGACACACCAGGGCATGCCGGAGATGGTGAAGGAGAAGTTGGTGTAGGAAGCACCCATGGGATGACAGAGGATGGTGAGGGGATGGGTGTCAGTGCACAGGAACCAGAGCAGCAGGGCTCATCATTAGAGGTAGAGGGGGCCCTGTCTCCACGGCAGGCTCTCTAGGACAAGGTTGCCCAAACTTGGGTCTACAGCTGTTTTTGGACTACAACTCCCATCATCCCTAGCTAGCAAGACCAGTGGTCAGGTGGGACTTGTTAGCTCTGGGAGGAAGTGTGTGATTCCTCTGCTGGAGTAGGCTTGGAACAGGTGAGGGTCACCTGCCTCATCAAGCCCAGATGCTGCAATCAGCATGCAAAGTATAAAAGGGCAGCAGAGATGAGGTGCTGTGTCTGCTCAACTTCCCATGTTGGTGGGACCATGGCTTGGATGGTCAAGGGAGCGCTTCTGGGCTGACCTCCAGGTGTCCTGACCCCTGAATTGGCTGCAGAGGAGGGATCCTGGCCTGACTGGACTCCAGACCTGTTGGCCTGCTGGACTGTATACTAGCATCTACTATGGGATTGTGCACTCCATTGGCACTTGCCACCAGGTACCCCGTGGTTCAGGGCAATAATATGCTAACATAATATTGATATGTCAATTAATATTATGTATAAAGTTGCAGCTGTAATTTATATGTTTTCTGAAGCTATGCACTTCATATTTAATTGAAGAAATTTATTATATTTCATCTCCAATAAGGAGGTGTGTAATTGGATACCAGTTTATAAATTGGGAAACGCCCCCCCCCCAATGTATATAGCACTGGGGCTCACAACAAAGTTAATGTTACATATAAGATAGCTGATATATGGCCACAGAGGACTTGGGTAGTTTTCAGAGCAATTACTTGCAAGAGAGAGAGATGGAGAGGCTAAAATATATAGACATCATACTGGCCATGAATGATTATGAGAAGCAGGATGGTGTGATGTTGCTTTTCGACCACATTGTTCTCAGTTGAAATTTGTGGCAAAGCAAATGCATACTCATATATCCTCAGTTAGATTCAACTTTAATTCTTTGATATTTGATAAAGGAAGCCTGGAACAAGCAGAAAAAACAGACCAGGGTCATGCTATGCAGCTATTAAGAACGGGCAATGTCCATGCAATCATAAACACAAGCAATTATAAAGCAGTAAAATAAGTTCCACACCCCTGAGGTCAAATGAACTGATAATTTCTTAGGGTCACACCCTTCATGACGAATCACACCCTGCAAAGTCCTTCCCAATGGAGATTTGAAAGGTTGTTAGCTTTTAGGGATTTTCTTGTATTTTTTTCTTTCAGATAACACCTTTGTGTTTGCATGCATGCTGGTTCTAGTAACTCTCCAAAGCACAAATATCCCTATATGGTTACACTTTCGATGATATTTTATGGCACAGCCTTCACTCGGAGAATTTGATAATCAGCTTTCTAAGATTCTAATTCAGGGATTGCCAACAAGGTGCCCTCCACAAGTTTTGGGCTACAACTCGCATCATCCCTGACAGCACTGGATTTCGGGCAGCGTGGCCGGTTCTGCCGCACATGGCGCTAAGCTGAGCAAGCGCAAAATGTAGAAGACCCATAATTGAGAAGATCTATTTGGGGGTGCCAAATTTTGGCCTCGCCCAGGGCGCCATATTTTGAAAGAATACCGAAGTCTGCCCCTGTGCCTGACCACTGGGCCTGCTGGCTAGGGATAATGGGAGTTGTAGTCCAACAACATCTAGGAACCCAAGGTTGAGAAAGGCTGCTGTAGCTAGCTCACCACACTTGGTTCTTTCTCTGCACATGCTTAAACACTTGTTGTGACCATGCTATGAGTGATAGCACTAGATCACTGGTTTTCAGCTGGAGAGCCGGGACCCAGAACTGGTTCACAGTCGGCTCTAAGGTGGGTTTCAACAGCAGCACTATCATCATACAAACAGATGCGTGTTTGAATTAAAGGTAGGTCCCAGTTATGAGACAGCTGAAGACTACTTCTCTATTTGAATATGTAGGAAATCTTAATGTAAAGCCCAAATGGCACTGGTCTACAACTTTGCCTGGGTTTCTTTTTCCATTCCTGCTGTCCCAGGCAATCAGTGTAGTGGAAGGTTTTAAATATGTAAAAATAATCCAAGTTTTGTTTTTCATCGAAGAGATAGCTTGCCTCGATTGTGCTTGTTTAGGGCAGCATCAAGGGACATATTCGCCCCATGCACGCAGAGGCCACATTCCAACTCAATGCATGAGGTAGCAGTGACATGCACGGCAAGCATGATTCTTCTGGCTGCTTGGCAAACTGAGATTCGCAAGGTAATTTATGTTCCTAGGCAACATTTATGACAATTCTATAAAAGTTCCTCTGCAGGGATATCACGGCATTGCAAAAGTATTGCTATCATAAAGTAGGATGTTATCTGTTTTTGAACCACAATTAAGCTATAATATTAACAAAGGTCAAGTCTGTGAGGGATTAGCAGCCCCAACTAACAAATGCATATTATTGCTTGTTAGCATGAGACGGGGCTACGACCACAGAGCTGCTTTGCTGACACTCAGACCACAGAAATAGAATTGGTAGAGAGGGCTCTGTGTGATGTCACTTCCCCTCCTCTCCCAGAGAGGAAGGAACATATAGTACTTCCTGTTCCTCTCTCTCTTCCTTTGACCAGAGATGGATGCAGACATGCCTCCACTTGCTCCAGGTGCATGCCTGAAGCTTGTTATACAATGTAAGTCCAGTGGTACCTTGGGTTACAGACATTTCAGGTTACAGACTCCACTAACCCAGAAATAGTACCTCAGGTTAAGAACTTTACTTGAGGATGAGAACATAAATTGTGCGATGGCGCAGTGGCAGCGGGAGGCCCCATTAGCTAAAGTGGTACCTCAGGTTAAGAACAGTTTCAGGTTAAGAACGGACCTCCGGAACGAATTAAGTTCTTAACCCAAGGTACCACTGTATTTTGCCTGCTCAATTTTTACTGCTGCCTTGTGAACCAATGCAAGATTAGAAGTAAGTAAATTATATGTGTGCCTGGTGGGGCCTGTTGTAGCCATGGGAGCGCCTGCCTGGGCCTGCCATGGCTGTGGATAGGCCTGGTGAGGCCCACCATGGCTCCCATACAGATTGGCACCTACAGTGCAGCTAAAGAGGAAAGTGGAGGAAGTAGGCCTGCCACACGTCCATATTTTCCTTGACTTGGATTTCAAAGGTGGAATTGACGTCGGGGGGGGGGGAGGTTGCAAGAGGCACTTTGTCCTGGATCATAGGCAAATCGTAAAATTGTGCTGTTCTTGGGTGTGTTTATTTGTTATTTGTAAAAAATAGCTCAACAACTTTCAGGTTTTCCTTTAAAAGGCTCAATTTGGGGGGTGGCGTGTTCCTAAAAAAAAAGCTCAACTACTTTTGGGGTGTCCTGGTTTTTACTTGAAATATGGCAGCCCTAGGAGGAAGAGAGACACCACTAAATAGTATTACACAGGCCACACATTTACTGACAGACTTTAACATGTGCATCAACAAAAACCACAGTGGAAGGGATAGCCTTAGCTTTTCAGTATGAAATTCCCTCAAGGAGACTGCCCTAGGTAGCCAGCTGCAATGTCCCCTGAGGTTGTGGCAAATCAAAATGGCGGCTCCACAGAAGCCTCTGGTATGGTGACATCCAATATGTGTGCTAAGCTGCTGCATACAAATGGCTGGCCATAGGGTGCATCTGTCACACAGATGCAGTTTTAAGCAGTTTCTGTGCCACTCTGTTTTCAAGTGAAGTAGACCTGAATTTTTGTTGTGCTGCCTTCATAACAACTCCGTAGACAACACACTGCAAGAGTTTTGAGCTCCTGTGCTATTCCACTATTCTTATGAAGTCTGTTAAGTCTTCATCAGAACTGTCTCTTGCGCTGACCAAGCATTTTTCATGCACAAATCTTCTTAGAAACTGCTAATAAATACTGGCCTTTTGGACACACATGGATCCTATAATTCCGTTGTTTTAAAAACTGAGGCAGTTGAGGATTTTAACATCATTATCATGTTTCATGGTGAAACCGAGAAAAGAGCAATCTCACTTGAGAATCAGAACAGGATGTTGGCTGGTGTTACGAAGATAAAATATTCAAATATTTATGTAAGGAAGTCAAAGGAAAGTATGTATGTTTATGATGAGTGATCCCAACCAAACCCATATAAACACAATCTTGGGTGATTCTGTAGTTACCAGCCTAACATTTGTAAGCTTTTTTTTACTGATATATAATTTTGGCTTACATTATTTGAACACAAATTGACATCAAACTATTTGTGTGCTAACTGGCACATCCCTAGGAAATGTCACAGGCAGCTAAAATGATTTCTTTTTATTGTGTTATACTAGGGACTGCCACTTCTGCTGGTTCTCTCACCAACCCTCACTCCTTTGTTATCCCCTTCCTTTCCCCCCCCTTTCCTCCCCTCGCCACCACCACCCACCACCCACAGCTCACCCCAAATCCCACCTCCTTCCCTCACAACTCTGCCAAACAACTCTTCTCTGCTAATTTTCAATGCGACGTTAGGGGAGTGGGCGAACTCTTGGTTGGAGGATGGATGGCGGCTAACAGATTGAGGTTGAATCCTGATAAGACAGAAGTACTGTTTTTGGGGGACAGGAGGCGAGCGGGTGTGGAGGACTCCCTGGTCCTAAATGGGGTAACTGTGCCCCTGAAGGACCAGGTGCGCGGCCTGGGAGTCATTCTGGACTCACAGCTGTCAGTGGCGGCACAGGTCAATTCTGTGTCCAAGGCAGTTGTTTATCAGCTTCATCTGGTACACAGGCTGAGACCCTACCTGCCCGCAGACTGTCTCGCCAGAGTGGTGCATGCTCTGGTTATCTCTCGCTTGGACTACTGCAATGCGCTCTATGTGGGGCTACCTTTGAAGGTGACCCGGAAACTACAACTAATCCAGAATGCGGCAGCTAGACTGGTGACTGGGAGCGGCTGCCGAGACCATATAACACCAGTGTTGAAAGACTTACACTGGCTCCCAGTACGTTTCCGAGCACAATTCAAAGTGTTGGTGCTGACCTTTAAAGCCCTAAACGGCCTCAGTCCAGTATACCTAAAGGAGCGTCTCCACCTCCATCGTTTTGCCCGGACACTGAGGTCCAGCGCCGAGGGACATCTGCCGGTGTTACAGGGAACCAGGCAGAGGGCCCTGTGAAACGCCCTCCCACCAGATGTCAAAGAGAAAAATAACTACCAAACTTTTAGAAGACATCTGAAGGCAGCCCTGTTTAGGGAAGCTTTTAATGTTTAATAGGTTATTGTATTTTAGTGTTGTGTTGGAAGCCGCCCAGAGTGGCTGGGGAAACCCAGCCAGATGGGCGGGTTAAAGGGATCCCTGACCATTAGGTCCAGTCGTGGCTGACTCTGGGGTTGCGGCGGTTATCTCGCTTTATTGGCCGAGGGAGCCGGTGTACAGCTTCTGGGTCATGTGGCCAGCATGACTAAGCCGCTTCTGGCGAACCAGAGCAGCGCACGGAAATGCCGTTTACCTTCCCGCCAGAGCGGTACCTATTTCTCTACTTGCACTGTGTGCTTTCGAACTGCTAGGTTGGCAGGAGCAGGGACTGAGAAACGGGAGCTCACCCCGTCGCGGGGATTCGAACCACCGATCTTCTGATCGGCAAGTGGTTTAACCCACAGCGCCACCCGCGTCCCTTTAGATGGGCGGGTTATAAATAATAAATTATTATAATGTTATTATTATCCTCTCTGAAGTGACAATTAACATGGTGCCTCACAGAGTTCTTCGCCAACCCACTCTCTCAAGTGCATCCCACCCTCCTTCAAAGACACCTTCCTCAGCAGGTCGCCTGGGCTGCCCCCCACATGCGCCACTTGCTCACTTGCCTCTTTTCTCTCATCACACTGCTGTTGGTGTGGCCCACCAACATTAAATTGTAGGAAGTTGGCAGCATACCTAAAGCAAATGTCTCCGCTATTGAAGAGTGTGCTAGGGAATTTATACACAAGCACATTTATCAGCATCAGTTGGCACGTCTGCCTATTTTCATCTGATGAAAAGCAGAGGGCGTGATATTCTCTGCCCCTTTCTTGAACTGCATGGCACTGCCCTGACATGTAGGTGTTCTGCATATGCATGGAAGCATACAAAGGGTTCTGAACTGGCCTTCAGGCACTGGCATCCATCACCACAGCAATTTGATATTAAGTGTAATAGGCTGTTAGCAGACCTTGCAGGTTGGGTGAATTAGATTGGAGTAATCACTTACAGTATCGCTATCAAACTTTTATTTCGGTCACAGACCAACATAAGATAAAGCATATGGATAAACTGAACACATAAGACTTAAAACAGGTAAGGAATAAAAACTAGCAATTAAAAGGTGATTATGTCATACATACTTAAAAAGATAGAAACAGGCACAGTTAAAAGGTCTTGCATTTTGGACCTAGTTTGTGGCACAAACCATCCTTCGACTAATATCCATCATGGCAGTGTAGAATCTAGCAACTGAGTATGTAACATCTGGGTTTTCATCTTGAAGTAGCAGGGAGGTATAAAGTTCTGTGCGACCTGGGAATTTACGTACTACAGGTAAGATGAACCTAGCTCGTATATCTGTATAGTATTGGCGCTAAAAAAAAAAAAAAAGGCATGTTCTGTTGTTTCAACTTAGTTTCTGGAGTTCAAAGGCTTTATTCATGCAGGAACTATTTATAGGATGAGTGGAGCTAAGAAAGAGAAATAGCAAACATCTTGTCTGGAGAGAACAGCAAACGAAAAATGGCTCAGCTTTTAAGGGTGGAGTTAACTTAGACAAAGAAGCTTCAAACAAGGTGACTAGGTCACTAGACAAACAGTGCTCTCATGTGGTTTAAAGTACCGTAACAAATGCATTAACTACTAATGCCTGATGGCAGCATCCCTATAACACAGGGCTTAATTTATATAACAAAAATTGAGAGGCCTGATGGCAGTCACACCATCTTATTTGAAATCCCCAGTGCCAACTGAATAGATTGCTTCAATGGTATTCTATAACTATTTCAGAGGGCACTAAGATCATCATAATTGAAAGCAATATTTTGAAGTAAGACCTGTGGAAGCCTGCATTCAGGCATAGCACTGCCATAGGGCTCGTTTTATGCTTAGACTTTGAGATCAACAAGCTACTCTCAATTATTTGTTGATCTGAATGACTTTATCTAATTTGTAGTCATTAATGATCCCTGGTTGCTGCTTCCTGGAAAGTCATAATAAACTGCTGGGCACTGTGCTCCTGTTCCATTTTTTATAATTGCCTGCAACTTACTGCAGTTCCCCTGAGCTTCAGTTAGGAAAGGACGGCTATTCTTGGCTTTGTGCATCAGATTGTTTTTCCCCCTGTGTTTTCATATTCATATCCATTTTGTTTAAAGAGGAACCAACATAGGCTTCTCTTAATCTCAGCTTTTTTGGATCAGAAAAGCAATTAAAAAGAACAAATCTGTTTCTCACGCACAAACACACACACTGTGCTAATGTGCAGTGTGAAAATCACATTCAGCTGTGCAACTGCCGAGGCCTCCATTTGTAGGAGCTGAAATAGATACAAAACACTACATATTACAATGTGCCATGCAACCCTTTATATTTAGAACGTCCTACTGTGTTCAGTGGAGCTACTCCCAAGTGAGTGGACTGTGCCCTCAATTACTTATTTTCATTTCTAACGCTTCCTATTCAATGACATAACTCTAACAAGGTCCATGCCTCAAAGTAATCAATTAAAATATGAATACCATCAATAAAAATAGCATAGCAACTTTAGCCTGGCCTAGCAAGCCCTGAAAATAACATTTTAAGGGGACTGGAGAATGAAAAAATTCAGACCTTGGCAAGCATATTGTAAAAGTGGGTTCTGGAGTTGGGTGTGGGAATAAGGACACTTCCTTTACAGGATCTTATTTTAAATAGCAGTACAAAATAGGACTGAGCTTTTAAAACAAGAAACATCATGCCGTTCCAGATGTTTGCTTAAAAAAATTATGCCCTGCTTTTTCACATGTGTCTCAAAGCAACTTATAAAGGAAAAAACAAAGCAAATTAAAACAGAAAATAACCTGATGTCTGAAACTTTGCAGGGAGTCTATAGATCCACATTCACTATGTTGTGTGCAGTTTGATTCCTTGCAGAAAGCTGGGGAAGATGTTTGAATATACGGTATTAGTGAGCGGACAGGTTAGCTTGCATGGCTAGAATCATCTGCATATGAAATGACGATGTTGCATCATAGAAATGGCCCCAACCAGCACTCTGGAAAATTAAGGATTACTGTAATTTCCCAACAAGGCCATCTCCATAATGAATGCAGGATTACTATTTTTTATGGGGTTTTTTCCCCTTTTCCTGACAGTACATTTGATATGCATTGCTCTGTCTCATTATGTCAGCTGCAGGGTTAGGAATAAACAAATTTATCAAGATAACCAGAGAGAATGGGACTGACAAAAGCTGAATGCAACTGGTGAGGTGCCCTTTTGCAAAGGCAGGGCAGAGATACAGAAGCAGGGCAGGATAAAGACATTGTGCTGCCTGAGGCAAAGGACAAGGTGACCCTTTTCATTCCCACCAGAGGGACAGCATCTTCCCCACTCTTGAGGGGAGCAGGCTAGCTCAGGGAGCTATGGCCCCATATAACATCTAGAATCTGCAACCTGAGGCAGCTGCCTCACTTTGCCTAATGGTAGGCCTGGCACTGTTTGGAACCCAAGGAGAACCAGCAGGTATTGGATTGTAGAGAATCCCTACTTCAAGCAACTATTCAAGCAAATAAATCGTATGTGGTGGAGGAGTTAGCTGCATGGACAAGCAGTGATTTGAACTTTTGCAGTTTTACTTCCAGACATGCATATGTCCCACAGCTAAACCCAGTTCTCAAGCTACTAATCACTTGTGGGTCTCCTCCCTATGAAAAGATACCTCTGCAGCCAAGTTAGAAAAGCAAGAAGATTCACTGAACCCTTTTATCACCTGTATATTTATGGGACATAGTTTTTTTTGGATCAGATGACAGAGTGTGAAGGAGTGAATGTAATTAATGAGTTGATAGATACTGACTGGTGTACAAAATGAGTTGCTGTAGCAGCACTGAAACAGCCTTCAGGGTCTGATATTTCTGGCTTCTTCATGAAAGCCAAACAACCAGGAAAAAATGTACTACATCATTGTTTCCCAATTAAGTACTGCAGACCCCGTTTTGTTTTGTTTTGTTTTGTTTTGTTTTTTGTTTTGAAACCAAGTCATGGACCCACTGCTTTTGAAAATGTTGCTATCTCTACAGTAGTTTTTGTTATGTGAATGGTGCCACCATACCCTCTAACATGTCACAGTGTAAAACCGAGCCATGTGTTTTCTGGGCTGCATTCCCATGTGAGAGTATGGCACCCAAAAACGTACATACCTATCAATTGTCTTGAACACCCTGTTTTGGGGCACCATTTTCTCAGTGAGAGCACCCCCCCCAAGAAAATGGGAAGTCCCAGACAGTTGACAGGTAAGTGCCACAGATCCCCTTAGTGGGTTATGTAGACCTCACAATAGTACCATTACAGAAGTTGCTGGAAATAAACTCAGTTGGGGGGGAGAGAGGTGGCTCCCTTTTGGTTCAGAGCCTCTTATACAGTGGTACCTCGGGTTAAGTACTTAATTCGTTCCGGAGGTCCGTACTTAACCTGAAACTGTTCTTAACCTGAAGCACCACTTTAGCTAATGGGGCCTCCCGCTGCTGCTGCGCACTGGAGCACTATTTCTGTTCGTATCCTGAAGCAAAGTTCTTAACCCGAGGTACTATTTCTGGGTAGCGGAGTCTGTAACCTGAAGCATATGTAACCTGAAGCGTATGTAACCCGAGGTACCACTGTATGTGAAAACGTAGAGCAATGTAGGGGAGTTAATTAGAACAAGTTTACCTGCATATCCACACTGCAGTGCCCCAGTTCAGACTGTGGCCAGGATGTGGAACGAATTAGGCATGTTCCCTTAAAAGCCTGTTCCCCTTTAAGGTGGAACGGAGACTATATCCTAACAGTTCACACACTTGGCTCTTTTTTTTTAGGAGTTAGCAGACACAGATCTAGGAAGCTGCCTTATACCCAGTCAGACCACTGGTCCATCTACCTCAGTATAGGCTACACTGACTGGCAGAAGCTCTCTGGAGTTTCAGGCAGGGGTTTCACCCAGTCTTAGAGACTGATCTTGTTGGCATCTGTGGACAACACAGATGCTCCACCGTTGACTTACACCCTTTCCCAGATCCTGATGTAGGGATGAGTAGGGGGCTTTGGCCACCCATTGCAGACCTGCTCTAGACTCCTCTCCCCCCTCCCAACACCTCTTTGCTTGGGAAGCAAAACTTCCAATAGTGCAAATGTCAAACGTCAAGTGGGCTGCAGTCCTTTTCAGAGTCGTGCAAGGGGACCAGAGGACTCCAGCAGAGAATTCTCAACTCAGCCAGAAAGCCATCGTGCTGAAGCTGAGGTCCAGCGCCGAGGGCCCTCTGGTGGCTCCCTCACTGTAGGTTACAGGGAACCAGGCAGAGGGCCTTCTCGGCGGTGGCGCCCGCCCTGTGGAACACCCTCCCATCAGATGTCAAGGAAAGAAACAACTATCTTCCTTTTACAAGACATCTGAAGGCAGCCCTGTTTAGGGAAGTTTTTAATGTTTGATGTTTTATTGTATTTTTAATATTTTGTTGGAAGCCACTCAGAGTGGCTGGGGAAACCCAGCCAGATGGGCGGGGTATAAATAATAAATTATTATTTGACCCAAGCCATTGAAGTGCTTTTGACAATAAGCTTGGGTTTGTAGCATAGCAGGGCTTAGAGCTGTGAAATCAATGGAACTACATTCAGCATCTGTTTGGGACTAATGCATTTTATCCTTGCAGTCTTTTCTGAGACTCTCTTTAAAAAAAATAATATTTTTAATTGAATTTTCAAATTATAACATTCAATTAAGATTTGTGGAAAATTTGTTAATTTATATATATATATCCCCTCCCCCCTCCTTGGCTTCCCCGTATTTCTATATTGGTTTATTAAACAAATTCTATATCCTGCTGATTTTGCCTCTCATATAGTTGTGAAAGTTTAGTCAAAACCTGCCACTGAGTCCAAATCTTTATACTGTCTTTTTATATAGTTTATAAATGGTTCCCACTCTTTTTTGAAATCGATGTTGTCTCTCTCATGTATCCTCTGTCAGCTTAGCCAGTTCCGCTTAGTCCATAAGCTTAGCTTGCCATTCTTCCTTTGTTGGTGTTTTCTCTGTTTTCCATACTTGTATTAATAAAATTCTTGCTGCTGTTGTCACATACATAAACAATCTCCAATTTCCCTCTCATATCATGATCTAAAATTCCAAGCAAGAAAGATTCTGGTTTTTTAACAAAAGTTTTTTCCAACATTTTTTTCAATTCATTATATATCATTTCCCAATATTCTTTAACCTTCTTGCATTCCCACCATACCTTTTCTGAGACTTTCAAGTACTATGTGTAAATAACCAGCACAGTCATTCTGCTCCTCTGATTTTATGATGATATGCCCGAGACATGTAAGTACCACAGCTCACTTTTAGTGCTTCTCTTGTGCATGCAGATGATCTCTAAGTTCAGTTCTTGAAATCTCCAGGTCAGGTTGGGAAACTCTATAGTTGGGAACCTTTGACAGCTCCTGCCAGTTTGGCTCCACAATTCTGGCTTGATTTAGTCTTAAAACCGCCTCCTATATTCCTAGGTATTTAATCTGCTTGTTATCTTCATGTTATCCAGAGACTTGGAATTTTCTTTTAATGGATGGCACATATAAAACCAATGAGCCTATTTATTGCTCATATTGCTTATTGAAGAAAGTAGACAAAAAAACGAAACAAAATTATTTCACAATAGTTTGTGACAGATCGTGCAATGCAGAGACAAATTGGCTTGCATCTGTAATACAAAATCAAGCATTTTCTCACTGTTGGTGTAGGATCTTGCTTTTGCTTTAGCACTGTACCGTATATCTCTCAAGGGGCCTGCAGCTTCTTGCTGAGCCATCATATCAGTTGGCTCAGCAACCAGACAGTCACGGCGTCCACTTCCAAGGAAAGCGGTGTAAGCCATGCTTATCAACCTTTTCAGCGTGTACTATGATAAGATTATAATTCTGAAGATTCTGAAGGGGAGGACAATGAACTGCTCAACTATAACTAGCACGGCAGTGTGTTTGTGTGGAATTACGGGTGGCTAATATATTGGTAACTGGGTGTGTGTTGTCCAAATACCTTGCTAACCTTTGCTCACAGTACTTAATGTTTGCAGTTTGTCAAGGACAAGACGGTTTGCCTGCTTTGTAAAAACCATGCATGCAAATTTCCCATAGACATGGTGGGCCACTGTGAGAATCGGATGTTGGATTGGGTGGGATTGTGGTCTGATCCAGCAGGGCTTTTATGTTCCCGGTCCTAATACTTAATTGTGGTCACACAATTTGGTTTATGAAGAAGCAACATTCATCTAGTATTAAATCAAGCAACCTCACATAAGCTTGCTTGGAAGTAAATCTGGCCAAGAGTAATGGGACTTAGTTCTGTGTAATACCTCTAGGGATGCAGTATTAAAGAATACACAGGCTGAACCGTATCACGTTAACACAGAAATAAAGCTATTAAAATTATTCCTGTATCTCCCGCCATAGTGCTGTTTTGCTGGATCTGCGGCACTCATTAAAATATTTCACGTCCTTACATCAGTCTCCCATATTTGTTCATCCAATCTTCACAATTGCCACTCTTTGATTTTATATAATGTTGGCATTTAAGACCTTTTCACATTGTTGACCTATATTTGTCTGCCAAGGTATTTCGGTCAGTGGAGCATCTCAAAAATGGGGAAAGACTATTAATTGTTAGCACCATGTTTAGGGAAGTTCTTGCTCATTCCCCTCCTTTACCATCTTACCCATGGCTCCCATGTAGGTAAGTTCATTCACGTAACAAAATGTTAGAGCAGCCTAGAGCTACAGCATTGGCCTGCATTAATCAGGCTATACAACGGGTTCATTGTTGATGTGTGTGGTTTTTTAAGGAATATATTTTTCATGGTCTGTATTGTATTACACCATTTGTTCTATCCAAGAACAAGAGTGAAGGAAGGCAAAAATGACCCGACTCTACATCTAAGGCTGTAATACTAAGGTCATCACACTCCTTGGGAAAGGGTCCCTTTTAAAGGATTTTAACCTTTAATTCTGCACTAGGAGTTCTAGAACTTTGATGTCTTCTGCTGAGGGCCAGTCAAGAAATTTCGGTGCCTGAGGCAGAGCAGCAAATGGCACTCCTTCCTTGTCAAGCCAGGTGGATTGTACCCAAGGCTAGTCAAGTTCTTTTGGCAGAAAAGCCCACAAGCACAACCACAATGAATAATGATGATGAATTAAACAGCTAGCACCTTGCTGCCCTTCCATGACCATCCAAATTGGCTGCCTGAGGCGGCTGCCTCACTCTGTTCAATGATTGGGCCAGCTCTGTGTCTGATCCCTTTGGGGTAGGCACCTGTATGATGAGATGAATGCCATTGGGAGAAGATGCAGCTATCTGCAGTGTGGTGTAGTGGTTAAGAGCGGTAGACTCGTAATCTGGTGAACCAGGTTCGCGTCTCCGCTCCTCCACATGCAGCTGCTGGGTGACCTTGGGCCAGTCACACTTCTTTGAAGTCTCTCAGCCCCACTCACCTCATAGAGTGTTTGTTGTGGGGAAGGAAGGAAAAGGAGAATGTTAGCTGCTTTGAGACTCCTTCAGGTAGTGATAAAGCGGGATATCAAATCCAAACTCCTCTTCTTCTTCTGCCCCGCAACACCAGCAGAAAAGAAGGTAACTGAAAGTATAGAGATGCATAGCAACAAGGCCAGTACCACCAGCAGCTGGAACTTCCAGGAGCCTGGGGGGAAAGAGGACTCGTCCTCCCCAGCAATTTCCCCTTTACTGCTGTTAGTCTCCTTCGGAGAAATGATGAGTCTAGGGCTAGATCTAGAGACACATCAATAAAGTGTTTCAGGAAAACTCGTTCTAAACTTCATAAACGGAAATCACACTGGCGAAAGATGGGACTCCACTGTGATATAACGCATATAAAGCACTTTTTCTTTGCCAGTGTAGTTGAGTCCTAGGTGATTTCTAGAATCCTGAGCAGGCTCTGCAGTACATTTTAGCCAGGCTGCTGGGGCTCTGTGCACCTGGAATTATATTATCTGTTAACTTTCCTCTTGCTCTGTATATATATGTATTTAAGTCTAGATTATTTCTTTTGCTAGTGGGATGCAGGTGGCGCTATTGTATAAATCAATAAGCCTCTTGGGCTTGCTGATCAGAAGGTTGGTGGTTTGAATCCGTGCGATGGGGTGAGCTCCCGTTTATCTGTCCCAGCTCCTGCCAACCTAGCAGTTCGAAAGCATGTCAGTGCAAGTAGGTAGCTAGGTACCACTGTGGCGGGAAGGTAAACAGCGTTTCTGTGTGCTCTGGCTTCTGTCACAGTGTCCCGTTGCACTATAAGCGGCTTAGTCATGCTGGCCACATGACCTGGAAAGCTGTCTGTGGACAAACGCCGCCTCCCTTGGCCTGAAAGCGAGATGAGCGCCACAACCCCATAGTCGCCTTTGAATGGACTTAACCGTCCAGGGGTCCTTTGCCTTTACCTTATTTCTTTTGCCATACCAAATTTATCATCTGTTTAGTAACTTGTTGATTTTTGTCTCATTTGAATTTGATGTTTTGTCAACGGTTTTCTCCCCCCCCCCCACCAAATGCTGAATTCTCCTGTGTTAAGAGAACTGTATAACTCATCTATACCTGATTCATGTCAGCAAATAAATTGTTTTAAGATGGAGCGCCACCTAGGGGCTGTTGCTGCTAGAGCGACGCTTTTGAAGGCAAAGCAATTCTGATGTATAAGCAAAGGATGCATGGGAGAATTCACAATTATCGCGAACTGATGGCGTTTGGTTTTTCATTAGGTAGTCCAAGGGAATAAATGGGCTATTGCTTAAAAGTGATTGGCTTGTTATTGTGGTCAATTCAGCGAAAAGTAATTGCAGGGTTCCTTCCCAATAAACTTTGCACGTAAGTTGCAATTTTTTTGGAAATATCACATTCAATTCACAGTTTGCCCCAATGCAGAACCCATGTGCACAGTGATATACACAGGATTTTGGGTGCTCCTGGCTCTCCTCCTTCAAGGGAATGGAAAAGGTATGAATAAAAATGAAAGAAAATGATGATGATGTTTAGTACAGGGAAGAAGAGGCATGAAAGAGGTGCCCAAGAATTCCATGTGCACACATTATTCTACATGTGCACTGCCTGTGCATGCTATCCAACGAGCTACTTCTCATTTCCACTGAAGTCTGTCCTTGTCAGGGCTGGACAACATTTCAAGTTTGCAGGAGACTGCGCTGAGCCTCTCAAAGCCAGCATTCACATTTAGGCTGTATAACACGGAGACACGGGCAAAGGTTACAGTACAGCTTCCCTACATTGCAACGCCTATCTGATTCCTCTTTCCTTTTCAGCCAGGCTGGCCAAACTCAAATTTCACATCAATTCCACAATAAAAGCAAACCCAGAAACTCAACCTGCTGTGAACCAGCAGTGTGGCTCCTTACCAAGCCACTTAAACAAAGAGCTCCTTTTCAAAAGTCTTCCGCTATCCATAATGCATGTTACCATAAAATGTCCAGGTTGCTAATTCGCTTGGATGAAAGCATCTACCTGGAGGAAAGGCTTATTTCTGCAATTGTTCTAGATCTACATAAAATATGCACAGGGAAGCAAGATTATAAATGCATATTCATACTTTTGTTTCAGGATTGGTAACCCAAAGGACTTAATGCTATAAAAAATGACCTTTCGGTCTTTTTCACAGTAGCAATGGCGGTTTGTGATATCCCTTTATTATAGAAATTAGAATTTTTTTAAAAAAAATCTGTGGCTTCGAGTTCTGTTTAACTCTTTTGTGTCATCTTTAAAAGGTATTCGTGAAATATCTGATTTCAGGGATTAGTGCAGCCTTCATTACTATGCATGAAAAACGAGATGAAATACCACGTTTTTGGCAGCTGTTTCCACTGGATAAGCATCCACTCACCCAGCTTGATTTAACATTTTGTTACTGCAGCTTTATGTTGCACATTTGATTTAGTACCAGCAGAATTATGCTGGAAGAATGGCAATGGAAAGACAGGGCTATAGAAGAAAGAATCTGGCAACTCCTGATTACTGATCCTCTTGAAATCACGGATTTGGCTGCCTACAAGGGCCCAAATTAGGGTCTTTCATCCTAATCCTTATCTCCAAATCAGGAGCAGCTGCTGCAGAGCTCCTATTTAGTTTATTTATTTCAGAAAACCTATCTCCCGCCCTTCTGATGCATTTGCATCACTCAGGGACGCATGCAGCAATAACAATTCTAATATATACATAAATTGAGACAGGCTCAGCAGCCGAAAACATTCCAAAATGGGGGTTGGTGTCCGTTTGTGTCACTTTTTCAGTACCCTGCCTTATCCTTTCCATAAGGCAGAAATCTTTTCCCCACTGGCACCACTACTGTGTTGAAAGAACTGTACAAAAGTGCAAAGCAGCTTCTAAATGCCTGTAGTGTGGAAGCATAACAGCCCAAGGCTGTTTTACACGGCAGCTGTGTGAAGGAAATGACAGCAATGCCCATAGAGTTGAGGACCAAGATATACAGGCGAGGACAACGTGGTAGGGAGCAGCACATTCCAGGTCCCCTTTCTACCTTCTGTAGTGAAAGGGACCAATCCGGAGCCTAGCACACCCCAGTTTATAATTTCTTCCTCAGTCGTTGGATCTGATCTGTGGAATGCCAGTAGACCTACTAACTCTTTCCTGCTCTAGTGTGCTGCATCTTTTCCTTCTATCAGATATCTATCCATGTATCATGATGAATGGAAATCAACTGGAGAAGACCAGACTCTGAAGGGGCGTTGAGGAACCCGAAAGGCTAGCTGCTGCTCCTGCAAAGAAAGGATATGTAAGTAAGGCATCAATCTTTGGAGGCAACTGCACCATTATAAAATCCCAAATTTATAGTATGATTGCAACTTTGGAATGGTTTCAGGCTGCAAGGTTCAGCCTGGGTGAATCCAGAGGTCAGGTGTCATTTTCCTATGAGTAACAAGTAAAGAAGGAATGGTTAAGACCATAAGGGTTTGGGGCCATTGCACTGGAGCAAAATTGTTTATTGAGGTTTTCAACTAAGTATGTACAGAACAGATAATGTAAGAAAACAGTAACATAAACATGCATATGAACTGAAATATAAATTAACATAAACATTTCTTTTGCAGGTGGCAACATGGAAGATAACCAAAGTGGATATTGATGGAGAGGAGTCCATTCACATGAAAAGTATATATTTCAAAAAGCACCTCCGCTAACAGTTATAGAGGCTCATATTTAATTCCATGCACAGTGCCACACACCTATGTATAGTTGACTGCTAGAAATGCATTCTCCCCCCTTAAATGGACTGCCTTATTTCTTTATGTCATTTACTAAATTCATACATTCCTTGTTGGAAAATGTCTGAAATGTGGAAGTAATTTGAATGCTTGGGGGCGGGGAGGGGATGCTTGAAAATGAAACGTAAACTGCATTCTAAAATTTGGCTTTAATTAGCACACTGCAGATTAACAGTGGCAATTTGAAATTATCTCTCCAAATCAAGGCTGTTTCCATAGCAATGGCTGATTCCCAAGACCTGCTGTGTCAATTTGTCATGAGCAGCCAAAGACAAGAAGGAAATGCTAGGCTCTCTCAGGCCACAGCAAAGGCTATCCAGATCTATCCAAAATGCTTGATCGGTCTGCAAGTACTTGCCTCTATCTAGAGCTTTGTCCCATAAGAGCAGAGCCTGCCCAAGACATTTTGGCACCTGAGGCGAATCACAGAATGACACCCCCCTCACCCTGCCACCAGGGAAAAAGGGGTGAGTGAAGATCTACATCAGGAACAAGGAGGAGATAAAGTTGTACTTTGAGAACAGGAAGGAGGAAAGACCAGCAGTGCCTCCTATTTGTCAAGAGGCCACTGTACAGGTGGGATGGCAGTGCTGCCTAGGAGGCGGCAGGTGGCAGATCTATCCTCCAAGATGCACATCACAGCTGTCGCTGTTGGGATCTCAAATTTCAGCAGCGCCTTGTGTGGCACCAGAATCTGGCACCCCCCTCACCTTCTGTGGACTGTATTGCCAGAGTGGTGCATGCTCTGGTTATCTCCCGCTTGGACTACTGCAATGCGTTCTACGTCAGGCTACCTTTGAAGGTGACCTGGAAACTACAACTAATCCAGAAGGCGGCAGCTAGACTGGTGACTGGGAGTGGCCGCCGAGACCACATAACACCGGTCCTGAAAGACCTACATTGGCTCCCAGTATGTTTCCAGGCACAATTCAAAGTGTTGGTGCTGACCTTGAAAGCCCTAAACGGCCTCAGTCCAGTATACCTGAAGGAGCGTCTCCACCACCATTGTTCAGCCCAGACACTGAGGTCCAGCTCCGAGGGCCTTCTGGCGGTTCCCTCACTGTGAGAAGTGAGGTTACAGGAAACCAGGCAAGGGCCTTCTTGGTAGTGGTGCCCGCCCTGTGGAACGCCCTCCCATCAGATGTCAAAGAAATAAATATCTGACTTTTAGAAAACATCTGAAAGCAGCCCTGTTTAGGGAAGTTTTTAATATCTGATGAATTGTTGTATTATAGTATTTTGCTGGAAGCCACCCAGAGTGGCTGGGGAAGCCCAGCCAGATGGGTGGGGCATATATTATTATTATTATTATTATTATTAATAATAATAATAATAATAATATTGTACAAAATAGTTGCAGCACGCTCTAGGCTCTGCACCCATTGTAATTTGGGGTCAGGAGCCCTTAAATCTGCTTCTGATCAGTGAAAGGCAAGTGTGCTTCCACAGCTGCTGCCCTGCTCGACATACTGATGAACCTCAGGTATGTTTTAGATCACCCAGGTGGGAGTTGGATGTGCATACAGCAAAAGGGGTGGGGGAGTAAGGAGCCCTTTCGATGATTTGCTATGTTTGATGGGATGGTGAAGGTATTGTGGTCATGGAATTGTAGAGTTGGAAGGGACCCGCCCCAAGGCCCTCTAGTCCACCCCCCTACAATGCAGGGATCTCAACTAAAGCATCCATGACAGATGACCATCCAGCCTCTGCTTTGTGTTGTTTAGTCGTGTCCGACTCTTTGTGACCCCACGGACCAGAGCACGCCAGGCACTTCTGTCTTCCACTGCCTCCCGCAGTTTAGTCAAACTCATGCTGGTAGCTTCAAGAATACCATCCAACCATCTCATCCTCTGTCGTCCCCTTCTCCTTGTGCCCTCAATCTTCCCCAACATCAGGGTCTTTTCCAGGGAGTCTTCTCTTCTCATGAGGTGGCCAAAGTATTGGAGCCTCAGCTTCAGGATCTGTCCTTCCAATGAGCACTCAGGGCTGATTTCCTTCAGAATGGAGAGGTTTGATCTTCTTGCAGTCCATGGGACTCTCAAGAGTCTCCTCCAGCACCATAATTCAAAAGCATCAATTCTTCGGCGATCAGCCTTCTTGATGGTCCAGACCATCCAGCCTCTGCTTAGAACCCTCCAAAGGGTCTTGCTCATGGAAAGGAGGGTCGCTTTAAGAGTTGTGGGGGAGATCATTCTGACCGGCTGCAATGCCTCCTTCTACACAACTCTTAAAAGGCACGCCCCTGTTGTCCTTTGCACCAGGTTGCTTCAGTGCTGCTTATTCAGACAGAAGCATTTTAATGCCATGAGGCAAGTCAGCTAAAACAGAGACCTCAGGAAGACAGTGTGCTGGAAGATGAAGAGCCACGCCACCGCAGCGATGTAGCTCTCTCCTGCAGAGATTTACGTCCGGGCTTAACCAGCCAACAGAACCACTGCCACCATCGTTTCTCCTGATGTAGGTTCAGCTGTCAGGTATTCTTTATCCTAAAGGGTGCCCATTATTTCCAAAGGTTGCCTATTTCAGAACCCTGCAAGCCCCCAGAGGACTATACTCTGGGTGACAAGGAGCCAAAGGAAGTTAGGACATTATGCGAGAGCAGTAACTTGGAACAAGAAACCATGTGGCATAGCAAGCACTCCCTCTAGTGGAAATAAAAATGCAGACAAGTTCCACAGCCCCTTGTTAACTTACCCATATGATTCACAAATGACTTATACGCTGTATGGAGAAAATAAGGAATCACTAAGCTGTTTTAAGTATGCAGAAGCAGAGCACATAGTCACCAGCTTTCTAAAGCAGGCATAGGCAAACTCGGCCCACCAGGTGTTTGGGACTACAACTCCCATCATCCCTAGCTAACAGGACCAGTGGTCAGGGATCATAGATCCTATGGCCTAGGCAGGCCTCGTTTATACCTGCTGCTGGGATTGACAAAGCTGCCTCTGATTGGTTGACAAGGCATTCTCTGATTGACAAGGCATCTGATCCTCACCAATGAACCAACTCCTAGCTCTTGATTTGACTTTTCTTCTTCTCTTTGTATGGTGGTAATTATAAGATGTTTTCACCCTCCCCTTGGATTTAGAAATGTAAAACCACCTATTGGTAGACAAGCAATCTGCAAATAATTCGGCAACACTGATGGGGCAGCCCACAATGCCCAGCTCTTCTTTGAAGAAGCGGACAAGTAATTCACATACCCCACCCCAACACTTCAAGAGCCTCCAAGGTGCAAATTCGTGGCGCCCCTTGCTTTCTCCTACTTCAGAGGACCCAAACCAGTGGCTTCAAGATATGACAGGAGATTCCAACTAAACCTCATTGCAGGGGGGTGGACCCAGTGACCCTTGGGATCCCTTCCAAGACTACAATTCTATTCTAGTCTAGTCTATTCTAGTCATTCTTTGCATAGTGGTCAGAGCGTTCTGGGCCCAAATCCCCACTTAGCCATGAAGTCACAGTCACTCAGTATCTCTTAGGACTGTTGTGAGGATAAAATGGGGAAACTGCCTTTTGCTCCAGGGAGGAAAGGTGGGAGATAAGAAATAAAATGGTCCACTTATCCCAGTGCAGCCGATTAAGACAGGCAGCACTACTCCTTTCCCAGGCCCATTATTGGAGATTGTCAGAAAGCTGCCTCGTGCCATTAGTTCATCTTGCCCATTGCTCTTCACACTGACTGTAGCAGCTCTTCAAGCAGGGGTCTCTCCCCATCCTAGGTGGAGATGTTGGGGATTGAACCCACCACCTTTTGCATACAAAACACGTATTTTCCCCTCTGCTGCATGATCCTTCCCCTTTTAACTGGAGGGGTGAACTCTGTCCCCCCTGCAGCATGAAAAACGAAATCCAACACACACGGCTCACCTTTTGAATTCCGAACCGCCTCAATGGGGGTGTTGTGGGTGGACGGGGAATTGCACCCTTGAATATTAAACACCGGACTGGCCTCAGAAGTTCCTGTACAGTGGTACCTCAGGTTACATACGCTTCAGGTTACAGACTCCGCTAACCCAGAAATAGTGCTTCAGGTTAAGAACTTTGCTTCAGGATGAGAACAGAAATCTTGCTCTGGCGGTGCGGCGGCAGCAGGAGGCCCCATTAGCTAAAGTGGTGCTTCAGGTTAAGAACAGTTTCAGATTAAAAACGGACCTCCGGAATGAATTAAGTACTTAACCCGAGGTACCACTGTACTGGTTTTTCAGGACTGTTCCTTTCACCCCCAAACATTTATTTACCTGAACGATGCAGGCTCAGTAATTCTCTGCCAGGGGAGTGTGATCAGGTGGAGTGTGTTGCTTCTCAAAGAAAAAAAAAGTGGGGAACTAAGAGACAGCAACAGTGGGGAAAGTGTCTTGTCCATCCGTGGCACTGTAGATGTCATTCATATGCCTGGGTAAAGTTCCAGTGTCTTTACCTGACATTCTCTTATGAGCTTTGTGTAATTCCATCCACAGCATCAAGGTTTTTTCCTGCTTCCTTCCTCTCGCTGTTGGTACCAAATAGGCCAGCGTAATCACCTGCTGTTAGGACCTTCATTCTCGGTGCATATTCTTCTTGGAGGAAAAGCCACATCGGGGTAGCAAGCTGTCAAGAGAATTAAAAATAATCTTCATTAGCAGCATAACTGTTTGCCCTTGCATTCCTTGCAGTGAGAGAGAAGAGAGTCCCTGGGAGCAAAGGGGATAAAGGATGCTTGCATAGATGATATACACTTGTGTGCTGCTAACACAACTGCGTCCCTTAGCTTGCAGAGGTTGCATTTGTGCCGACTGCTAAATAACATGGTGTGATTGCATGATATTTCCGTACTGTGAAAAGTGGCAGAATACGGTGCAATTATAACTACTTTAGTCGGTAATTGACAGCCTGTGAAAGGGACTGAGGGGGAGGGAGGGAAGTCCCCTCTCCCGCACAGTGACAAGAGCCTTGAAAAGCTAATTATGGCTTCTCTTTAGAGGTTATTCAGGTTACAGCGTGGCCATAAGCAGGCAAAGTATCGCAGGGAAGAAAAACAGCACGGCTTGCACACACAGATCCTTAATAAATGAAAGATGGAGGAGCTGTACTTATGCTGCTGCTTTTAAACAGCATTAAAGAGTGGCGCTTTGTGCAAACAACAACAACAACATCCCCACCATCCACCTCTGAACAGTCAAAGGTAGCGCATTTTATTGTGTTTCATTCCTCAAAAGATATTCCGCAGAACCCCACGTAGGAATTTGGGGCACAATTAAAGCAAGCAAAAAATAAAATGTGAAGCACAGCTTGCTCAAATGTCACTGCTGTTCAAAGCTAATAGTAAAAATTGCAGCTAAGATATAGTAGGCAGCAGTTACAGTGGTACCTCGGATTAAGAACTTAATTCTCTCTGGAGGTCCGTTCTTAACCTGAAACTGTTCTTAACCTGAGGTACTACTTTAGCTAATGGGGCCTCCTGCCCCCGCCACACGATTTCTGTTCTCATCCTGAAGCAAAGTTCTTAACCCAAGGTACTATTTCTGGGTTAGCGGAGTCTGTAACCTGAAGCGTCTGTAACCCGAGGTACCACTGTATTTGGCAGATTGATTGCAGTAGCAACTGCAGCTGTATTGTCCTCTGTGAGAACAAGAAGGAAGGAAACAGGCCCAGGACAGCAAAGGAAGGACCAGGGTTGGGGAACCTCAGGCAGCGTCTCAAATTGGTGTCTCAAATTTCAGTGGCACCCGGTGCAACGCCAAAATCAGTCGCTGCCTCTCGCCTTCCATTGGATGTCATAGCTGCCGTGCTCCAGAAGCTCTGTGCCCGATGCAACTGCACCGATCCTGCTCCTATAGATCCGACTTTGCCTCAGGCCTGGGGGGGCCTCTTTCCCTGCCCCTCAGAACTCTGCCGAGGGCACGCCCCCTCTCAAGCCACAGCTCTCGCCAGTCCTGCTTTGTCCTCTCGCTCAGTGTTTTTGCCTGGCTAAAATGTGCCTTGAAATCTAATAAAGCTTTTTTGCCTGCCTGGATGGAGGGTGATGAGCAGGATGTGTGAGTGTGAAGAAGCCAGCCTGCTGTACAAAAGTAGAATTCGGATGTATTGCCCTTTTGCCTCTGGCCACACCCACTACTGGTATGTGGCCCCCAGGAGGTTGCACAGAAGGAAACATGGCTTTTGGTTCCTCACCTCTGGGGAACAAGGCGTGGCAAACCTGGAGCACTGGCTCCCAAGTGGCCAGACTCACTACTAGGGGTGGGTGAATTCCTCAATTTCAGTTTCTCTTTTTTACACTCCTGCTACCCTGCTCTTGCCCACTCTTAAGTTCATTTCTTCTCTTTGTCACATCAGTTGTCAAACGGGGGTGGAAGGGTTACTTTGCATAGTAAAAACATTTTGCATATACATCTCCCCTTCAGCTTTCCTTGAGTTGTTTTTTCTTTTATTTTGATTGTGCCCTTTGTGTCTTTATGTTGTGATTTTTGTCCTGTGACCCACCCAGAGACCTGCAGGTATAGGACGGTATACAAATTTAACAATCAATAATTATTAATAATAATGCATTGAACAATGCATTTAAATTTGTGGTGAAAGAAGAAAGTGACTGGGACAAACAAAGCATCTTCTTCAGAAAGCTGTTTACAAAAGGAGACAGGAATCTGTGCCATTAGTTGAGGGCTGCGGGGTAGGATTTTGGGAACCGCTTCTGACCATGCCAAATCCTCCATTTAAAAATGATATTTCCTTTGCTTTGGCCTTAGCAGAAAGCAATTTATTCTGCAGCTGACAAGTACTGGATTCAAGGAAGCAGCTCAGAGAGTTTATACAGGCATGAAACACGCACAAAAATTGTAATTAATGCAGGTGCTCTGAAGAATCAAGAAGGCATAGGGGGCAAGAGTGAAGACAAAACTACCCATAATGCCTCCCTCCAGTGAAAGAGAAGCTGTTTTCAAAAATGAGTTTCTGGGTGGAATTGGCCTCACACTCAAAATGCTGATTGTATGGGTGATTATATATAGAGAGACAATATGGCAGGAGGAGTGGGCAGGAGGTATGTGAATTTAAGAACAGCCCTTGCTGGATTGCTCAAAAAGCCCATCTGATCCAAGCACCCTGTTCTCATAGTAGCCATCTTTATGCCTGGCCCTCTCGCCACCACCTGAGATTCCCACCAACTGGTCTTAAGAAGCATACCTGCCTCCGAGAGTGGAGACATGGCCTTCTCCATGAAATTGTCTGCTGCCCTTTCAAAGCCACCCAAGGCAGATCAGGGTCTACTGGTAGATCTCTGGGTGGTTTGCAACAGATGCCCTCCAATTGTCTAGCAGGGGTGTCAACGTGAATAAAATATGGGGGGATGGGACAGGTAAGCCCCGCCATGCCTAATCGATCATACAATGCGCCGCATGCACACCACTTGAATGGCAATGCCTGTCACATGGGAGGGGGCCTGGACACCTCAAATATTTTATTGGGGGGTGCCAAAGGTACCTTGGCCCCTAGGAGGCAGCTCCTATGTTGTCGAGCCACACCACAGCATGACCAACAATGAGTTTTCCCCAGCTAAATTAGGCTGCTGAAATTAAGCTAGCTAAGACTCTGGGTCAAAAGGATTGTGAGCTCACTTGAGCTGTACGAACAAAACAAAAAGGCCAAGCCGGAGACACAAGCTGAACATTGTCTCCTCAGCGGGTTTGTAGATCTTGGGTTCTAGTAAAACATACAAAGTACAAAATACAAAGTAGATTTAACAAGCCTAGTCTGACTATCCCTGTTGAGCTAGGACTCAACTAAGCTCATTACCAGTCTAGCTGAGTCTCTATCTGGTGGCACAATGTTGTATCACACATACAATGCATATAAATCACTTTTTCTTTACCAGTCTAGCTGAGTCCCCAGACTGGTAAAGAAAAAAGCGATTTATATGCGCGATATAACATTGCGCCACCAGATGGCGACGTGGAGCCCCGTTTTTCTCTACCTGTTTTCCCTGTTTAATTTTATGACGCTTTAAACTGAAACGCTCCTTCGATGTGTCTGGATACAAGAGTGCTCTCCACCTACATAGCAACGAGATGGCTCAGCTGGTCAGAGCGCGGTGCTGATAATGCCAAGGTTGCAGGTTCGATCCCAGCATGGGGAAGCTACACAGTCCCGCATTGCGGGGGGTGGGTGGGGTCAGACTAGATGAATCTCAGGGTCCCTTTCCAACTCTGCGATTTTGTGATTTGAAAACAAGTAGGTGGTATACAACCACCCCGACAGATCGGAGCCCTCCCACTGACTCTGCACACGCTCAGAAGCAACCTCGTTGTTCTTGGTTCCACCTCGGCGGCTGAAAAAGGTTCCGAAGCTGAGCGCTGCTCTGTGGTCTTAACTGAGCTCTAGGGGGCGGGGAAACAAGGCTCTTTCCAGAAATCGGGGGCTCACCTGTCCGGCATCTGGTCCATCTGTTTCACCTGTGTGTGTGTTCTCCCTCCCTCCTCCCCCAAGCGCCGTCGAGCCCCTCCAGGAACCCCGGACAGCGAAACCAAGCCACGGGGCGGCGTGTGAGCTCAGCGACTTCTCCAGGCCCCGCAAGAACTCGTGGGCAAGGCGGGCTCGGCGCTCCGCCCCCTTCCCACCACCTTCCTTCCTCGGACGCAGTGGCGCCGCGCTCTCGCCGGACTCCAGACCTGGGAAGAAGGCGGCGGCGGCGGCTCCTCTTGTCGGTGCAGGGCAGGTGAGTGCTGGGGACCCGGCGGCGCCCCGGCGCCCCGCTTTTTGGTCGCGGCTCAGCGGGGAAAGGGACCCGAGAGGGAGAGAGTCGTGCGCGCACCTGCCTCTCCTGCCGTCCAGGTGGGCGCACCAGAGAAGCGCGGTTGTCCGCTCCAAGTTCCCTGGACCCTCGACCTGGGATGGAGCCGAGAGCTGCGCCCCCGATCCCAAGGTCCTTAAGAAAACGCACTTGCCAGGGAGTAAGGCTCCTTGAACAAAGCGAGGCTTCCTTCCGAGTAAACGCGCCTAGGCTTTGCGCTGCTGATCGGCTTGAAACGGGAGCGGGTTGTTTTTAGGAACAGAAAGGGACTCTGCTTTTCCTTACACACACACACATAAAAAAACTCCACTCCTGGTTCCTCGACGCCTCGTTGATTTCATCAGTATAATTTTTAGGAGGTAGGCGGGTGAGTAGGAGGCATGCTGCTGCTGTTGGTGGTCAGACCATTGGGGACCAGAGATCCTTTGCAAATTCAGATCTCTCTTCTTCAGCTCACCTCTGTTGAAATGTTCCCCCATTCCGCAGCAACCAGGTATCTCTCCAAAAGGGGTTCTTTTGCCAGTGTTACTAAAGTGCCCACTTGGTTTTCAGCATTAGGGAGTTATTGGACCCCTTCAGAACCTGGTGCGGAAAACGTGGGAAGATTCAGAAGAATTGCTTCTGAATGTATGACTTTTGTGTCTGGCTCTCTGGGTTTGGGCTGTTTATTTCTTAAAAATAAAGCCTCAAGCTGCCCTGGCCTTACAGCCCTGGAAAAAGTATAGGCTTGGTCAGTTGTCAAAGTGGGTCCATTACAAGGGCTTGAAATAGATCATTGTATTATTTATGAAAGGCTGCCAAACAGGAGCCATGTTTGCTTTTGCTTATAAAATACTCGGAAATGGAATTTGCAGGTGAAATTGCCAAGCTCTTGGGAGACTGGAGGATTTTCCTGGAGGTTTTGGGAAGATTTGCCTGTGGAGGTGGATCTGTATATGGAAACATGCTTCCTTTGAGCCGGCAGGTTTAATGATTACCTGTTTATAGTAGCTGTAATTATGTAGCACATTCTTTCTCTCCCTTTCCTGCTTCTGCTCAGTGTGCTTTCTTGAAAATAAGTTCCATTGGACTTTTTAAATTTTCATTATTTCTTTATGCTGCATATATATTGCTCGATAATGACTTTCAGAGCTTGTACATAATAGTTTTTGCTCCATTTTCTTCTATATATTCCTATCAATCAAGTCCTAGAGTTGTTTTCCCCCTTTGTTAAGTTATTTTCTTACTTGTAAGAAAGGTGACCCTATATTGAAAATAGGGGACTATAAATACTAGACCCTGAATGGGAGGGATGCATAATAATTGCAGAGCCAAACGAATAGATGGAAAGAAGGTGCATCGTCTGTTGTAAGTAAGAGCACCTGTTTCAGACTAGGGTCAGGTTGGCTGCAGCTGCAGCCTAATGCTTTAAAAACTAAGGCTTAAATAGTGGACAGAACATCTCTGATTGAAATGCTGTGGACAACAGTCACTTTGTGGTGGGTTTTCCCTGGGGGGCAGACAGGCCAGCAGGCAATCTAGTACACAGAATTGCAAATATGGAATCTGGAAGAGGAGTGGGGGGAAGCAACCCTCATACTTCTCAGTGGCCTGGAAGGAGTTTTTTTTAAAAAAAAAAGTTGGGGGGGAAATCAGGTGCTTGGCAAAAGGATGTTCGTCTGCAGCAACTGGATTTGTTTCAGGTACGCTGATGTTTTCTGCAAGAAGCACATTAAATATCGAGGTGCCCATCTTCAGAAACTTGGGGATATGCTGCAATCCCATCCCCACTTACCTGGGAGTAAACCCCATTGGACTCAGAAGAACTTGCTGCTTGGTAGACATGTACCAGACTGCACTGAGAGCTGCTCAGAAAAGTGTACATGATTATATAAGACAAGCTGCCTATAAAGTTATATCTAACAGAAACAGTGTGTATGCGAAGTATTAAGTGTTGTAAAAGATCTTATCAAATTCTCCATTTTACTTTTATCCGCATTCCACCCCCCTCCCCAGTCAGTCTCTGACCTCCGTTTTCTAGGCACTGTGCAAAACTTGTTCTAATAAGCTTGATAGCCCTAGTCACTGAAAAGAAGAAAAGTAAATTAGTTCTAGGGCTGTGGCGTTCTGCCGGCATTTGAATGACTTGGATGTTTTTAATGACTTGGTACTAGTATCTCTCTCCCATTGAAGCATGCCGGATTCAATAGATGTAATTGCATATACATATTTTTTTGAGCTTTATGTCTGTCCTTGAACAGGAATATTCATTTCATTAATTAAGGATGATGCACTGGTGTATTACTGTTGTTATTAGGGCTGCCATCCAACTGGATAAATCTTAATGAATTAAACAAAACAGATTTAATTAAGAGTGTGGTCCTACCTCGGGGCCCGAAATGTTGATGGCTATAGGATGATGGTATGAGTGCCCTGTAGATGCGTCTCTGCTGGCCATGGGGTGGTGGTTAGGATACCCCTCTGCTGGGACATGAGAACACTGCTCCCCCCAGGCAAGGGGTGTGTGTGGCTTTTCTGCAGCAGAGACACCCTCCCACTATGCCGGGGTAGGCAACATAAGGCCCATGGGCCACAAGCAGCCCACGGGGCCCGTTTAACTGGCCCATGAGCTGCCCCTGAACCAAGCCGCCCACTTGGCAAGTCCCCGCGTGCAGTGCTAAACCAGCACAGCGCGGCATGGGGACTCTCTTTTGCGGTGCCGGAAATTGCGTCTGTGCATGCTCAGATGCCAAAAATTGCATCTGTGCAGACGCCAGGAATCACGGCTGCGTGCACTCATGTGCATGCGCGATCTGGCCCACAGAGGGATCTCCGCTGGAGTGAACTGGCCCAGGCGAGGTAAACCCTGCCGACCGCTGCTCTATGCCCAAAGAGATGGAAAACTATGGTTGGCAGTTCTCCTACCAAATGGTAGCAAATAGCCTCCAAATGGGGTGTTTCAGGGGTAGGGCACCAGTGGTTTGGGGTCCATTGTCTCCAGAGCTCCATGGGTCCTTCGGGGGTCCAGTCATTGAACCCCTCAGCTACACCAGCCAGGAACTGGTGAAGTTGAAGACAGGACATCAACCACTCACTTTCCACCTCAACTGACACAAGGTGGCTGGGCTTAGGATGTGGGAGCGGTTCTGCTGCACCCCCCCCCTTAGGATTGCTCTGCCCATCTGAATTCATTTGCATATGGTTTTAAAAAGTAGTTTTTTTGGGAGGAAATATGCAGACTTTGTTTTTAGATAGTAGATGTTGCAGCAGGTGCCATCTATTTTGTTGAACTACATGTTACCTTAAATGTGTTGCTTGCTCTCTGTTGTTGTTGTCGTGGCTGGTTAATACTGAGCACATAGTTCTGCCCCTCCCCATTTTACCCTTGCAGCAACAACCCTCTGAGGTGGTTTAGGTTGAGGGACAGCGACTGGCCCCTAGTCACCAAGTGGGTTTCATTGGCTGATTTGAACTCTGGTCTCCCATGTCCTAGTCCAGCACTCTAATCGGACCACACTGTCCTGCAGATTCATTCTTCTCTTGCAAACTGGGGAGAGAACAGGCTGCTCCTGTTGAGGGGAAGATCTCCGTATCCTGATCTGTACCTTGATATGTTGTGAGGCTTGCCATGAAACTATGCATGCCCAGATGCACCCTAAGAAAATCTCTCTTGTCATACTTAGCAGTATCTGCTTTAAGTGATTGCTGATCCATGGCCATTTGATGTACCTTTGGGGACAGTCAATTTGCTGATGAAGAATTATCATTGAAACAGTTCATTATCCTGGAAGAACTGTTCTGTCTGCTGCTGTGCTTGGAGCACCCTATTGCTACGTTTGGAGCACCCATCACCTCACATTAGTAGGAAATGAACTTTGGAAAGGCATTCTGCCTCCATTTCAGTGATCTTTATTTTTTTTTTTATAGTTGATATTTATTGAATTTTCAAAAAATAACAACAAAAATTTCCAGAAAAAAATTTAAGGATACAAAAAACAAAATTAGTGCATAAACAAAAAAGAAAAGAAAACCCAGCCGCAAAGAAAAAAAAAAAGAGAAACAGAAAAACAAAAATATAAAGTCCTTTACAATCTCTATTGACTTCCTTTCTAGACTTCCTCCTCCTCCCCTCTTTTGTTTCTTAATTTTTAATTTTTACAGCAAATCCTTTCTGTTTTTTCATAACAATCTGTCATTACGTTTCCTTATTCTATTTTCCCTCTTGTCATATAAAAACTTTAAAACTCATAGCTTATATTCAATATTTACCAAATTCTTGCATCATTACCTTTTACGAATCATTTACCAATCCTTACTTAAGTCATGTAATTTCATTCAACATCCTTCAAACATTTGTAAGCATTCCCAATATTAAAAAGTAAAAGAAAAAATAATAAGTCAAATTCAGTCCAGTCAGCTTCCAACCTCCCCTCCCTGGACCCGGGATTGTCAGTCCTTTTAACCTCGGTAATCCGGCTCCTTAACCTGGTTGTCTCGTATCCGAGGCCCTCAAGTCTCTTTCTTGCCCCTTTCGCCACTCTTGTTGATGATTCCTTTCCAGTCGTGGATGCTCCAGCAAGAAAATGCTTTTGACCCTTTGCAACAAGTCCATCCCAAACCCATTGCCCAAGCCAGACAGCAAATAATACCACTTCAAATTTCCACAAAGCTTGGAGACTTCGGCTACTCCAATCCTCTGATAGCCCATCACCAGACTCGGAAGGTCCAAATAACCATATGGAGGGGGTCGATCCATCCCCCATTTCCAAATCTGACCACATTTCATCTTTCCGAATCTGGTTTGTCCTAAGTTCATTTATCAAGTTCAAAGGCTGATCTTGCCCGTCCAAAGGTCCCTCCATCTCTGAAGCCTCCGTCACTACAGCAGGTTCATATGCTTGTATAGCCTTTAACTGAATTTCATTTGTTTGCTGCTGTGCTCTGGTAACTTCCATCATCAAGGTCGTCTCCTGACGCATCTGGTCCAGCTGGGCACTTAGTTTTGAAAAACCTTCCAGGAACAATTGTTCAAGCCTTTGTACTAGCATTGTCCTTCAAGGTCAAAGAAAATTCTTTCCCACGAGAATAGTCCAATAGTCCTTCTCTTTTAATCTCTCTGCGTTGCAATTTCACTAAATTCCACTAGATGGAATTTTTTTTTTTTTTAAAAGGAATAAAAGCAACAGCAACAATCTTTCTTTTTCCAGAAACACTTTATCCAAAATTCCCCTTCCAAATTCAAGAGGCAACAGTAGAATCAAAATGTTACCCTTCTTTTAACTAACTGTCGAGCTGGATAAACTTCAGAACGTCAATTCTGACAGCCCGCTCCTGGTTCAGGGCGGTGGAAAATTGCTTTATTTTAAACTCACTTCCGCAGGATTGAAAAGTCCAAATACAACCCCCTTTTTCTCCTGCAGTCAAAGGGGGGGTTCAGAAATCTTAGATGTTGAATTCTAGTTCTCTTAAAATTTAATTTTCAGGCTTTAGTATATTTTGTCTTTGCTTTCTTCACATAACAAAAGAACGGAAGGCGACTTCCTGTTTAGACCTTCCCATTCCGAGTCCCAATTAAGTTCAATTTCAAGTCCAATATTATTTGTTTATTCACCAGTCTTAAAAGTGGTTCAGCTCTTCCAAGATCAGGTACTCACGGATAGATGTTTTAGATGCCAAATTGTCCAGGAAAAAGGCAGCGCTCTCCGATAACGGCAGTGCGGCTTTGCTGCACGGAGGAAGCAGACGACTCACAGCACCACGCACCTCCCACTCCGGAGCCCGGTAACGGGCTCCGGTACAAGGGGAGAGAGCGCTCTCGGTGCCCGCCGAGTCCCACGTCCACAGGCTTCTTCCGCCTGTGGTTTTTGCGGGTCCCCGCTGCGCCGTAGCGGCAGGACCCAAGCCTCCGTGCAGCGGGTTCCCTTCAGTCCGAAGGGAATTCCGCCATTTTCCGGAGGCGCCACCCCGGAAGTCTCCATTTCAGTGATCTTTAACAGTGACTTACCACGCCTACCATTCCTGTTCATGGAACATTAATTTGATGCTTATTAGTTTGTGACTCCATGCACATATTATATGTCTTCTGTTTATGAATTTTGAAATACTATAGTGTTATAAGGGATGCGGGTGGCGCTGTGGGTTAAACCACAGAGCCTAGGACTTGCCGATCAGAAGGTCGGCGGTTCGAATCCCCACGACGGGGTGAGCTCCCATTGCTCGGTCCCTGCTCCTGCCAACCTAGCAGTTCGAAAGCACATCAAAGTGCAAGTAGATAAATAGGTACCGCTCCGGCGGGAAGGTAAACGGCGTTTCCGTGCGCTGCTCTGGTTCGCCAGAAGCGGCTTAGTCATGCTGGCCACATGACCCGGAAGCTGTACACCGGCTTCTTCGGCCAATAAAGCAAGATGAGCGCCGCAACCCCAGAGTCGTCCGCGACTGGACCTAATGGTCAGGGGTCCCTAGGTGGGCAGGAGCAGGGACCGAGCAACGGGAGCTCACCTCGTCGCAGGGATTCGAACCGCCGACCTTCTGATCAGCAAGTCCTAGGCTCTGTGGTTTAACCCACAGCGCCACCCGCGTCCCCTAGCTCACATTACAAAGCAGTTATTTAGCAGACCTGGTTTTTTATTATTTTACCTCTTCCTTTGTTTTTTTGCAGAAATCCCATCTTTTAGCTATAAAATCACAGGCTGGGAGAGGAATTCCTGCATTGCAGGGGGTTGGACTAGACGACTCTTGGGTCCCTTCCGATTCTATGAATCAAAAACCCAAACATATTGCAATACAGATGGGCAGGGTATAAATTATTATTGTTGTTGTTGTTGTTGTTACACTCTTGGGTCTCTCTCTCTCTCTCTCTTTCTCTCTCTTCCCTCATTCAATCTTGCTTTTCAACAATGGGTAAAATCTATGTTTCTGTTTAAAAATAACATCACAGAAAATTTAGAACCAAAAAACATTAAATGTATTACTATGGTTGATTTAACTCAGTTTCAAGAAGTGGAATTTCACCCTCAGTGAACATACCTTTATTGTTTGCATTCTTTTTTTTCCTAATCTGTCATCATGTTGATTCAAGCAATGAATTTAAGACCATAGTCCTATGCATATTTGCAAGGGAGGAAATATTGTTTGCATGTTTATCTTAATCCTTTGTAGGAAATGATTGATGATGGTCGAGGCTTTACTGTGATCTAGGGACTCTGCCATGGATCAGCTTTAATGTACGCCTTTGTGCTAAATTTGCTCAGGGAGACTGTTTGGCACCAGAGTGCGTTCGCTGTATCTCCTGGGTTGCATGGGCAAAAATGTTTCTTATGGAGGTAGCATTGTTGGGTCGCATGAATTGGATGCCTTCAACAGGAGATTGGTGCAGATCTTGAGAGCCCATCTGCACTTGCCTGCAAAGCCCAGAGTTTCTGTATTCGGTTTGTCACCTTGAGGTCCATACCTGAGCTCCTTGTGCTCTGGTATGTGATTTTTAGAATGTGGTGTTTCTTGTTCTGCTCCTGGGTTTTCCATTATTCATTCTTTCCAGCAATGCCCAACCCCAATCCTCATGGATTAACTGTCTACAGTGGAAAAAAAACGAGAAAGGCATAAGCGTGCAGTGGTTTTAAAACCAACTACAGTGGTACCCTGGGTTACATACGCTTCAGGTTACAGACTCCGCTAACCCAGAAATAGTACTTCAGGTTAAGAACTTTGCTTCAGGATGAGAACAGAAATTGTGCTTTGGTGGCACGGCGGCAGTAGCGGGAGGCCCCATTAGCTAAAGTGGTGCTTCAGGTTAAGAACAGTTTCAGGTTAAGAACGGACCTCTGGAATGAATTAAGTACTTAACCCAAGGTACCACTGTACAGGCATACCTCGGGTTACAGATGCTTCAGGTTGCACGATTTCGGGTTGCGCACCACGCCGAACCCGGAAGTCCCGGAATGGGTTACTTCCGGGTTCTGGAGCTTGCGCATGCACAGAAGCGCTGAATCTCAAACCACACGTGCACAGATGTGGTGCTGTGGATTGCGGACGCTGCGGGTTGCAAACGTGCTTTCAGTATGGATCACATTTGCAACCTGAGCTTCCACTGTACCTCGGGTTACAGACACTTCAGGTTGCAGACTTCGCTAACCCAGAAATAGTACCTTGGGTTAAGAACTTTGCTTAAGGATGAGAACAGAAATCGTGTGGCGGCAGCATGACGTCAGCAGGAGGCCCCATTAGCTAAAGTGGTACCTCAGGTTAAGAACAGTTTCAGGTTAATAACGGACCTCCAGAATGAATTAAATTCTTAACCCGAGGTACCATTGTAGGTAGGGGGAAATCTGGATTTATAGGGGGAAAAGTGAAAGCAGCTACTTTCGGTGAATGTAGCATAGACCAGGAGGAATTAAAAGCTGCAGAATCCAAGTTAAGTAGAAGTGTGGATTGGCTTTGATGAGTCTACTTACATAATGACCAGCATAACAGACTAGTTTAACATCCAAAATAAATGCAAACACTTAAATTTCCTCACTTCCTCCCACCTAACACAAGATGTCGGGCATCACTACACAAAACACAACTCACTATTCTGGGTTGGGTAATTTGCTTTTCTTTATATCTGCATAAATTTCTATGCTGCTAAATCAAGAAGAAGAAAATCTTCTCAAAGCAATATACATAATAAATAAAAAACCAAAGGTAAAAATATAAAAAGAACATAAAACTGGGTCACTTATCTGTGATGGTAGTGATATGGTGATAGTTAGACCAACACAGTATTTGAGCACAGCATGTCTGAGATGCTCACCTGGAGATAAAGACCTACCTTTAGAGACATGATAAAAGACCAGAATGATTAGATGTTTGGAAACAAAGCACCAGTGAAATGATCCCAAATTGGATGTTCCTTGCCAGTGTTTCCCCAGGGGTCAGTTTAAAAGCTGCTACTGCTGAGCCTTTAATGTCAAAATGTCAAAAGTCAGGTTTCACTTTCAGTTCACACAAACACCTGGCCTCCATCTCTGCCAGCATCTCAGAGAAAGCTACCTGGGATAGTCATGAGGATAAATGTGCCTGTGCTTAAAGTAATAACTCTGATGAAGAAGAGAAGGAGGAAATGAAAATCATGCTAGGTACCATCTTAGAAGAGAAATCATTTCCTGTATGAGAGGAGAGGGGGAATACCTCTTCTAAGAATCGCCATCTGAAGTTTTGTAAGCATTTACCTTTGAAATAATTGTTTATTTGCCTGATAAGCAAGAGCTGGTTTTTTAGGTTATGAAAAAACACTCTTGCTGCTTAATGTATTCTAGAGTTACCATATTTCAAAAGTTGTTGATGTCTCTTTTTTTGCTGAAGTTGTTGAGCTTTTAGGTTGTTTTTTTAAAAAAAGAAGTTTTTGAGCTGTTTTTAATCAAATTCTCCAAAATCTACACTGCCGTATGTCCAGATTTTCCTGGACATTTAGCGATTTCTGCCCAGACACAGTTTCCAATGGCCGAATCCCGGCCAGAATATTCCAGATGTATGGCAACCCTATGTATTCAAAACCTGGCTTTAGTTTACTCATATTTTATTCCATCCGTCCAACACAGCCTCCTTTGTAGCACACCTGCACCAATAACTTCAGCTGTTATTTAGAGCCAGCTGGCAGCAGCAAGTGGTAGACCCGGTAAATCTTTTAATCTTCCTCTCCAAATATGAAAGATGACTTGAACAGATGTACAATGCTGGTTTTCATTTTTTTTTCTTTTTTCCTCCTTTTTCCTGTCATTATACAATCCTGGTTTTCTATATAACTTTGATCCCACCTGGAATATTATGTCCAGTTCTGGGCACTACCATTTAAGAAGGATATTGCTAAGCTGGAGATAAGGGTATTGATAAGCTGCAGAGCAGGGTGGCCAAGATGATCAAGGATCTGGAAACCAAGATAATAATAATAATTTATTATTTATATCCCGCCCATCTGGTTGGGTTTCCCCAGCCATTCTGGGTGGCTCCCAACAGAATATTAAAAACACGATAAAACCAAGGCTTATGAAGAACGGTTGAGGGATCGAGGGGAGTTTAACCTAAAAAAGAGGAGACTGAGGACTCAGCTACATTAGTAAAAAAAAGTTTTGGCTGTGTTATAAACATGCAACACCAGATGGTGGCAGAGAGCAGAAGAAAATCAATCCAATTTTTACATAGTGTTTTTTTCTTCTTCTGTTATAACGATTTAATTTCTGACTTACAGCAGTTTTTCCCCTGTGTGTAGATCCACCCCGAGAGGAGATATGGTAGCCATCTTCAAATAACTCAAGGGATGTCACACAGATGAGGGAACAAGCTTGTGGGGTGACATGGCCAAGTGATTCCCAGGAAGCTTCTGGTTATAGCCCCATGAGACTCTGGATCCTCAGGACTTGTAGGTTCGAGCCCCACATTGGGCAAAAGATTCCTGCATTGCAGGAGCTGGGCTAGATGATGTTGTGGTCCCTTCTAACTCTGATTACTCAATAACCTTATAAACCTGGGGTGGGACTGCAGCTTGGGAACAGAGAAGATGCTTTGCATACAGAAGATATTAGGCATCGCCAATGGAAAGGAGGGGGAAGCAGGTCATAGGAGAGGCCTGCTTGAGTTCTTGGAGTGCTGCTGTCCGTCTGAGTAGGCCACGGACAGCATGGCGCCCTCCAGGTGTTTTTGAACTGCAGCTCCCATCATTCTTTTTAAAAAAAATTATTAAATTTTCCAACATACATTTATAATATCCAATCTGAATTTATCACATATTTTCTCTTTTAGACTTCCTTCAACCTTTCTGACAATCATCCATTATACAAATTTTTAAATATGCATGATGAGCGTTATTTGCTCATCACATACATATTTCAAATAATCTGAAAATTTTCCCCAGTCCTCAATGAACTTTTGATCTCGTAGATATCTAATCTTTCCTGTTAGTTTGTCTAGTTCTGCATAATCCATCAGTTTCATTCTCCATTCTTCAAGCGTCGGCAATTGTTCCTGTTTCCATTTTGGGGCCAGTAGTATTCTCGCTGCTGTTACTGCGTATTGGAAAAGTTTACAGTCCTTTCTATTTATTTCATTTCCTACTATTCCTAAAAGAAAAGCCTCTGGTTTCTTAACAAACGTATATTTCAACATCTTTTTCATCTCATTATATAGCATTTCCCAGAAGCCCTTCACCTCCTTACAATCCCACCACATATGATAAAATGTTCCTTCTTTTTCTTTACATTTCCAACACTTATTACATGTTTTATACATTTTTGCCAATCTATATATCACTTTCATAACATTTTCCTTTAACGCAGTACATGCCGTAAATTTTATATTTTCATTCCACAGTTTTATCCAATCCTTAAACTGTATATTATAACCCAAATCTCTGGCTCAGTGTATCATAACTGATTTAACTTCCTCATCTTTTGTATACCATTCTAGCAAAATTTTATACATCTTGGACAAAATTTTATTCTCATTATTTATTATTTCTGTTTGAAATTTAGATTCTTTTTCCTCATAACCTCTTTCTTTTAGGTCCTTTTTAAACATTTCATTAACCTGGTAATAATGCAACCAATCATACATATACACTTTCACTTCTTCATAGGGTTTCATTTTCCATTTTCCTCCTTCTTTTGTAATCGGTTCTTTATATGTAATCCAGTTCCCCCTCATATTGACTTTCTTAAGACTCATAACTTCTAACGGAGATAGCCAGTGGGGAGTTCTTGATTCTAATAAACTTCTATATCTCTCCCATATTTGCAGCTCCCATCATTCCTGACAATTGTCAACGCTCGCCGAGGCTGATGGGAGTTGTAGTCCAACAGCACCCAGAAGGCAGCGCATAGGGTACCCCTGGAGCAGGAAATAGTGGGTTAAATGAGCAAGTAGTCCGGCTTGGTATAAATCAGATTTCTAATGGCTATTGTAGTCTAGGCAATAGCAGATCTAGCTGCTATCAAGATGAAGCTGTCTTATATTTGGGATCATGCCTCTGTGACCTTCAGCATGCCCACTTCAGGCTTTAGGTAGATGAAATGTACAGATGGAAGAAACTAACAAAGATTTTTTTTTTAAAAAAAGTCAAACAATAACTGCCTGGGTGAATTGTATTGCATTTTAATTTACAGTATTGACTTGGAAGAACAACAGTGCCTCTTGCTTTCCTTTTCCTAAGGCTACAGCGCTTAAAATACCTGCTTTTTAAATAACATTCTTGAGTTCCATATCCTGATATTGTTCAGGGGGGTGGGTTGGTGCATTAGTAACAGGTATGTTGCCCTGAAGATCCTAGCAAATGGATATTGGCCAATAAGCTTGTTTGTGCAAAACTCAAAATGTAAATGCAATGTCCTGTGGGGGGGATTGCTTGCTCAGTTACAAGGAAAGCTTTGCAAAAGTGTACCTCATCGGAAAGGTGGATCTAGTGCGATTGGATCTATGTGAGATTGCCGGGTTGCAAACAGGGCAGAAGTGGAAACCGTGGAAACGGCGAGATGGGGGAACATTTTGAGCGAGGTCTTGAGGGTGTGCATAGCGGGATCAAATTGTACAAGACTAAATATCACTAGGGAACCTACAGCTGCTGCTGGTTCCTGTGACTCACAGAGCCAAGGACAAAGGGTGAACATGCGCTCGCGATGTCTTGGGGGAGGAAAACAAGCTGTGGCTACGGGTGGAATCGCTCGTGACATTTCCATGCATGAAAGGGAATTTGATGGAAGCAGATAAGCTAACAGTCCTGCTGTTATTATAAACACTCTTGAGAACATTATTCAGACAAAGATGCAGGTTTGTGGTGCTGTAGGCCATTAGGAAATGGTTGAACTGTAGATTCATACTATGTTCCAGAGACTCCTGGGGTTTCTCAGGAAGATCAGCTGTGATTCTTTGGCCAAGAGGTCAATAATTTATTTTTACTACAGTGGTACCTTTGGTTGCGAATGGGATCCGTTCCGTTCGCAACCTGAGCAGAACGCAACCAGCATCCGCGGGTCGCGATTCCCTGCTTCTGCACATGCGCATGACGTCATTTTGAGCGTCTGCGCATGCACGAGCGGTGAAACTCAGAAGTAACCCGTTCCGTTACTTCCGGGTCGCCGCGGGACGCAACCTGAAAACGCTCAACCTGAAGCATCTTTAACCCGAGGTATGACTGTATTTGTTAAATTTGTGTACAACCCTTCATCTGAAGATCACAGGGGCAGTTCACAACATAAAAAATCCAAAATGAGAACACAAAATGCCTAATAAAACAAAAAACTCCCCTCCCACAAACACGTTTAATCCGCCCAAGGCAACATTTTCGCCTGGGGCCTAAATATATGTAATGAAGGCACTAGGCAAGCCTCCCTGGGGAGAGCGTTCCACAGATGGGGAGCCACCACAGAAAAGGCCTGTTCTCATCTTGCTGCCTTCCAGGCCTCTCTTCTTGGGGCACACAAAGAAGGGCCTCAGATGATGGTTCCAGGTCAGTTCGCATGGGGAGAGTTGGTCCTTGTGGAATAAGTAGAAACCTCTATAAATGTGGAATAAGTAGGAATCTCTGTGGATGTGAAGGGCTAGAAATTTAAATTGGTTTTTAGATAATTTCTCATATCACCATGGTACCAGTCTTAAACTGAAGCTTCTATTTTTCATGACAAAAAAACCTTATTGGAGTCTGTTCTTCCAAGTTACTTAATTGGATTTAATAATTGCATTCTGTGCTGTGGGAGGGCGTGGGAATTCTGGAGGGCAACCAAGCAAAGCATAGACTGCATACATGACATTTTTATTCTTGTTTCCTCTTTGAGCTGCTCTCCATGAATGCAGCGTTAGAAACATTATTATTCTAATTGATGCAAGGTCAGCCCCAAACAGGTTGCTGCCTGAGACAAAAATGTCAGGTGCTTACTGTACTGCCAGATGAATCTTACGGCAACATTGGTGAGGGGAAGGGGTCCTCTGCTGCAGCCAAGACTAGTTTAGGTGACTCAGGTGACCCATGCAGTGTCCAACAGAGAGGAACAGCTGAGGAGGGAAAGCTGAGAGGCTTTTGCTATTGGCTCATCCACACGCGCCAGCATCTGCCTAATAAGGTGGTTACATTAAGTGTAATGGGTTTAATTCACACAGAAATGCAAAATGTATATGCATTGATAAAGGTTTAAAATGGGGAAATTCAATTGCTAACATTGGTTTCCCCCCAAACAATAAGTTTCTAAGGATTCCCCGTTGGTTGTTTCTCTACTCTGTGCTGAGAGTGAAGGTAAAGGTAAAGGGACCCCTGACCATTAGGTCCAGTCGCGGACGACTCTGGGGTTGCAGCGCTCATCTGCCTTTATTGGCCGAGGGAGCCGGCGTACAGCTTCTGGGTCATGTGGCCAGCATGACTAAGCTGCTTCTGGCGAACCAGAGCAGTGCACGGAAACGCCATTTACCTTCCCACCGGAGTGGTACCTATTTATCTACTTGCACTTTGACGTGCTTTCGAACTGTTAGGTTGGCAGGAGCTGGGACTGAACAACGGGAGCTCACCCTGTTGCAGGGATTTGAACTGCTGACCTGCTGATCGGCAAGTATTGGGTTGCAAATTTGCCATCTTGAAAGGTGGCGGCTGTTAGTCTTTCTCCGAACACAGCAGAGAACAAAAGCATGTGATAATAGCTCTCTAAAAAGAGCTGCTTAGCCTTAGGCAGGCTGGGATGGGGGTTAGGGAGAGACACCATTTTGATTTTGGGATTACTTCCTATTTTCTAAGATGCTGAGCCTGTGCTGGACAGCACACAAACATTATATGGGTATTTTTTAAAAAGTACATTTGATGTTTTAATGAAGAATGTTCTGCCCTAAAAGTTTGAAGAGTACTTTTTATGCGCCTGGGCAATGACTTAGTCCAAAAGGAGTCCGTTCTTATGCTTCCAGTTGCTTTAAACTGTGTAATATCTGCAACAGGCCAGCCCTGCTTGTATGCCAGACAAAAAGTGCCTGGTCGGGATTCCCATAGTCCACACAGTGCCTGCTCCCAGTTTGAGCTGATAACTGGGGAAAGAGCCTTTGTTCAAAGCAGGGAGGGGATGTTGCTGCAGCTCCCATTATCCTTGACCATTGGCAATGCTGATGGAAGTTAGAGTCCAACCACCGTAGGTTCCTTGCCTCAGACATAAAGGGAAATTCCATCTGGGAGGAAAGTGGTTGTTAGCAGAGCACTGCGTAAATGCTATACTTATTTCTCAGCTTTCCTTTCAAGGGCACACTCTGCTATAAGGAATAATAGCAAGATGGATCCACAAGTGCGGCTTTAACATTCGTGGACGAGGTTCCATTTGCAAAGCTGGTGTTTAAGGCGAAGGTCGCCGCCAAATGATTGCAATCATTGCAAACAGTGGTGTGCTCAGAAACTTGAGGCATATTGTTCCAGGGGAAGAGTGTTTGAGTCAGGCAGTGGGCAGAATAAAATAAAAGTACACGTGCTAGAAAGGTTGACGCGGGCCGAGAGTTATTCACTATTGTAGAGAAGCTGGAACGTCATCGCCTGCCATGAGTAAGTAATTATAGAGCGTGAGAATGGTGAAGGTAGAAGAACGGAAGAGGGGAAGTCTCAGTCGGCTTGATAGGGCCCATGGGCAACCTAGTGAGGAATAAGAGTCTGAGGCAAGAGGGAATAAATAGTGCCTAATTCTCATTGAAGTGAATTATGTGTGTGTGGACTGTATCAGGTCAGATTGTCACATGAGGGATCATATCTGAATGCGCTTTCTTTCTTTAAAAAAGTTTAAAAGTCTTCACATAGAAAATTAGATGTCAATGGAAATTTAGTTGTGTCCCAACACGGGCATGTTCCATGCTCAAGCTAATACAGTAGAACCTTGGTTCCCAAACTTAATCCGTTCTGGAAGTCCGTTTGACTCCCAAAACCAAGGCGTGGCTTCTGATTGGCTGCAGGAGCTTCCTGCAGCCAATCGGATGCCACAAGAGCCACGCCGGATGTTCGGCTCCCAAAGAATGTTCGAAAACTGGAACAATCACTTCCAATTTTCGATCGGGAGCCAGAATGTTTGGCTCCCAAGGTGTTTGGAAGCTGAGGTTCCACTGTAATAATAATATTACCTTCATCTTGATCGGCAACTTAGACTCAGGGGAGCCAATTTGGGCCCCAGGCTATGGGTGCCCAGCGTGGTACCAGAAGTCAGGTTCCGAGGTCTTAGAAGACCTCAGAAAGCATCTCTGATGCCTTGGAAATGCTGTCCGAGGCCTTGCGAGAGGGCCCTGCGGTGTGGGTGCCTCTGCTTAGACTTCTGTTATTCATGTGCGTGGGAAAGGAGTGAGTGACCTATGGATTCCACCCAGAACTAAGGTTTTATTAAAAGTCTTTGGCTTTATGAATGACCAACCTGGAGGCTTCTGGTGGATGTAGGATGTAAATTCAGTTTTCTTTTTTCTTTCCCTAGATCATTTTGTCTGTGATCTTTGAGAGCGGACTGACTGAAAATAGAAACTTGACAGATGCCTGTTCCACTGCCACCACCTGCTCCTCCTCTTCCACCATCTCTTTCTGGAGGAGCCCCACCACCAGCTCCTCCTCCTCCTCCTCCTCTTCCGCCATCTTTCTCTGCAGCTCCACCACCACCTCCTCCTCCTCTACCTTCTTGTTCTGGCGGTCCACCACCTGCCCCGCCTCCACCTCCCCTTCCATCACCTTCTTCTGGATGTCCACCACCACCACCACCTCCTCCTGCCTCTTTTTCATCATCTTCTGGAGGCCCACCATCACTGCCATCTTCATGCCCTTTGGTAAGGCTCATCTTTCGATTTTTTCCCTTGATTGTGAAAAGTATAACCAACATTGCGGTCTCACAATTAAAATTCTGTTTTGGACTTAGAAACTTAGCTACAAAGTCCTAGGTTTAAAATGTCTTATCAGTAGGTGTTATTAAAATACAGGTTGTTGGTTTTTTAATGAGAAAAATTAACTAGTCTTGAATGCCTAGACATGCTTCTGTTTATTGCAGATTTCTCCATCCACTTGGTTGTCACCATTCCCAATGTTATCAATGAGTCTGTTGACATAATCCGTAGCTCAGTCGGTAGAGCATGAGACTCTTAATCTCTGAGTCATGGGTTTGAACCCCGCGTTGGGTGAAAGATTCCTGCATTGTAGGGGGTTGGACTAGATGACCCTCAACTCTACAAGTCTGTGCTTCTGTGAAAACATGGTTGCAAAGGCAGAGAAACACAGGAAGATTCTTTATATTGTGACAGACCACTAATCCATCTAGCTCAGTATTGTTTATATAAACCGACTGGCAGCTGCGATTATTATTTGTTAAATTTCTATACAGTGGTACCTCAGGTTACATACGCTTCAGGTTACATACTTTTCAGGTTAGAGACTCCACTAACCCAGAAGAAGTGCTTCAGGTTAAGAACTTTGCTTCAGGATGAGAACAGAAATCGTGCTCTGGCGGTGCGGCAGAAGCGGGAGGCCCCATTAGCTAAAGTGGTGCCTCAGGTTAAGAACATTTTCAGGTTAAGAACAGACCTCCGGAACAAATTAAGTACTTAACCTGAGGTACCACTGTACCACCTTTCATCCAAGGATCATAGGGCAGTTTCAGGTTGGGTGTCTCCCAGCCCGACCTGGAGTTCGCAGGCATCTTCTGCTTGCGAGGCACGTGGTCCATCATTGTGCTGCCTAATATCCTAACTTCAGAGGCTGTAGCGCTGCCATATGTCTGTAACTTCCTTAGATTGCTGGAATTTCTGAAAATCAGTGAAAACGTTTGGGGCAACATATGTCGGAAGTGTTTCTTTTTTCCTTTAAAAAGTGCTAATTTCCCTCCCTTAAAATAACTCCTCAAAAACTTTTGTGTCCAGATTTTCACTTTTTGAAATATGGCAACCCCTAGGAGGTTTTTATTTCTTCATTTGCACAGAGAATTTATAGGCCTTGGTGTCTGTATCACGCACCTGCTAAGATTACCCAGCTGTTACTGCAGCTGCTAGGTTTTCTGAGGAAACTGGAATGAAGCTTAAGGAATGTAAATGGAATGAGTCCTCACGTATGCACTTCCTGTCCTGCAGTTGTAGCAACCGTCCAAGATGTTTGCATATTGTCCATTCTGTTTTCTGCATCGTTTGATCACCTCCACCTATTGGGAACAGTATTTCCCCCCCAGTATTGTGGATGCTATTTGTTAAAAAAAGGTTTACCTGAATACAGTATTCTTTTTTGACAAAGCCATTTCTGCCACTTCCGGTTAGAGACTCACGTTAGGCCATACAAATGATACAAATACAGCAAATTGTGAATACGCACACATACTCACACTTCCTAGAGAGTAATTGGATACAGCGGGACTTCTTTATAAACAAACATTTATAGGATCAGACTACTGATTGAGGGATTAATGGACTAAGACTCATATGATAAACCATCTAACACTTTTTAAATTGAATGACATAATCATAAAACTGAGTCCCATTTTCTTTAACTGGGGATTAGGAGATCGGTGCCTTCCTGCTTTCTGTGATTAGTAGAATTTGAATTTGAATAGAAGCCCACTTGAATAATTTGCACATAGGACTCTGTTCACAGAATATAGCTTTTCAAAGCCGAACATTCTGGGGTTTTTTTAAACAGCCAAATTTATTCTGCCTTTCTACTAAGCAATTAATGTTTTTCTTAGGATACTTCACTAGATTGTATTAAAGCCGACATATATTAAATCACCTTAGTGAATTCAATAGGACTGTTCTTGCTTAATTGTTGTCACCTTTATTTAAATAAAAACACCTCTCTGCGCTTAACTAGGGTTGTGGGAATTTACACGTACTTCTGTAAAACAAGAAAAGCCTGATTAAAATATTTAATAATAACAAAAAAAAGCTAGGGTTGTGGGAATTTAACATGGAGTCTGGCATCTGATGTAGGAGTGAGAATAAAAGAGAAAATTGTATTGGGTATCATGAAGGATATTACATAAATTGCTTTGTGGATTTTTAAAAAACCTTTAACACTTTATTTTTCACTGGAAGGGGGTAACATTGAATTTCAATACACTGAGCTGTCTGGAAAATTACTGCAAGCTCCTGCATCTGAAGCAGGTGTTCTGTTATTCTGTCTGATACTATTGCAATGAGAAACAATTTTCTTGAAGGCATCCTTGCAGGCAGATGGTGGCAACGATGTAAATAAGGGGGGAGATACTTATTTATGAACTTCCTGCGACTGCACTGTTTCAAACACTAGAAGATGCTTCTTTGACAAATCCAATATAATTAATGCTTTTCTCGAATAACAACCCGTTCACCTTGCTGTTAGTGCTGAAACAGAATCCTCTTTTAAGAAGAAAAATAATATCACAACCTTTATCCCTATCTCCATGTGCTTGGGAGTAAACCTCGTTGAATCCAATAGGGCTTACTTCTGAGTCAGCATTGTGCTGGGTGGAAAATTCAAAAAAAATTGAAGCAATCTCAATTTATTTTGTCTGCAGACTGATGCAAGCTCACGAAATGTGTGAATGTCTGCTGCTCTTTACACTCCATTACTGCATTATTTACTGTTAGTTAATTAATTAAAGCAAATTAATTAATAGCCTGTCCTTTGACAAAAGACACCAGGGCAGTTTACAGCAACACAAAAAAATACAACATGAGTTAATTAAAACAGTCAAGGTTAAAAACAACAACAACATCTTGCCTCTTTTAGATAACACCTGAGTGGCTGACCTGGGCAGATAGCCAGCTCCCCCTCCTATACAGAACATAATTTCCAAATCCTGGCTCTAGACCCAAGGGTGCGGAGCTCGTTGGACTACAACGCCCATTATCCCTGATCACAGACCATGCTGGCTGAGGTCTTTGGGAGCTGGAGTCTATCAACATCTGGAAGCTACAGGTTTCCCCCTCCCCCACTTCTCTAAGCAGTGGGGTTCTGGGGGTGAAATCTGCCAGAGGCAGGTGTGGTCTGCAAACTTAAGTAACAAGCCAGACGATAAAGTGGGCTGGAAGCATGTACATAATTGAAAGCAGGTAGCTGTCTAAATCCAAAACAGCAATCAAAGCTAGGTAGCAGGTGCCTAGGAGAATCTTCACATAAAGAGCAAGTTGCTCATGCAGACTGAGGAGTGATAACTGATTCAAGGGATTGGTGGGTGGTGACTGGCCCTTGGGTCAGGTATGCTCAGGTATTAAAGGTAAAGAGACCCCTGACCATTAGGTCCAGTGGTGGCCGACTCTGGGGTTGCGGCGCTCATCTCGCTTTATTGGCCGAGGGAGCTGGCGTACAGCTTCCGGGTCATGTGGCCAGCATGACTAAGCCGCTTCTGGCGAACCAGAGCAGCGCACGGAAACGCCGTTTACCTTCCCACCGGAGCAGTACCTATTTATCTACTTGCACTTTGATGTGCTTTCAAACTGCTAGGTTGGCAGGAGCAGGGACCGAGCAACGGGAGCTCAGCCCGTCATGGGGATTTGAACCGCCGACCTTCTGATCGGCAAGCCCTAGGCTCTGTGGTTTAACCCACAGCGCCATTACTGTGGTTGGGAGAAATGTTTTTGCCAAAAATCTCAGAAACCTCATCAGGAGGGCTTTAAACTGACTAATGTGGGGGAGGGAGATAGTGCTCCTGAAGGTAGGAGTCTATCAATTGATGAAGATGATCATCCAAATGTCATAGACCAAATGGAGCAAACAGCACACAGACCTAGTGGTGGGAGGAAAAATCCTTAAATAAGAGTCACGGGGAATGATTAATGGACTTCAATGTCTGTACACTAATGCGCAAAGCATGGGAAATAAACAAGATGAGCTTGAGCTCTTGGTACAGCAAACTAAATATGACATAATAGGCATCACTGAAACCTGGTGGGATAAGTCCCACGATTGGAATGTAATAATGGGGGATACAATCTATTTCAGAGAAACAGACCAGACAAGAAAGGAGGAGGAGTGGCGTTATATGTCAGGGATGTGTATACCTGTGAAGAGATCCAAGATTTAGAACCTCAAAGCCAAAGTGAGAGCATTTGGGTCAAAATTAAGGGAGAGAAGAATAACAGTGACCTCATTGTGGGAGTTTACTATAGATCCCCAAGCCAAACGGAGGACATAGATGATGCCTTCCTGGAACAGATGGCCAAGCATGCAAAAGGAAGGGAGATAGTAGTAATGGGGGACTTCAATTACCCGGATATTTGTTGGATGTCAAACTCAGCCAAGAGCATAAGGTCAAACAGATTCCTCACTGGCCTTGCAGACAACTTCATTGTCCAGAAAGTGGGAGAAGCAACAAGAGGAACAGCCATTTTAGATCTGGTCCTAACCAATGTTGATGACCTGGTTAGTGGGGTAGAAGTGGAAGGATCATTAGGCGCAAGTGATCATGCTCTTCTGAAGTTTACTATACAGCGGAAAGGAGCAGCCAAGCATACTAGGACTCAATTTCTTGACTTTAAGAAAGCTGACTTCATAAAACTTAGGGAAGCGCTGGGTGAGATCCCATGGACAGTAATACTAAAAGGAAAGGGAGTTCATGATGGCTGGGAGTTTGTTAAGAGGGAGATACTAAAAGCACAACGTCAGGCAATACCAATGAGACGGAAACATGGAAGGTGCCTAAAGAAGCCAGGGTGGCTATCTAAAGAACTTTTAACTGAGTTAAGATTAAAAAGGATGTGTACAAAAATGGAAAAGGGGGAAACCACCAAAGAGGAATTCAAACAAATAGCCAGCACGTGTAGACACAAAGTCAGAAAAGCTAAAGCACAGAATGAACTCAGGCTTGCTAGAGAGGTTAAAAGCAACAAAAAGGCTTTTATGGGTATGTCCGTAGCAAAAGGAAGAACAAAGAAACAGTGGGGTCACTCAGAGGAGAAGATGGTGAAATGCAAACAGGGGACACAGAAAGAGCTGAACTCCTCAATGCCTTCTTTGCCTCAGTCTTCTCCGATAAAGAAAACAATGCCCGACCTGAAGAATTTGGAGCAAATGATTCAGCAAAGGAAACACAGCCCAGAATAACTAAGGAGATAGTACAAGAATACTTGGCTAGTTTAGATGTATTCAAGTCTCCAGGGCCAGATGAACTGCATCCAAGAGTATTAAAAGAACTGGCAGATGTGATCTCAGAACCACTGGCAGTCATCTTTGAGAATTCCTGGAGAACAGGCGAAGTCCCGGCAGACTGGAGGAGGGCAAATGTTGTCCCTATTTTCAAAAAGGGGAAAAGAGAGGACCCGAATAATTACCGCCCAGTCAGTCTGACATCAATACCAGGGAAGATTCTGGAGCAGATCATTAAGCAAACAGTCTGTGAGCACCTAGAAAGGAATGCTGTGATCACCAATAGTCAGCATGGATTTCTGAAAAATAAGTCATGTCAGACTAACCTGATCTCGTTTTTTGACAGAATTACAAGCCTGGTGGATGAAGGAACGCAGTGGATGTAGCCTACCTTGATTTCAGCAAGGCATTTGACAAGGTGCCTCATGATATTCTTGTAAAGAAGCTGGTAAAATGTGGTCTTGACTATGCTACCACTCAGTGGATTTGTAACTGGCTGACTGACCGAACCCAAAGGGTGCTCATCAATGGTTCCTCTTCATCCTGGAGAAGAGTGACTAGTGGGGTGCCACAGGGTTCTGTCTTGGGCCCGGTCTTATTCAACATCTTTATCAACGACTTGGGTGATGGACTCAAGGGCATCCTGATCAAATTTGCAGATGACACCAAATTGGGAGGGGTGGCTAACACCCCAGAGGACAGGATCACACTTCAAAACGACCTTGACAGATTAGAGAACTGGGCCAAAACAAACAAGATGAATTTTAACAGGGAGAAATGTAAAGTATTGCACTTGGGCAAAAAAATGAGAGGCACAAATACAAGATGGGGGACACCTGGCTTGAGAGCAGTACATGTGAAAAGGATCTAGGAGTCTTGGTTGACCACAAACTTCACATGAGCCAACAGTGTGACGCGGCAGCTAAAAAGCCAATGCAATTCTGGGCTGCATCAATAGGAGTATAGCATCTAGATCAAGGGAAGTAATAGTGCCACTGTATTCTGCTCTGGTCAGACCTCACCTGGAGTACTGTGTCCAGTTCTGGGCACCACACTTCAAGAAGGACATTGACAAACTGGAACGTGTCCAGAGGAGGGCAACCAAAATGGTCAAAGGCCTGGAAACGATGCCTTATGAGGAACGGCTAAGAGAGCTGGGCATGTTTAGCCTGGAGAAGAGGAGGTTAAGGGGTGATATGATAGCCATGTTCAAATATATAAAAGGATGTCACATAGAGGAGGAGAAAGGTTGTTTTCTGCTGCTCCAGAGAAGCGGACACGGAGCAATGGATCCAAACTACAAGAAAGAAGATTCCACCTAAACATTAGGAAGAACTTCCTGACAGTAAGAGCTGTTCGACAGTGGAATTTGCTGCCAAGGAGTGTGGTGGAGTCTCCTTCTTTGGAGGTCTTTAAGCAGAGGCTTGACAACCATATGTCAGGAGTGCTCTGATGGTGTTTCCTGCTTGGCAGGGGGTTGGACTCGATGGCCCTTGTGGTCTCTTCCAACTCTATGATTCTATGATTCTATGATTCTATGATTCTATGATTCATTACAAGCCTAGATAGCACACTCAGAGCACTGTGCTCAGTGTGCTGGGCTTGCAGCGAAAGATAGAATTGTAGAGTTGGAAGGGGCCAGGGTGGGTGTGGGTGTCATCCTACAATGCAGGAATCTTTTGCTCAACATGGGGCTCGAACCCATGACCTTGAGATTAAGAGTCTCACGTTCTTTACTGACTGAGCCATCCCAGCTGCCATGTTCAGGAGGGAAGGTACAAGAACCTGACTTCTAAGAGCCCCAGTTTGAGGCCTCCCTGACACCAAGCATTTTCAACTTCCTGTAGTTGAGCTCACAGTTTAAATTATAGGGGGGGCCCCGCCCCAAGGCAATTCCTGCTTTTCAAGGGAAAGATTTTGGATGGACAAGGCCATCAAAATGAGGCAGCCATCGAAGGTGGCAGATGCAGTGGGCAGTCTTGGCAAGATGAGTCATTGTGTCAGGTGGCACTGCCCTGTGCTAACCTGCTGTCCCGTCTCCAGTGCTGAAGTAAGATTCAACTGGTCCATTTGGGCAAGAGCTGAGCCCTGCCAAGTGAAATGGCAAGCATTTTTTTTTAAAAAAAGCTTTCATTGGAAAAAGGGAGCCTTTGCACAGCCATCTGTACCCACAAAATCCTCCCTGGAACCTGGAATCCTGATTGTGCATAGTTCTCGGTCACACAGAAGTGTCCATCCATTGCTAGGGTTGGGCGATATATTGATACCTTATCCAAAAACCGGTCCGTATTATGATATCAGTTTCATCATTTTTGACCTGGCAATACATCGTGAATCATGTTGCATGTGTGTGTGCTATGCCAAAAAATCACAATGTGGGACAATCTTTGAAGCCAGCCAATGCCTCTACCTAGCTCCGTCCTTATTTCAGACATTGTGATATATTAGTATATTGCAATATTTAGCTGGTGATATCCTCCTCCTTCTTTGGTGATCACTTGTAGCCGAGTAAGATTGTCTTCCATGAACACGGTCTTAGCGGTTTGTCTGTAAGTGACTGTGGAGGCCAATTCTGGATCCACACGTCCTTCCACAGTGGGGACATAGGTTTCCAGGCGGGAGTTGATCACGGTGAGGGTTTGCCAAGTGTGCCTTCCTTTTAGCGCGTTTCTCTCTTTCGTCCTGATTTTGAGCGTCTTCAATGCCCATGACACCTTTGGTAAAGGCTGTTCTCCAATTGGAGCGCTCGCAGGCCAGTGTTTCCCAGTTGTCAGTGTTTATACTACATTTTTAAAGATTTGCCTTGAGAGAGTCTTTGAAACTCTTTTGTTGACCACCAACATTACGCTTTCCATTTTAAAGTTCAGAATAGAGTAGTTGCTTTGGAAGACGATCACCAGGCATCCGCACAACATGACCAGTTCAACAAAGTTGATGTTAAAAGCTGGTGATATATTATGAAGTTGAAAACCAGATATTGCCCAGCCCTACAGTTCGCCTTTACATAGTTCCATCCTTATTTCAGACATTGTGATATGTTGTTATATGTTGTGATGTTTAGCTGGTATCGGTATATCGCAATGTTGAAAACCAGATGTCGCCCAGCCTTAGCAGTCGCACTCTTCGCTTGAAAACCAGGGTTTTTTTGGTGCATTCCCATAGCCATTGATGAATATAAGAGCATGAACACTCAAATGGGGTTAAGAATGTGTTGGGTGGCTGTTCTGATCCACTGGCCCACAGGAGGGCTTGTAGGGATGGTTGGATGCAGGGATACCAAAGGAGGTAGAAGGCGTAGACTTGCGGCAAAGCATCCCACCAGTTCTCCTAGCCTTTGCAGAAGCAGAATGGGCACTACAGCAAGGAGACAGCTTATCTGCACCCAAGCAGATGTACAGATGTTCTCTATGCACAAAGCAGCATATGTCATTTTGTCTAGGACTTCCCATCACTTCACCTGCCCGGTAGAGGACATAGGTGGCCAATACCCAGTTCTTACAGATAGCTCCCTTTTCTGGGCTCAGAGCCCAGGACCCTAAGCCCCACAGATAAGGGTAACATCAAACCAAGCCACTTAGAATATTATCAAAGCAAATGAATGCAAACATACGCAAAGCATTCCCCCAGCAATCCAACAGTGGCCTTACTCCCCCTCTGCCCAAAAATTTATGTAAGTTTTTCATAGCTTCCCACTTGAACCTTCTATTTTTTAAAACACACACACACACACACACACACACACACATTTTTGGGAGCAAAGATACTGTGTGGTAAAAAATAGAATAACCCTCTCTGCTGAACAGTCAGCCTATTAAATATATGACTCATTCCATCTCATTTTAAAAAGGAAAGGAAAGAGGGAGGTGCAACACTCCTTATCTAACCTGACATTTCTTATATGCGAAAGAGTAGAAATTCTCCTAGCTTGACAAGGTAAACGTAGAGCCAAGTGAACATGTTCTAATTTAATAAGCCTGGGTCACAGAAATTAATGTTATCCTGATCTACCGGAGCAATTTGAGGGATTCAGTAAAACACACTGTCTTCCAGTTTCTGTCGTCTTCAGAGCCTTGGCAAAAGGCCCAAATGTTTTTCTTTCTAATGGTGTGCCCTTTGCTTTTCTAATAATAACATAAAAGGCCGAACAAGACTGACACCTTTCTCACTGTCTCTCTGCTTACAAATTCTGCAGCCTTGGAAGAAAATTAATTTTCCATTCATTGCCAAAGTTTCAAAGGGCTAATCTATTTATTTTTTTAAAAAAAGCAAACGGGGATGTGTGTGTACCCAAGATTGCTCATCGTCCGAGTTGACCTACTGAAATTAATGGACATAAATTGGTCATGTTCATTCATTTAAGTGGGCTTACTTTGAGTATGATTGGGTACAACCCAAAGTACCCCAAGTACCCCAGTGGTGTGAGATTCCAGCTTTCCCAGGGTTTGTATTTTCTTTGGAATGAGGCACAGAGGAGACTGTGGTGTCTTTCATGGTATATGGTTTATTTGCACATATATACAACCTGAGCCTACGATGGAGGGGTTTGCAGCATTCAGACCCCAAGAGGGTCTGGCTTCTCCCGTAGCCACAGCCTTAGATTCCAGCAGAAATCAAGCATGGCTCTGACCCCATGCCTTCTCAGCCTGCTGTCTCGCTTCCAGCTTCCAGCACGCATAACTCCAACTCTCCACTCTGACCTTTGCTTTTCTAACTAGCAGTCAGTGGAGAGGGGCCCACCCATTTTCCATCCGGCACAGATCCATTTCCTTTGTTACCTTAATCACCTATGACGCACCATGAAGCTAGCAGACTCTCCTCAAGTGTCCTATTTTCCAGGGACAGTCCTGGATTTATAGAAGCCATTCTGATTTGATCCTGGAATGTCCCACTTTCCCTCTATTTCCATTGGTGAAGCATTGGAGGGTATGGTTATGCAACCTCCGAGCCAAGGAGATAAGTAACTATACAGCCTTTAAAAGACATCCGAAGGCAGCCCTGTATTGGGAAGGTTTTGTTTTTTTAAAACGTTTAACGTTTTACTATGTTTTTATATATGTTGGAAGCTGTCCTGAGTGGCTGAGGCAACCTAGTCAGATGGAGGGATATTATTATTATTATTATTATTATTGAATAGGTCATCCTTATTTTCATTGGAGAAATATTGGAGGGTAGCTTTTCCAGGAATTTGAGTCCTCCTTTAGATTTTAACACTTGCTGGATTAGGGTCTTGGCAAACAGCGTATTCCACCCTAAACACAGGACAATATACAGTCGTACCTTGGTTTTCAAACAGCTTAGTTCTCGAATGTTTTGGATCAAGAACAACGCAAACCCAGAAGTGAGTGTTCTGGTTTGTGAACTATTTTTGGAAGCTGAACATCTGATGGGGCTTCCATGGCTTCCGATTGGCTGCAGGAGCTTCCTGCAGCCAATCAGAAGCCACGTTTTGGTTTTGGAAGTCAAATGGGACTTCTGGAACGGATTCTGTTTGACTTGCAAGGTATGACTGTATTGCTTTGCTATTCCTACAAAAAGTAAATATAGCTGTGTTGGGCAAATTGAAATCCATATTAGGGCAATGCCACTATTAGGCCAACCAAAATGTTGTAAGCTTTTGCCGTTCCTGGGCATTCCTAGCCATTTCCACAATGGTCAAGGGTTTATTGGCATCTGAAGTACCAGGGAAGGAAGATTGAATGCCCCAAAGTGACCAATTTCTCCCCTAATCCACCAAAATGCACAATGCATTCTTGAATATAAGTATTGTGTATGTTCAGAGTTTACTACTCTGTCCAGTCCTCCCCCCAAAATTATCTACTTATTTTGGAAAGGGAGGGGGGAAAGCTAGTATTTAGCATGCAGAGATGACACAAACTGTAGATATATGAACCCAGGAACAAAACCACAGCTGTTGGTTCTAAATTTAAACCTACGAGGTCCTGCTTTCTCACCCAAGCAGCAGAGCTACGGCAAAACCGTTTGTGGGAGTTGCTGAGATAAATTATTTGTAACAGCACTGGAAAACAAGAAGCAAGGAGTTAATTTGTTCCAGTGATGTTTCTTCAGTTTTTCACAGTATGTATTGCTTATTCTTCCAGAGAAGATAGGTGAAATTGGTTGTAAATTCCACTGTTGCGTGTGCTGTTGCATTTGCTAATTATATGACTCATTCAGGTTTTTGGTCGTAATGGTAAATAACATTGTCTCTCTGTGAAATTTCTAAAGGCACTTGAGGATTGAGTTATGGAAGCTAATTTATAAAGCAATATATTCATCCATGCATTTATTTATTTTTTGCAACAAATGTAGCCTTAAAGAATACAAGCTATTAAAGGGATTTTACATCATCCCCCTAGGAATGTTTCTAACAGGACAGTACCTAAGTGTGCCATCTAGAGGAGCTTATGCACTTTTAGAAGAAAAGGAAAACGAGGAACCTGCTGTTTAAAATGCTAATATATAGACTAGCAGTTCTTAGCTTATCATTAGGAGGTAGGTTTGTGCTACTTGTGTTATATTGGGTATCTCTTTCAGACAAATAATAGCTTGTCCTTTGAGCATTTCGGGTGTTTACTTAGTGGCATCAAACACATTCTAATGTGAGCAAAATGCTACTGCAATGCTGCTGCTGCTGCTGCTGCAATTGTTTATTCTCTGTACAGTGGTACCTTGGTTCTCAAACGCCTTGGTACTCAAACAACTTGGAACCCAAACACTGCAAACCGAGAAGTAAGTGTTCCAGTTTGTGAACTTTTTTTGGAAGCCAAACATGCTCCATTTTGGGTGTTACACTTCTGATTTTTGTTTTGTTTTTGTGACTGTGTGGAACCCAGTTCAGCTACTGACTGACTGTGTGACCACAGTATATTGTTTATTGCTTTCCTTTTATGGATCAGTGGTCTCATTAGATAGTAAAATTCATGTTAAATTGCTGTTTTGGGGTTTTTTAAAAGTCTGGAATGGATTAATCCATTTTGCATTACTTTCTATGGGAAAGCACGCCTTGGTTTTGGAACGCTTTGGTTTTGGAACGGAGTTCCAGAACGGATTAAGTTTGAGAACCAAGGTACCACTGTATTCTAGAAGTTCTCTCTTGTCTTTATTCTGTTTGTCATCACCACACACCACACCACACACCCATACCACACCTCAACAAGGATATTAGAGAGCTGAAAAAAATATTCAGAAAAGTGCAACCTAGAGGACCAGTGGCTGCTATGAGGACAGGTGACAACATCCAGAGCTTTAGGAGAGTAAAGCAGGGATATGATGATAAAGGTGTATAAAATTATTTTTGATGTGGGGAAAGGGTCCCCCCAGGGGAAAAATCTCATCGGCATATGGTTGGTCACTGCTGCAGCTTAGTCTTGTCTGGATGTCACACCTGGATGTCATACCCTCAAATAATAATAATAATAATAATAATAATAATAATAATAATAATAATTTAATTTATACCCCACCCATCTGGCTGGGTTTCCTCAGCCACTCTGGGTGGCTCCCAACAGAATAAAAAAGCAATAACATATAGTACATTCAGATAAGGATCTGCTGGATCAAACCAAAGATTCAGCACTCTTTCTACAGTGGCAACAACAACAATAACAACAACAACAACAACAACAAAAACCCTGTTGAAATCTCACAGGAAAGTCACAAGCACAGCAGCACAATTTTATTTTTTTATTTTTTTAAAGGAAATGCTGTTTACAGATCTGTCTGTGTCCTTTGTCAGCTCCTTTCACTCTGGGAAAGTGTTTCACTTTTGTGTCCTAGCGGAGTATTGCCATGGAGATAATGTGTTGTTCGTTACGTTTGCCCCTTTTATCAACTGCGAATGAATGTCCAGGTCAGTCTAACTCTGCCAGAGAAGGGAGTACGTATTTCTAGATAAGCTTATTTGACAATGTCAGGAATGCTATAATAAAGACTGGCTATGGGAAGAATAAAAGTGTATTAAGCTTAGCCGTCAAATGGATCTTGGGGGTTATTTCAGGTAGTGGAGCTGCCTTTTCTGCAGAACGAGATCACTCATGACAGCTGTGGTTAGAGGCAAACCTCCCTGTCACATGACTAAAGTTGTGTACAGATTTCCATTTAGTCTGACTCCTGTGCTTTCATACTACTGGCTCTTGAATCTATTTACATAGTGTCCCTCAACGATGCAACTGTCGTTTCTAAAGAAATGTTGCTGTTGGGTGTCTGCCCCCCACCCTCAGACCATCTTCAGTATGCCAGGAAAACTTAAGCCACACTCACTTTGCGGTTAAGCTGAGGTGTGTACATTGGAGACAGCCATTGCGCGTGCGCCGATGACAGCATGTGCACAGATGACAGCTTCATGAATAGGAGCTGGAGGATGCTTGCCAGGGCAGGGAAACCAAATAGGAAATGTGCATTGGAGTGGGGAGAGACATCCCAGCCTCCTCTCCAGTGGGGACAACAGCAGACAGATGCAACTTGAAAAGCGGCAGGAGGGGAAACCAACTTGCTGCACTTTAAGCCGCTAATGCAGGGGTCCCCAAACTAAGGCCCACGGGCCAGATAAGGCCTGAGGGACTCGTTTATCCAGCCCGCAGTGACCCCTGCCGGCCGCTCTTTCCAGTGCTGCACTGCACAGCTGCCCACTTCTGGGTTGGAGGAGCACTGGAAATAGCTTGTGCGCATGTGCATTATTTGCGCATGGGCAAACGTTCTTTCTGGTGCACATCCGGGTCGGACGAGGCCCATGCACATGCGCACAAGCTTTTCCCAGTGCTCCTCCAACCTGGAATTGTGCCGGGAATAGCGTGTGCGCACGGGTATGGGCACGCGCTCCCCTGACCTCTGGCTCGCCGCGTGATCGGCGCTGGGGACACCGGACCCAGGCGCGGTAAGTTTGCTAATGTGTATTTGGAGTTGCAGAGTTTGGTATGTTGACTCACTTCCTCCAGACTTGCCTTTGTCCCAGCTCACTTATGGTCAACAGAATAAACCGCACAAGCTGATCGAAAGTGGTCCTATATTGTGTGACTTCATCAAGAGATTTTCCCATGCCCGTTAGAGGAAGGATGAGTAGAAAAGAGCAAGAAAACAGCATTCAACTTGCATAAGATACGTTTGGCAGTCCCTACACTTCAGCAGTCCTAAGCCACACCTGTCTTTTGCCCTGGTTGTAAGCAGGTGAAGTGAAAGTAAATCCCATTGATTTCAGTTTCTCCGGCTTCCAGTTGCACCAAACTGGTTTCCACGGTCTTTGCAACAGTGAGAAATGGATTGACATGTTCAGTGAGTGTCCGTAAGCTGTAAATACAGGATCTAGTGGTGGGACTGTACCAGTATCACAGTGGGATTGTGATTATTGTCTGGGGGGGGGGGGATGTCTGAAGAAACAGAGCCAAAAAATAATTCATAATAGAATTGTAGCATTGGAAGGGATCCTGAAAGTCATTTAGTCCAACCCCCTGTGATGCAAATATATTGCAAAGAGCCGTTTCCTAAAGCAGGCATTGCAAGACACGTTTGTTGCATATTGCAGAGGTAGCCAACACAGTGCTCTCCGAAGATTGCTGGACTCGGATTGGCCCTGATCAGTGGCCATGCTTGGCTGGAGCTGTTGGGGGAAGGAGGCTAATAACATCTAGAGGGCACCGTGTTGTGTACTGAATAGCTAGCATAAACATAGCAGGTGGTGATTGATGACCAGGTGGTTTTGCTCACCTCCACTGTGTGGCGACTGATGCTTATTGGGACTAGAGGGGCAGAAGGCAGGGAGACCAGCAGGAGGCGGAGCCAGAACCAATGACAGGCAGAGCTAATGACAGGTGGAGGCTGGCTAAGGACCAGTTGAGTCTGGTCCATTAGGGAGAAGGGGGAGCACTGCCCCACCAATTTCAGCCTGCTCCCAGCCAGCCTTCACCAAACTGCCTCTTTTCTTACAAGAAGTCAGGGGGCGGAGCGGATCCGCCTGTCATAGGTTCTAGCTCCGCCTACTGTTGTGTTGTTCCTCCCTCCCATCTATCCTATCAATGGGCATCAGTCACCTCTGGGCCCCACTTGCCCTAATGGACCAACCTGCCCTGCCTCTCTCCTTGTGCTTCTTTGTTCTTCAGCCTCTGTGGAACCGTGAGCCTCACTGTCTGCTCTCCTTGACAGGCAAACTCCGAGCCGCCCAAGCAGAGGAGGGAGGACTCGAAAAGCCGCAGTGCTTTGCTGCACGAGATCCAGAGAGGGACTCGGCTGAGGAAAGTATCGCAGACCAATGACCGAAGTGCACCGCAGATTGAAAGTGAGTCTTCGGCTTCCAGAACTTCTCCAAAGCAATGGTCACAGAGCTGTTTTTTTCCAGGCTGAAAGTCCCTGTGGGCTTTTTGTTTTTGTTTTGCTTGGTTACCAAACCCTGGAAAAGCACCACATAGATAAGCCTCTTCTACTTATGAGCTGAAAGCTGCTTATATTGGCCACATTTCTTGAGGTTTGACCTGTCCAGTTCCACACCCCGCCCTGCAAGGACCAAGCCTCCCATTATAAGCCTCCTGCCTTTTGGTCTGTATTAATGTACAACTTCTTTGTATATATAGCAAGGGGGTGGACAGCCTATATCTTTTTTTCTGACCAGCCCAGGAGAGGAAACGTGTTGTGGATTCTTTCTTAAGACTCCCTAACCCCAGTTTGAAAAGTTAATTATGTTGCTGGAGATGGGTGTTCTAAATGCAGACCGGACACTGTTCATCCTTTACTTTTTTCTTATTAGATTCCCACCCAGCCCCCTGGTCTTTCCTTTAACAGCATTTCTGAAAACTTGTCAGTTGTTCATTGGCCCATGTCACAAGGAAAGTGGAACTGTGAATAGTTGCCATTTTCTCTGTAAAAAGGCAGGATTCAGATATTCCAGAAAATTTAATTTTATTACAGTGTTCTTTTATCTATTCTCTGTAAATATTCCACTTTTTATTAAATGTTTGATCTGTATGGTCTCGGAATCTTGCTGTCAAGATGGATAGATTAGCAAGAAGAAGGTCCCTGCCTTCATTCACACACCAGAGGGTGCTGTGTTTCAGGATGTGGAGAATTGTCTATGTGGCTGTTGCATCAAGTCGCTTTCTTATTCATTATATGCTGCAGGGAAAGACACCGAGGGTAAAAATAAAAAGGGCCAGTAACTCGGAAAGCTTGATAGAATAACCCAGATTTAATTTTTATTTTATTCTTTTGTCACAGACTCTAGGAGGAGGGCCAGCAGGGATGGAGGAAGCTCAGGAACCGGCAGAAGTGACATCCCTCAGGCATTGGGGAACCTCTTTGCAGAGGGTTTTCCTGTTCTGAGACCAGTAGGCCAAAGGGATCTGACAGGTAAAAGAAACATTTTTCTATTTAAAAACATCGTCCTCTTGCAGTAACTAGAGCCTGGGTAAACAAAATACGATGTTTTTTTCTTATGATATGTTTGAAAGAGACACTAATTTATTCTTCAGAAACAATAAACACTCTCTCTCTCTCTCTCTCTCTCTCTCTATATATAATCTGTTTCAGTAAAACATTGTAGGGCAAGCTTCTTTGACTCTCCCTTTACACTCAGTTTCCCTAGCAACAATCTTATTTTGGCCCAGGATAGGAAAACCATCAAAACAGTATTTTTATATATTTAAAAGCCACCATGAACCACTCTTCAGCCATGGCTCGCAAGAGCAGTTTTCGGATTGGCCCATAAAAACAAATGTGACAGAAAAACCATATGGAAAAACTGGATAGCTCAGTTGGTTAGAGCATGGCGCTGATAAAGCCAAGGCTGCAGGTTCAATCCCCACAACGGACAGCTGCAAATTCCTGCATTGCGGGGGTTGAACTTAGATGATCCTCAGGGTCCTTTCATATTCAGGCCCTTTGGCTGGAGCTGACAATAACACCAAGATGCCACCAGGAGAACCTCTCTTGGAAGGACATTTCAAAGATGGAGTGCCACCACAGAATATGCTCTGTCTCTGTTCATCACCCATCACACGTCAGACAAGGGAGGGAGGGAGAAGGCAGCAGACACGGAACAAGGCCTCTGAGGCAGGGCAGGTTCCCCTGGTCCCAAGCCATTGAGTGAAAACCGGTCCTTTGACTTGTGCTAGTTCATTGACTAGCAATTAAGTGTAGAATTTTCTGGTGTTGAGATGTTCCATATGCCCAGTTAACAACCCCAGTGCTGCCTCTTGTGTTCCCTGCAGTTCCCAGTCTTCAGAAGGCAGCCCCACCAGCAACACACTGCAGCAGTCTAAAAAGCGACGTGACAAGTGCCACTGAGAACCATGGCCAGGTTTATCTCTATATACATATGCTCTCATTCCAATGAGAGAAATCTAATTAAAGCAAACAGTTTCTTGGGGAAACGTACATCGGAAATGGCAGGCTTAATAAGCTGGGTGGAAAGGGCAAAAAACACCCAGATCTGTCCGTACCACGAATGCCCCGGGGCTTCTGCCTCGCCTCAGTGCAGCATAACTTGAGATATACAGGAATAATTGCTCATTCTGTTGAGTAGGAGGCTGTGAATTTCTGTCGTTCGCGTCAGAGCAAAATGTGTCGGGGTTTCAGCCACCTCTGCTCTGCCTCCTGGGAAATGGCCGAGTCACTGTTGATATTGCAGCGTCTGACAGCTAATCTGTAGGATTGGAATGGCAGGCAGGCAATGGGGGTTTGTGGCAAAGGGAAACGAGATTTGTGAAGAGGCTGACAGGACAAATTCACATCTTTTTTGGTCGTCGTTCAAAGTGAGTGGCCCGCGCCACTGTTACCTTGGTTTATTTGCTGCTTCCTAAAACTTTTATTTGGTTTCCTCAGGTGGTCGGGCGGGTCAGCCAAGCGCTGTAAGGACATCTCCTCCTGCAAAGGGTCCAGACCCACCGAACAATAATGGGAAGGCCAGCGGCAACCTTCAAACTGCGTCTGACAGCCCCAAACCAGCAAGTCCATCGGAAGCATCCAAGGCCCAGCAAGCGATTCCGGCTCGTCCCAACATCCCTGCTCCTCCTCCTCCTCCGCCGCTGCCGCTATCGCCTTCCTCCAGCAAACCTTCGCTTATCTTTCCCCCTCCTCCCTCTCTCCCCCCTCCTCTGCTTGAAAATCCCGAGAGCCTCCCCTCCCCAAGCGCTGCTGCTCCTTCTCCCCGCAAAACCCCAGCATCCCCTTCACACATGCCGGCGCCGCCACTGCCTCCTCCTCCCCCTCCCTTGCCTTTAGGGCCCCCTACTTCACTCCCAGGCAAAACCAGCGAGTTCCCCACTCCGTCGGCCTCCCAGCCTGACCTAAGGCTCAGTTCCCCTTCCGTGCCCCCTCCGCCACCTCCAGGGCCTTCTATGTCCACGTTTTCCTCACACAGGACGTCTTTGCCGCTGCCCCCTTCGCCAACTTCTCTCAGTGCCTCGAGCGGCAGTGGCGAAGCCCCGCCTCCGCTGCCCCCCAAGTCGCCGTTTGTGCAGTCCCAGATGCAGAAGCCCAGCATTCAGTCGCTGCCTCTTCCCCCAGCCCCTCCAAGCACACAGCAGGTGGCTGTGACACACAAGAGGAGACAAGGCAGAGGCGGAGGTAGGAATGGCACTCTTTAGCTGCATCAACACTGGTCCATTTCAATGTACCATAGTCCAAAATGCAGGGGTAGGCCAGCGCCATGGCCTGCAGCCTCCAGCATCCCCTACGCTGGCTGGTGCTGGAGGGAGATGTAGTCTTTGCCACGACTGTGTATCGCTGCGAACCTGGAAGTGGCACGGAAAGGGGCAAAAACTGCCCTAAAGGAATGCGGCAATGGCAATCCCACAAGCCCTTGCACCGACTGCTGAGGCCCGTGGAGAGTTTGAGCAAAGAGATTTGGAAGGAGTGATTTTGGTGTTTTCAGGCTTTTTCTATGGCGTTCATAATATGTACAGCCGTACCTTGTTTGATGAACGCCTTGCAACTCAAGCATTTTGGCTCCCAAACGCCACAAACCCGGAAGTGAGTGTTCCAGTTTGCGAACATTCTTTGGAACCCAAATATTTGATGGGCTTTCCACGGCTTCCGATTGGCTGCAGGAACTTCCTGCTTTGGTTTTTGAACATTTTGGAAGTCGAATGGACTTCCGGAACAGATTCCATTTGACTTCTGAGGTACCACTGTATATGTAATTTCGTTTAAATGCATGGTGCCTCGGAACGTAACCCCCACATATAAATGTGAGGAGTTGCCCGTATAGTGCTAAATCAGGCATAGACAACCTTCGGCCCTCCAGATGTTTTGCACTACAATTCCCATCATCCCTGACCACTGTTCCTGTTAGCTAGGGATCATGGGAGTTGTAGACCGAAACATCTGGAGGGCCGAAGGTTGCCTATGCCTGTGCTAAATCATGCCAGACCTGAGTTCAGCCAGGCATGTGTTTCTTTTGTATATGCTTTGATTTGTAGAGAGCAAAATCTAAACTAAGCGTGGGGCTGGCAGTTCGGAAGGCATCTTTGTACACAACTGCAGAATTGATGGGCGTATGTAAAAATCAGAGGAAGCGAAAGCGTATGTTTGAAAAGGTCTCTCTTTACATTTGAAGCACACTGGTTTTCCCAAAGAATCTTGGAAACTGTAGTTTACCCCCCAGAAAAAGAGCTACAGATTACACTAGCTTTAAGAAGGTAGCGCTCCCGGGATTCTTGGAGGGGGGAAGAGTTGTTTGCTTTAAATATATGGTGTGTATGCAGCCTTACTGAAATCTAGTGAACAGGCAGGTTTGCAGACAAGTATATTTGAATAGCAGCAACAAATGAATGGGACGCAGAGAAAGAGGGATAATCATGGGACCATTCGGACTCTTTTAACTGCACATTCAGAACACTTGCCATTGTACAGCTCTACTGGGAATGCACTGCTTTAGGACAAATTGAATGTTCACTTGTTCTTTCAATAATAACAATAAATACCCTTTTAAAATGTGTTGGGGAGGGGGTGGGGCTTACTGGGTTGTTTTTTATTTTTATTACGTATTTTGTGGTTTTATATTGCCACCACCCTGAGACCTCAGGGTATAGGTTGGTATACAAATTTAATAAATAATAATAAGATCATCCTTGTCCATCGAAAGCAAGCACATTGGGAAGTGGGTAAGATTAGAAATTTATTTCACAATGAGAGTCCTGTTGTGCTCAGGTCCTGCTTTCCATGGGTGTCTGGCTGACCACTGTAAAAGCAGGCTGTTGGACTAGATATGTTCTCATGATGTTAGAATCAGCAGCACTGCATTTCTCCTGTGCAGATACTGCAAAAAGGGGCTACTAATGTTGTTTTACGCAGGTTGCATGCTAACTAGCCTGTAGTTTGGGGTGCGGGTGGCACTGTGGGTTAAACCACAGAGCCTAGGACTTGCCAATCAGAAGGTCGGCGGTTCGAATCCCCGTGACGGGGTGAGCTCCCGTTGCTCGGTCCCTGCTGCTGCCAACCTAGCAGTTTGAAAGCACGTCAAAGTGCAAGTAGATAAATAGGTACCACTCCAGCGGGAAGGTAAACAGCGTTTTCGTGCGCTGCTCTGGTTCGCCAGAAGCGGCTTAGTCATGCTGGCCACATGACCCGGAAGCTGTACGCTAGCTCCCTCGGCCAATATAGCGAGATGAGCGCCGCAACCCCAGAGTCGGCCACGACTGGACCTAATGGTCAGGGGTCCCTTTAGCTTTCCTAGCCTGTAGTTTAAAGTGGTCACACGTCAATAGGGCTGCAACATAGGGGTTTTCTGAATATTTAGACCTGCTCTTTGCCTGTAGGCTACTTCACAGGGATGGTGTACAGGTTATTTACGCTAGCCTGAGCTCCTTGGAAGGAGGATAAGATGTAAGTGTAGTAAAAAACAAGTATGTCTGCTGCAATGTTTGCTTATCTTCTCTGAGCCTTTTTCTAATGTGTATTTTCTCTTAGGAAAGCTGATGCCACCCCCAGCACCTCCTGCAAGGTCTCCGACAACTGAACTCTCAAGCAAATGCCAATATGCTCAAGTATCTCCCTGGCTGCCTAGCCCAGACCTCTGCTCAGCAATTAAGAATGGGGCAGTCCACATAATGGGTAATGTTGATAAACCTATGTCTCTGCCCTGCCCAAAGATAAAAATGGCAAGCTTAAAGAATGTAGGAACTTGTCTTCCCCCAAAACGATGGGGTATTCACCCATGAAGGCTTGTTCAAATAAGGTGTTTACTAATTTACTAAGGAATGGCAAGAGAAGAACCTAAACAATGATATTACAGAAAAAAAGCAAATTAAATTTTAAGTATGTAGCATTGAGCTTCTTTTGCTGTAGATTTCAGATACAAATGTAACTTCATGTTGTTTTGAGGTTAAGAAATGGATATTTGCTGAAGTAACTGGGTGGAAACTTTTTTTAGAAACAGAGGGAGAATAATATCAATAATGTTTAGCAGCTATCTAAAAACTGAAAGCTGTTTACATGCACCCTCAAACTCTTTGTAAGGTGAAACAGTTTTATTATACCGTAAGTATCTTTACTGATGTTGTAAAAATTCTGCCATGCGATAAGTTTGCCAAATCACTTAATGGCTGAGCGTGAACATTCTGGCTCTTGTTGTTTTATTAAAAAATAATTTCAAACACCACAAGTAACATGGAACACCCTCCACCCCAAAAGCATGCAAACAAAGCATGCAAACCATTTTCAGGTTCAACATGCTCCCAAAGGAACTAATTCAATTTCCTGGTTTTTGTTTTACAAAACCAACTAGTTCCTTTCACATACAGTTCACAGGTGACTTCAAGTTCATCCAAATCATCATAGAATTGTAGGGTTGGAAGGAACCCCTAGGGTCATCTAGTCCAACCCTCTGCAATGCAGGAATCCCAGCTAATTATTTTTTTCAGCATTCAGAATATTATAAGCTCTGTGCTTGAAGTATAAAATACACTTGAGAAGACTAAGGAAACATCAAAACATGCACATAGTGAGATGTGAATGGTTTTATCTTTCTCAACGATTGTGATCTTTAAGCTTAATGGCCCAACGAGTTTGAAGATGTGTGTGTGTGAGTGTGTGTGTGTGTGTGTGTGTGTGTGTGTAAGGTAACGGAGTTGAAGATTAACTAGAAATCATTCAAAGTTCTATCCCAAAATGAACCTAATTCACACTCAGTTCAGTTGGCAATGATGGGAACTACTTTGGGGGTAGTTCAGAGATTTTTGAACTGGTGCAGTAAACTTTGTTGCCTCAAACGACTTTATTCCAAGAACTGTCTTAGACCATTCCTTTATCATTTTTCTACAGTTCCTTGAATTGGTTGAATTGTTGTAACTCAAAGGGGTGTTTTCCATTTAATTCTCCAGATGACTTTGAATCTAAATTTACTTTCCATTCCATGGAAGAATTCCCTCCTCCTGATGAGTTTAAGCCATGCCAGAAAATTTATCCTAGCCAGGAAGCTAGAGGTAAGTGAGAAAGTTCTGTTACAGTCTGATCAGTTCAGGATAGTTAAATTATTCTACTCCTCTTAAAGACTAGAAACAGTTGCGTGATTATGACTCCTTAGAAATTTTCAAGAAACAGTGGCCTGGTCAGAAATAGAGGAGATGCTCACTAGACAGAAGTCTGCTTGGTCAGATCATGTAGATAAAAATAATCTGCGAGAGTTTTGCAGCTAGCATTAAAGGACTTGTTTCTATGTGCTAGGAAGCCATTGGCTTGGGTCACCTGGCTTGAATCCTCATTGCAGAATCTCCTTTAGCATTCTGAACTTGAGTCCACCTTTGAAACTCATGATTCTGTTACCAGAACAAGCCACAAGACTCGGACGCCTGCCTGGTTGGATTTGAAGGCACTGAAAGCTAAAGTGGCTTCTCCTTACATGTCAGAAACATGCCTGAAATCTACGGACTTGGTTGTTCGGCTGTGGCTTTTTGTCATTTTGGTTTTCTAGCTAGCTTCCTTTCTATTTTTTCAGATAGCACCAACAACCCTCCATTAAGGACACAAGTCAGATGAGAGATCTCGGTAGCAGGAGCATCGCTGGAAGGATCAACGGAGCATTGTGCAACGTAGGACCCTGTTTTGATGACCGCACAGTACATGCAAGCAAAACTGGCACTGCGTCCAAGATCATACGTGGTAAACGGTGGGATTGACTGGACTAGCACACAGTTGGAAATTATTGTTGTATAATTCCGTTTCAATTGCTTTAAACCTGGGCTGAGATTTGTTTTTAATTTTGTGGAATAATCAGTATATATATATAAATATAAAACATGAACTAGTAGCCCACCTGTGTGGGTCATACTTTATTTTAGCATGAGTGTTCACCCTGTTCAAAATGCAAACGAGTTTGCATAGACGACAATGGTTGAAGTTCCTGCCTGTAGTATCTGCTGGATATAATTTATTCGACCACGTAAATCATGCTTTCAAACTAGGTTTGCTATATTTAAATGTATGCAAGTTCCCATCCACCCCCTTAGGAATTCTGTGCGTTGTAACTATATACATATATATATATATATATATATATATATATATATACACACACACACACACACACACACACACACAATCCCCTTCTTTGCCTTGCCTCTCTGTAGTTACACTAAAATGGCTTTCCAGTTAATGCAGTGGTGTGGATTGCCAGTGGAACGCAGCATGTGTGCATATATGTATATTCAAGTACGTAGGTGATTGGCACCAACCTTCCTTAGCACAGCAGAGGATGGTACCAGGTGTTCACTGGAAAATGCACAAGCTCCAGCTGATTAGCAAGCATGGAATACCTTCTCCTGATTTTTGCCACGTTGCTGCCTTTCACACATCACCAACATCCCTCCTAGATGGTCAGTCCCATCCATCCCTTTGATTAGGAAGTGGAGGAAAACCTGACAGCTGACTATTGAAATGAGGCAAAGGATAATAGAATGTATATTGACTAATGAGCATCTAGGCTACATCACTACACAACTGTGCCTCCTGGCATAACATATTTATTATATTAACATCCCCAGCAAATCTGAAGGACCAAACTAGATGGTTATATGGCTCTAATCGTTTCTGAACAATGTTGCTCCAGATGAAGAGCATCAACAGGAAGCTGGAGGAAATGCAGCAGGGAAAACATTTTGAATAAGGAAAAATGGAGTTTGATACCTCCTCTGCCACTCCTGCTTTCAAACTGGTAGTGTCCTCTGGTTGCTTTGTATTAAAAGGGGGGAAAGATGCCAGTATCTTACTCGTAGGGGCCACGCTAGGTACCATATAGCAAAAATATGTAAGAAGGGTAGCAGGTGTTCTTTTTTGCATGTGTGCGCGCTCTGTGATATTCAGCTTGGCTCCTGAAAGTAGGCTACTAGCACCTCTGATTTTAGCAACAAACTAAAGTTCTACCGTATTTTTCGCTCTATAAGACGCACCAAACCACAAGACGCACCTAGTTTTTGGAGGAGGAAAACAAGAAAAAAATATTCTGAATCTCAGAAGTCAGAACAGCAAGAGGTGAAAGCAGCAATCCCTCTTGCTATTCTGGCTTGTGGGATAGCTGAACAGCCTGCATTCGCTCCATAAGACGCACAGTCATTTCCCATTACTTTTTAGGAGGGGAAAAGTGAGTCTTAGAGAGCAAAAAATACGGTACTTAAATGTTGTTTAAGAAGGGGGAAAGAGCAACGTAACACCTGTTCTTTTGGCTAGCTTTAACAAACAAGTTCCTAGTGCGCTTATGATGAAGCAACCAGAAAACGGGGACATCAGTCTGCATTAGGGAATAAAGATGAGCAGGTTGTGGGGGCTTAATGATTCTTGATTTTGAAATAAGGGAGCAAGCATCCATATTTGTCTCCTTGACTACTGAACTCTGCCCATTTTGTCTCTAGCAGGGAGAAAGAAATGCAAAATGGGAGTCCGTATGCACCTAGCAAAATAGCAGCAAAGTATTTCTGTGAACTGGATATTTAAAAACAAAGAAGTGTTCTCAATAGTATGAAAAATACCATGTGATTTCATTTTAAAATGCCATGCGAAATGTAACTTCATCTTTTTTCTTCTCTTTGAGCCTGTTAAGTCAGTCAATGGTTGAAAAGTGCTTCCATTTAGATCTGCATATATTAAATAACCATCAAACACATGTTTTGCTTACTAATATTTTACAATGGATGCTGAGATCTATTTCAGATTCCCCCTGTATATAAAAACTTACTAGATTTGGTAGAAAACACTGAGGGCCAGAGGTTGCATTGGTAACCAAGAGACAGTGTCTAATTCGGTAGTAATTTTTATCCTTAGGATTTATTCTTCACTGGAAGAAAAACCAGGACGAAAGTGTACAGAAGTATTTAGCCACTCAAGAGATTACTCTGTGCAGAAACCATTTTATTAGTTTTGTCAATCAGCATTGTCTAATACACGAATCCCAGATGATTGCAAACCCATACATATTAGTTCCCACGAGAAATATGTAAACAAAGATTTACAAATTCTGACTCAATTGAATGCTGTTCATGCCAACATATCTTGGGTGAGGCAGCAGGGCCATTTTTTCTCAACGTACCCCAAGCCTTTGGTTAGCGTGTAACGCAGGAGTGGAGAACATATGGCCCGCCAGCTGCACTCCAACTCCCATTGTCCCTAGCAAGCATAGCCAATGTGCAGGGATGATGGGAGCTGTAGTTCAGCAACAGCTGGTGGGCCAAAGGTTCCCTCCATCTGCTATAGAGGAAACTACAGAAACCAAATGCACTTTTATTGCCTTCTAGTCTGTCTAAGATTCACCAAGCCCTATAATTTCCAACTGCTTTTTGTTGCCTCTTCTGTGGATTGAAATAAGCAGTAACGTGTAAACTCACTTTATATCTTAGGCATTTGATTTAGAAACTGTGCGCGCACATGCACTTCTGACATAGTATTTGAGTAATGAGGGATTTACATGGGCTTCACAAAGATGCAACCAAGGAGGAGGTAAATCGGCTGAGTCTCAAGTTAGTTTCTGAAAGGAAGAACAAAGAGAAGAGCCATCCTACAACTCCTGCACTTGCTTCTATCTCCTCCTCAGTTGCCAGGTTCTTCCAGAAACTACACTTACACTGAAAGTTCAAGATCTCTGTGTTGTTCAGCAATGGACTACGTCTGAGTTTTCCCCTCTTAAGAAAAAAAATTAAGGGTTGTGAACACATACAGCTCACTTGGTGTAGGAAATTTTCCTGTGCAGGATCAGAGCCCTGACATTTTAATCTACAGGACTAGCACCATAGTTTCTAGAATTTAATCATGTTTGCTTGATACTTACAGGTGTATGATTGCTCTCGTCCTTTTTTTAAGAACAGAAGCAAAGGCTTACATACATTTCAACTAATGGCAAGCCGAGTTTGATTTCCACTTTAACCATGTCTGATGTTAATCTACACAACACTGACAACAAAGCAAACCACACAAAGGAAGACAGATTCATCATGAACATAACAATCAGGGAAGAGTATCATGTTTATCCTCAGCCATTTCACATAATTTCACGATGCCAATGAGCCAATAATTTAGATTCCCCATGTGAGGAAAAGAGAGATTCACATTGTACATTAGCTTTGTTTTGCTACAATTATGGGATCAGAAGTGTACCTAGGATCCCTTGGCAAGGAGCTATATTGGCCTGCATATTGCCTCAAAATGTTGTAAGCTAGAGGTTGGCAAGGTTTACCTCACCTGGGCCGGTTCACTCCAGCGGAGAGCCCTCTGTGGGCTGGATCGTGAGTGTGGGCGCACCCACTCGCAATTTCCTGCGCCACAGAAGTGAGTCCCCGCGCTGCACTGCGCTTGTGCCAAGCAGGTGGTTCGGTGGCGGCTCGTTGTCCTGTTAAACAACCCCCGTGGGCCTTAGGTTGGCGACCCTTGTTGTAAGCCAACCCTGCTACATTTAGGGCCCCTCCAGAACACCCTGCTGAGTGGGTCCCTAGTATCTCTGCCCCCAAAGCCCTATCCTGATTGGCATCACTGAGGACCCCCGAACCTTTTAATAGTTGTGTTAAGAGAACATTTCAACAGGTATGGCATAGGGCTGGGCAATATATTGGCCGAAACAGGCATGAAGTCCATATCATTATATCTGTTTCATAATTTTTGACTAGGCAATGTATCACAAATCATGATGTGTGTGCACGCTATGCCAAAATCACACTGTGGGGGAAAACCATGAAGTCAGCCAATGCCTCTACATAGCTCCATATACTTCAGACGTTGAGATGTATCGGTATATTGTGATATTTAGTTGGTGGTACATCACAATGTTGAAAGCCATATATTACCCAGCCTTAGCATGGCCTTTACTTACGCAAAAGTGTGCACAGGGTTACAGCCTCAGAGCTCATCAGGAAAATGTATAAGACCTCACAATTAGCTTTCAAACTATAAATAGTTAGATATACAGTGATCTATTTTGCCTTGCCTATGAAACGTAATTGAACAGAAAACAGTTGCTGTAATTAGTGATTTAAATGATCATCTAACAAACATCAAGGGGGAGGAGAAGGACCATCTTATCTGAGTGAGGAACTGGCAGGGTGAGTTTGGGCAAGGGTGGAAAGGAAATGCAGGACTTCCACCTCTAGGCACCCCCGCTGAGGAGTTGCTCCTCCTGGCAGGAAAGAGAAGCAGGAGCCAAGTTGCCTGGATGCTCCTCCTCCTAGTTTGGAGAGGAACCTCACGGGCAGCAGGGCAGCCTTCAGAACTCCCATCCTGGACAGCACCAGCACCCTCTGTCGGCTTCTGCAAATGCACTTGCTCTCTCGTCTGCCTGGTCCTGTGCTTCTAGCAGGAGTGCCAGGCTGTGAGCAACGGCACCCTTCTCCAGATTTGGCATGTCCAGCCCTCTGCCTCTGGCTCTTCCCAAAATGTTTGCGAACTAAAGGAAGTGACTGTTGCTCAAGCTCATTGCCGCAGCAGCCTTTCCCGACTCGCTAACTTTGACTGACGGATGACGGGGAGAGGGAAGGAGAAGAGCAATGGTGCTTCCAGCCTGCCAGGAGGGTAGACTCAATATTCTGAAAGCCCTCTCTCTTGCTGGGTGCTGCAACATCCAAAAGGGGCCTAGCATCCCTTCCTCTCCCATGCTGCTTTTTGCATGTCCCCACCTCCCCAGTTCTGCACCCCTGGCAGGAGCCAGTTTCACCACCCCCTAGGTACGCCTCTGTATATTTTTCGACTAAGTCCCAAAGACAGCACAAAGGAACAATGAAATCTACTGCCTACCATCAGTCCCAGCCAGCATGACCAGCAGGCAAGAATGATCAGAATTGTGTTTCCAACTACATATGGAGAGCCATAAGTTCCCCATCCTTGGTGGAAGCAAATTATCTGAACAAATTCTGGTTATTTCACTGGAACAATTGCCTTTCCTAAGCAGCTATGGTACAGTTCCCACAACCAAATTAAGGTTCTTGATCTTACCTTCAGCTGTGAGCTTGCTTCTCTCTCTCTAAATGCTTAGGCCAATTCACACTGTTCAGAACTCTATTTTGGGGAGAAATTGATTATTTAAATGCAATCTTCGCAGCCTGATATGCAGCAATATGGAACGATAGGTGAGAGAAGCAAAAAAAGAAAAGGAAAAGCTACTGGCCCAATATGTGCATAGGTGAGGCAGCACACAGCTCAATAGACCCAACTCTAAATCGCCAGAACTAGAACAAGTGAGAAGCTTATTCCACTGTTGACATTTATACCATTAACAAGGCCCATTTTTCAGTTCATCATTTCTTTGTGGCAAAACTCTTTAGGAGCACACATGTACCTGCTGTATTTTTTCCTTTTACATGTGGATCAAACTTTTCTGGCAAAACTTTGCAGGCTCATTTTGATTTGCAATATTGAGAACTACATGGACTCTGTCTATTTGTTGTTCTTAGTTTCGGTTGCCCAGATGAATGAAAAAACATTCTGCATTACATTAGCCAGCATGCACACCGTCAGTGAAGGCCCTCTTTCCATAACACACACAGGACAACACAGGAGGAAAATAAAAGGGGGGAAAGGAATGTGTTAATTGGATACAGCTACTAAGGAACTTTTCTCTAAAAAGGGGGAAATTTCCTCCAAAAATTCGGCAATATGGCGAGAATATCTTTCAAGGCCTGAAGAGCTTTATGGTCTTCTTATGTGAAGGCTAAAGGTGTCTATGGTCACTGAAATGAGAAAAAGCAAAGCTTTAATATTCACTGTTAATTACAAATGCAAGTTTAAATGCAGGGTGGGAATATCCAAATCCATTAGGAGACTTTGCAAAATAACCACAACCCATAAAACGTCGGGTTCTTATTCGCAATTGCAGATTTGGGAGCGAGATACAAAGAGACTGGACTAAACATTGAAGCCAACTTATATTTCTAAAAAATGTTATTGGTATGAGGATATATGAAGGACTCACTTCACTTGAAGAACTTAATTTCTGTATCAACACAGTCATAGAAAAGGTCCTCTACTTCAGAAGGATCAAGAACTTCCGAGCTGGTAATGATGCTCTCCATTGCGTCCAAGCCTTGCTTTTCGAGGTCTAACATGGTTCTTCTCAACTTCTCTCCTTTTTCCTACAAAAATCAATGGCCAGCATGAAACGCCTATGAAGTGCCTGAAAGCTTGATCCAACAGAATCGTCTCAAAACTTGTATGTGCATCCATGTGTTAAGTTCAGGGAGAACTTAGGGGCTTTATCTGCTGTGCCGTTGCACAAACATAGCACAACAGTCAAACCACAGCAGTACCTCTGTTGAGTTTATTTAGAAATACCAGTTCTGGAAAAAAGGATGCTTTTGCCCAGAGATCATGTTGAAATAAAAACAAACAGCCTAGTTTACATATTCCTTTCTCTCTGCAATGAAGGATGGAGTATGTGAGTTTAAGATTCAAGGAAGGAGATCTTTAAACATTACACTATAACTCTAGGTGGTGTTTTTTCTGTGGGTCAGTCCAGCAGCACTAGGGTAAATGTTTAACGTCCCTCAACCATGTAGGCAAGGCTTATCACAGCCAATTCTGTGGGAGAGAACCACAGACTCCTATGTTTATCACCTTCAAAGTTTATCAGTACTGAGGGAAAAAGGACGAACAAGAATGTGCCTTAAGAAGAATGGTAACATTTACTGGACTTTAAAAATAGCTTAGAGGCCATTTTTGCTTCATACAACAAGTGGGACTGCAACAAAATGTTGCGGTGTAGAGGATTCCTTGTCATACAACAGTGCCTTTATTGCACGATACTTGCCCCGCCACAATGTCCAGTCTGCCTTCCATGCTCTAGCTGTTTGGGGCTTTCCTTCCCTTTTTTGGATTTATTTTTTCCGAAGCATCTTTTGTACTACTGCAAACCTTTGAGGGTCCCCCTCACCAATGCCTACTTGGGTATGGATGATGCCATTTCACCCATATTAAGGATCTATACTTGGAAAATGAGCTTGCCAGATAGCTGGAATGAGATTTGGAATAAAGCTTCCTCATATGACTTTCTTGCTGGATCCATTACAACTAATTTATGTATTGCTGGAAAGGAAACTCATTCACTTACACTGTACACTTTGTCAAACTGGCAGATTATCAATTTCAGTTTTCAACAGATAATGGTTTAACCCTCAAGACTACTGCACTGGCTGTCTTCCAGACCTAAGCTACAAGTACTTCCTCCTAAACTTCCCGAAGAAACTTATTTCCCAACAGCCAACGGGCCTTTCAACAAAATATCAAATTGCAACAGCTGCACCATTCCTTTGGGACCCCCCTTTAACTTATTTTGAGAAATCCAAGAGGTGCCCGATCACTCGGGCATCTGGAAATTCGAATGCAAGCATTAAAGAACTGAAATGTCAAAAAGACCACCTCCTCTTGCATGAACCCGCCCAAGCATCATGTTATTCCTAAGGGCTTGCTCTGCCCCTTCTTCATCAGACGTAAGGCGGGTGCTGACCAGATACATAGCCCTATTTTTGAAATCCCTTCCCCTAGGGCAGGGATTGGGAGCTGTGGGCCCTCAGATATTGTTGGCTTTCAACTCCCATCAAGCCCTACCAACATGGCCACTGTTTGGGGGCGATGCAACATCTGAAGGGACGAATACCAGGCTCCCCATCTTTGCCGGGGTCTTGCTCATGCAGTTCTTGGAGCCAAGTATTTCTTCCATGTCCAGGTTTTTAGATGTATCTAACACTGGAATTTCGTCAGCTCTGCTGCTTACCTTGCATTAGGAGTTGTTGCTTCCCAGTATGCAATTTGACTACTACATGTTTTTATATAGCTGAGCAGTGTGATAATAGTTCAATGCAATAAATTTAGAGCTGAACTACATTTTCAGAAAGAGCACGTGCCACAGCAGTTCCTGAATTGTGTAGCGCTACAAAATGCAAGAGGACTGAATGATGCCTTTAAGTGCATCTGTGTGCCAGGAGGGGGGGGGGAGGGGGAGAATTCTGCGCACAGAAAACTAGCACTTTAGGAGGGAAAGAAGGTTAAAAATATTTCAGGTGTGGATTTTCCACAGGCAAGGTTATTTTGAGGTGATGGAGATTTTGTACTTGTTGCTCAGATATGAAATATCCTCTCTTTTTAAAGTTTACAGTGACCTAAAAGGGTATTTGACTGAATTTCAAGGGCTCAGGAGGAACGAAACAGAACACAAAATGTAATTTCCCCAGATCTTCATTTTTTAAATTTTCACTGGTGTATTTTCAGAGTGCTGGTTTACCTGCTCATTCTCCATGACAGATCGCGCCCACTCGTGTGCTTTGTACAATTCGTGTCTACGGTCTGGCTTCTCCTGGAACCGAGGGGTTTTTTTCACAGGATCATCACTACCAAAAATGGGCGACTGTACTTTTGATACTAATTTTACATTATCAACGAAGATAAAAGGTTTAAATATGGACCTGAAAGAGATCAGAGGAATCACCAATTGTTAGCTAAGGCTACATTTTATATTATCACTTAGCAGTTTGCTCAGCTTGTTTTAAAAACAGAAAGAAAAGAAAAATTATCACACAAACTTCGATGTGTTGCACAAAATAACTGGGCCATCTGAAAAGAGGCATTAACAGTAACACAGAGACAAAAGCCATAAAACAGACTACACTTACTTTTAAACATATTTACTAAATCAGTTCCTTCTAACTGTTTGCAGATTAGGACTTCTCTTTCCTTTGATTGTTAGGGAATAAGCCAGTCTATGCCATGAAGAATAACTCAGCAAATATATATTATTTTAATCCTGAAATATTCTGCACAGAGCTGTTCTTAAAAATTAGAATAGATGCACAATGTGTTTAGCAACATTTACAAGACAATGATGCTGTTTTTAAGAAATGCCTGTACAAATTGTTATGTTCAAATCTTCTTTGTCTCCTTTACTCTGGGGCTCCATTAAGATATTTTAGATGAGATCTGTAACACGCTTTCATTAAAAAGGGAAGAACCAGCATTTGGGATTCACTGACATTTGCTTTCGAAGTGCTAAAACTTTTTAGATAGATTTGCATATATTTTCACTTCTCTAGCTTTGAGGAGAATTTTTTTCAATATGAATAAATTGCACCAAAAAGGGAAGACCAGGAAACTGGAATAACAGCAAATCTCCTTCCGAATAATAAAATGCAGCTTTCCTTGAGAAGGAAAGCAAGCAAGTTAAATTAACTGTACTGCTTTCTGCTTATCCTTTTGCTTTTCATCCCTTTCATTTATGGAAGATATTACATTAAAGGGGTTTGCTTCTACTCAGAATCTCCCTTCCATTATTGAAGGCGGGACTTTAAACAAGCAATAAATGCCACAAGGAGGATTAAAGGGTAAGACCTACTGTATGGAATGCTAATGAAGAACTATTGATCTTTTCATCAGGAATTGCAAAATGGCTGCTATTTCCCCCAAATACTTTAGAGAGTAAATTGAGGTTCTCATCAACTGCAGTCAGTAGAAGAGCTGTAAACCCTTGTTCTGAAAATGACAAGAATGATCCAAAGAATTGCATTGATGGAAAACAAAGGATATGGCGACTCAAAAGTGCTTCACTTTACACCGATGCTCTTAAATAGTCTTGAGTGAAGTTAGGTGCATGACCAAAAATGATCCACTACATTCACATTTACTTTTCTTAGGGAAACTTACCAGCCTATTCAATATATGATCCAGTATTCTCTCCTGTTAGAGGTCTTATCCACACTTAAGGAACAAGCCTTATGACCTATAGATTTTTAGGTAAAACTCTCTAAACAGCAGAAGTAAACATTCAAAGATGTCTCAGTGCTAATATTCCGATGGAGGGGAGAAGTAGGAAAGGACTGGCAGAAAAGAGATCTTGATGAACTATTTTGCATGCAGTTTACAGCAAATGGATTAGCAGAGTGTGAATAAATGCTGATGCAGTTAAAAACACAATGCAGCTCTAGCTCTCAGGCTCAAAATGGTAGATAGGAAAACAATAAATAGCCCAGATGCAGCAGGAGCCACTGTAGGAATTTCTGCTGAGTCAACGTAGCTTCTACGTACTTAGTCAAAGGCAGGATGAAACAGGCTAATAGGGTTGCCATGTTAAAACTGAAGTAGGTTCTGCCGTAGGTCAGATGGCCTTCTCAGTAGTGGCACCCACCCTGTGGAACGCCCTCCCACCAGATGTCAAAGAGAAAAATAACTACCAAACTTTTAGAAGACATCTAAAGGCAGCCCTGTTTAGGGAAGCTTTTAATGTTTAATAGATTATTGTATTTTAGTGTTTTGTTGGAAGCCGCCCAGAGTGGCTGGGGAAACGCAGCCAGATGGGCGGGGTATAAATAATAAATTGTTGTTATTATTATTATTATATCAGCTGACTCGCTTGCCGTTTTGCCTTCCCAACCTGCCTTATCTAGACTGAGGGTAGCGATTGCAGAAATGGATTTAGGCAAAGAAGAGACCCTTTGATTGCTTCCCTGCATCGATTAACTTTGCATCAGTAAACAACGTGGAATCAGCCCGATAAATAAGTTTTTAAAATGCAAAACTAGAAATTAATTTTTGAGGCTTGAAAAAGTACTGGCAGCCTGCCAGGCACTTTCTCCAATATACCTTGATGGATCTGGTGTGCCGGTAAAATAATGGATGCATGGGGAACTAAGATTCTGAGGTAATACGGACACCATGCTTGATGTAGTAAGAAAAGACTCTGAATCCACACATATACCACCAGACTTATCCCGCAAGATGTCAATCATCATTTCCACAGTGATAGCGCCTGGAAAAATATCAAAACAGAGGCATTAACAGGGTAATAAATTTAGGTCTATCCTACACTGCTGCTCCTCCACTGGGCAGAGGGTTGGATTCAATGGTTGGGTCCCTTCTCAGTCTGTAACTCAAACTGGTTAATCCCATAAAGGGAGGGGGGGAGGATCTCTAAATGTTAATAAGTGATCAAAGTTTTGCTAACATTTACACCATCAGAGGCACTGATGCTTCCATAGGTCTCTTGGCTGGAAGGCAGCCAAAGATCTCCAAGTCTCTCTCGCTTACAAGAACATGCATCTCTAAAGCATCACTTATACACAGAATACACTCAAGGTCTATATGACGTTTTCCTTCCAAAAAAAGGAAATGCATAATCTTACCAACAGAAGTGAAATTTTCAAAACTCAGTTCATGCTTTTGGCTACAAACTCATGTATCCAAAGTGGAGTAGTGGTGGATTTTCTATGTACCTTCTTGCTTCTCTAGGTTCTCCTTCACCAAACAGCAATCTGAATGGTTATCAGCCTGAGAAAATACTTGAGAAAAGTTGAACTCTGTATCTGCAGTCCACCACCCTTGACTTTCCGCATAACTTCTAAGCTCAGGATGCTCTGCATCAATCTTTGTAGTTAAGGAAAGCTGGTTGCAAATGCACTTGACTCCCTCTATGAAAAAAAAAATCATTTATTCTATTATCGTTCATTAAATGCAAATTTAAGCTGAATCTATTTTACATTGTGCAATATCAATCAATTAGGCATGCAGAGATCACGAAAAGCGGGTGGCAAAATTCATTTCTGTTGGGATCACCATTCCCAGTCAAATACTTTTGAGGATTATTTGTAAATAATGTGCAGAGTGAATCAGGCATCATCACACCTGATCGTCAGTCTTACAAAAGACAGAGGCCTGGATCCAGACTAAGTCAATGAGCCAAGTTAGTCATGACTTAGTTGAGCTGAAGTTTTATTTATTTCAACTGGAACTAACATAGTTCGCTTCAAATGCAATATGCTAATGTAGGGGACAAGAGCAGGAAAGAAGTAGCTCCTCTCCATCCGTAAGCCCATTAGCTCTGTGAACCAACACACTGCCTTTCATGATGCAGAGATGATCATTCAGTGCAGCATGAGGTCTTCCTTCTACCCAGTGGAGCAGGAAAGTGCAGTAGTTATCTTCCCAACCGCCCCCAAAGGGATCTTAAAAGAGACAAGGACCACCTCTGTGCAACAAACTCACAAGGGAAACCTACAGAAATAATTACCAACATGTATCTGTGTTGGTGCAGTCCAAATAATTGGTGTATATCGCTTTTCTAAGACATATCTTTGGGTTGAGGCACAGGTCAATTCTGTGTCCAGGGCAGCTGTTTACCAGCTCCATCTGGTATGCAGGCTGAGACCCTATCTGCCCGCAGACTGCCTCGCCAGAGTAGCACATGCTCTGGTTATCTCCTGCTTGGACTACTGCAATGCGCTCTACATGGGGCTACCTTTGAAGGTGACCCGGAAACTACAACTAATCCAGAAGGCAGCAGCTAGACTGGTGACTGGGAGCGGCTGCAGAGACCACATAACGCCGGTCTTGAAAGACCTACATTGACTCCCGGTACGTTTCCGAGCACAATTCAAAGTGTTGGTGCTGACCTTTAAAACCCTAAATGGCCTCGGTCCAGTATATCTGAAGGAGCATCTCCACCCCCATCATTCTACCTGGACACTGAGGTCCAGCGCCGAGGGCCTTCTGGCGGTTCCCTCACTGCGAGAAGCCAAGTTACAGGGAACCAGGCAGAGGGCCTTCTCGGTAGTGGCGCCCGCCCTGTGGAACGCCCTCCCACCAGATGTCAAAGAGAACAACTACCACCAAACTTTTAGTAGACATCTGAAGGCAGCCCTGTTTAGGGAAGCTTTTAATGTTTGATGTATTACTGTATTTTAATATTTGGTTGGAAGCCGCGCAGAGTGGCTGGAGAAGCCCAGCCAGATGGGCGGGGTATAAATTATTATTATTATTATTATTATTATTATTATTATTATTATTATTTCCCTTTTCTAGGACAGATACAAGAGAACACTTGTCTCTTTCGGTATAAGACCATATAGTGTCACCAAAATTAACTTACTAGTTGCTGAGAATGCTACTAGGTACTAGAAAAATGGACTCGAGAGCAAAATATGAAGTCTACCTGACCCCTGTGGTGTCACAGGAATGCAGAAAGCTGCCTTATTTATAGGAAGTCAGAGTACTTGTCCATCAAACCAAGTATTGTCTATTCTGACTGGAGGTAGCTCTCCAAGGGTCTCAAGTAGAGGTCTTTCCCAACAGCTGCCACACGATCATTTTAAACTGGAGATCAATGCAGCAATCCTATCCACACTTACCTATAAGTGAGCCCCACTGAATTCCACAAGACTTGTTTCTGAGTAGGCATGATGAGGATTGCCCTGTTAGCATGCTGGCCAAGGACTATGATCAGATACAGTCCTATGTGCAAACAGAGCAAGTCCACCTTCCTTTCAGTGGAAGTGCTCACATTACTGTGTGTGCAAAGAAGTGCCATCCATTAAAACAGGCACCCCCAACCTGCAGCCCTCCAGATGTTTTGGCCTACAACTCCCATGATCCCTAGCTAACAGGACCAGTGGTCAGGGATGATGGGAACTGTAGTCTCAAAACATCTGGAGGGCTGAGTTTGAAGAAGCTCCTTATGAGCTCCTTATGTAGAGGCTCCATATGAGCATGAGAGTATACGAAGAACTGAGCAAAAAAGGGTTTGGATAAGGCCAGTTGCACAATTTGTCTTAAAACTTAAAAATGATTTCTATGTACACTTACAAGCCGGAACAAATTTGCGCGTGGGAGACTTAAATTTGATGGTGCACCATTTTAAAGGTTCAGTGAATGTCAGCGACAATCTGAAGCTGACATGAAAATGTCAGCAAGTCAGAGAGCCACAATTTCAAGGGATAGATGTGAAAGTAATGTGCACAATTAACCTTGAATGGGAGAACAAGACCTGCAGATAGAAAAGATCTTTGGTCAATCAACTGTTATTTCTGCTTGAGTGAGAAAAACAAAACGCCATACAGGCAGAAACAGATTTCCTAATGCAGAAAAAGCTTTCTGAATCCTGACATAAAATTCAACCAAGCCAATATGTTAGAAACTTCCAGAAATTGTCCTTAAGGTTGACAATTAAAAACAACAACACAAAACCTGCTTTAAATGACATACTACCATTACAATCTGGAAAGCAGGAACAAACATTAAATGGAAATAGGAAATTCATTCATGAACAACTCATCATCGCCATGGCAAATGTTCATGTACTCAATCGCTTCCTCATAAATAGCAGGTTGGGATAAAAATTACAACGGACCTGTAATGTTCTCTGCTGCCCAGTGTTTCCCAACAGTCTCCAAGACCCAAGCTTCTTTTCTGTCCACTATCAGATACGCAGTCTGGAAAGCATGGCATACACTCCCATCTTCGTAATAATTGCCTCCTTGGCCATGCTCTTCCAACAGAGAGACAATGACATCCAAGGCTTCTTTAGCTGTTCCACCCCTTTCTAGACCAAGCCTGGGGAGGGAACCAAAGGAGGTGGGGAAGAAGCAACTCAACTACAGCAACAATGGAAGGCCATGTCAAAGCAAGCTTACCAGCCTGACAAGTGATGAAACAAAATCTAGAATAAGATCATCATTTGGTTTAGCAATCATGAACCCGACTCCCAAAGCCCCATTAAAAGGTAAAGGTAAAGGACCCCTGGACGGTTAAGTCCAGTCAAAGGCAACTATGGGGTGCGGTGCTCATCTCGCTTTCAGGCCGAGGGAGCTGGCCTTTGTCCACAGTTTCTGGGCCATGTGGCCAGCATGACTAAACTGCTTCTGGTGCAACGGGACACCGTGATGGAAACCAGAGCGCACAGAAACACCGTTTACCTTCCCGTCGCAGCGGTACCTATTTATCTACTTGCACTGGCGTACTTTTGAACTGCTAGGTTGGCAGGAGCAGGGACAGAGCAGCGGGAGCTCACCCTGTCGCAGGGATCCGAACTGCCAACCTTCTGATCGGCAAGTTCAAGAAGCTCAGTGGTTTAGACCACAGCACCACCCACGTCATCATTATCCCTACCGGAACAATCAATTTAGTTTAAAATATTTGCATCCCATTACCACACTTAGTTCATGAACACTAAGATATGTAGTAAAGCACTAACATACAAGAACATACAACACTGTATTATTTATTTAGTAGTAGTAGTAGTAGTAGTAGTAGTAGTAGTGGTAGTATTCAGTGGACTAAGCCTTTGACAGGGTTGTCTTGTTGGCTCTGCAGGCTATTAGGGAAGATTTATTTTGTAGTAGCCTGAGGACAGTTGTCACAACTGTATCATTAAAATGGTTTGAAATGGGCAATAGTTTTCATTTTCATCATAGCGTCCTGCTGTGACATGGAACAGGATTTTTTGATTCAAAATGAACCAGTGGTCCACTGTGGGGTGTAGTTGGTTTTTTAACTGTGCCTGTATATTCTTTAGGGCAGGAAAAGGGACTTGAGATGTCTATGTGCTCCATTTTGCCCTGTCCCACCACCAATTTACTAAATCAAAACAGAATGTTAGCAGATAACATTCCTACATAGCTGAAAAATTCAGAGGAATTGTCACAGGGTGAAATAAGGGAACTGGAACTTCTGATGGTCATAACTTAACCTCGGCCCTGTATACCTGAAGGAGTGTCTCCACCCCCATCATTCAGCCCGGACACTGAGGTCCAGCACCGAGGGCCTTCTGGCGGTTCCCTCCCTGTGAGAAGTGAAGTTACAGGGAACCAATGCTGTATTGTGTTTTTAATATTTGGTTGGAAGCCGCCCAGAGTAGCTGGGGAAACCCAGCCAGATGGGTGGGGTATAAATTATTATTAGCATTATTATACCTCACCCTGCCTTTTATAACCTAATTAAAATTAGCTCCTTTAGTAAGGACCAAAGCAAACTCTTATTAGAAAGTTACATTTCAAACACCCATAATTTTGATTAGTATTAGCCTGCTGTTGCCATTAGGGAATTAATCCCAGAACCCATTCATGCTGGAGTATTTGGATATAAGCCGATTTATTCCCATTAAAGTCAGTGACTGCCAGTCTCCTGCTGTTTTTAAGTTCGAAAAGCAAAATGGATTTGTGAATAATAAAAGTGCCTCCTGTTCATAACAAAGTGGGCAGATAAAAGAAGATTCCAGCGTAGAAATCTGCATTGATTGAAGAATGGAAAAGAGGAGCTTAATGTACAAAAAAACCCAGCTTATTAAATATACTTCTAATCAGTCATGTGATGAATTGATCTTCTAACTAAACTGAACGGGATACAACTGTGTTTTCCCAAAGGAGGATTCAAATCTTGCAAGGACAGTTATAAGACCTGCACGCTTGAGAACTGCTTGCAACGGGGAGAATTCATGCAAAAAGAGAGAATCAGGCAGACCCAATCAGCTTGCTTAGCAGTCTTGCTTGACAGCTTGTCAGATGTCAAACAGATAAACAACTATTTGACTTTCAGAAGACATCTGAAGGCAGCCCTGTTCTGGGAAGTTTTTAATGGCTGATGGTTTACTGTGTTTTTAATATTTTGTCAGGAACTGCCCAGAGTGACTGGGGCAACCCAATCAGATGGGCGGCATATAAATAATAAAATTATTATTATTATTATTATTATTATTATTATTATTAGCTCCAACAACAGCCTATAGCCCTATTGCATTTTCTAGCATGGAAGCCAATCTCATTTCTTTTCCACCCTTTCCTTCTTAGTATCTCTTTTCCAGCCATAATAGTTCTTACTGACATTAAGCTAATCTCGCTGTACTATACAAACAAGACTGGCCAGAGGAACCATGTCAATCAAGCTGGGCTAGAATAAAACGATTTTCTGGAGCTCATTCGTCAGCACTTGAGTCAACGGCAAATGGCTTTCCATTGGAATGCATGAGATGCAGTATGCCTGACAATGATTTAATTATTCCAGAGTCCCCGGTCCCCCACCTCCCCGCCTTGAAGCACACAAGCAAGAATTCTAAGTCACAGTAGGCTGTTTTGAAAATGAAGACTAAAATGAAGCTCATGGGCTGTACAGATTTACAAAGCAACTGCTGCTTTTAAAAGCACATTAGGTTGTATTCCGACTTTTTGCATCTTGGCAGATCCATTTTTTTAAATAGGAGTGCCCAATTATTACTTTAAAGTTTGTGTACCGTGCTTGCCATTCCCAGAGTTTCAAGACCAAAGGATACATCACATACAATGCTAAAAGGCACAGAGACATGGCAGTTCATGTATTAAAGATGAAAAGAAACACTTGCATTGTACTTCATGTGTAAAAGCGCACAGTGTTTTTCCATATGTGGACCAAAACGGTGATGTTACCAAGAGGAGGGTTTGATTTTCTGCTATTTCGTACAGCTGATTCATTGCTCAGAACACTTATCAGGCTACACAACCCATCCACCATGTTGTTGTTAATCACCCACGGGGTGGATTTGATTTAAATCAAACCCATTTAAATCACTAGTTGGTAAGACTTGATTTAAACAATTTTTTTTACAGAAAGACTCATTCTTGCTGGTATAACCTTAATACTTACAACCAGATGAAGGTTTCATTTTTGGAATAATAAATTTTCAGAGTAGTTTTTACAGTTTTTACTGATTTGGTTATGCTATCAGAAATACATATACTGATCATTATGAAATTATTGTGAGGTTTAATAAGTTAACTGTTTATATTTGGACAACTTTTCTGCTGTACGTTATTGGAAGGGAAAAAATAATCATTTCCTTAGTAACAATTTATTGAACTAAAACAATAACATTATAGCATATGTATCCATGTTTGTTAACTGATGTGATTAAACAATTAAAAAAAAACGTAGACTGACTTCTAGCACACATGAAAAACTTAAAACAAATTCTTATTTCCTGATGAAAAGCCTTTGGACTACAATGTAACTTAAACAGAAAACTATATTTAGAAAGATTTTTACTCCAAAAGAATTTTATTTTAAAAATCCCATTTAAATATAAAAAGAAACAGATTTAAATTGTTTTTAAAAATCCTTTAAAAAAAAATAATCATTGATTTTCATCCACCCTGATCACCCACCTGACAAGATCCATTCCTAGGAGAGCTTCAGTTTCTGAGGCTGGTTCTTTGGTGATAATGGCTTCATTGGTAATGAAGACTCCATGTTCATTTGCCCCCATTTCTGCCCCCCAAAGCCAGGAAGGTCTGCTCAGAGCAACAGCGTTGGTCTTGGGCACCTGGTCAATCTCAATGTATGTGCACTACAGTGGGGGAGAGGGAGACAAGACCTCACTGAATCAGATTACATTTCTCCATAGAAAGTACAGTGTTATCATATTGACATGTCACCACAGAAAGATTTTTACTTGCCACAGGTAAGTGGCAACTGACAAACTCGTTTTAGTGTATCCCAAAGGATCTCTCACCAGCCCCAAAGGTTACCCAATTCTAGCTGCAAAACTGACCATGAATACACAAAAGATACCGGACAAAAATAAAATACAGGCAAACATGTCACTTTCCATTGGATTTCAACATGTACTGGTAGAGGAGCGATGCATGAATTTCTAGCACTAGGAGAGAAAAATCCATTTGATTTTATGACAGATGTTTTATATCAAATACGCAGCTGGTTATGATAAGCAGGTTCTCTAATAAAAGCATATACTGTATGTTCAAAAATATGTCAGTCCTTAAAAAAAGGGGGGGACTTCATAAGGGGAGCAGAAAAGCAAGAGTATGTGTATCTCTGTTTCTGTAGATTCTGAAATAATCGTTCATCAGAAAGCAGAATATGCCATTTTTCTGACTAAAGTCTTTGTTGTATAAACTGCAATTTGACCCAGCTGCTGTTAGACTGGCAGTGCCTGGATTCAAAATACAGGGGGAAAAAGAATGGTCAGTGCTCTTCATTATGAAAACAAAAGGAAAGTGACTTGGATAACTCCAAGGTATTTGTGAGCCAAAGACAGCAGGCTCATTTTAAGATTCCTGCTTTCAATTGATGTATAAATTTTCACTATCAGGTAAATGGATCCAAAGGTGAGAACAGGAGAAAGAGAACAGAGCAACATGCCATTTTACAATATTGACCGTGAGAGTCTATATGTCACATCTGACAAACATGCCCTTTGTCAAACCCACAAATTAAGTACAAAATAAAGCTGTTTACCTCAACTTTGCATCCTGGATCATGAGTAGCAGCAGCAAAATAAACTATTTCCTGTACCTCGTCCCTGGGCCGTGCAGAATTTTTCCCAATGACTACAAGGCCATCTTTAGTGTGTGGTGGGAACGCAACAAAACAGTAACTGGGAGGTGCCAGAGCCATCCTAGAGAAAAAGGGACATTTTAGGATCATAAGAAACTGCCTTATTCCAGGCCATTTTATTTCTCCATTTAACCAGGGCTGGTCCAAAACATTTTGCTGCCTGAAGTGATGCAGTAAAATCGAGCCTTTCTCACAGGGCATTGTGCCCAAGGTTGATCAAGTTATTTTGACCCCTGAGGCAGAAAATCCCAAAATCACCCCTGCTGGCAGCAAAAAGAGAATAAGAAAGAACAATTTTCCGCCTCTTTACAAGACACGTTATCTCTTCACCATGCCTAATGATAGGGCCGGCCGTACAGCTACCCCAGTATTGCATTTGCTGTCTGACAAGCAGCTCTTTGGGGTATTAGGCAGAGAAAGGCCTTTCCCATCACCTGATTCTTTTAAGTGGTGATGCCAGGATTAAACATGGGATCTCCAAGATACACAAAGGATTTGCTCTCCCACTGAGCTACAGACTCTCCCCAAATTGGTTAACTTGACCAAACTGGCATTTGTCTGGTTGCTATTCTTGTCTCACCAGCTAAATAATCCCATTTTAATGAAAGAAAGTCATCCAAAATAGACTTACTGCAGCTCAGTAAACAAAGTCTTTTGAGTGTGAAAGGAGAATGATGGAAGAATTAGTGGAAAGAATAGTGGGATCTGCTTTAATAATTAAAATAGATTATTTTCTCTTACAAACAACTATAGCCAGGTACAGTATAGCCAGGTAAAATGTACTTCCTAACTCAAATGTTTTAGCAGAGAGATAGGCAAGAATTTTTAAGTACCACAAACATGCCACACCTGAGACAAGGTTACTTGGAAAAATAACTGGTGCTCCCTTATAATCTCAGCCCCACCAATTAAATGACTGAAGCTTTAATGCACTTAAGTCTACTTGTTTCCATTAATTAACGTCTGCAGCCCTAATTGGATATACATTAGCAGAAAGCTGTGTGTTAGTTCTTTTACTGTCTTAACTTCCTCAACAGAGAATTGTCTTAAATAATTGGAGAATACCTGACACATCTTGTGCTATTAGTGACCAACTGCCACAAAACTCTGGACCAATATTTTGGCTCAGTTCACACATCATGTCAAATCATGATTTGCAACCAGCTGCCATTGGTGGTGGAACCTGAGAACTCCAAACTTGTGGCAAGAAATCATGCTTAATGATTGAAATTCTCAAAAACATACCCATTTGTTGCTGTGTTCTCATCATTTAAAGACTGCAATTGGGGTGTTGGTATTTTTGATGGCGTTCTATCTTTAAATGTTCCTGAAGTTTTAGGATTTTTCTGGGCTGGGTTTTGATTTTATCACTGGATACTATTATTTATTAATGCTTGTATTTTTGGGTTTAAAATTTATTATGCCTTATGTATTGTTGGAAGCTGCCTTGAATAGGCTGTGTCCCAGAAAGATGGTTTATAACAATGTCTTTAATAGAAAATAAAAGACAACAAGAATAAGACATTTTGGGTCAAAGTGGGCTGCAAACCATAGTTTGGTATAATGTCTGAAAGGGCAACCGGTTATTTATCTATCACACTTCAAAGCATCTCAGAGCAATTACATTAATTTGAGCCAATATTCAAATTGGTACTAATACAATTAAAAACGAAACAAAAGTAAAGCAAGCAAAATAAAAGCCATGTTTTAAAAAATCAATAAAAGCCTGAGTGAATAAAAATGTATTCACCAGTAGCCAAAAAGGTATCTAATGAACTGTAAGGCGGGCATCCCTGAGGAGACGATTCAAAAGTTGGGGTGCCACCACGGAGGGTGTCCTGCCTTGCCTCAGATGGCAGCGTCTGAGAGGCAGCCTTTGAGGCAGATCTTAATGTTTAGCAGGTGGGTCAGAAACATAATTCTGTCCAATCTCTGCCTCTGAAGGTTACTACGCTATACAGTGGTACCTCGGGATGCGAACGGGATCCGTTCCGGAGCCCCATTCGCATCCTGAATACAACAAAAGACGCGACTGAGCGTCTGTGCTTGTCGCGTTTCGCCGCTTCCAAGCATGTGCATGACATCATTTTGACAGCCTGCGTATGCGCAAGCAGAAAAAACCCGGAAGTAACGCGCTCCGTTACTTCTGGGTCGCCGCAGAGCGCAACCCGAAAAGACTTATCCTGAAGCATATTTATCCCGAGGTATGACTGTAGTCAGAATGCTGAGCAAAAGGAATCTGAAGGCAGAAATGGAGTTCCAACTTATTTGCTCGTGTCTGTTAGCAAAAAAAAAACACATTTTGGGGGCTCTAGGTTTAGCCTGGCATGATATTCAAAGTGGGCCTTTGACCAAATAGGTTGCCCTCTTCATTGTCTTCACACAAACACAACCCTACGCACAATTCAGCGTTTAACTATATTCCAACATCACCAATTATTTGATGCACTTTTACATTTCAGTGACACATTAAGTAGGGGGGGGGGGGGGAGAGGAATCCTTACCAAGTTCCTTGCGTTGGCCATGCCATTTAATAGAATTTGCTCTATGAGCTAGTGCCATCACAGAGCAAGCTTCCAGCCTCTGATCCAACATAAATAAAAATGGCCTCAGCTCACACAGCAAGGATGCGGACTATGACATTCACCACTGGGATGGATGCTGATTCCTCTAGTGTTATTGCAACAGCTAGAGAAGCTGTGTTTCCCCAGCCACAAATTGTTCATTGTGTACAATACAAAGCATCACTCACTTTTTAAAAGCTTGATGGGTATGCTGCTTGCGATTATATCCCTTGTCTCAAAAGGCATAAATCCACAGAATGAGGAGACTGATACATCTTTCAAAAATCCCAGGAGAGCTGAACTGTATTATTCATGCACAGTTAATTAGCTCCAAGACACAATTTTAGCAGGTTGCTTTGATATAGATCTTATCAGACAAGACAATGGTCAGAATGCAGTATCCAATTCCCTTGCGACTACCTGAAGTGACAACTTTCAAGTGATTTCTCACCGTCTAGTGCTTCTTGATGAAAATTAATCTCAAGGGAATTTGGCTGTGTGCTGCTATTTTTGCTGCTGTTTGTGCAGCTAATGCCTTTTCAGTTACTATGCCAATGTGCTTAAAATAGGCTGGCATGCCGAAGAGTAAATAGTTTTGATTAACATGTAAAATGAATTCTTTGTAAGACATTTCAGTGAGCCTAAATGGGGGAAAATTATTTATTTATTAAAATAAGAACCGCCGTCAAGAGCTCATCTGCACAGATACTCAGGGCTGTCTCCGGGACTTGTGGCTTGCCAGCCATAGCATGAACTGAGGACTGCTACTGTGGGAAGCAAACTTTTATTTTTCTTTCTTTCCTTTATACATATATCTGCATGAATGCAAGGCTGCATTCTCTGACTTGTGACAAGCACAAGGTACGCTGCGAGACTTGGCAAGTCAACAACTCCTCATGCTGCTTCTTAAGTTGTTCATATGTATATTAAAAGTGTCTAATTCTCAGCTCTAATGACTTTTAATTAGAGTGTGTTTAGTCTGCTTCCATTATACGCTGAAAGATGTGCAGGCAGGGCTGGTAAAATCAGCACACATTTTTAGCCCGGGAAATAGGTCAATACTTTGCAATGGTTTGCGCCGAAACAATGAGATTGCAAGCTGAGGAGGTGGGTAGGAGAGCTGGGGTTTTGTCTACCAAATTGCCTTTTGTTTCAGATGGCTAGAGCCATTAGCTTCTGGTGCAAATACAGTCACTAGGAAACAGCCCACAAAAAGCCCAACCAAGTGTGGGAAAAGCCAGTCTTGCTTTGCAATGTGAACAATTGCTTACTGGACTGAATGGGAGGGTGGTCTTTAAACACTTTTCCCACTTGCTTTTCTAATTTGGTGCCCTTTGTTTCCATGAAACAACCTCGAGTTGCTCCTTACTACCTGCTACACGTTGGGGAACATTCAGGCATGCATATTCAAAACAAACCTAGACTAATTAGTTAAGAACCATATGCTGGTATAAATGGCTTGGGTTATACGGAAGGTTTTTTCCCCCTTATCAGTATCCTCTGTTCATGTTTCTTGAGCAGTAGCAAAAGGCATAAGCTTTGCAGGAAAGCATTTGTTCAAAGGAGACTCATTTTTCCTATTAAAAGAACTTAAGGCAGGTGGGAGCATTTCTGCTGGGAGAAAAGCCTGCATGATGAAACAATAAATCACAGCTCTGCTACCTTTTACATTCCCCTTCAGGCAAAATGCAAGTATAAATAGTACGACTGGGTTACCATTTTCTTTATTAAATATGAATATTTCAAAGTGACTTGAATTCTTAATGCATCTATGGTTGCCAACCCCAAATGCTCTAGAAGAGAGATTCAGAATCTCCACATTCTAAAGGGATCTTCTTGTGCACAGTAATACATATCGACTATCTTTGTAAATACACAGGCCCCGATTCAGACAGAATCACAGAACTGTAGAGTCGGAAGGGACCACAAGGGTCATCTAGTCCCTGCAATACATCTATCTTTTGTCCAACACGGGGCTCAAACCCACGACCCTAAGGTTAAGAATCTCATGCTCTACCAACTCTGCCACGCTCACCATTCTTCAGCTCCACTCTCACAATAGGGTGACCCAATGCAGATAGTCAGGAATCCTCTGGGAACTGCATAAAAAGGCACTGTGGTCTAAACCTCAGAGCCTCGGGCTTGCTGATCAGAAGGTTGGTGGTTTGAATCCCTGCAACAGGGTGAGCTCCCATTGCTCAGTCCCTGCTCCTGCCCACCTAGCAGTTCGAAAGCACATCAAAGTGCAAGTAGATAAATAGGTAAGGTAAGGTAAACAGCGTTTCCGTGACTGCTCTGGTTCGCCAGAAGCGGCTTAGTCATGCTGGCCACATGGCCCGGAAGCTGTACGCCAGCTCCCTCGGCCAATAAAGTGAGATGAGCGCCGCAACCCCAGAGTCATCCGTGACTGGACTTAATGGTCAGGGGTCCCTTTACCTTACCTCCAATATCAAGCAGCTGCACCATCTTTGAATTTCAAGGCCACGCAGAAATGTGGCAGCTCTTCAGCAGTACACTGAAGCTCCCCTGCAAATACACTACAGCCCCTATACCCGAGGATCTTCCAGAAACAGTGCAAAACTTTGGATGGGGCTCCAGTCTCACCCAGTATAATTTAAGGAAGGGGGGAATTTTCCCTTGTCAGTCAAAAAGACTTACAGAACAGTTTACAAATGTCAGCCATAAAACAGTCCCTGACCTCATGCTAAAAGGGCATAACAAAAGGGAAAAGGAACTGGGAGAGAGGAAGAAAAAAAGGCTACAGAATCTTAGGTTACAACATTCTACAGTAGTACCTCTGATTATGAACTTAATTCGTTCCAGAGGTCTGTTCTTAACCTGCAACCGTTCTTAACCTGAGGTACCACTTTAGCTAATGGGGCTTCCCGCTGCCACCGTGTTATTTCTGTTCTCATCCTGAGGTAAAGTTCTTAACCCGAGATACAACTTCTGGGTTAGCAGAGTCTGTACCTCGAAGTGTTTGTAACCCAAGGTACCACTGTAGTTCCGATGATGCTTACACGCTGATGGTAAGTCAAGAGTTTCTGACTTCCTGTGAGCCAATCAATAGCATACTCATGCTGCCTAAACACTGCCAATTCTCTTCTGGTATAAGTGGGATCAACAAACCAGGTAGCCTTGGCTTCTCATTATACCCAAGACAGGGTTTTGCGGTCCATTTCTCCTTTAGAAGCCATGGCTATTAGCCAACCTTTAGTCGTGTGGCTTACAGATCAGATCATGGGCTTGTTAAGTAGCAACATACCACAATCCTCAGTTCATATACCTGGCATAGGTGCCAACGCTATAGGGCCCTGGTCCCTTCGCCCCCCAATAAAATATTTAGGGGGGCTGCCCCCCAATATTTTCCGCAGGTTGGCATTTTCCTCCCTCCCTCCCTTGGACAGCCACTTGCAGGCAGGCAGGCAGAAGAGGCAGGCCGGTAGGAGAGGTGAGCAGGCGAGGGGGGCAGAAACTTCTTGTGGGGGGGGTGAGAGGCAAGTGGGTGGGAGGAAGCGGAGGCCTGTGCCCAGTTTTGTGCAGCAGAGGAAGGTGCGATCCACAGAAGTGCAGTGGGGGGGGCAGAAGTGCAGGGAGCAGCCCTCCCCCCAATATTTTGTTCAAGTTTGTGCCTATGCTTCCTGGTTTGCTTATTCCACTTATGCCAGTGGAGGAGTGCCATGGTAATGGAAATATGCAGCAGCACTCATGGTAATTAAGAAACTTGTATTGATGCCTCTGGGACAATGCAGGCTACAAATGAAATAAATAGGTGAGCAAAATGAAATCAGGAGACTGGAGAGAGATATATATATTGTTAATTTATTTCAAATCTGTATTCCAATTAGTTTAGTTCACCCTCAAGGCGGTAAATATAGCTAGTATATTTCGCAGCGGTAATTGCTATTTCATGCGACACATCAGCCGTTGAGATCTGCAGAGGAGTGGGAGCCGACTGGATTCTGCAACTTTTTGCAAAAACAACAAAAAACCCCAACATTTTGTACCAGCAGGATGGCAGTCACATTAATCACATTCCTACCTATCAAACGACGTCAGGATTTGCTACAATATGCAAAACAAGTCTCTGCTCTAATAAATGAATGTCACACAAATAATATTGCACAGTGGCTGAAACTTTCTCTCTGCCCGCGTCTGCGCTAAGCCACACCCACTTTTGTTATTATTTATTTTATTTTTTCATTAAATTTATATACCACCCTTCATTTGAGGATCACGGGGTAATTTACAGTATAAAAACACAAAAATACATAACATAATAACAAACAACAACACACACACCAGTTTAAAAGGATATACAGTGGTATCTCGGGTTAAGTACTTAATTCGTTCCAGAGGTCCGTTCTTAACCTGAAACTGTTCTTAACCTGAAGCAACACTTTAGCTAATGGGGCCTCCTGCTGCTGCCGCGCCGCCGGAGCACGATTTCTGTTCTCATCTTGAAGCAAAGTTCTTAACCCGAGGTACTATTTCTGGGTTAGCAGAGTCTGTAACCTGAAGCGTATGTAACCCCGGGAACCACTGTAGATTGTTTAATTAGCCACAGGCCTGAGAGAAAGAGGAATGTTTCTGCCTGGAGATATGCAATGAAGGTGTTAGGTAAGTCTCCCTGGGAGCTCTGCTCCACCTCTGGTGTGTTGCGGCAAGCTAAACCATGGTTTGGCTTAGCAAGCTTTATGAACCTGGGCTCATGGTTTGTTTTGCTCCAGATAAATAATGAGCTGTAACCAATGTCTGCTCTTTGTTTAAAGTTCAAGGCAAATCACAAGCCTGCGTTCAGAAGACATGTTAGCTAAGATAGACCTAGCTCACAAGAGCAAAATGTCTGTAATCTCCATTCCAAGAGCCCGTACATCTGTGCTAAGCCATGGCTTGTCTCAGTCTTACACACTTTGAAATGCTACATTTGAACTGCAAAAGAGATGTTGCTGGGCAACCAAATGCTTCTACACTTCCCAATGGTCTGAGTTCAAGAGGTTTGCAATGCTCTGTGATAGTGGGGTCAGACATGGAGTTCTCACTATTCTTCAGATTAGGGAGAAGCAAAAGATAATTTACCTTCGTTTGCTAGATCACTAGATGACCTGCAGCGGACAAGAAGAGTCTGACTTCTAATCTTACCATATTTTTCCGTGTATAAGACTAGGTTTTCCCCCTAAAAAATAATGCCAAAAATATACACAGATATATCTCCCCCCATTTCCTTAAATCTGAGTCCCCCCAAAAAGGGGGCGTTTTATACATGGGGGCGTCTTATAGAGGAAAAAATATGGCATTTTATTTTATACATGAGGAGCAGCAACAAAAAGGCTTTTAAAAATAATCTGTTCGAATTCCAGATATTCAACAATTCAGCTGCAGATTTTTATTTGCATATATAGGCCAGTCATCCCAGTGTATGACTCACAAAGTGCAGCAAGCAATTCCGCCAGACTGCAACAGAGGAAGTGATGGGAATCAGGGTCATCCCATTGGCTCTGCTGGGAGACAGCTATAATTGGCTCCCCCATCCCTTCTAGCTGGCCATTAGAAGGACTACTATTTAATGATTGGTGCCTGAGTTTACCTCTACCCTTTTCTATCCCCGCCACTATTTCCCACCCCCCTTTGTTAAACATACATAAGATGTTCCGAGAGGCATTTTTTTGGGGGGTGGGGGTAAAAATGCTTTGGAGAAATAGTCTACACCTCCTCACCTCCCATGATGCCACTAGCTCAAACAAGAGGTTCACACAACCAGGAGTTGGTGAACCCTCATGAGTTCTTGTAAAGTAGAAACAAAGTTTTCTCATGCATAGCCAACTCACCAGGGGTCTGGCAATAATCTCTACCAGAATGCTATACCTCAGTAGCCTTCAGCAGATTGTGTCTCAATGAGACCTCCGTGGAGCGATGCCACTGCGTGATAACAACGCAACACATGCCATAGGATACACACCTGCAAAACCTTGATCACTATAGTACCAACAACATTTATTAACTGTCATTTAGCTGAAAAATTATGGCTATGGAACAATACATGGGGCGATTCCTCTATCACAAGCTGCATACAAGCCACTGCTGCAAAAAAAAGGCAGGATGAACAATTTTTGGATACATTAGTGAAAGGCGTTTATAGAATATAAGCATTGTTACCCTCCTGATAAAAATACAGTGTGGAAAGAATCTAGCAGCAGCTCTGCAATAATTCTAGTGGGGTGGACTTTGGTAATATGGTGCCCTAAGCAAGGACAGAAAGGGACGCGGGTGGCGCTGTGGGTAAAACCTCAGTGTCTAGGACTTGCCGATCGTATGGTCAGCGGTACGAATCCCCGCGGCGGGGTGAGCTCCCGTCTTTTGGTCCCAGCTCCTGCCCACCTAGCAGTTCGAAAGCACCCCCAAATGCAAGTAGATAAATAGGTACCGCTTTATAGCGGGAAGGTAAACGGCGTTTCCGTGTGCTGCGCTGGTGCTGGCTCGCCAGAGCAGCTTCGTCACGCTGGCCATGTGACCCGGAAGTGTCTTCGGACAGCGCTGGCTCCCGGCCTCTTAAGCGAGATGAGCGCGCAACCCTAGAGTTGGACACAACTGGCCCGTACGGGCAGGGGTACCTTTACCTTTAAGCAAGGACAAAATTTGGCACCTCTCCCCTTTAAATATTTCTTATTTTCACACACACACACACACACACACACAAACTTCATTTTGGTACACTTGCTTTTTTATGTCTCTTCTCAGTGGGTACCTGCATAAATATCAGGTTGTTAAAATTTATTATTATTATGCACCCCCTTGGCTCGGCACCCTGGGCAGATAAACCACCCACACCTCCCTAAATCTGGTGCCGATTCCAGAAAGGATCTTCTCCATATGAGCCACCAGAAATAATTACAGTGGTACCTTGGTTTACAAACTTAATCTGTTCCGGAAGTCTGTTCTTAAACCAAAGCGTTCTGAAACAAGGCATGCTTTCCCATAGCAGCGGGAGACTCAATTTACAAATGGAACACACTCAACAGGAAGCGAAACATGTTCTTATTCCAAGGCAAAGTTCACAAACCAAAACACCTACTTCTGGGTTTGCAGCGTTCTTAATCCAAGTTGTTCATAAACTAAGCTGTTCTTAAACCAAGGTACCACTGTATACTGAAAGCCACATTCCCTTATTTTACATGCCAGTGATGGGCAGGGCCAGAGGCAAAAGTGGGTGGAGCTAGTAGGCTAGCTTCTACACACACCCATCTTGTCCTCTATCCAGGCAAGCAAAGGGCACTATGACTATCAGAGGTCAAGGACACATCCAGGTGAACACACTCATAGAATCTAACTGAGAAGGAAAGTATAATGGACACTACTACAGGCACTTATACAGAGGTAGCTCACTGGGCCTATGCAGCTGAGTAGTTCAGGGGTCAGTCTAGAAACCCACTAAAATATCAAGGTCTTGCCTTACAGGGCAGCACAGCTACACAAAGGCCAATAAACTACAGATCATGAAGATCTAAAAATAACCAGAAAACCCCATTTTGTGAAAAGGAAGATGCACGTGAATCTCCAAAACCCACAATGCCATTTCAAAACCATAACCTTGAGCTAAAAGCTTGTTATTTTATGTAAGTAGATCAAACAATGGACAGAGGGAGAAAACATTTCAGTAAAGCCCAGTACTTTAGCCTTGAAGAACTTTTGAATTAAAGTCCCAAAGAGACCACCTGAGCAGGTGCATTTCTTGCAATTATTAAAAACAAAAAACCCCACCAGGCAGTAATAAACCTACTTTCAGTTCATGTTCCAGTATTCACAATTTTAGAAAAGAAAACCATGCATTATTAGCAGCAAAATCTCACTTTACTACTTGCAATCTGTGCCCACGCTCATATTTAAATAGGCAGGAGCCAGGGGCCACAATGAAAAGCAAGTTTGTAGAAATGATTTCAATGAGTCAGATGAAGCACAAAGGCTAGACTATATATAGCAGGCAGCCATATTATACTTCACACTAGATTCTAGATAGACATCACCTGTTAAACCTTTGTAAATGAGATAGGAATTGCCAGAAAACCACAGGAAGAAGCAGTGGAACTGATCTAAGGTCACAGAAGATGGATGGGAAATGTCAGAAGCGCAGGAAGACACTGGGGCAACGGGCAGTTAAAACAGCTCAGGAACTTAGCAGCAACGGAGTTACTACAGCTAGCAAGCCTACATTTCCACCCTGCAAGCATCTCTACAGATACAGCTCCGCTACACTACAGCATCTCAGCATCATGCACCTGCTCTTCAGTTATACACCCAAAGCCTCACAGCATCCAAGGACCTCCGCCTCTCCAAAAAATCTCAGATGCAGTATCTACAGCCTGAGTGAATTAAGACTCTGTTCCCCCAGGCAGGAAGCTACACACCCAGGGGCAAAAGGTGAAAGGGAGGTCTGGAGTGAGGTGGAGGCTCTTCCCATCCAGTGAAGAGCTTGCAACAATCCAACAATGCGGCAATCGTGGACCAGGGGGAGGCCACTAACACATGCAGGGGAGAGAGGAGCCCAGGGATGAGTCATCAAGTGCAAAGATCAAGGAGGGGCAAGAGAGAAGTAGCCCTAGGCAGTGCTATTTATTTTGGAAAAGGTGCTGGAACTCGCCTCATTCTCTTAAAATGGCAAGGGCACCCACCTGAGAGGTGCCGAAACTCAGTTCTGGTGAGTTCTGCCTGGGGGGGGGGGGGAGTCCTGGCCCTAGAGCTCATAGGAGCCAACTCCTAGGGGCCAACGTCCCTTTGGGCCCCCAGTTAAATATTGAGGGGCCCCGCAAAATGGATGGGCATTGCCATTCAAATAGGGTGTGCGAGCCGCATCTTGTGATCCCTTATGCAGGGTGGGGTTTACCTGAGCCCCCCCCCCTATTTTATTCAAGTAGGCACCCCTGCTAGAGCTCGTTCTCCTGATTTCTGGGTTGGAGGAGAGGGAAAGCGTTTGTGTGTACGTGCATGAGGGGGAGGATGGGAAAGCCAGGAGGTGACCTGCCTCTTTGCAGAATCCCCGATGGCTGCACCTGCGAAAAAGAGAAGCCGGCGAGCAGAAGAAAGGGCGCATCCTCGGCGAGCCCTGGCCGCGGCTCCCCATGCAGACGGCGGAGGCGGCGGCAGCGCACCTGCCGGGACCTCCAGGTGCGCCCTTGAGGCCGCCTCGCTGCGATGGGAGAGACCTTGGCAAGCGCCGCCGCTGCCTCCCTCAGTCGACGAACAGTGGCTGCCGAAGACGAGCAAACCCCCAAAAAGAGACGCCCCCGGAGCGAGAGAGAGAGAGACCTCACCTTGCCGCTTGCTTGCTTGCTTGCTCCCTTCGGGCTTCTCTCCGCCTGCAGCTCCGTCTGCGTGAGGGCGAGCAGGCGGCGGCGGCGGCGGCCTCTCCTCCCAGGTAACAGCTGCGCTCCGGCTCACGTGAGCAGCCTGCCAGCAGGGAGGGAGCCAGCAGGCGCCGCTGCCTCCTCGCGGCTCAGCGCCGTCGCGTCTGCGCAGGGCTCCGCCTAGCGGGCGTGCAGCTCCAGCCGTGGGAACAGGCGAGACGAGGAAGCGGGAGGGTCTTCTGGCGGAAAGGGGCGTCTGGAGTATCCCTCCGCTGGCCTGGGGAAGGACGGCTGCGAGGAAGAAGCCCTTTGGGTTCCGGCTAGCGGAAGCAGAGCTGGGTGATGGAACGCTGAGAAGGGCGCCTCTGAGCATGCACAGAGGGACGTCGACTTCCCGCGACTGCGCGGCGTCTGAGGGGACGGCTAGGAGGAGCTCGAGCTGCTGCTTAGCTCCTTGCAATGCCGGAGTCGGTTCGGCAGCGATGTGGCCATTGGAAACAGCCCCGCAGCCTCAAACCAACGAACGACGGGAGCCGCCATGAAGCACATAACTTCCCTTTTCTTGCGAGGAATCCTATTCGGAATAAGGGAATTCCCTTAAAAAAGGGGAAACGTTGACAGCTATGATGAAGCATCCCTCTCTTAAGAGCACTGCAGGGTTTCCTATGAAGAGCAAGGGTCTCAGGGCACTTTTAAAGGACTCACACATTTCTTGTGATAAGCTTGGATTAGAGCTCATTTCATCAGATGCATTAACTCGGGGGGGGGGGGGTTGATACGTATTTAAAAACACACCCATGTAAGGAGAAACTATTTTTTATAGCATTACCTGACCTTTTCAGAAGGTATCACTTGGTTTTCCGAGAGTTTAGATGTTTTTTTAATCAAACGTAGATTTACCAAGCTAAATGTCATCCAGCCACACAAAGAATAGCAGGTTTGAACTCCTCACACCCAAAACACGTTTTTAAGACCCCTCACTGAAGAAATTTGCACAAGTTTCGCCCCCCCTAAAATTGCACGCCCTGGTGGCTGACCTCTATTTCATGGTCTTTGATCCTTTGTATCTACCAGAGGGAAACGCTTCCATGCACCTGATGATAACAGTGAGCTCCATTCAACCAACACTTAAGTCACTGTGGGCTCCTCTAGGCTGTGGTGTTTTATTGCTGCAGGTTTATTTCACATGTTCTTGACATGATAATAGTACATTGCTGGTGGGTTTGTTCTGCTGTGCTTCCCCAATGCCATCTGGCTATCGCTGTCTGGAGGGGCTACAGTACAATCAGTTTGTCTTATTTTAACCATGGTTCACTTGTGTGGCTATGCGCACACAGCTCAAACCAGCCATAGTACGTTTCACACAAACCACAAGTGACAAACCAGAAACCAACCAACATTTGTTCTTGGTTTTATTTCTGACTTGCTGCTCGTGGCTTGTTTGAAACAAACCATTGACCATGTTCAGAAAAGAAGACATCACTTGTTTTGAGGGCAGGAGAGCCATACAGGAACCATGTTTATGACAAACCAGCTATTGTGACGTGAAAATGAGGCCACTAAGATTGCATGTAATTTTTCTTCTAACATACACAAAAATAGTATCAGGAGGCGGGTATGTCAAACTTAGTAGGCAGTTTGGGAGAGAAGCACTGCTACTTAATGTAGCTTGGGTTGTCAAAATTCCTCCTTTTAAGATGCAAAACTAGATCCATTTAAGGTGGGGGGAATCTCCCAGCTCCTGTGTCAAACAGAATTCAAACAGAATGTATTTTAACATAGGTGCTATCCTACACTGACAAGGTCACAGTGAAAAGGAGCAGAAAGGCAGGATTTAAAAGGCTTGCCAAGTATATTGTGAACAGGAGCTTCACAAATAAAGGGCTCAGGTGTTAGCGAAGGGCTATATTTTGGAAAAAACATATGAACGAATTTGTATGCCCCACAAATAACCCAGAGATGCATTTTAAATAAAAGGACACACTCTACTCATGTAAAAACACACTGATTCCCAGACCGTCTGCAGGCCGGATTTAGAAGGCGATTGGGCCGGATCTGGCCCCCAGGCCTTAGTTTGCCTACCCATGGGATAGATCAACTATCCCATTATCATGTCAAGAACATGTGAAATAAACCTGCAGCAATAAAACACCACAGCCTAGAGGAACCCACAGTGACTTAAGTGTTGGTTGAATGGAGCTCACTGTTATCATCAGGTGCATGGAAGATCAATTATTGACAAGACAAGCAAACAACTGGTGCTTATATCAAAGGGATTGGGGAAAAGCTTGTTATTTCTCATGGGCAAGTTAGGTGTTGGGCTCCAAACTGCTGCCACACCCAAAACTCAGCATCGCTACTTGCTCTATTGTCCTTTTTTTGCTGCTTTGTGGGAAAGAGATTGCAATGATATAGTCAGTGTGTTTCATCCTAAGCACAAAGGGGCTTAGGAAGGCAAGCCATTTGGAACAATTAAAATAGCGAGACACACTTCACAAGTGATTACAATTGCAATAATTAGCACACTTAACCAGAAATAAGTCCCATTTGATTTAATTCAATGGTGTTTACCTGAGCAGACATGCATAGGGATGCACTATAATATTAATACTGTTTTGTTTTTTAAAAAAATCAATAGCTTCTTGACAGAACACAAGAAAATAGACCAAATACTTAAATGCTAGAAAAGTTTGAATTTAAGAGTGGGCAGGGGGAGAACAGTGTTGGAGTGTACTTATAATCAGTAATAATAAACAGAGGCTGTTTTTTATTTCATAGTTTTCTAAATAAATAAATGCACAGAGCTTTCCTATTAAAGTATCATTTGAACAGATGCTCCCACTTTATAAAAACAAGTCTCAATGTTTTGTATCAATAGTAGTTCAAGTAGAAAAATGGGCAACACATTCCCCCCCCCATGTGTAACAGGCAACTCCAAATACAATACATATATATTATAAATTTGGAAGCATCAGGTTGCCAGTCATTACTTTCTCGTTGGGAATTGCCTCAAAATGTTTTATAGCTCATCGTGTGTATATACAAACTCCCTTGCAGATATAAATCCATCGCTGTCTTCATCTTCCTTCTCAAATATGTTTTCAACTAAAGAATCATGGTGGCTGTCATTGACTGGTGCACCATGCCTTTCAAATTCTTTCTTCAAGTATATTTTTACCTATGGAATAAGACAAGAAAAAAAAAAGCTTTTAATCATTACGTATCTGTTGGATATGAGAAAGCAAGCCAATGTAAAATGGCCCATCCTCTCTAGTATGTTCAGTACAGGTAATAATAATCTGTGCAAAGCAACAGCTATAGCATTCCCAAATGGATAGTAAGTCTATGGAACTGGCTGTGTTCACATGAAACACTGAACACAATTTTATTTTTATTTTAAAGCCTTCTGCACTCTTTTTCTGCTCACAAAGCAGTGTTCAATCCATAAGATCCATCAAATCAGTTAATATAGCAACAAAACGATTAAAAAAACCATTGCATTTAATCAACAGATTCCTGGGCTGCAGTGGGTTTGACTAGACAACCCTCAGGGTCCCCTTTCCAATTCTACAATTCTATGATTTTAATAAACCTGGGGGAAAACTAGCCCTGGGCAATAGTCCCATTAGTCAGTATCTCAATTTAAACTCTGTAGGCATTCTAAAAAGATATAATTTCAAAGTTATTGTTTTTCAAAGAAGATCAGTGAAGGTGCCTATTTAGCTTTTCTCCATGATCAAATTTCATAGGTAAGGGCCCACAGAAGAGATTTAGCTTATACGTGTGAGCCTCAGGTTTGCACACTCCTTCTCCCTAATATGGTTGCAAAGGAGATCAGAGGCTTTTGACTCTGTTTTCAATTAACCACAGTTTCTTGTTACGTCCAAACTTGGACAAACAGTGGTTAGTGCTAACTATGGTTGACTGAAACAATGTGAACTTCAAATTGTGGTAGATGCCTTCTAAATACAAACCATAGTTAGGGTTGCCTTTTTTAAAAAATGTATTTTTTATTAAAGATTTCTTGGTTTACAAAAGTATGTGCAACGTCTCTTTTTTCAAGTTACATTTTCTACAGGTCACTTTCATTTGTTAAGACATTAGTGTTTCCCAACTTCTACTTTTAACTATGGATCACTAGGACGACTCTAGCTATAAAAAAAGAGAAAGTATCCTGGAAAAAAGAGGATATATGACAACCTACCAAGATAGCAGCAACCAGAGACATTTGTCAATGAAACTGTAGTTAGCTGAAAATGGAAGCAAAAAATTCAGCCTCACTGTGATTACTGTTGTCAAAGAAAACTCCAATTTTGTTTGGAAACTCTAAAACCAGAAGATGCAATCAGTAGAAGAGTAATGCAGCAATTATTCCCCAAAACAGACTTAATTTACTGAAGAGGATTTCTTTTTTCTCTGCAGTGTTATTTGAAAAATCTTAGAAATAATGTCCCTTTCTTTGCCACTCAGAAAGGCAGGCACAAGTAGCCTTTGCACTACAAATACTTACTGAATTTTTAAATGTATTTTAAAATCAGTACCTTGAATAGCTCTCTGCACAGAGAGCATCAGAGTTTTGAGTGTGTAAAAGGAAATTGGAACTGTAATATTTCTCAATCTGCGGCAGCTCAAAACACCACAGTAAAGACTTACAAATGTCACAGTTGCAAAGCATAACCTCAAGGGAAGCAAAACGTAAATTTTTATTTTCCTGTTAAATACATTAACACACAACTGTAGAATGCATTCGCCTTTTCACCTCTTCTCTGGAAAGCTTCCAATCATCATTAAGATCCATTTGTTGAAAGGACTCGTGAGACCGCGGTCCATTCCTGATTTCTAGAAGTTCGATGTTGAAGATCAAAGTGCTCTCAGGTGGAATTTTTCCTACCCAACATGGTACATAAACATTGAGACAAGATTACAAATGTAACCAAGAAGATAAGCATTGTCAGTGTGAATTTGCATCCTACAGCTTCTCTTGTTTCATTAGCTACTGTGCTCAAAGGAATAGAAAACCGCATAAGTGGCTATGAATTTATGGTGTAATGCATGGGTAGGCAAACTAAGGCCGGGGCCAGATCTGGCCCAATCGTCTTCTAAATCAGAGTGTTTTTACATGAGTAGAATGTGTCCTTTTATTTAAAATGCATCTCTGGGTTATTTGTGGGGCCTGCCTAGTGTTTTTACATGAGTAGAATGTGTCCTTTTATTTAAAATGCATCTCTGGGTTATTTGTGGGGCATAGGAATTCATTCCCCCCCCCAAAAAAAAAAATAGTCTGAGGGACAGTGGACCGGCCCCCTGCTGAAAACGTTTGCTGATCCCTGATTTAGAATACACAAGATTATAAAGCAACCGCTTAGAGACTTTTTGAACTATAAAGTGGGGTACAAGTTAGGTAAATAGATGGCTTGTTCAAAGGTATTATGATTTTCTGTTACCTAGTAATCTCCATTGCTGGTTATAGAAGCAAGAAAACTTGAAGTGAAAAGCTCCATTAGTTGTTTTTTGTGTTTGTGAAGAACAAATCTGGTTGAATTACGTTGGATGAAGATGTGATAACATTTAGAAAGGCTTGGGTTTGATCTGTTTCCATTATTCTTCTTTAGTTCTTTTCAAACATCGCTTCCATTGTTAGGAGATTTCACAGTGTAATTCTATACAAGCGTGCTCTAAAAGTGCAATTCTGTACAGTGGAACCTCTGGATGTGAACGGGATCTGTTCCGGAACCCCGTTCGCATCCTGAAGCGAACGCAACCCACGTCTGTGGGTCGCGATTCACCACTTCCGCGCATGCACGTGACGTCATTTTGAACGTGTGCGCATGCATGAGAGGCGAAACCCGGAAGTAACGTGTTGCGTTACTTCCGGGTCACCGCAGAGCGCAACCCGAAAACGCTCAACCGGAAGGTACTTCAACCCGAGGTATGACTGTACATGTTTACTCTAAAATGAGTTCCACTTTGTTTTTCACAGTTGTGCCTAAAGTGTTTGCTACAAGTTATAAAGTCAATAAAATTGTAGAAGAGTCTCTTGACAGTGTTTTGCTAGTGATGACACACAAAGCACAGTATTCCTGTTTTTTATCCTTTATTCTGGCGGGCTTTGTGCAGTTATTGAAAAATATAGTAGAAAAAAATGTGATCATTAGGATTCCGGTAACTCACTGATATAAAACTGGGATGGGAACAGGTGGCCCTCCAGGTATTGCTGGACCTTAGTTTGCCTACCCATGTTCTAAATCATTCCATGCTATGATCAAGATGTTCAGAATGTTTTTTCATGAAATAATAATGTTAAGGATTCCTTGAACCTGGAGAGAGTTCTCCCGAACTATTACCTTTTCCTTCTTTTCCATAAGCCAGGGATGGAGGAACGGTTAGCTTGCGTTTCTCTCCTACGCACATCTGTTTCAAACCTTTATCCCAGCCTATGATAACTTCCCTTATACCGAGAGTAAACCATGTTGGCTGGGCACTGTTATGCTTGTAGCTGAAACAGACACACAGGAAACATTACTGAGTCAGGTGCCATATAGTCACAATAAGCTGATCGTTGGCACTTGAGAAGCCAGTTGGAAAGGGTCTTTGCAGGTGCCATTGATCAGCAGGATAATTTCTAGGAAGCAAGCCAAAGAGACCCACTTAAGATCCAGGGGTCAAAGACTTTCAAAGGACTAACACAGAGAGATAGTCCATTGTGCAACCACATGGATGCAGTGCAGCCTTGCGAAGGACGAATCACTCTATATATTTAATTGTGCCTTAATTAAAAATTGCCTGGGGCAGAAAGTACTAGGAGACACTCTTAGTGCAGCTATATACTCTCAAGGCTTGTCTTCTATCTACTAAGAACACCTGCATACAACAAACATAAAGCAGGTGTATACAGGATTGGCATGTAGGCACTTGTTTTAAAAACTTACCTCTTCATGACGCCTTTCCCTGATGGGTGATCCAGCTATGGTGATGTATTAATCTGATCTACTGGTTTATGTTGCGCTGAGGGCAAATAAAAATTCTTGCAAATAAATAAATAACTAAATGGGCATTAGGATGGGGGGAGATGTTCTAAGATGAAGCCCGTTACAAGCACATGTATGCGACATCTGAAAACGACGTAATCAATCTGATTACGTCTTTAGAATTACTGTATTTCATTTTTAAGATAAGACAGATTTCATCAAATCAAGAAGAGCTGCATTGTGCAACTTTTTAACTTTGTTTAATTGGTTGGCGGTTCCAACTTTCTGTGCCTTTTCTTCTTTAATTGCAACTGCCGCCTTCCCATCCTTTCGCAAGCCACCGATTTTTTTTTAAGTTAATAACTCAAATGTGAAATTGAGCTAGGTTTCCCATTTCTGTTCTAACTAAATTTGATTTTATTTTGAAATCTTTTAATTTTTTAAAGAAAATGTGATACCATGGTTGGTTAGTTTGGGTGTGTGTGTGTCAAACCTGTGCCTCTCTAGAATCAACCTACATCAGTCCCAGCCAGCCGTCAGGGATGGTAGAATTTTTAGTCCAACAAATGGATGGCCACAGGTTCTCCATCTATGGGTTAGATTTTTTGGACTAGGACCATGAAGATTCTGGGTTCTCAACCACAAAGTTCATTGTGCAAACTGGAACCAGCATCATTCTCTCAGCCACACATATGGAAGAAAGAATTCTGATGGATCAAACCAAAAGCTTATCTAGTCTGGCACTGCGTTCTCACAATAAACAACCAGATGTCTATAGGAAACCAGTTAAGCAGGACACAAACCTAACACTCTACTCACTTTTGATTCCCAGCAACTGGTATATATAGGCATATTACACCCCAACAGTAAATTAGGAATATGACTATTGTGGTGAGCAGCTATCAATAGCGCTATGCTCCATGAATTTGGCCAATCTCTTTTAAGAACCTACCTCACAGGCTTGTTGTTTCATAGATTCATTAGAACTGTAGGGTTAGAATGGACCACGAGAGTCATCTAGTCCAACACCCTGAAATACAGGAATCTTTCGCCCAACGTGGAATTTGAACCCACAACCCTGAGATTAAGTCTGCCAACTGAGCTGTTCAGATGTTATGAAAACAGCGGCAGCAAGAGAACCATGTACGCCTGAGCTACTTGGGAAAAGGATGAAATTTAAATGTATTTGTTAAGTTGTGGGTGAACATATCAGACTACACAGCGATTCTTCAAACAGCTCTTATTTATTCACAGGCCAGAACAGAACTGAACTGAAGGGTTCAGCCAGCCTGCTTATATAGAGCTCCACTAGAACACAACAGTAACCATTTTCTGTAACTATCCAATCACTGAACGTCACTTTCAATCCCTTATTTGCATATGTGGACCTGAACTATCTACAGTATCCCCCTGCTGGCCCAGGGTGAGAACTTTGGTACATAACAGTATCATTATTATTAGTGAAAAGAGTGTGGTTTCTAAAGCAGGAGTGGCTAATCTGTGCAGCTTCCTGCAGATGCTGCATTGAAAACTGACCACACAATCCAGTCATGTTGGACTACAACTCCCATCCACCCCAGCCCACAAGGCTAAGTAATGGCCAGGGAGCATGGGAATTGTAGTTCCACAAACATTCGGAGGGGGGATCCCTGGGTTAGCCACTGCTGCTCCACAGAATCAGGCCCAACTACCTGCCATGGGAGTTCATGCATCCTGCAGTTTTACAGAGTCTAATACAAAAGAATTCAGATGTAGTTTTGCACCCTACATTGCACATACATCAACGTCTGTGTACGTGTGTTGAGGGAGGTATACTCACGTCGAATGAAAGAGCGAGCCGTCATTCTCTAAATAGCCTTCGTAGTGCACCAACATCATGTCTCCCGGCTTCGTCTTCCTCTTGCAAATGAACGGTTTCTGGAGCACTTCGATCTCCACTTCTGGTTCTGGGATGAGACCCGCAGCCCCCAAAGCCACGAACGCAAAGGCAAGCAGAGTCCAAAAGGCACCTTGCATTTTTACCGCTGTGTGTGCAGCCTGTGTGCAATCTTTCAGTTTAAAAGGCAACGTGCGCATTTCCCTTAAAAACAAGACGGGAAGACATTCGGACACAAGACTAAATGGCCCCAGGACGCTGAATTAAAAAAGAAAAAAAGCCTTTCCAGATTTCATAGAGGCGATTGTATCTTATTTTCTGTGCGAGATTCTCAATGCTGTTAGAGCACTGGGTTCTTTAAATTTTTATTTCCTGGAGCAGCCACTCCATGCAAGCTCCGCTTCCCAGCAACTTTCCCGAACTTTGGAAGCCCACGCTTTTCCCAGCGCTCTCCGCGAATGAAGGCGGGCTCCCGTTTCCGGCCAGCCCCGCGCATCCCACCGGCCCGTCATCCCCGCTCTTCGAATCCGCAGACGTGGCAAACTCGCCCCCAGAACGCGACGATTTCGCGTCCATTCATTCCCCCCCACCCTCCTCCCCGAGGGGCAGGACCCAGGTAACGCCGCCGTTCCATTGGGCCACGGACCTGCCAGTCTTCAAAACGATACACTGAAACAAACAAAACACACCCTCCCGAGCCGCTGCGAGCGGCGATTGGCTGCCCCAACATTCCAGGAAGAGAACGCCGCGCGTACATCTCGGAATCCCTCAGCACAATACAACCGGCTTCTGCGCAGCAGCCATTGGCTGGCGCGGCGGCGAGAGCGGCGGCCTCATTGGCTCGCCGCTTTCCCTGGGGTTCTTGGCCACGCCCGTTCCTCGCGATCACGTGGGCAGCCCGTATTCCGAAACGCGTTTACGCCTCTCCTTAAGGAAGAACAAGGAGAAGGAGCAGGTCCTGCGGGTGCGACGTCTACGCTACCGGCGTAGTGCCCCGTAGTTGGTTGGCAGGGAAGGGCCAGGGGAGGATCGGGTGGGCGGGTGCGGGAGAAAGGCAGGGAGGCGGGCCGGGCTTCTGCCAGCCTCGGAATGGCCCTGGGTGCCAGTGCTTCAGCCGTGGGGCTGAGCGCTTAAAAGTTTCTGGGGGGGCGGGAAGGCCAGGGGGAGAGGTTTCCCCTGTCCCAGGCAGATCTGGATGGGGGGGCCCTTGTCACCATGGAGGGGGTGCTGTACAAGTGGACCAACTATCTGAGCGGTGAGTAGACCGGTCCTGCCCTGTCCTCTCCCCTCGCCAGGCTGGGACGGAGAGGCAGACAGCGCGTGTCTTTGTCTGTCATGGGAAGGGAAGGGGGCAGCATCGCACGCGCCCCATCCTGACTCTCCCGGTGGGTCTCAGGCATAGGATCCAACTCCTAGGGTCCCTTCACCCCCACTCAATAAAATATTTGAGGGGGCTGCCGCCATAATAATAATTTATTATTTATACCCCGCCCATCTGGCTGAGTTTCCCCAGCCACTCTGGGCAGCTTCCAATCAAGTGTTAAAAACAATACAGCATTAAATATTAAAAACTTCCCTGAACAGGGCTGCCTTCAGATGTCAAGAAGATACCTGCTTATTTCCTTCACATCTGAAGGGAGGGTGTTCCACAGGGCGGGCGCCACTACCGAGAAGGCCCTCTGTCTGGTTCCCTGTAACCTCACTTCTCGCAAACGGGGGAACCGCCGGAAGGCCCTCGGCGCTGGATCTCATTTAAAAAGTTGATGGGCATTGTCATTCAAATGGTTCGCATGTGCCATGTCATGTGATCACGTCTTCTTATCTGTGCCCCCCCCCCCAATATTCAAGTTGACACCCCTGGTCCCAAGCGCTGCAATAGGCAGGCTCAACCACGAAGGTACCGCATACATCTTTAAGGTGCCTTGGGACTCTTGTGTCATCCCTAAAGAGTTTCAGAGGCGCAGCAAGTGTAGGATCTGCTTCCTTGCCCCCCCCCAAAAAAAAACCCATCAAGCAGGGAGCGGCTGCAGGTTAAAGGGCACCAGAGTGCATGAGAAGAGCAGCAGGCTCAGCCTCTGGCTACACCTCGGGTTAGACATGGTCTGAGCTGGCAAGGTGATGGGGAAGAGAACTTTGCTTGGGACAGCGAATGCTGCCTCTCAGGAAGAAGGCAGCAGGGGACTAGATGGATGAATAAGTCTGACTTGGGATGGGTTCAGCATCGTGTGTTTCTGCAAGTCTACAGCTGGCACCAGCGTAGCTCCTCTATGTATTTTGGAGGGTAAGAACAGAAAGTTAGAGGAATTTATTGATAACGGAGTGATAAATATGATACAAACATATATGTATATGTAGTTGATGTTTGTCTTGTTTCTTTCACATCTGTGTTCAGTGAGCTGCTGTTGTTGCCTTCGTCAATTGACTGAAGTCTGAGTTTCCTGCACAATATATGTGTGTGTCTTAAGAGTGTGCCTGTGCCCTGATTGTGGTGCTCAAAGTGTTGTGAAGCATATCTTCTGTTTGAGAAGTTACCCTTTGGAAGATCAAGTTGTAATACAAATCTGGGTGAGACTGCCAGGTATAGGGTGGTATATAAATTCATTAAGTAATAATAATAATAATAATGATAACAACAACAACAATAGTTTTAATTTAAACCAACTCAGGGGTGGGGAACCATTTCCAACCAGTGAGCAGGATCCTTACCTTCACCGTCCCCTGCACACCATTTTGACAGGTGGGTAGGGCCATCCACCTGCCAGTCACCTGACAACATCTTAATGTCACCATTTCCTTTCCCTGAATTATTCCAGACCACATGGGCAGAGGTTCAATGATGTGTAGGCACCCAAGGTCAACTGACTGGCAGTTCCTGCAAACCCCATATATGATGCCAAGTGAAGGACCAGTGGGCATAGCTAAGAGAAAATGGCTTTGTGGACTGAATTAGGCACTTGAGCCAGAGATTCCTCACTGCTGGATTGGTCATATAGAAAAGACATATAGAAAAGGCAGCTGTGCCTAAGGATTAACTAAGTATCACACAGCAACTTGACTGATGGACTCTGTCAGCTCACTCACAGAGTTGTTACCTGGGCTTTTACCTGCGGATTAGCTTTTGTCCAGAAGATTTCATTGGGACTAAATAGGCCTAACTCAAATAGTGGTAAATAGACTTTAAAAAAAATAAATGCTTCAGCCACTTAGCAGCACAATGTTATACATGTCTACTCAGAAGTAAATCTTACTGGGCGTAAAGGGAAAGTATTATAGGATTGCAAAGACAGTATTATAGGATTGCAGCTTTTTACCTGAAGAATATTCAAATTTCAAACTGTTTCCTGTTTACAGAGCAAAATCTCTAACTAAATATAACACTTAATACATAAATAATAATAAAACAAAACCCACCAGGCATGCTTAGCAGATTTCAGCGCCTTCATTCCCTCCTGCCCACTCTTAAAACCTAAATAATGTCAGAGAAGTGCCACGCTTTCAAATATTTACAAGAATTGCGTCCTCTGCCCTACAAATATTTGCAGAGCAAACCATGGCCGGGTGCATGGAATTATTGGCCGGAGCTCACCGTGAAAGAAATCAGAAAGTGTAACAGTTTCTGTCACTCTTTGTTGTAGAGCAACAAAACTACAAGGATGAATCAGAACGAAGTGTTGCATAAGCACAGAATGACACTTTGGTTTACAAAAGGTACATTTAAATGAAATAGGTCATCCTCAATGCTGGGAAAATATATTGATCCCTTTTCACAAACTAGAATCCAGATGCCTGACTCGAGAGTGTGAAACGGCATGCTTTAGCTTAATGAGTTCAGAATCTTGCTGCAGTATTTAGCATCTCATCGATATCTGATGACTTGGCGTTGTACAAGGGCGGTAGGAGTTCAGTGATCGGACAAGGAAATTTGTACGGAGATCAAGAACTAGGGCGTGGGCAGGCAACAGATCACAAAAGCGACTTCCTTCCTCCGTCGCTGACGTGCTTCACAAGTTTTCCTCTCCTGTTCCTGGGCTTTTAGCACATTTATCATTCTTCGGTAGCCATGAGATGTATGAATTTGCTTTCCAGAACAAAACTGCCCTGTTCTGTTAATTGAATTCAGCTATGCTGTCCAGCACGGCAACAAGCTCCTTTGGGGGGAGGTACAGAGCAACTGCCCGATTCTATCCATGTTTTCCCCAGAAGTAAACTGCAGAATTCAATAGGACTCCTTCTCAAGTAAACATACGCAGGGCTATGCCAAGGAAATGTCCACAAATGAGTTGAGTTTAAGTATTAAGAGGATCAAAGCCCATTTAGGTAGGCTGCAATCTTTGCAGTAGATTTTGTAGGAGTTGGTCGTAGTAGTTTAGGTGAGATGTGCTTCTAAATAAACATTGCACAGAACTGCACTATTACACTGGTTGGCCAGGAGCCAGTCAGTTACTTTAGGAGTGCTTAAGTCATTGCCCTGCCCATGTGGGAGGGAATGGATGAGTCTTCCTTGCTAGAGCTGAGACAGCTGACAATCAGGTTCTTATGTTTGTAGTTGATGGGTGGGGAGATAGGGCCGAACTATGCCACATATCACCTCATACCACATGTCGTTTCTTCCAGTTTTACACTGTGAGTCATGCTCTCTGTTGGTGTTTGTTGCTACGCCTTTAAAAAAACACCCTACCTGATCTTATGGTGAGGCTCCATATAGTTTATGTTTTTGATTTTTTAAAAAAATCAGTGCAATTAAACAAAACAAAAACTGAACATAAGCCTACTGGATCAGGCCAATTGCCTATCTAATCTAGCATCCTGTTCTCGTAGTGGCAAACGAGATACGTATGGAAAGCCTGAAAGCTGGATCCGACCACAAGAGTACTTTCCCAACCAATAACTCCCAACAACCAGAATTCAGAAGTAGGACTGGGCGACATATATCATCCCAATCCAGATTGAATTCCATGTTGTGATACCGATTTCATAAATGTTGATTTGGCAATGTATCGCAAATCATGATGTGTGTTAGGACTGGGCGATATATTGTCCCAAACCAGTTTGAAGTCCATATTGTGATATTCGTTTCGTAATTTTTGACCTGGTGATATATTGCGAATCATGATGTGTGTGTGTGCTGTGCAAAAATAACAATGTGAGAAAAACCGTGAAGCCAATGCCAATGCCTCTACGTACATCCATCCTTATTTCAGACATTGCGATATATCAATACATCATGATGTTAGGCTGGTGGTATATCACGATGTTGAAAACCAGATATCACCCAGCCATATTCAGAAGCATATTGCCTCTGAACTTTGTAGGCAGAGGATAGCCGTGGTAACTAGTAGCTATTGATAGCTTAATCCTCCAGGAATTGATTTAATCTTCTTTTGAAGCCATCCAAGTTGGCGGCCATCAGTAGCTCTTGTTGAAGATGATTCCCTTATTTAACTATTGGTTGAGTGCAAAAGTCCTTTTCCAACATTCTGCTGCACCTGATGTCTCCATGTTCTGGTGTCATGCAAGAGGGAGAAACCCATTTTTCTATCTGCTTTCACGACACTGTGATGCATCTCTACTGTGTTTCCTCTTACACACCTTTTTTCTAAACTAAGAAACCCCAGATGTTGTCACCTTTCCTCATAGAGTTGCTGTTCCAGCCCGTTGATCAGTTTGGTGGCCCATTTCTGAACTTTTTTCTGGTATTCCAATATTCTTTTTGAGCTGAGGCCATCAGAACCGGACAAAGTATTCCCAGTGTGGTCACACCATAGATTTCTATAATGGCATTATTATATTGGCAGTTTTGTTTTCAGTTCCTTTCCTCACGATTCCTAGAATGGAATTCAAATTTTTCACACAGGGTCAACATTTTCATTGAGCTTTTTCCACTTTTTGCCAAGTTCTTGTTCCTGGTCAGTCCCCATCAGCTTAGACCCCATGAGTGTATGTGTGAAATTAGGATGTTTTGTCCCAGTGTATATCACTTGCTGATATCGAATTGCATTTGCTAATTTACTGCCCCTTTGCTAAGTTTGGAGATATTCTTTTGGAGTTCTTCATGGTCTCTTTTGGTTTGGACAACCTTGAACAATTTGGCTGACTCACTGCTCAGCCCTAAATCATTTATGAACAAGTTAAAAAGCACATGTCCCAATTTCTGCATACACAATCTCAACAAGAAACATTGTTCTCTCTCTGTATGCATGTTGATAGTTGCAAGTGGCCGGATAGTGGCCTAATAGGTTTTGTTTTTTAAAAATAACTTTTTATTCAAAATTAAAACAAAACATATTATCCAGAAACATATCATCCTTATTTCCCCCCTCCATTTTTCCTCCCTCCCCCCACAGAACCCACCCACCCCCACCCCCCGACTTCCCTCAGTTCCAGTCTTTGATTTCTCTAAAAATGCTATTTTCTGTATGTTACACAGTTGTATAGCTCCTCAAACTATTTAGCTGATTATTATCATTAAAAAGTTTGTGAATGTTTATTCAAAACCAGCCAAGGAGTCCAGTTCACTTTGTTGTGTCTTCAAATACTTTGTAAAGGGTTCCCATTCATCTTTAAAGTCACAGTTATCCTTGTCCCATAGCTTGTATGTCAGTTTTGCCAGTTCTGCATAATCCATCAATTTTTCTTGCCATGATTCTTTAGTTGGGGTTTCTTCAGTCTTCCATCCTGCGCAGCCTTCCATCCTGCGCTAATAGATTTGTGAGACAGTTATCCTTCCAGAAGCCACGCTGGCTCTATATCAGTAAGAGTTGTTCTTCTATAAGCTTGGGTCATTTTATCTTTAACAATGCTTTCCATCAGTTTTGCCAGAACCAGATGTTAAACCAGGCATATGCAAACTCGGCCCTCCAGATGTTTTGGGACTACAATTCCCATCATCCCTGACCACTGGTCCTGTTAGCTAGGGATGATGGGAGTTGTAGTCCCAAAACGTCTGGAGGGCTGAGTTTGCCTATGCCTGTGTTAAACTAACCAGCTTGTCATTTCTAGATTACCCCTGGATTTCTTATTATGCTAAAAATAGAACCCAATTGTTGCCAGCATTTTGATTAACACTGAAAGCTTCCCTGCAGTAGGGTTCTTAAAATTTATGTCAATAAAAGGGGTACATTTTGTTAATACAAATTACGGAGATTTCAAAATATTATTTGGTCTTGAACAGGGCTTATAAGACAATAGCTAGGGCCTGTTTTTGAGCTGGATTTTTAACCCTAAGTAATTTTACTCAACACTTTTTCTTTTAAATCCCCATTTGTGAAATCATTTAGGAATGTATGCAACTTGCTGGCCTTTGCTGGAGAGCTAGCTCAGATTAAATGTGACGTAATAGCATAATATGGCTTTGGGATTAACCCAGTTCGAAGCAAGTTTCCATGTACTAACTCCAGAAATTAATCTGCATCTATATTGGAATTATCTGATAATATTAAATTAGAAGGGTGTGATTTACTTACGTAACCAAGCTTTGCAGTAGATGCAAGTTCAAATACTTGCACTCTCAAAAGTACCATATAATGATCACTCCAGTGGCCTGGTTCTCACAACACAGCAAGTTCCCATGACTGCGCAAATGTGGACTGGAACGGGAGGTCCTATGCACAGTGGTTAAAACACATTTTACAGTTTGTTACAAAAATACTGTAAATTGGTCATGTGCTGGAGGAGCTGTTCTGCCGCTGCAGCAAGACAAAAGAGCAGAGGTTAAGATTATTTATGATCAGACTCCCAACCGTGAATTAAAGTATTACATTCACTGAAGTGCTATGTATTCCTTACACAGTCATTTTTATGCCCTGGAGAGGTCCAAAACAATTAGCTGCTACTGAACACACCGTTTCATTATCTGTTACCTGAATTTCCGTGCATATTTATATTGGATTGCTTATTTCCCACTCCCATTTTTTTTTGTAAATAATTTGTATTAATTTTCAATGACTAAAATCCAATATAAACCACATTTTATCAATCTCAAATTACAATTCAGATTCATATAAACACACACACACATATAAATTATAAAGCCACTTATACATTTTTTGTGGCCTCCCGCGTGCTGGATTTCAAGGTGAAATGATATTATTTCATCCTGCTTCCGAGTCTTAATTAATCCAATTACATTCAATCTTGATCTTAATTCTTTATCAACAGCTACAGAGTTTTTGACTTCCATTCGTATTAGCACATTTAATAAAAAAAAAAATTCTGCAAGAGGAGTTTTGTATCCCATCTATTTCCTGTGTGTGATGTTTATCTTATCCATGTTGTTGCCTTTCCCGTTCATATCTCAGGACACAGATTGAGGAACTGAAGTCTTCCTGGCAAGACCTTCCCCCCCACTGGAACTGCAGTAGGGGCTTTGTATATTAGATTTGGTAATAGAAAGCAGAGGTGTTTTTCCAATAGCATCAGGGCAAGTAGCTCTGGGGAAGGGTGACTTGTTTGCCTGTACTCTTGCAAGACCTTGGCTTTAATGGACGTATTGGCAGATCTGTGCCTGGCCGCAGCTCGGCTTTTTTGCGTGCCTGACATTTCGCCAGATGCTGCAAACAGCTGGTGCTTGTGTGAAACGAGCCAGTTTTGCCCAGGAATGACCCACCTCTTTCTGTGTAGTGAAGGCGAAGTTCTTCCAAAGCATAGCAGTGATGGCCAGCAATGGCCTCCCCCCATTATTCCAGCAGGTGTGGGCCTTGGTTTGTTCTGGAGCTGCTTCATTTTGGCTGTCTTGTTGCCGTGCAGTAGCCGGAGAAGGGGAACAGAGCATAGGAGCAATTCTGGAACAGACTTTGCAAGAAGAACTGAGCTAAGACATGGGCTGCAATCTCCTAACCCCCTTTCCCTGCGAGTAAGCCCATGGAATTCAGTATGATTTACTCCTAAGGGGACATGGTTAGGATTGCGCTGTTCACTTCTCAGCAGTCAGGTGTGCACTTACGCGATGTGTCTCTTTTTTTGTAAAAAAAAAAGTGTTTGCTATTAAAAAAACCCAAATTCTGTATATAGGTTGGCTTAGTGTTACGTGCAAACCAGGGCAACTCAGTTAATTCTGCCACAAGTTTGGGTTTTAGCAAAAGTATACGGACTCACTGTTTTGTGGGGCTTGTCAGCCTGGGAAGGTTGCCCATCTGGGAGAAGGAAAACTGTCCTAAACCTTTTCTGCCCTGTGGCTACATATTCATTCATTAGAAAGGTTTTGGTAGTAAACGCCAAGGAAAACCCATACTTGTTGCCACGTGGGACATGTTTGAAAGGAGAAAAGGCTAAGGAGTAAACTCTATACAAATCCAGAGTGGGGTCCCTAAGACGGTTGGATGGTGTCTTGTACGCCTCCTTCCGTCAACTCCTGCAGCCAAGCTGGTGCCAAATGCATTGTTCTGCTTTCCTTTCCTTTTGTTTTTAAATTTTATTTATGCTTTTCAGGTTTATACATTTCACTAATTTTGCAACCATTTTAACATTTCAAAACTTGACTTCCTTCCCCCTCTTTCTGCAGTTCCTTAAATTTACTTTTAATATCTTCTGCATATCTAAATTAACTTAATTTGCTCATTTATTCATCTACTTTAAATATATACTCTTATAAAACTGCAGGTTCTTACAGTAATCCTGCCAATGTTCTTATCTGTTTACAATTTATCTGTAAATATTCCAGAAACCATTTCCATCCAATAAACCATTCCAAGGATAAGAAATCAAGGTAACAAACTTTTTATAAAAGTTTGTTATCTTGATTTCTTATTCTTCCTGCAAGTTTCACCATTTCTGCATATTTTGTATCCATTCTTCCTTTGCTGGGACTTCTGCTTCTTTCCATTTTTGGGCGAGTTACATTCTTGCTGCTGTAGTAGCATACATGAATAAGTTTCTATACAGGTAGTTCTGTCCCTATAATTCCCCAAAGTTCTGCTTTCCTTTGGACCACATCAACAAGGCTGAGAAGGGGAGTCTTGTTCTCTGGGCAGCCCAGGACCGCCAAACACACTGTCCAGACTTGGACGCCAGGGAGATGAAACGTCGCAGGATGTCGCAGTTACGAGTTGCCAGTCTCTCTAGCTGCAGCAGGCGTTGTGATTCTCCGGTGGTTTGACTTCAACCCTGAAGGCTGCAACCCATTCTCAAGACAGGTGGATGCAAACAACAGTTTTGCAAATACCAACTAGATACATGTATATTCCTTCTGGCTGTGATTAAAAAAACATGTTTCTTCCCAGGCTGGCAGCCTCGATGGTTCATTCTCGCAGGAGGTGTGTTATCCTACTACGATTCACGGGAAGATGCTTGGAAAGGCTGTAAGGGGAGCATCCAGATGGCAGTTTGTGAAATTCAAGGTAACTAACATGCAGTGGGACTTCCATTGTGAACTAAAGGTAAAGGTAAAGGTACCCCTGCCCGTACGGGCCAGTCGTGTCCGACTCTAGGGTTGTGCGCCCATCTCACTTAAGAGGCCGGGAGCCAGCGCTGTCCGCAGACACTTCCGGGTCACGTGGCCAGCGTGACAAGCTGCATCTGGCGAGCCAGCGCAGCACACGGAAACGCCGTTTGCCTTCCCGCTAGTAAGCGGTCCCTATTTATCTACTTGCACCCGGGGGTGCTTTCGAACTGCTAGGTTGGCAGGCGCTGGGACCGAGCAACGGGAGCGCACCCCGCCGCGGGGATTCGAACCGCCGACCTGACGATCGGCAAGTCCTAGGCGCTGAGGTTTTACCCACAGCGCCACCCGCGTCCCTTCCATTGTGAACTAGAACACGTCAATTCCATTCAGACATCTACACACAGCCTCATTTGACTGTAAGTAACAAACCTTGGTTTATCAAGCCAAGATATGCTTGAGGCTTAACACACACACACCCATTTGTGCCACCCTATCTTTCCTTGACACACTACAATGGAATACTTCCTTGCTTAACTAACCAAATGATTCAGGAAACCGTGGTTACCTTGAAGAGAACGAGCCAGCACCTGAAACCGTGGTTTGAAGTTGGTTTCAGATCCTGTCTCCCCCGCCCCCATCCTCATTACCATAGTTTGACCTGTTGGACATAACGGGAAACCGTGGTTAACTGACCTAGGAAATCTTCAGCTACAACACGCTGAGAATGGAAGAGGGAATTGGCAGCATTCATGAGCACAGAGCTCTTGCATGATGTTGGCTTAGTAAGCTGAGTCAAGTCTAATTCTGTTGATCTTAGTTCATTCTGCAGACAATACGCGGGTAGATTTGATCATCCCTGGAGAACAGTACTTCTATCTGAAAGCCAGAAATGCGACGGAGAGGCAAAAGTGGCTGATCGCTCTAGGAACTGCCAAGGCCTGCTTGACGGATGTCCGGACACAGAAAGAAAAAGGCAAGCCGTTCTTAGCTGAGACTTCTATCCCCACCTTACTTCCCAGCATCCCAGAAAACAACATTGCTTGCTTTGTGTTTCCAGTTTTATTTTCCAGTCAGCAAATATTTAGAACAGTTTGTCTTGTGTTTTGTGGGACCTTCCACACCACAGCCTTTAGGTCTCTATTTAGTTCCAACACATTTAGTTTGATTCAGCTTTACGTGGGCACAGAAAGAAAGAATTGCCAACTTTATTCGTTCGTTGATTAAATTTTGTCCTCCCTCCAAATAACCCACCTATGGGGGGTGAGAATTGTGATAATGGGTATTTATTTGCAGCATTGAAAAGTATTTAGTTCAGGCATAGGCAAACTCGGCCCTCCAGATGTTTTGGGACTACAACTCCCATCATCCCTAGCTAACAGGACCAGCGGTCAGGGATGATGGGAGCTGTAGTCCCAAAACATCTGGAGGGCCAAGTTTGCCTATGCCTGATTTAGCAATTTAGAAGCTTTATAAAGTTGTTTCTGATCACATCTGTTTGACTTACCTGTGTTACTGCTATTAATTCAGAGTTTACAGAAAACATGGACACTTTGAAAACAAAAATGGCAGAGCTCCGGCTGTATTGTGACCTCCTTGTTGAGCAAGTGGCTAAAACGAAGGAAGTTGGCATGTCTGGTGTTTCAGCAGCTCAGGTAATGTGGTATCAAATAAAACCTGACCATGACCAAGGTGCGAGAGAACTTCACATCCCTTCGCTGTAGCATCAATAATATGTTACAGGTGGAGCAGCACTTAACGCCACATCCCAAGAGGCTGGCCTTTGCCTGCTGCTGTTGGGGGTTGGTTGTATTGTATGCTTTTCATTATTTAGAAATTGTTTATTGAGGGTGTTTTTTATGTTCATATCAGTACAGCTTGTATGGTTCTGCCGTATGCCGCTCCTGGTGCATTTATGTTTACTCATTAAATTTATCTCTCACCCTTCCAAAGAGGATCTTTAAAACAATTCCAGTTCAGATGCAGCCTGGAAAAGATCAACATTTAGTAGAACGGGATGTTATTATGGTTGTTAAGAATGGCATGCCCTGGACACCCAAGTCTGAAGTTTTGGGGAGAAAGAGACCCCCCATATCACTGTATCATCTGTTGAGATGCTCTTGCCAGTGCCTCCCCAATCAGTAGTGAGGCAGATGTCAACAGAAGACAGGAGATGTTATCTCACTCCTCTAGGAGGTCTAACTTGCCACTAATATTACTGTGCAGCAAAAAACCTTTCTATTCACCCAGAATTTGTTTTAAAAATTCTGTTAGCATTGTCTTAGACTGTTGCTCTACTTCTTCTATCTGTGCCTTTTATACTGTTGATTTATTGTTGTGTTTTTATGTCCTTGTGAACACACACACACCCCGGAATTTTAACTAAATAAATAAGTTGTTTGTGCAGGTGTGTCAACCTGTGCTGGAAAAAGCAAACGTTAGGAGCCTGGCTTGGGGCAGGCTCGACAGCCTAGAAACCAGGCAGTTCTTGGAAGGTAAAGTCATCTTCCCCTTTTTCAGAATGGAATTGATATGGGAGCGCTGTTGAAATCCACCTGCACCACCTTTCTGAAGACCCTTGAAGATTGTATGCACATTGCAAACGCAGCCTTCTCTTCGGAGCTACTCCCGTCTGAATCTCCCAGCGTTTCCAAACCAAACAAGGTAAGCTTAAGCGCAACCTCTGTTTCTGAAGTGGCAATCCACCCTTCCCTTGGTTGTGCTATTGTTCAGCACTGCATTTATTTAGCAACTTCGGAATGCATGATTTAACTAGGAGGCTGCTGTGCTAGTTTGCCTGTTTGAGTTGTACCCAGTTTTGGAACTTTACAAGTTAAAGCATACAGTCAAACCTCAGTTGTTGAACATAATCTGTTCTGGAAGCCCGTTCGGCTTCCGAGGCGCAGCTTCTGATTGGTTGCAGGACCTTCCTGCACTCAAGCGGAAGCTGCATCGGACATTCGGCTTCCGAAAAACATTCGAAAACCAGAGCATTTACTTCCAGGTTTTCGTTGTTCGCGAGCCAAAACGTTCCAAAACAGAGCCGTTCGGGAACCGAGGTTTGACTATACAATAAATCAAGCTGAGGGTCGAAGACATTTTGTAGTATAGTCATTGGTGAAGTGTCCAGTAAGACCCATTCGATAATCAGAAGGACAATGCTTAAACAAGAAAAAAGGGAACTGACCCCTGAGACCGTGAAGAGCAGCATACTGCTATATAGAGGGCCAGTTCAAAGCATTTTGCTGCCTGAGGCAAAAGGACAAGATAGTGCCCTTCCCATTCCATGTATAGAATGGCGATGTGAAGCCTCTTCACACCTGAGGGCAGCAGCTACTTTAGAGGGTTCAGGGCAACCTAGCTTAGGGGACTTGGAGGAGAGGGGGATGAGGCAGGAAGCCTAGCCAGCATTTTCCACATCAGATGATTGCTTCACCTGCCTAATGGTAGGGCCAGCCCTACATGCATAGGTTTGTGTCTTGATTCCTTCCATAGTCTTTGGATGTATCTAAGGAAAGCTGAAGCGGCCAGTGGGAAGTGGCGGTGCCACAAACCTAGCCATCAGAATAGCTGCTGTTGACTGTGAGGAGGAGGGGTGAGGCAGTTGGGACATTGGCACTTTATGGATGCACCTGTGGAGTCAAAACTGGCACTTCTGCTGGTATGTCCACACAGTACCAACATCCTTGCCACTACCTGCTCCCCTCCTGCTAAGGAGCAATGAGTCTGCTGGCCAGATGTGAGGGGTGCCACAGTGGCACTCTGAAGGAAAGTAAGTTTCTGAGATTTAATGATACTAGCATAAACAGTTTTCTTTTTCTTTTTCTTTCCTCCCCACAGCTAATACCTTCCGTCTTATTTAGCCGCGATATATCAGAAAGGTACGGTGCACTTTTTTCTGCATTCAGTTGTAGAAATTCTCAGAGTCTGACTCTTTGGGATGAAGCCAATTATGCATCACTGTTAGAAATAACAAAGAGAAGAAGCATAAAAGCTGTGAGTGTGTGAGGGGTGTGAGTGTGTATGTGTGTTCAATATATAATATACATTCTTTAAGTTGTTCCGAAGGAGCCCACCTGAAATAGGATGCATATCAATTCCAAGAAACTGATGGATGTCAGTTTATTTATATTGTTAAGGCAGTGCTTCTGAACCATTTTAAGTTGTGTTCTCTTATTTTACTAGTCTTGGGTTACCGTATTTTTCGCTCTGTAAGACACACCAGACCATAAGAAGCACCTAGTTTTTGGAAGAGGAAAACAGGAAAAAATATATTCTGAATCCCCTGCCCCGGAGAGGCTGCGCGCGGCTAAGGCTCCACCAAGAGCTGTGCTCCCTTTAAAGAGTGTGCGGAGTGTGTGCGCGGCTGCCGTTCTCCCTCCTCGGGGAAAAGCCCCCAAGAGCCGCACACACGCTCCAAGCGGCTTGTTAAAGGGAGCGCTGAGCAGAGCCTCCTGCCTGCATTCGCTCCATAAGACACACACACATTTCGCCTTAATTTTTAGGAGGGGAAAAGTGCGTCTTATAGAGCGAAAAATACGGTATATATTTTTTTAAAAACCTGAATATGCACACTAAAAATACATATTAGAGGCTACAGAGCGCCTTTTAAAAAGTAAACCGATTCTGTGACTTCCTGCCTCAATCCTGGGGTGCCTTGGGAGTGAAGCCGCATTGCGTTACATCACTCCCAAAGCATTCTGGGAATTGTGACTGGCATGAAGTGGCACAAGGCCATCTCCGCTGTGTCCTGCCTTCCGCACTTCTGAGCGAAACCCACTGAGGTAAGCGGCAACCCCATTCTGGATAGTTTGGAGAAATTATATTGTTCAAAAACTGTAATCAGATAATTCTGTTTAAAACAACAACAACAAACTTTATTGAACAAACAAGGTTCTTTTCTTTTGTTCCTCCCAGGAAGATGGAATTAAAAAACTGTGAAAACGGATCTCTGTATGCAAACACCAACCTTCATGAGCGATCCCTGATTGATAAACTGACCCCTGACCCCCTGAAAACTGGCAAGATGGACTGCACAAACACGATCAAGGATGATTTGGCAGGTAAATTCATCAGTGGTTATTATTCAGAATCAATGGTGTTGACTCGTCCACTTTTTGGGTTTTTAACCAGTGTTCCGTCCGTCTAAATGGAGCATATCAATTATTATTGTGATTTAATGCGACAAGTGTGTAATTTGAAACTTCTGTATACTCTTGGCGAAAAAGAAATTGAGAAAGCCACTGATGTGGAGGCAGTCATTCTGAAGTCTGTATTATTTCATGTTTGTCCTGCCCTTCTTCTGAGAATCTCAGGGCAGTATAAACAACTCTCTCCCACTCCCCTTTTATTCTCATGAAGCAAAATTACCTACAGGTAAAGTAAGGTGCTGCCAAGAGATACTGACTGGTCCAAGACTGAGTGGGGGATTTGAACCCAAGTCTCCCTGTTCTGAGTCTTGAAACTCTAACCACTACACCACACTGGCTATGCATAAATCCAGAGACGGATTTACATCCATCTCAAAAGTTTTCCCGTTCAGATTCTGTACGGGTGAGAAGCTGTACAGATGAGCAAGCAAGCATGCCTGCAAAACAGGACATTTAACGATACAGAAGATATAAAATCCACCGCAGTCTCCCCCCCCCCCCTTTGTTTACATTCAGAGGCAGGTCACCAAGTTTAGTTTTCTGAAGATGTCTCTCCCTTTAAACCCAAGGTGGTGGCAATGACGATGGAGAGGACAAGCTGCTGCCAAAAGAGGACAATCAAGACGACAAATCTTTAAAGCCTGTAGTGGAATCGGCAAAAAGACCAACAGCATTGCAATCGGAAGAGAAATCAGACAAAGCTTTACCTACTTTTTTCAGCGCTATGAGCATTAGGTAATGCGCCACCTGCATAGCTGTCAACTGTCCCTTATTTGGCGGGAAAGTCCCTTATCCCAGCACCGTGTCCCGCTGCTGTCCCTTATTGATGATGTCCCTTAAATTTCCCGGGTTTCAAAGGAAGCAGCTCCTCTCCCTCCCTCCCTCCCTCCCTGCCGGCCAGGGAGGAGGGAGGCTCCAACTGTGTTGCTTGGCTGCATTGCTCACCCAATAAGGAGTCTAAGAACGACTGGGGGGTGGAGCTTGCATGCCTTGTGCCGATCAAATCGGCCGCGTTGCCTGGGGACTCGCCTTTGCTCAGCGCTTCCCAGCAGAGAGGTGACAGTGGTTTTTCTTGCTGCATCCCTTTTGCCGGGTTGCTGTGCTGTGGGAACCACCGCTTGAGGCTTTGTTTGGCTGCTGGCTGGGCTTTCCGCCTTTGGATCGGAGGGGCTCAGAAGTTGAACATACCTGTGCTAGAAAATCCCTTATTTTGGCTGCTGATCCCTTATTTTCAAGGCTGCTGGTCCCTTATTTTCAAATCTGTAAGTTGACAGCTATGGCCACCTGGATAGAAATTGCATGGAGAACCTTAAGGAATGGTCCATTAAGGGGGTGAATTTGCTCTACGTCCTCAGTTTTCTGTAGAGAAGGAGAAGGCAGACTTTGGGGACATGGGACGCTGCCATCTACTGAGTCTGCCCACTGGTCTTTCTAGCTTCGTATTATCTACAGTAATATTTGGGTGTCTGTCGCACAGCAACAAATCAATTTTATCTGTTGCAGACAAATATGAATATCTAGGTGACACAGGAACATGCCACTGCATACATTTCTGGACATGGATATTATTAACATTATGTTGATCTCTTTTATAAAATGCATGTAATCAGATTCTTGATCCACCTGAAAAGCACTTTTCCACTCTGTGGGTTTCTCCAGTTGTATCATTTCAGCATTATCCCAATTGTGAAGACGAATAACATAAATGGCTTTGAAATAGGATTAAAGTGGAATTAGCCCATTACCTCTGACTGCAGTGTCACCTTGGAATTCTTAATGTGCTCTATGTGTTCTTCCCCAAAGGTTTAGTGATATCAAGCTTTTTGAGGATGGAGGTATACCCACAGAAGAATTCCTACAATCTTGTAATGAAATAGTTCCAGTCTTGGGTATGTGATTGCTTGTTTCCTCCGTGAAATATGTTGCACAGTGAATATCTCTGCTTTGCTATTGAAGCCTTAGTGATTCCATTAAGAACATAATGATAGAGTGTGGCTTAGTGAGACATCAATGAATCTAGCCTATTTTTACCAAGCTTGTGTGCTCTTCCTTTCACCTCTCTTCCTCCAACCCCTCTTCTCCTCCCTCGTGGTCAGCAGCAATAAGTTCAGAAGGTTTTGCCTTTGATAACCAGAGCTTGCCATGTCATTCAGACCCCCTAAAATGCAGTTAATCTTAATTGAGGTTAGTTAGCTTCAGAAACTGTAGTTAATATTAACCACAGTTTACTGGATTTGGGCAACACAACAAACTGTGGCTAACCAAAAACAAAAAACCTCCAAAGTACTACACCCAGCTGTGTTGGATGAAGACAGTGGGTGGTGGAATGTGTGAACCCAGGAAGAGACTAGTCTTGTTCACATGATAAGTGAAGTGTTCAAATGGAACCATTGTGTTATGTGAACAGAGCAGTGTGTTGTTTGGGCATCCTTGCCCCCAAAGAGAGAATAAACCGCATGCATACCACCTTGAGTGTCATGACAGAAGAAAGTAGGATGTAAGAACAAAAAAATAAATAAACAAATCTTATAAATATAGCCAGCACAGACCTCTTATTTTACAGTGAATGTACCCGATAGCTTGGCTTTTAAGCTGTCTGGGACTTTGTGCTTGCCTTTGATCCAGTGAAATGTCATTGAGTTACCCAAATCATCGTCCTAGACAAGAACTCCTTTTGGTTACAAAATGGAGGGGAAGCCCTGCTTTATAGAGGACGCAAATATTCTTGCGTTCTTAACCCAGCTCCTCCTTCAGCTTCTTTCATGCCTTCAAGAAAAATCAGAGGTGCTCAATCCTTTCTGCTCTGTTGCCTGTTATCCAGGTTGAGTAGGTGGAGCTAAAGCTGACCTTTGAGGTCTTGAAAACTCATCTTCTTTCTCCTAGACAAACTTGGGCCCACAGTCTTTGCTCCCGTTAAAATGGATTTTGAAGGGAACATCAAGGTAATGGCTTCAGTTAACATTCAGTTCTTAATGATAAGTATTTTAAAAATGAAAAGAAGATGCTGAAATAATCTTGCAGGTGCTGTTCAGAAAAGGGAAGGGAAGTCACTCTGTGCATGGTTCTTTATGTGCTTCTCCGGACATGGGCGCAACCAGGATTTATGTTGGGTGGGGTGGACAGGACACCTCCTGTCGTCATCCTCTGTCTTGTTCTGCCTAGCAGATTCAGAACGAAATGTCTCCACAACAGTTTTCAATTACTTTCTTCTGACCCCAAGTGGTCAAAACATTTCAGATACAGTGGTACCTTGGGTTACATACGCTTCAGGTTACATATGCTTCAGGTTACAGACTCCGCTAACCCAGAAATAGTGCTTCAGGTTAAGAACTTTGCTTCAGGATGAGAACAGAAATCGTGCTCCGGCAGTGCGGCAGCAGCAGGAGGCCCCATTAGCTAAAGTGGTGCTTCAGGTTAAGAACAGTTTCAGGTTAAGTACGGACCTCTGGAACGAATTAAGTACTTAACCTGAGGTAGCACTGTATTCTGATCATTTCTACTTTTAGTTAAGTATTTTTATTTATTTACTTGACCATGAGTCCAGAGACATTCTTCCATGAGTTGTTAGGCCTTGCTTACCCTCCGCCATGTGCCATGGCGAGATGCCTTGCTGCTGAGTATTTGAATCCAAGAGCCACATTGTTAGGGTGGACTGTGTGGCTCTTTTCCAGATGTTACTTTCCCCAAGAAACCACTTAATTGGACCAACCTATGTGGTTCCTAATTGAGATGCAGTGCGGGAATTTGCTCCACCCTACCTGGCAAGGGTCTTCTGTTCCTTCCCTGTCAGACGCCCCTCACTATATAATTTCTGGGTATGGGCCTGCCAGAAATACCAAACGCCAAAGTGTGTGACCTGGTTCTCTCTCCTGTCTAGAAAGTAAATCAGAAATACATAACCAACAAAGAGGAGTTCACCACTCTTCAGAAAATTGTCCTACACGAACTGAGCTCTGAAGAGGCAGCACTTAGAAACTCTGCCACGCAGGCCCTCCTCTGGCTGAAAAGGTAGGTTGTCTAATTTTTGGGACATGGGTGAGGCTGGTTACACTGCTAACCAGGATCCATTTTGGGCCAAAACCAAATATCCAGCTAAGTCATACCAATTGAAAGCAACAGACTTAAGTTTGTTGGTTTCCGTAGTGCGTCTCTACGACTAACACTAGATATAACCCAGTTACTGCTTTTTAATTTGCATTCTAGAAGAATGCAAAGGGCACATTTAATGATCACCGGTGACAGTAAACATGGTCTGGGGCCTACCTCCTGTGGACTCCCTTTCCTTCGTCTGTCTAGTGAATTCTCCACCCTCGGTGAAGTGAAAAAGGCTCAGTATGGGTGTTAGATATAAATAGAACTTACATCAATTGTTCAGAGGTTCTCTCAGCCTGCCTTCAAGCATATCGAGGCTGCTTGCGGACAGAGGGATAGGTGGGTTTCTCCATTTGGAAATGATCGTGTCTCTTTTCCTGTAAACTACAAACAGAATTTGCAACTGCACTTGATCTTAGCCCAAAGGCTGAGAAGCCCTAATGGTGGCCAAGAGACTGATACTGAGGAATTGGAAGAATATAGATAGGATACCCTTTAACCAGTGGATTGACAGTATGACCACACTTGCAGCTTATGAATGGACTGCTCGCAGACATAGACTTTGTTTGGATAAATATGACAACATTTGAAATCAGTTTATACAGGACGTAGCAGGCTATTAATATCTACATATGTATTAGGATAGTAACATAATGTCAATTTATATAAGAATGTATGGGAGTATACTACATTGTACGTGTGTGTGCATGTGTGTGTGTTTACACATTCTTGTTCTTTTTTCTCCCCCCTTTTTTTCTTTGTATCAATTTATTTCTTTATAATTGAAATTCTTCCAATAAAATTTTAATACACACACACACCACAATTGCAACTGACTTTTCACACTATTGCGGATGCCACATTTTTCAGTATCTCCATTCTGCTGTACAGTCATACCTTGGATCCTGAACGCTTCACGACTCAGACATTTTGCCTCCCAAACGCCGCAAACCCGGAAGTGACTGTTCCGCTTTGTGAACGTTCTTTGGAACCCAAACGTCCGATGCAACTTCCGTGGCTTCCAATTGGCTGCAGGAGCTTCCTGCAGCCAATTGGAAGCCGCGCCTTGGTTTCTAAACGTTTTGGAAGTTGAACGGACCTCTGGAACGGATTCCGTTTGACTTCCGAGGTACCACTGTCCTTTATCCACACCTGTGGGTGTGACATAGCTGCTGTGGCTGGAGAAGGTGTGATTCACCTGAACAGCCGTTTGAAGCTTAGCACACTTTATAACCTTTGCAGTGGCAGCTTCTCTTTTCTTTATTAGCACAATATCCATTAAAGATTATCCATTAAAGATATTTTTAAAAAATAAATGTTTAATAAACCCTTTCTGGTCACTGCCTTTCGAACAACACTGTTAACACCAGCAACCAGAATGGGGTTTCTCCCCTACCCAATATCCCACTGTCCATATTTTCTATTAAAAGATATATTTTAAAGTAACAATTTCAAGCGACAGTATGTGCTCTAACTTTGTTCCCTCGTTCCAAACAGGGGTTTAAAATTTCTGAAGGAGTTTTTGAAAGAACTAAAGAATGGAGAGAAGAATATTCAAACAGCATTGAGTAAGTGCAGAATATTTTGCAGAAAACTATGGAACTCCACATTTTCGAGGGTGGCAGAGGGGATACTGGCTTAATTCACTCACATCATCACATGTACTCAGCGAGAGCGGTGTTTATAATGAAAACCATACTTGGAAATTAAACATGTTTGCTTTAAGAAGGAACCTTTGTTCGATTTATTATTTTGCCAAACCCCTGAGACTGTCTCAAAAACTTTTACTCTGCGCAGCATCTTACAAAATGTTTACCCCTGTCCCCCTTTCTGTCGAATTACAGATAATGCTTACGGCAAAACGCTACGACAATACCACGGCTGGGTTGTCCGAGGAGTTTTTGCGGTGAGTGAGCTTTTTTTAGTTGACGGTGATCATATGAGTAGATTTCTTTAAACTCAGTTATTTTACAGATCGTATACACACACTCTGGATATATTCATGTATTGCAATGAACTGGTTTTCTGATTTTTACATCTGACTGCTAGTTAGTTCACACAGACACTGTAAGCCAGCAGAGGCTTGGACTCAAACTCCAATCAGCCCTTGCCATTGGTCAGAGATGATGGGAGTTGTAGTCACAGGTCCCCCCACCAATGCTGTCAGTAGTAATGCCATTGACTTACCTCTGGTACTTCAGGAGCTTACCAAGAATAAAGTTGTTTTATGGGCAGGAGGCTGGCTACTCAATGATAGAATCATAGAATTATAGTTGGAAGGGACCCTGAGGATCATCTAGTCCAACCCCCTGCAGTGCAGGAATATTCAGCTGTCCCATACAGGGATTGAACCTGCATCCTTGACATTATCAAAGCCACGCTGTAACCAGCTGAGCCATCCAAAAGTGATGCCGAGTCATTTCAGCTGTGAGTGTGGTATTTCCTTACCAAGCATGACAGAAAAGCATATATATTTCAGGGAATGGAGGACAGAATTATTTTCTTCCTTCCCTCTCTTCCTCATCAATGCCTACACAGGAATAAGCCCTATTTAATTCATTGTGGCTTCCTCCTGAGTAAATGGGTCTAAGTTGGCAGCCCCCTCTGCTGTTTAATGTGAGAAACGATGCTGGGACTCTGCGCGAGCCAGTTGTGGTTGTGTTGTTTTGGGATTTGGATAAAAATTGGGATTTTGGCGTGTGCTGCTGTTAGTCTTTTTCAGTATAAGAATGCAACATACTTACTTGTGGGTTGACTCTTGAGCAGAATCAGGGGTGCATGGGGATTTGGAAGCAGTAGCACAGAACATTTATATATTGCTACATTTATATCCCACCTTTCCTCCAAAAAGCTCAAGGCTGCATACATGGTTCTCCCCCTTCCCATTTATCCTCACAACAGCCCTGTGGGGTAGGCTAGGGCTCCCTCCAGACATGCTTTTTACTGCGCATTTATGATGACTTGCACCCATAGGAGCAGTCATACGCACGCCCAATTTTAGTACTATTTGTATTGAAGCTGCCTATTGTATCCTTCAACTTTTCAAAGTGTTGGTGTTGACTTTTAAAGCCCTAAGTGGCCTTGGCCTTGTATACCTGAAGGAGAGTCTCCACCCCTGTAATTTAGCCTGGACACTGAGGTCCAGCTCCAAGGGCCTTCTGGTGGTTCCCTCACTGTGAGAAGTGAAGTTACAGGGAACCAAGCAGAGGGCCTTCTCGGTAGTGGCACCCGCCCTGTGGAACACCCTCCCATCAGATGCCAAGGAGATAAGTAACTATGCAACTTTTAGAAGACATCTGAAGGCTGCCCTGTATAGGGAAGTTTTTAATGTTTGATATTTTATTATGTTTTTATATTCCGTTGGAAGCCGCCCAGAGTAGCTAGGGCAACCCACTCAGATGGGCGGAGTACAAATACTAATACTAATAATACTAATAATAATATTATACCACAAATATTCAGCTTTATTTTTGTTCTGCTTTTGTTGAACTAGAACCCCTCCCGACAGCAGTAGCATGGTAGCACTGGGGAAGTGTCACAGCATCAACTAATAAAGTGGAATAAATCTACCACCAATGCTCTACAGTCGTACCTCGGAAGTCGAACGGAATCCGTTCCGGAAGTCTGTTTGACTTCCAGAATGTTCCGGAACCAAGTTGTGGCTTCTGATTGGCTGCAGGAAGCTCCTGCAGCCAATCAGAAGCCACAGAAACCCCATCAGACGTTTGGGTTGCAAAGAGTGTTCACAAACCAGTTTGCGGCATTGGGGAACCAAAACGTTCAACTCACAAGGCGTTCGACTTCCGAGGTACTTATTTTGTTGCAGAATGCAACCGCAATAAAACACCTGTCTGGAGGGATCCATAGTCTCTTGCTCCACCATACAGTGGTACCTCGGGTTACATATGCTTCAAGTTACATATGCTTCAGGTTACAGACTCCGCTAACCCAGAAATAGTGCTTCAGAATTTTGCTTCAGGATGAGTACAGAAATTGTGCTCTGGCGGCGCGGCAGCAGGAGGCCTCATTAGCTAAAGTGGTGCTTCAGGTTAAGAACAGTTTCAGGTTAAGTACAGACCTCTGGAACAAATTAAGTACTTAACCCAAGGTACCACTGTACACATTTGATAGGTCTTCATTATTTTGCAGGACTCTTTGCTGCCTTTCAAAGAGTCACGCCCACCTAAAAGTTTGCTTATCTCCCGCCGCACCCTTCCCAGTCTTTGTGCACAACAGTTAAAATCACAAGACACCATGTGGATCTCCTTTGCTTCTGTTCCTTGCAGCTCGCGCTAAGGGCATCTCCGACTTACGCAGACTTTGTGGCTGCGCTCTCTCTCGGAGAGTGCGAGAACCAGGAAGAAGCTTTTTACAATGGAATGCAAAGGGACCTCAACATCTACCTACCGGCCATGGAGAATCAGCTCTGCATCTTGGACGCACTGTATGACGAACACGGGCTGGAGTCGGACGAAGTGGTGTGATTGCCAGCCCCACGCGGTGCCTCGCAAATTCAGGGATTGTGTCCGCTAACATAGCTTTTTATCCCCAGAAAGCTATTCTGTTTCTTTGTGTTTTTCCGTGCTTGGGAAGGGACTCGAAGCTTTCTTTTTTATACACTTTTATTACTATTTACAATTATTATTTGAATGCTTGCTCGTGTTTAAACGCAAAGGTGCTATACATTCAGGCGAGATTGTGACTGTCCTGATGACAGCTGGATCTCGCCGTGTTTGCTGTGTGGCAGGCCATACATGGCGGTGGTTCCAAGAGCCGTAGCCGCGGCATTTGGTACCGTTGGGTTGAATAGTTCAGAGCTTTTCCTTACCGGTGAAATGACCGCAGGTCAAATCAACAAAAGCAATAGTAGCTTTCAGTCTAGTGGCTGTAAAACGTAGCCAGGATTTGCAAAGCCACACTTCCCATTTTAGTGCAAGTCTTCCTTGCAGGTTAAATCATACCCAGAACCCAGGGTGTTACCAGGTCACAAGTAACCACCCGCTTTCATCATGTTGAAGCAATTGGCTGCATCCCTCCACATCAGTTGAAACAAAGGATCTGCCCCATGCTCACATACCATGGTGACAGATGACTGCTGACCTCTTAAGGCTGTCAACGTGCTTCCATTGCTTCCAAGCTGATGTTCTCGTGCTAAGCCAGAAGCACTGGGAAATTCCTCGTGCCACAACGATCATGTATCTTGCACACTGCCTGTCTCTGCTCCAACAGAAGGTGGAGGGAACAGAAGAATGCACCACGTTGCTCCAGCACCCCCTGGTTGCAGATGCTTTCTAACTTCCGGGTTCACTTGCTTTTGGAATCGGTAGAACTCTTTGCAAGTTAGGATTGCAGCTTTTGCAGCCTGTGCTTTAGAGGCCTATTTGAAACCAAATCACAAGCATTCCGTGTCTGTGTTTGAATCATTCTCAACTCTGGATTGCAAAAAGGCTGGATTTGGAGCAGAATCTGTGGAATGGTGAATCAATCCATAAACAACTGTCTTCTTCAGAGTAATTGGAAGCCTTTTTTTTTTTGTTTTAGGTCCAGATGTAATTTCAGAATACATGAGCTTTTCCACTGCTAATGTTTGTTTTTTTAAAAATAAGAATAATACTAGGTTTGTCTAATCAGAGTTCAGGGTGAACAGCTTTCCTTACGATTATATATAAAATGCACCTCTGGTATATGAAAGCTGGTATATGAAATGTGTATTTATATAGGCACTAGTAGTGTTACTGGAATTACTTCTGAGTTCTTACAGACAAGGGAATTCAAAATGTTACATGATACCTGGGCAGGAACAAGTAGTGTGTCGTGTTCCCCAGACTTAAGGGCTACATATCAATATATTGCCAAAACCAGAGTTGGCTCAATGTTCCCATCCCAGAAAACTGCCACTGCAGTTTCTCTGTTTGTCCCTTCTGTTGGTTCTTCACATTCCCCTAGTTCTTCTGTCTCATTCTTCTTCCTCCCTGTGTGTCGCATTCTCCTCACACGCAAAATGGAACCTTTGTTTTCTTGAAATCCTTTGGGGTCATTGGTCTCATGTGGAGGACCATGGAGGCCTCGGGGTGAATTGTTCTGAAGGAGATGATTACTCTGGCTGTCAGGAGCCAACAGATAACTGGCCTGAAAGCTTATTGTGTGGTCTGTAACCATACGGGAAAGAGATTTGTGTGGCCAGTCATGTCATGTCCCCTGATTTCAAAGATATTCAGAAGAAGTGATAATGCTGAGCCTAAAATACATATTTGGAGGCTGCAGTGACAATCTCACAAAGTTACAGGTAGCACTTGTTCAATTGGTACCTCATGGTACCTTAGAGTACCAGTCTTAGAGCTTCCAGTCATCTGAATACACCCTCAATGTCTCTAGGTAAAAACTAGTATGGATAGACTAAGGAGAAATTAGGCTGCAAAATCATGAAGGAACCAATTCCAGTACCCTCAAACACTTTCCACAATGCTATTCCCATAGAACAAGTCTTTTTTAAAAAAAATTTAAAAAATCCACATTATAATTGAAACATACCTATGGACCTCTGTTGCCTTTAGGATTGAAATAGGCGATCACTGAGTCAGCAGTTTAAAAGAAAGCTTTAAATGAATTAAAGCACAAAATTAGGTACTTGAATTTAGACACCACAATATCTGCTTGGGCTATAAAATTTCAAATAATCTGGAATCTGGAAAATTCAGGGAAATTGTACTGTTGGGCACAAATGCTACCATTAATACAGCCCTGCTTTTAGTCACTGGCACAGAAGTCAACAGGATTACTCCAAACACAGTCATATTTCATCTGCAACTTTTCATCCATGTGGAGCATATAATCTCCTGTTTATTCACTTATTGCATTTATACCCTGACTTTCTGATAAATACCCAAGGTGGCAAGCAGGGTCATAAATGTGTGATTCAATAGAGCAGACTTTCTACACCTTGGGTCCTCAGATGATGTTGGACTACAACTCCCATCATTCCTAGCCAACATGGCCAGCAGGTCAGGGATGATGGGAGCTGTAGTTTAATAACATCTGGGGATCCAAGGTTAAGGAAGGCTGCAATAGCCCTATTTTTATTTTGAACTTCTGGTGCTCACAATGTATCATTTCCTATCATTTATTTAGATGTCTGTTGTCTTGAATATTTGTTGATAAGATAGTTTATTCTCATTGCAACTTAAGAAATTTCAAGAGGGCCATATTTGGGGCAGAGGAACCCAACTTTGCATTTCTCTGTTTGAATGCACAGCACCTAGATCTTTGAGGCACTTTATAAATGTTGTTGTTGACATTCTGGGTGAGGGAATTTCTCACTTGTGCCATCATCATACCTAAATCCCCTCTGCAACAATGCAATAATTTCAAGGAAAGATTCCCTAATCCTCTAAATTCATTTTGTACATTGGCTGTTGTTTTAGATAGGTCATAACATTTGAGCTGCAGCAGAGGGCATGTTTCCAGTTAATCTCTTCATCATTCCCAAGTGAAAATCCAAGATGGAGGATCTTTTGCTATTTGTTTATAGAGTCCGGTTCACGTGACCAAACTGAATTAGGTAGATTAAGAGGACCTGTGCAGAGATGATCATGTGATGTGTTCCCCATGTACTCTGCTCTCATTGCCTCTCTTATACCCACCATTCTCACCACTTCCAGTAGCTTGACAAGTGGTAAATTTCAAGTTGAAAGCTAGGCACAAAACCCTTCCCCTGTGGGTCAAGATTAACTTGTTTGTTTGTTTTTGGCATTAAGTGGCACCCATTCTGCATCTGCTTACACCAACAGCTGCCCATCATTTTATAGTAGGCACTTGTGCCAACAAAATTTTATTTTGCTTGTTTCCATTTTGTCATTGTTTCCTCAGAACATCGCCTTATCTTCAGCTCCCCACCCCCTACCCCTTGAGCAGGTGATCTTCCTCAAACGGTCAGTTTCTCTCTTCCAACAAACACACAAAGAGAGATATTCTGAAAAGTAGCGTTCTTTTTTATAGCGTCGGGCCTCTAGAATGGCTATTTTGTTTGTCAAATGACATTGCCTAGCAGTTGGCGGTATGGAAGCCATTTTGTATATAGACACTGCAAATAAACACAGCCGTCTGCCTAGCGGACAAAATGGCTGGTTCTCTTAACTCTGCTGAGTGTGAGCATTTTAGAGGATAGCTGGAGTGTTTTGAGGTTTAAAAGAATAATGAGGTGTCCCTTTCAGCTGAACTACAAGCACGCTTCAAGTGACAGCTAAGTGGTTAACATGTGTCATTGACTTGTGACATATGAGCAACAGTGAATTGCAATTAGCTGCTGCAGCATGATATGTCCTGGTGCGTTTGTGTCATCTGATTCCCTAAAAAAAAAAAAGGCTGGTAGATACATATTCTCAGGGATTTGAGCAGCAAGGGCAAAAACCCAGTCGTCTTTAAAGACTCTGATTGTTCATGTAAATAATGTTGTAGACCAGTTGAGACCTTCTGCAAAGTGCATTTCTATTCTAAACTGTATGAACGGTCGACTTTTGCACAAGACATAAGAAGCTTCCAAAACTACTGCGTGTGAACTTCTGTCGGCATGTTTGACTTGCACTCTGTATATCTTTGTAAAGTAGAGTACATGCCTGTTGTGTTTGAATGAAGGACAAAAGGTTTTACTAGAGTTATCCCCACCCCACAGGAGTCCCCAGTATGTGCTGTGTTGATCTGGATATTTTGTAATGTTTCCTTTTGAAAACACAGGGAGTTACCAAAAGGCAGCCTGAAGGGCGTAGTGGCATATATCATCACATTCTCATGATTTGTTACACTGAAATGGCAAAGGTTTTGAGGCTGGCTATACCAATGGATCACAGCAGGGGTCTTGTTTTTAAAAGAAATATTCCTTTAATATATATATCAGAGAATAACTTATCCTAGTAGAAGTCATGGTAGGAAAACTATACAATTCTATTTATTATTGCCACTCCCTCTCCCTTCATTTGAACATGTTGCATGGCTTGGGAAATGGTCAACACTTATGCAGTTACTAGGCATTGGGGTACAATCCAGAGATTTTTTTTATATAAAAAACAACAACACATGGGCTTTTCCCCATTGACCACACCGACGTGTGTAATGCACTCCGCAATGCTTTGATGATGACAATAAAACTTCCTTTGATTTTATTGTGTCTAAATTGCGATGGTTATTTCTTCTCTGTAGTAGCGCCCGCGCTGTGGAATTCCCTCCTCTCAGATGTCAAGGAAATAAACATCTTAACTGACTTTTGTTCAGGGGGAAGTTTCCAATGTTTGATGTCGTATTTTAATTTGTTGGAAGCCACACAGAGTGGCTGGGGTAACCCAGTCAGATGGGCGGTATATAAATATAAATACTCACCCCCACAAGTTTACTATACTCAGTTATTAGAACTGCCAGAATGCCAGACTTCACGCCCAATCAGATTAAGAGGCTAATCGCAAGCCAACTAGCTAATAAAGCTCCAGGAGAAGACATGATCCCAATGGAGATCTATAAGACCTGATTTCTGGTCACCCATTTTTGCAAAATTGTTTTCATACATTAACAGCTCAGGTCGCATACCTGAAGGGTGGAAGCTGAGTATAATTGCCCCAAAGGGTGATAAGAAAAACCCTGCCAATTATAGACCCATTACTTTGTTAGATGTAGCCTCCAAACTATATGCCAGGCTCCTTCTTGGGAGACTAGAAGAATGGGCAGATACAAATAAGGTGATATCTGAAGTCCAGGCAGGTTTCCAAAGAGGGGAATCCACAGTGGACCAGTGCTTTGTGCTGAACTTTCTGCTATGTAAAATTTGAAACACACAGGAAGCTGCATCAGGGACTTTATGCTAAGAAATGCTTTAGTAACAGAATGAAGCACCTTGTATGCTTTACGCTTATACTGTTCGAATTAGATGTTTGGGCTAACCAAGGTTCATCAGGCACCTTAGATTCACAACACAAGGTATCTGGAACTGTCGCTTTAAATGGTTGCATTTTGCCCTTTTGTTGCCTAAGAAATTTGCCCCCAAGCTCTGCGCCAAGCAGTGGGAGCAAGGGAAGGCACCTGTGACAAACCTTCCAGTTGTCTTTGAAGAATGCCCTGCCAGCAAAGAGGGAGATTCCCCGTGAAATTAAACTGTCTTTTGAAGCCTTCCGTTAACGGGTCCTGGGGCTGCTCAGGATTAGTGCTCCCTGGCTTACGCTGGGGACAGTATAATGGGGAAAGATGGACTTTGCTGCTTGGAAAGCGCTGATAAGAGCAGCGGAACAATAAGAGAAGGGCAACGAAATGGGTCCCGAACATACCAGCAGATTTATTTGGGTTGCCGGCTTCGGTGTTAAGAAGCTTCACATATATATAGTGGTTATTGGAGTGGGATGCTGGACAGAAATAAGAGATTAGCCTTTAAGCATGGCAGGGTTTTCTTACACAAAACATTTCTGCATAGACAAAACCAAAGCGTGGTCTATAGTTTCTGCGTGACTTCTTAGCTTTCTTATTTATTTCTAGGTTTTGTAAATAGCTTCATAACCAAAAGCTACCAAAAAGGTGTACAGTATAATAAACTCAGTAAACTAAAACCATTTCTACAATTATTCCATAAAATTATTAGGTCACACTTTAGGGAAGGCCTTCTTAAACCAGAATAATGTCATCAATAGCCACCTAAATATCAAATTGTGAGGGGTTTTTGTTTGTTTGTTTTTTTAAAGCAAATTGCTGCAGAAATGTGGAGAACTAAACTTAAGATTAGGAAAAATGAGAAATGGAAAGAACCGAAATTGACATATTTGTCCATCATTAGCGATACTTCAGCTAGGAATGAAGCCCCCAACTAGTCCCTGCCTTTTCAGGAAATAGTTATAGTGCTGTTCCCTGACATTTTCACTATGGGGCAGTCTTCACCAACTGTAGGAGCAGCAGACACTGATGAATAAGGGGGAAAGGGGGCAAAGATCCATTCATGTGTATGGATGGCATCTTAAATTCTGTCTTTAGCCATAAGTGAAGTGTTAGGATGATAAATTTGCAGATGTGTTCACAGTTTCACCATTCCAATAATACCAATAATTAATTAATTAATAATAATAATAATAATAATAATAATAGTAATAATAATCTGGTACCTCAGGTTAAGTACTTAATTCGTTGCGGAGGTCCATTCTTAACCTGAAACTGTTCTTAACCTGAAGTATCACTTTAGCTAATGGGACCGCCTGCTGCCCCAGCACCGCCGCAGCACGATTTCTGTTCTCATCCTGAAGCAAAGTTCTTAACCCGAGGTAATATTTCTGGGTTAGTGGAGTCTCTAACCTGAAGCATATGTAACCTGAGGTACCACTGTAATAATAATAATATGCTGCCCATCTGACCGGGTTGCCCCAGGCACTCTAGGCGGCTCCCAACAAAGTACAGTGGTACCTTGGAAGTCGAACAGAATCTGTTCTGGAAGTCCGTTCGACTTCCAAAACGTTTGGAAACTAAAGCGCGGCTTCCGATTGGCTGCAGGAAGCTCCTGCAGCCAACCAGAAGCCCCGTTGGACATTCGGCTTCCAAAAATAGTTTGCAAACTGGAACGGTCACTTCAAGGTCATGCCAAAACGTTTGAGAACTAAGCTGTTCAAAAACCAAGGTACAACTGTGTTGATAATACAATAAACATCAACCCGTCTCTCTGTCTGTGTGTGTTATTAGCATCATTCTTCCCCACTTGTGATTCCCACTGCCTCTGACAGTGGAGGTAGAACATGGCTAGTAGCTCTTGGCTAGTAGCTATTCCTCCCAGAGGAACCCAGTTAAACAGTAAAACAACTAGTCTTGCCGCAAGAGACTCATCTGGTTCGATGTGTATCCAGATGCACACTCATTTCACGATGATATGCAGAATTGCGTGTCTATCTCTTCTGCTAGATGGGAATGGTGGCTTGAAAAATACAGAGAATTTTGGCAGTAATAGTGAAGAAATCTAGTTCAAGGCAGAACCGCACTCCGCAAAACTAGTCTTGCAAGCGGTTTCTCCCAAATAATCTAGGAAATTGCCCCGAGGGTGTTGAGGAACTAAATGTTGTTAACCGCTTGGAGCATCAAGGATGGGTTTATTTTTAAATTAGAGACCCCAGTGCCACCCAGTCAGCTATGGAACTAACCAATGGAACTAACAAAATGTTGTGGTGTGGAGTGCTCTTTTTCAGGGTTTCGGCCACAGTCCTGTTCATTATTCTCAAGCTATCCTCTCCAATTTTCTGATATCGCTCTCCCTCAAAAGTCAGCGTTTTGTGCTTGCTCAGTCCTCATTTGGCTGTTTTTTGTTCCCTCCCCTTAATAGTTGACTGGGTTGTGCTTTTGGCAATGCAACATGTGTTCAAAGATGGAGAGGTCTCCCCCTAGGCAATATGTAGGCAATATGCCTGGCACTTTTTGTGGAAAAGCTTAGGATCCTAGAAATATGCGGGGTGGGCAATGTTGAGCAGGACAGGGACTACACTGATCCCAAATAGCTCCATTCCTATGCCTGGTACTAGGTGAAGCAGACAAAGCAATGGAACATTTTCTTATTAATGCCTTTGGTACAGAATTCAAAGTAGCATATTGTAGAACTTGGTTGCCACCCATTGGTACGTGCAGATGCAAACAGATTTGAAAAGCGTGCGGATATTTCCCCCCTTCCCTTTTGCCTCTTGTCTTTGCCAGCACTCCGATTGTGGCTTTCTGCCAACCCTACCCCAATTAATTTAGCATCTGTTTTCAGGGTTGATATTGTCCGCTCGTATCTCATCTTCAGAGACTAGACATGCCTCAAATATTTTCCAGTAGGTCATGGTTTTCCACTTGGTTTTCGCTTAACAGCTGGCATCTAGTCTCCATCGTGCAACTGAGAAGCAATTTATCATGGTTAGGTCTTGCTGGGTCTTCTTTAAGGCACAATTTCCCATTCTTTCCCTGTAACTCAATATCAGAGGAGCTCAGGTATATCACACTGAAATCGACACCCAACAACAACTTTCCAACCCGCCATCTATTAGGCGAATTCCATCAAACCACAAAGCTCAACAGAACGGCAATAAGGATAAAGTTACCTGTTTATTTGACCGAAATAAGCATTTAGAGTGCCGTAAATGCTATTTTGACACTGTTGTGGATTTATCTGACCTTTGTGTAGGCCGGGCTGTGAGGTGGATTCCCCCTTTTTTTTACTACAAGTCTCTGGGTTGCCTAAATTATGGAAGGAGACAAGCTCTGGGACGCTGCCATAGCTCACCTCTCTAAATAAAGTGCGGAAACTTCTGATCATCTGCCTAAGTCAGGATTGTTAAGTATGTGTCCAAGCCTGGATTTAGCATGCAGCTAAGGCAACGCTGAACGGGTGTCCCTTCAGAGGAGAAATCATTCCATTCTGAAGTGCTGACAGTATGGAAAATCCTCATTAGGTTACGCCACAATGCTTCTCCCAAGCTATCTTAATGCAAAATACGGGATAGAGAAATCTGAGCTATCTCACAACTTAAGGGATCTGGGCTGGATGATGTGGACCAACTGCCACATCCCATGGCTTCACTACAAATATTATGGGTAATTAAAGAGTAGCAACAACACTTGAGTATTTTTTGGGATATCTCTTGGTGGGCTGTGTTTCTTGAGAATGGAAAAGGAATAGCGTGGTCAGTTCTTCAGAGGTTTTGGTTGCTCCCACACCAGCCCCTATCTCCTCAAGGATCATCTTTTGTATGGATGCTCTAGAACAAGTGACTGAGCAATGTTCTTTGTCAAACCACTGCAGTACTGTGTTTTCCGTGGAGCTCTCGTTTTATCACACTTTCTGCTGCTGATGACACAGTAGCAGCTGCAACAGTCCATCCTGTGTGGACTTTTGAAACTTTTGGGGGTTCCTATGCTTAAATTTAATATTTTCATTTTGCAAGTTAAGCCCATTGTTTCCTGTGGGTTGCTTTAAAGACCTATAGCCCTAGAGAAGGCATGCTATAAAGGATCACTGAACCTTACTGATTTCCATGGGCAGATGCCCACCCTTGGGAGCCCCCTTCCAGCCGTTCCGCTGCAAAGACCTATTGGCCTCTGATCTGACATAAATCAGTGACCCAGGCTTCAAAGCTAGGGCAAACTATATCAGTAGAGCAAACTGTGCACACAGCATAGGTGTGAGTCTTGTGGAAGCATACTACAACTATGGATTTATTAATCATAAATCAGGACAAAGAAACATGTCGTCTCTCTCTTTGTCTTCTCAGCGAGAGAGACAGTCTAAAGCAAAAGCTATGCAGTGGTGCCTCGCAAGACGAAATTAATTCGTTCCGCGAGTTTTGTCGTCTTGCAGTTTTTTTCGTCTTGCGAAGCACGGTGTCGGGAAAGTTTTGGAAAAGCTTCAAAAATCACCAAAGTCTTTAAAAACCTCAAAAAAGGCTACCACACCGCGTTCTATGAGTTGCTCCTCGAAGTCAAGTCTCAACTGTATTAACGGTGTTAAGAAAAAGGAAACAAACTTGCAAGACGTTTCCGTCTTGCCAAGCAAGTCCATAGGGAAAATCGTCTTGCGAAGCAGCTCAAAAAACAAAAAACCCTTTCGTCTAGCGAGCTTTTTGTCTTGCGAGGCATTCGTCTTGCGAGGTACCACTGTACACACAACGGAAGTTCCCAGCAGACTGTGCTGGTATGTAAACAGACATGTAACATGTAACTGTTCCATGTCTGCAACTAAAGGTGGAATGGAATTTCCCAACAGAAACAACCACCAAATCTGACTTGACGTATAGCACTTCCCTGTGTTCCTATGCTTGAATCCATGTAGGTCTTAACTAAGACCAATTCTAAAAAGTCCCCCAGGAGAGAGTGTCTACAAGCTGATAGTGTGCTTCTTCTTCACTAAACAGTAACCAACCACCATCTACCCCTGTACAGTAGGAAAATTAGGGCAGCTGGATCAAAGGGTGTGATTTCCAGGCAAGTTTCATTCTTGTCACCTTTAATTTTATATTGTTAAGCTTGAGCTGGACCACAAGGTTATTCCTTGCAGCAGAAGAAAGTCTCCTTTCCTCTCCTGGTTTCTAATGAAAGGAGAAATTGCAGCACTAGAGTTAGCAAGACTGAAACACATTCAGATATATGGCATTTATTTGGATCCCTGTCCTCCCCAGCTACCTACCCCTAGAAACATAGAATCATAGAGTTGGAAGGGATCCCGAGGGTCATCTAGTCCAACCCCCTGCAATGCAGGAATCTCAGCTAAAGCATGCATGACGCATGGCCATCCAGCCTCTGCTTGAAAACCTCCAAGGAAGAAGAGTTTGCCGTCTCCCGAGGGAGACTCACTGAGGATTCATCCTTTCATAGAGGAACACATATACACAAGTTGCTGGAAAGGCAAAAAAAAACTAATAGGGAAAAGAAGCATAAATAACCAAGTTATTTTTTTTCTGATTTCTTTCCAGAAATTAAATAAAATAAATCTGTAATGTAATTTCCAGTAGGAGTGCATTCCCTTAATACAATTTCGATTGGCTGACCCTATCAGACACAACATCTCCTTTGCTGAACAAATTGGCCATAGGTCTTCTCTCTTAACTGGCTCAGTGATCACAAATGCAATCAAAACATGCCACAAGACTTTTTTCCTCCAGCCTGTTAGAACTTGGAGTGTTGCCAGACACCAATATAGAAATGAGAAGGGGGAGAATAGGACTTCATTGTGCACATCTCTGGGGGTACTGTACAAATACATTAACCTTAGAAATGAGACAGAAGGGGAGAGGGAGGTCAATCTGCATTTACCACTAACCCCCATTTTCTAATTTGAGCTGCTTTGTCTGGGCAAAGTAAATTGCGGCGTTCCCTAATGGATTTAGCAGACATCCGCTATTCACTACTGGTGAACTGACAAAGACTTCACATTTCACATTTGTCTTCTTCACACTGTCTTTCTGCCAGCAGCACATAGCGAAGGTTCAGTAACTTGAGCCCTTAATCAAATGTTTCCCGGGAACATGTAATTACTCTGCAGCAAATGGCTCTTGAGGAAACTGCTGCCTGAGTGTTCCCAACCTGGTGCCCTGCAGTGACTAGCAGAACCTCTAGCCTTCCTTAACCACTCCTAGAGAGGCCAAGTGACTGGGAACCTCTGAGTGCAAATCGTGTGTTTTCTACTACTGGGTGACCCTAAGGACACAGCTAGTTCCTTTGCTTTTTGAAGAAATTAAAAAAACAACTGCTAATCTAATCATATGATGCAAATACCAAAGGGGTGGCCTTTGGTAATACGGCCTCCTGAGTGAAGACAAAATTTGGCGCCCCCTCTAAATATTTCTTATTTTCACAATAATTGAGTAGGCACCTGTATAAATCTAGGTGTTATTATACAGTGGTACCTCGGGTTACATACGCTTCAGGTTACAGACTCTGCTAACCCAGAAATAGTACCTCGGGTTAAGAACTTTGCTTCAGGATGAGAACAGAAATCGTGCAGCAGCGGCGCAGCGGCAGCAGGAGGCCCCATTAGCTAAAGTGGTACCTCTGGTTAAGAACAGTTTCAGGTTAAGAACGGACCTCCGGAACGAATTAAGTACTTAACCCGAGGTACCACTGTACCTGTAAGAGTTCCTATATACTTGGAACCACAATGGATGTCTCCCTTGTTCTCTTATAATGGCAATGGCCCTCACCTCAGAGGTGCCGGAACTGAGTTCCAGCAAGTTCTGGCTGAAAAGGGGCCCTGGTGGTGGTTGTTGTTGTTGCTGTTGTTGTTTTGTGTCCTCTTGGTTCAGTGCCCTATGCCTTGGAACCGCCCGCACCTTCCTAAATCCAGCACTGCCGCATCAGACTCCATAAACCAAATAACAAAGAATGGCCGCTCCCACAGAGTCCATTCAGATGCCATGCCCAGGGCTTTTTTTCAGCTGGAACTTGCTGTTTCGGTACCTCTGAGGTGGGTGCCATTGCCATTCTAAGAGAACAAAGGAGGTGTTCATGGTGAGTTCTGGCACCTCTTCCTCTATAAAAATAGCACTGGCCGTGCCACTTCCATGCTGGAACACAGCAAGGCGGCAGGGCAACCTTCCACTTCTCTCACAGAACATCTAAGGACACAGGCTGCAGGCCATGCCCACTCTGTGTGCAGGCTTAGACCACTTCATGTACTGCTCCAAGACCTGCCCGGGGCTGCCATTGGTCAGAGGTGAGTTGGGAGGGAGCTGGAAAGGAACCTAGTCTACTCTTCCCTCCCCTCTACCCTCCTCTGTTCAAGTTTACACAGTAGGGACACCAGGGCTGGCTAAAGACATTTTTGCACCTGATGCAAATGATGCTCCCCTCCCCGGCAGGGTAGAAGGGATAGGTGTAGATCTGTATCAGGAACAAGGAGGGGATATAGAGGCACACCGGGATCTGCTGCCCCTGTGGATCCTACCACCTGAGGCGGTTTCTTCGCCTTGCCTCATGGGTGGGATGGTCCTGATGGACACCCTGTTTCTTGCTTCTGCACATACAGTATGCAAGTCACCCCCAAGTGGTCATGCAAGTTAGGGTCATGGGGCATATTCCAGGGAAAATTCGGCACACTGAAGGCTGCTGAAATTAAGAGTGGAATTAAATGATGTCCTGCTAAGCTCCATGGACTTACGTTTCCTTAAAATTCACAATACTGTAAGCAATTCAGATAAGAAATATCCATCCCACTGTCTTTTGTTTTTAAAACTCTTACCACATTACTTTAGCATAAATCTGCATTCACACTGTAATCCATACACCTATCCATGTGGTAAAAACGTCTGCATAACTGTTGGTTTTACTTTAATTTTTATTATAATTGTATAATATATTTCTTATTCAACTCCTATGGAAGTAACAGAACATAACAACGATAGCTGTTGTTATACATGGGTTCATGTGCTTCAAACAAACATTTTAGACCGTTAAAGAAAAGGAAAACAGGAATATTGACAGATATGAAAAGAATGTCCTATCTTAATTCTCTTAAACCTGAATCCACACGTCACTGTATGAAGAATTTACTCAGAGGTTTATCTAAATTTAAGGTAACTTCCACATGTATCTAACTCAGTATACTTCCAACATGAAATTTGCTCTTTAGTATCTGTTAGAAAGGAAATCAGTAATTATCTCAAATGCTTTCAAAGATAACATAACCATCTCTGACCAATCCACTTGGAATATATATATATATATATATATGCATATATACATACAAAATCTATACAACATGTAATCTGAATAACACGCTATGGGATGACTCCTATCGGCTATACAAATAGGAATATATACACAAGTGGCTGCGTTCACGTTAAACCATGGTTTAGCACAACAAACAGAAGCTGGAAGGATCCTGAGCAAGCTTTGGGCATGTGTGCTTTCCCTCCCCTCTCTACCTTTGATTAGCCTGAGGGGAGGATTTCAGCAGTGATTAATTTCAGTTCCTCTTAAACTCTGCTTGTTCTGGAATATGAACTGGAATATGAACCCAGGGCAGTTTCAAAAACCACCCAAACTCAAACCATGGGTTGTAAAACTGGCTTGTTTAAACTAAGCGTAGTGCAAACCACAACCCCCAGTTCACATGCAATGGAAACCTGAGATTAAGAGATTAAGTAAACACTGCTGAAGTCCTCCCTCAGACCATTCAGACAGAAAAATGGAGGGAATGTGTGAACTCAACAATCGCCTGGGCTCATTTCAGCTCATGCAGGTCACACTAAACCATGATGATGTATGAACATGGCCAATAATCCTAACAGTTGTACAAAGCTGAGACTGGAAAGCAATTTCTAGGTAGAAACCAGTAGAACTGAGTATCAGGTACATGAGAAAGCAAGTAACACTTCCTGGCATAACAACTAAAATGAAAGTTTTGCAACAATAGTCTCTAAGGCAATTCTAAGCTTTTCAAGGTGCAAACCTCCATTCTGTTGCATAATTCAGAATGCAGATTTCAGGCATATTAGACACAAGATATAGTGTTATAAGTCTAAGAACTTGGCAGGAACGTGGTATAAGGGGCAAGAGGACTTTGTTTTCGAGAGCTTGTCCCGCATGAGTCAAGCATCCCAAAGTAATAATCTGACGCTGAAGAATTCATTATATACAAGTGTTGACTCCCTTTTGAATTCTTCCATTTCAGTCACTCTCGATATATTTCAATCTATTTACATCTCTCACATGGTTATACAATTTCTGTTTCTAAGGCTATATCCACTTAACCTGGGAGTACTTCCAAGTTGGCATACACAGAATTGCAATGTAAATAAAGCTAATCAGTTCCTCGATCTGGTTCTCTTCCAGTTAACTAACAGTGCCATCCTATGCATCTCTATTCAGAAGTAAGTCCCAGTGAGTTTAATGGGACTTACCCCCACATAAGTGCTCATAGGATTGCAGCCTAATTGCCCCAAGTCAATATATACAAACCCGGGACTTCTCACTTGAACACATGATTAATTAATGCAGCTAAAGCATGTACGAAGTTCACATGGTAATGAAAAAAAAAATCATAAATAGTCCTTATAAACACTGCAACCAGAATATGCTTTGTGTTTATACTGGAAAAATTATTCTTTAAAAAAACAAAAACACCCGAAGAGCTTATCTGTAGGACTAGGAGTGCCAAGTTGAGGTATAATTGTGTTTTTATGAAGTAACAGTATTGAAGTAAAATACAGTATTCCGGTTATTTGGTTTTCCTGTTGTAAAGAGGAACTCCTGTAAGCAGCCATGGAAAAGGTAAGTCTTAACTGTGAATGTTGCATGACATTTCTCTACTAAGACAGGATTCAGTGGTCCTATTTTCTTCCAGTGTGAGCCAATTTAAAAACACATCTCCAAACACCACGAGCAGCAGGACATTGGTTTTGGTTTTTTTATCATAGAGATGGGTTGCTTGTCTATTGCTCAGTCTTGGGTTGATGGTAACATAGCACCGGATGTATGGATGTCGTATGTGGGATACTCACATATTACAGGGCTCACTTTTCATGTAAAGTATCGACACTCTGTAGAGTCAATATTGCAAAACGAAGTGCATCGTAATTTTCCATAAGACCTAAGACAGAAGATGAACACACACCAGTCATTATTACACATGACACTTTTTTTACCAGTTGATTTTTATATCTAATTTCTATCAGGGCGTCCACAGATGGATTTTGAATGCAGCGTTTTGCAGCGAGGCAAATATGTTAGACAGAGGGATGTTTGAAAAAGGCTGCGAAGAGACATTTGCGGCACAAAATAAAGTACAATTTGCAATAACATTGCCAACTGAACACTTAATCAATACAGTCCAATATCAAGCTTTGTTTTAACCTATATCTCATTATGCACCCAATTAACTGAATGCTCAAAGGGCAATATGACGTTATTTGCAGATTCACAAAGCACAATTATCACAGCTGCTGTCATGTCTGGAAATTTGATAACCCTGAAATAAAGGCCTCAGTTTTCAAAATCTTGACCAAATATCAACCTTTAACATGTATATATTTTATGATTGCTTTCCTAAAATGTCTGTTTATCGAGTCCCATTGATGTAAAAGGTGCTGTAAGGAGTTAAATTACAGAAGAGGGTTTGCAGAACTGACTCTTGTGCTTTCTTTATTCCTGCCAATTAACACATTACCCTTTCAGGAGCCATGAGAACTCTGCAGATAATTTCATTTGCAAATGGAATGTTTCCTGTAAGATCGTAATGATACCTGACAGCATGACACAGCTACAGCTATTGCAGGTAAAATACTGCTGACAAGAAGAAGCTATTAATACCAATGCATGCAAGTCAGATTACAAGCAAGCAAAGGCCTCATCTAAAGTCACATTTACATCATACAGTACATTTAAAGCGCATGGCTTGCCCCAAAGAATCCTGGGAACAGTAGTTTTCTAAAGGTGTTAGGAATGGTCATTCTGTGAGGGGTAAACTACAGTTTCCAGGATTCTTTGGGGGAAGCCATGTATGTATGGTATGGATGTGACCTCAATATCCTGCTGGACTAAAGAGAAGCACTACAGCTCTGTACCACACGAATATGTTTTTAGCTCACTCTGGTGTAAAACTGATGGCTAAGAGCAACCACAGCCTTAATTAGCTTTTTTCTAATTCAAGCACAGACCTCATGGGTGCCTAAATTGGGTGGGGAGAGAATCTGCAAACAGTAGAGACATCCTAAATGTAAAGGTAAAGGGACCCCTGACCATTAGGTCCAGTTGTGGCTGACTCTGGGGTTGCGGCGCTCATCCTGCTTTACTGGCCGAGGGAGCCGGCATACAGCTTTTGGGTCATGTGGCCAGCATGACTAATTCTGGGGAACCAGAGCAGCATACGGAAACAGCGTTTACCTTCCCGCCGGAGTGATACCTATTTATCTACTTGCACTTTTTGGCGTGCTTTCGAACTGCTAGGTGGGCAGGAGCAGGGATCCAGCAACGGGAGCTCACCCGTTGTGGGGATTCGAACCGCCGACCTTCTGATCGGCAAGTCCTAGGCTCTGTGGTTTAACCCACAACGCCACCCGCGTCCCATAGAGACATCCTACACTTGCACAAAAACAAAGGTGGCCTCTCCGTCTGCTTCAGTTAAAATTTATGCATCCACTAGTCTCTCATGACTCTTGGGGATATTCTCAATAGCATAAGGTAATTGTAAGTAACTAGCTTTGGGTGCATGAGAGAGAAGAGTACTATGATGGCGGAGCCTCCTCTTCATCCTCAGTTTCCTAGAGATGCCAAATGAAACAAATCTGGGAAACAAATCTCATGCCTTGATGCATGAGACCTAGGTCTCCCTAGCCAGTGGTTTCTTGAAGTCCCACGGTGGGTAATATCTGCGGAGTTAGCTACTGTGTCCCAACAGCTTTAGTACCAAAGTACCCACTTCCTCAGAATATTTCCACCCCATCTTCCACCTGCCCAATTCTCCTCCCCACCAGGTAAAACAAAGGGAGATTGGATCATCATCATTGAAATGACCACCGGGAAGAAGGGGTGACCATAGAGAGGCACAGCCAGTTATTTCCCTACAACTATTAATTCAAGGTGAAGAGGGATCCCTCCCTTTGTCTCCAAGCAACCACAGACAACATGTGATTGGGGCCACAGGAATCATCCCCCCCCCACTAAAAAAACAACAACCAGTTTTCCCTCCATCCATTGGTTCCTGGTGGAGCAAAGGAATGAAAACAGACCTTTGCCTCCATCTTCCTTCCCAGTCCAATATTTTGTGAATTTTTAAAACAAATCATACTCTCCCATGATGTGACAAAAATAACTTAAATTTGCCTTACCCAGGGAGATACGTTTTGCAAGTTAAGTATCCAAAATCTTTCCCATCACACTCTTCTACCCCTTCGTGTCGGTAGCCGTCTCCACAATAAGCATGGCGACATTCTAATAAACCCAAAATAAAAGAGAAAGGTAAATAAATACATAAATGGGGTTATTTGCAGCTGCTAGCTAGCTCCTTGCATGTCAGAGGACAGTGTGAACTTTCTTCCACATCACCCATTAACTCCAAGATTAATCAGTTTGCTTGCCTGTGTATGTTTACAAAACTATCTGTTGAAAAATAAAATACCAGCTCTTTCCCACTTAGTGAAAGTAGCTTTTCCTGAGTGTTTTGGTGCTTTTTTATCCAGATCACATGTGGAAACAGTGAAGTATATGAATTAGGCTTTCCATTTATCTGAGAATCCTTGTGTATATATGAATTAGGCTTTCCATTTATCTGAGAACCCTTGTGTATATTAAAGCAAGAAAACGAGAATTGGTAACATCAAACGTACTTATACAATCATCAGTCACTATGTTATTGCCATCATCGCATTCTTCCCCATCTTGGAGGACCCCATCTCCACAGGTGCTGCCATCTTCCAGCGGGTAGTCCACAGGATAAAAAGGCGTGAGCTGCTGGAATAAACACAAAACAGATACTTGAGCGGAACTATAAACATCTTGGAAAAGGAGGCACCAAAGGAACATGTGATTCCTGTTCTCACTTGCTGAAGATTAGGTGTCTGCCCTGCCACTTCAGCCAACTGCACAATCCCCTGGAAATGTTTGTGTCAGAGTCCTCACAGCTATAATACGAATACTTCCAGAACCTCGAACAATTTACATCCAAACCAGAATGCAAACTGTTTTATTTTATGGCAGGTCTTTACTTACCCTTGAGGAGTTCAGTGAATTTAGGTTGAAGGGGGTATATTCTAAAATCCTACAGATAAGCATGGGATATTCATCTACACAATTCTGAAACTGAACAGTGCAATCCCATGCGTGCTTACTCAGAAGTACACCCCACTGTGTACAAGGGGACTTTCTCCCCTGTAAGGGCATATAAGAGCCAGTGTGGTGTAGTGGTTAAGAGCGGTAGACTCGTAATCTGGTGAACTGAGTTCGCGTCTCCGCTCCTCCACATGCAGCTGCTGGGTGATCTTGGGCTAGTCACACTTCTTTGAAGTCTCTCATCCCCACTCACTTCACAGAGTGTTTGTTGTGGGGGAGGAAGGGAAAGGAGAATGTTAGCCGCTTTGAGACTCCTTCGGGTAGTGATAAAGCGGGATATCAAATCCAAACTCTTCTTCTTCTTATACAGTGGTACCTCGGGTTACAGATGCTTCAGGTTACAGACTCCGCTAACCCAGAAATAGTACCTCGGGTTAAGAACTTTGCTTCGGGATGAGAACAGAAATCACGCTGTGGCGGCAGCGGGAGGCCCCATTAGCTAAAGTGGTGCTTCAGGTTAAGAACGGTTTCAGGTTAATAACGCACCTCCGGAATGAATTAAGTTCTGAACCCGAGGTACCACTGTATAGGATTGCAGGTGGGCAGAGAAATTGCAGGCAGGATAGTGTGGTGGAGTGAAATGGCATATAATTCATCGCATCTGAAGAGTGTGTATGTGTCGGGGTTTGTGTGTGATTGAATGGTGTAGCTGATGCTCCTGATCCTGAAGCCTCTTGGAATAATGAAGGGAATTTGAGTCCAATGGATTTGAGGCCAGGTCTGACACATACACCCCCAATTGCTAGATGCCTGTTTCAGGGCCTACTGCTGGCAGAAATAGATTTATGCCTACAGAGGTGCCCTCTGCTCTGCTGGAGGAACTCTCTGCCCCATCCTAACTCCCTCCAGCCATCAGATCTGGGGATTAGGATTGCCCTGCAAACTGCCCTTTCACATTATACAGATATACATGTATAGCAGATTCTCCAAGTGTCGCTATTTTCCAGGGATAGTCCTGGATTTACAGAAGCTGTCCTGGTTTCTGATTTGATTCCAGAATGCCCCACTTTTCCTTAGGATGTCCTTATTTTCACTAGAGAAATGTTGGAGGCTGTAGAGTTATCCAACCCCTGAGCCATCTGGAGGCAATCCTGTATAGGAAAGATTTTTTTAAAATTATTTAATATTTTATTATGCTTTTATATATGCTGGAAGCTGCCCAGAGCGGCTGGGGCAACCCAGTAAGATGTGTGAGGTAAAAATAGTAAAATGATCATTATGGAATGGGACGTCCTATTTTCATGGGAGAAATGTTGTGGGACGGGGTATGGTATAGACCACTTGTTTTGTTTATGCCTGCCATATTCCGTTCAGTGATATTTGCTTTTTCTGATATATATTCCGGGGGGGGGGGGGGACAACAATTGGGAGTTCATCTGCTGCAGGAATTCACCTCACCCAATAAATATTTTAAACATAGAAATTTTTAGTTCCAATGGAATGAAATGCTTACAAAACTTGCACTATTTATTTATCATTTATTTACCTACCTACCTGAATCGGAAGCCATCCAAAAGCATCTTTGAAATACAAAGATCTCTGATCTCTACGAAATGCTAGGGCGTTTTCTGTGTTTAATCTGTCCAGTTCTTCCTGATTATTCACTACAAAAATCTGGAAAAGAGAAATAAAAACGTAGGAGTCGGAGAAGACACAAGGCTGCCGCAACACCTACTGTAGGGGAAAATACTAAGTGGCGATGGAAATTTAGAGACCAGTTCCAAATCTGAAGGGTTTGCATTATCTGAAACCTTCCCTGTTGACCTCAAAAAACCACTTGTAATTAAGCGGAATGTACTGTTTGCTCTAATCAAGGGACCAGGAACCCGATACTATGAACACACTCCACTAATAATGATAACCAGGGGGTGGGGAATGAATTGTCCTCCACATGTCACTGAACTCCAACTCCCATCAGCCCCCACCAGCACAGCAATAATGTTAGGGATGATGGAAGCTTTGTCTGACAAAATTTTGAGGGTGGCAGATTTCCTAGGCCTAGCCTAATACGTAACCAGTGTTGCTATCTGCCCATTCTCATGCAAGTGAAAACAGAGACTCTTTTCTGTAGGTAGAATAAAAAGGTAAAGGGACACCTGACCATTAGGTCCAACTCTGGGGTTGCGGCGCTCATCTCACTTTATTGGCCGAGGGAGCCGCCGTACGGCTTCTGGGTCTTGTGGCCGGCAAGACTAAGCCGCTTCTGGCAAACCAGAGCAGCACATGGAAACACCGTTTACCTTCCCGCCGGAGCGGTACCTATTTATCTACTTGCACTTTGACGTGCTTTCAAACTGCTAGGTTGGCAGGAGCAGGGACCGAACAACAGGAGCTCACCCCATCACGGGGATTCAAACCGCCAACTTTCTGATCGGCAAGTCCTAGGCTCTGTGGTTTAACCCACAGAGCCACCCGCATCCCTGTAGGTAGAATAGCCTTTGAGAAAAAGAATGAGGGAGAGAAGTGCTCCATGTTTAGAAGGTGAGAGAAAACAACCTCCAAAGTTTGAGACAAAGAGGTAACTTAAGCAATCAATTGTTTTAAATTGTTTAACTCCAGAATTGACAGAGGGATGAGGTAGTTGTGATTGCATCATAGTCACATCCCAGGCACCATTCCACAGTTGCCCGTAAGTTAAGGAACATGGAATCTGCCCGATACCGAATCAGACCATTGATCCATCTAGCTCTGTATTGTCTGCACTAACAAACCCACAGCAGCTCAGATCAAGTTGACCAAAGGGGCTACTTCATGCCAGCGGTCTGGATCCGTTAACACAGTATGCCCATATCAACTCCTATCAACCTCACTTACTGCAGGAACCTTTGAATAAGGCTGTCCAAAGAGTGGCTCATCATAGGGTGGGATATTCCCATTTTGCGGAGCGTTGCAGAGACATTTTCCTGGAGGTCCAGGAAGTCCTCTCTCTCCTTTTGCCCCCATTGTTAGTTGCCCTAGAAAACATCAGATTTGACACGCAAGGTAGTTGCTGAAATAGATAAAGACATACTGAAAATGGAAAATTGAGTCCTTGCCTGCGAGCTAAACGTCTCATATTGAAAAGCTATCTTTGACTCCTGTAAGCTTCTTTGGGGGCTTGTACAAACACTTGTCAAATATTATTGGCCTTCCAACTTTGGGGATGGTTGTATATTGTTTGCGGTCATTGTTTGATTTCCATGGGTTATTAAATTGTCTTTAATATGTTTCCAGATGGATGTTTATTGTGGAATCTGTGCTCTTCATGCATGCAAGTTGAGTCATTGGCATTTAAATGCCAACCCATTAAACCCCCTCCACATTAACTTCAGACTGATCCTTCTGCCCTTTCCAGGGGAAATCCAATAAGTAACGTGCACACACTCAAACCCTTTAGCAATGACCCATTTGCAAATTAAACCCCCATCTGGAAGCACCGTTATCATTGCCGTTTAACAAAAGACCAGGCTATGTGAGTGAGTAAATAACTATTTTGGATCTCAGCAGAAGGTTTGCAGAGGAACGATTATTTATGCTCAAGATGGTATTTGGGGCAGTTCAACATGATCCCACTTTCAATACTATTTGTATCTGCAAAAGTTTCAGGGTGGGCATACTGCTTCATTTCCAAGTTCTGTTCCATAACTTACTGCTGAAATCCTCAAACTTTTCAAACTACAAAAGTTCCAGTTTATTTTTTGTCCCACTTTAATTGTTCTGTGATGCACCTCTCCAGGGGGTAATAACATGGAAACAATCTGGAAGCATCGCAGAGCAACTAATGAAGCCGAAGTGTATGTAGATGGCCCAGTTTAAATCCACCTCTTATTCACTATTATTGAATCAATATTGAATCAATTCCCACCAACACATCAAAGGCAACAACTCGGACACTATCTTTCTGATTTTTTTCTTGCGAGAGGATGGCAGCCATTTTGGGCACCGAGGTCTCACGTGATTTCGCACCACAATATACCCATTTTGGAGCATCATGAGAGACCACAGTGCTCAAAATGGCCACCGTCCTCTCATGAGAAAAAAGGGGGTGTCTCTTTTTCTCAGGACACTGGTGGGTTATGGATTGCTGCAAAATACACCCACAAAACACCACCAGTCAGGGGTGCAAACTTGAATAAAATATTGGGGGGGAGGGGAAGCCTCATCCTGCATAATCAATCACATGACATGGTACACACACACCCTTTGAATGACAATGCCCATCAACTGGGGGGGGCAGCCACCTCAAATATTTTATTGTGGGGGCGAAGGGACCTCGGCCCCTAGGAGTTGACTCATATGACACCAGTCTAGAAGGGCCCTTATTTCAGGGTGCAAGGGGTAGTTGAGAGCAAAAGAAGTCAATCATAGTGCAGGAAAAGCCCAACCCCGCCCTAAAACCTTATCTTAAAAATGTGTGATTCCCCCTCAGCTAGTGGTTCGGCAGAAACCTCATGGACGCCTGTCTCTTTTCTGTGAGGCAACTCAATATGATTAAATTGAAGGGGGAAAGGGAATGAGCGGCCATTTTGAAAGGTCTGCCTTACCTGTTGCCAAAGGGCTTGGTGGACCAGGCTGACCAGGGGGGCCAGGTCTTCCAGGTGGGCCTGAGGCACCAGGAGGTCCTATGTCTCCCCTTTGTCCCTAGTATATAAAAGAAAGGACTGTTTCTTTATAACATTCCCTAACAAGCTAATGTACTCGCAGCGCAAATCCTATGGCTTCATGGGTCGAAATAGCGTGCCCTTCAACTACACAGAAAAGATCGAAATGCCAAAATTGCAAATTAAATCTGCAGGACCTTATACATATTATGACAAATCCCCAACATTTCCCCAACATTATGCATTTCCCCAACAAAAATATATATTATATTATATAAAATATTACTTAACAATCCCATAAATTTCCCAGTTCTGCACATTTCAGAATGGCTTATTACAGTGGAACCTTGGTTTTCGAACGTAATCCATTCCAGAAGACAGTTCGACTTCCGAATCATTCGAAAACTGAAAACTCAGTACGGAAGCCTCAATATAATAGGGAAACTCAAAACGGAAGTCGTGTGGCATGTTCGGCTTCCGAAAATCGTTCGAAAGCCGGAGCAGTTACATCTGGGTTTTCAGTGTTCAAAAGCCGAAACATTCGATTACGGATGCGTTCGACAACCGAGGATCCACTGTACTAGGACTACACCAAATTTTCAGAGAGAAAAATTGTGAGGAAATTTCTTCAAGAGTAGGGATGGGCAAATCTATCAATATTGGGTTTTTTCTCTGGTTTCTCGCTTTTCCAACCTTAAGTTCAGTTCTCCACAATTCACATTCCGCCCCCCTCATAAAATTCATCAGCATTTTACGGTGAATTTCTATAGACCAAAAAATGTTGTTTATGAGCATCATCATCACCACCGCCACAGTGTGGCACTTGTAAGGTTGAAACCGGCAGAGTTGCACAGGCCAGCCTTGGCGTAACTGTAACTGAATGACTCAAGCCTGAGAAGACTCCTCATGAACCTGAAGGAGTCAAATGAGCTAAGCAAGATGGATCTCAGAATGGAAGTGGAAGTAACACCTTCTTAATTTAGCTGCCACTGCAGGCATTTTATATGGGGTTGTCAGCTGGCTCTGGAGAAAGGAAATGACTGAGTAGGTGAAAAGTGGCCCCTCTTATTACAAACAGCTATGTACACACGGCACTCGGTTTTTCAAAACAACATTTGGACTTTAGGAAATTCTAGGCCTGTAACAGAATCAACAGGAACAAATGGGCAAGCATATTTGTATTCAGCTACACCCTTAAGAAAAGCACATGTAATATTTTCTAGTTATTGCCATGCTGGGCCTGGTTTCTCTTGCTGAAAGCATACACAAAGGTTTTTGTGCTAGCAGACATTAAAGAAAGTGATCGCCTCACAAACAATTATGTTTTCTAGAAAACATCCATACTTGTAGGTACATCAGACCAGATGCCTACAGGACGTCCGCTCCTCCATCAATAAAAGTTTTTCAAGCAAAATATACTGCTTTCTTTATTTTGTAGCTCTTACCAAGAGACTCTTTCTATACTGAATAAGAGTCTCTTGGTAAGAGCTAAAAAATAAACTTGGCTGAACTTGGGCATGCTATTAGTATGAGGGGCCACCACAAAGTAGGGCAGTTGTTTTGATACTTTTGGGGGGACTCTCTAGGTATGCAGAAGTATATATGTTTGTATATTTAAGCATCTCTCCGTGTGTACTGTGTATTAAGGGGAGCAGAGTAGGCATGGTAGGGGAATTTGACTGTTTCCTGAGGGAAATTTCTCTTCTGAAGCTAGAATTTGCTGAAGCGGGAGTGTCGTCATTCTTCAAAAGCTCAAAATTATGAAAGCAGAAAACTTTGCCTTGTGGGGAGAAAAAAACTAAGAGAGCCCCATAATATATTTTATTCAGTAACGTCTCCACTGCTTTTTTTAATTCCTTTCCAAAGCAAATGGACATTAAGGAGTGGTTCAAACAAGCATTTCCCCCTTTCCCAGCAATCTCCAGACTAACCACTACATAGAGAAAAATATTGTGTGAACCAGGACTACATAGATATAGTCACTGCTCCTTGAATTAATGATGGTATAACCAAGTTAGAGCTATTACATCTTCCCTTCTAGATGCATTATTTCTGACTGCAGATCATTTTACATTCTACAATTTCTTGAAGCAACAGTGCTGTACTGTACCAAGAGATTAATGCAATATTCTAGGGTATAGAGATGTGTTAGCTCCTTGACCTGACATGATTTCATGGTCCACCTTTAAGCATCGCTGCTTTTCACTCATTAAATATGTGTTTTTGTCATCTGCCATATTCTGGATGCAGCAGTCTTTATCTGTTCTGAACTGACTTACATTCTCTATTTCCTCCTTTCTCGGCGATATTATGCCCTTTTATGAATCATAATCAGATATCTTTGTTCCTTTGCATGGCATTTAATACAAGTGACAATAAATCTGGCCTGCTTTTTTTAAATAGGATGTTCAGAAGATCCAACTATAACTATAATTCATCCAAAAACATAGAGGATAGGCAAATCTGTCAGTTTTGGTTTCTCCCATTGTCTCATTTTTATTTTATTTTTATATATTTTTAATTAAATATTCTGTTTTACAATTTAAAATGCTCATTTTACATCTTTAAGATATCAATAACTTCCCTTCTTCTCTTCCCATGGTTCATTTTACATAAAATAAATCCCTGCATATTTTACAAAAGCTATTCCATTCTGTATTCCATTATTGCATCCATCAAAGCTTATTTACACTGTTAAATTTACCTTAATGCTGCCAGTGCCATTGTTTCATTTTTACACCCTTAAGTTCAGTTTCCTACATTTCCACATCTGCATGTGATCTTAAAAAAAAAAAAGTCTACAGAATTAACCAGCATTTTAGTGCTGATTTCCCCTAATATACAATTTTTTCCTATGTAATGTTTCCTAATATCCTCATTTTTGCAAACCAATTTTCCCAGGTATAATGCATTTTTGTATGCTATTTCCACTAACATACACATATTATATGCACGCTTAGCTGTAGAATATGTATTTTCGTATCCATCGCTCAGCTAGAGCACTCCATTGCAAAATGTGGAGATTTTTTGAGAGATGACTGTGTTGAAGTCTGAGTACTGTTTCAGAAAGTGTGAATTAGACAATATTCATCTTTACATGCCAAATGAATCAAATTCATCCCTCATCCCTTGCTGAGACACAGTCCACAGACAAAATATTTTCAGAAACAGGTTAAATCAAATACAGTACAGGATTCCTACTTGTTTGCCTCTTTTCCCCGGTCTTCCAGTTGGACCTCTGTGTCCGGATGAACCAGATTCCCCCTTTGGGCCCATTTCTCCCTTAATGGGGATGGAAAGGACAAAGAGAAGAGCTTTAGCACAAATATATTTACTTGGTGCAGCTTCCCACCCGCCTGAGAAGGAAGACCTTTGAAGGGGTGGACCAGGCAGCTGACAGCTTGCTGGATCTGTCCCTTCAAACGTAAAAATTGATCCAGTCAGCTTTCCGTCTTTCAAATCCACACCTCCTCAGGGAGCCCAGATGGAATTCAGCAAAGGGCTGAATCTGTCCCTAAGACATAGGTTCCCCCACACTTATTCACAGATCCAGGCCGCATAAACCTCATGCAGAATACATTTCACTTAGGAGTCTTAACAGTGCAATGTGTATGTTTTGAGGTGTAAGTTCCTCTGAGTGAAACAGGGCTTATTCCCTCATAAGTGTGCACAGAAAGTGTTAAGTTGTGGGTGAACATATCAGACAACACAGTGATTCTCCAAACAGCTCTTGTTTATTCACAGGTCAGAACAGAACTGAGCTGAAGGGTTCAGCCAGCCTACTTATAAAGAGCTCCAGTACAACGTAACTGTAACAACTTTCTGTAACTATCCAATCACTGAACGTCACTTTCGATCCCTTATTTGCATATGTGGACCTGAACTATCTACAGTATCCCCCTGCTGGCCTAGGGTGAGAACTTCAGTACAATAACAGAAAGTATCCCAGAAAGTTAAGTCCTACTGAACACAATGGGAGTTACTTCTGAGTAAATCTATGAAGGATTGCACTTTTTAAAGGCTTCCAAATACAGTATTAATGTCAACATATGCCAAGCAGGTAGACAGCCTGAGAATTTCTTGCTTTGTATAGACATACCTTCTGCCCCAGCATTCCTGGGAAACCTATGTGTCCCTGCAAGAAAAATGTTGGGAAAGACACAAGTAAAATTGTTTTCTAATGAATCGCTTTGAGTTTTGTATAAACACAATAAGAAAGAATGCGAGTCACTGATTCAGTTTGATGATGATGATGGTTGCAATTAGAAAATAAAACTAAATCACCAGAAAACTATTACTTATGTGGTTTTTTTACCTTGCCCTTCCTTGCATAGAAGCCCAAGATGGATGCATACAATAAGCAAAAGATACAAACCATTTAAAACAAATGTATAAAGTACTATCAGTAAAATAATGTATTGTTTTATAATGAGGTGTAGTGATTACCCTGTTAAAATGTGGGGTTTTGGGGGGGAGTGTTATTGGGTTGTTGTTTTTTATTTTGATTATATATTTGTGTTTTTATATTTTTGATTTTGTTCTGTGAACCGCCCTGAGACCTCCGAATATAGGGCGGTATATAAATTCAATTAAATAATAATAAAGTGTTGGACTAGGTAGGACCTGGGAGACCAGGGTTCTAATCCCCACTTGGCCATGGAGCTCCCATTGGGCCAGTCGCAGTCCCTAAACCAGCCTACCACACAGGGTTCTTGTGAGGATAAAATGGGGAGGAAGAGAACCACCTCAAGCTTCTCGGAGGAAAAGTATGGTATAAATGCAAGTAATAAGTATCAGTAAAGGTAAAGGGAACCCTGACCATTAGGTCTAGTCGTGACTGACTCTGGGGTTGCGCGCTCATCTCGCTCTATAGGCCGAAGGAGCCGGCGTTTGTCCGCAGACAGCTTCCGGGTCATGTGGCCAGCATGACTAAGCCGCTTCTGGCGAACCAGAGCAGCACACGGAAACGCCGTTTACCTTCCCACCGGAGCGGTCCCTATTTATCTACTTGCACATGACATGCTTTCGAACTGCTAGGTTGGCAGGAGCAGGGACCGAGCAACGGGAGCTCACCCTGTTACGGGGATTCGAACCACCGACCTTCTGATCGGCAAGTCCTAGGCTCTGTGGTTTAACCCACAGCGCCACCCGCGTCCCTAAGTATCAGTAAGTAAGTAAATAAATACAGCAAATGTATATTTTTTTTAAAAAAAAATGATAAGTCATTTGAAAAATACAAGGTCATAGACTATTGCAGATATTTCTGACCAAATCTAACTTCACAGATAAGGGCTATAGTTCACCAGACCTTCAACCAAATAGATTTGTGTTATTGTCTTAGCAATGAGCATAGCTGATTGCATACGAAAGTTAAACGAAGTCTGCATCTATAATCTCCATCCTCATACAACTATGCTATGAATGCAACCACAAATCAAGCTACGTTCAACACGAATTAGGTGCTCTATTAAGGTAATTTTACCTTGTCTCCTTTGCTGCCTTTGTCGCCCTTCTCTCCGGGAGTTCCCTGTGGAAAACCATACAGGAGATAATAGCTATAGAACACGGCGTTTCAAAAACCGATGTTTTCTTTCAGCACTGAATGTAGAATTAAACACAGAAGCCCATCAAAATGAAGTTGTTCGGTATACAGAACATTTGTTAGATTCTTGGTCCCCCACAATTACCATCCTCAGTACACTCCAGGCGATGTAATGAACACGACGACTTTCAAGTTAAATGTCGTTTACTGATCTTCAGCTAGTGGGCTGTCACCTGAAATTAAGCCAATCTCTGAGCTAATGTAGATTGTACCAACATTCCAACATTCAGCATGGGTACCCTTTGTTTGCTTTAAAACCCTTTTCAGACATTCATGTGTGGACAAATGAGACACGCAGGCAGGGACAGCGTCCACAGCAGGTAACTAACCCCCAACCTGTGCTTTGACCCACTCCCCCCCAACCCTCCCTACGCAGCATACCTGATTACAGAAAGCTGGCTGTGTGTCAACACTTGAACATGTACAAATTATTTTCAGAAATGGAATTTTTAAAAATGTAGCTTGTGGGGGAGGCAGAGCCTTATGTCTCATCCGCCTACGCCTTTTCTATGCATTAACAAATGAAATGAACTAAAGGGGATGAGAGGACAGGACAGAGAGAGAGAGTGGGAGGGGGTGGACTGAGAGGAAAATAGAAGAAAGTAATGTACTGTATTCCCAGCACTTTGTCTGCTGATGTGTGCATGATTGTCCAGATGATTCCCGGCCAAATATGTAAACTTTCTCTTTTGCTGCTAAGGCTACTTGAAGGGCCTATCAGTGGCTATTAATCTGTGGTTGTATGAGAACATATAACCAGTTTCTTGATACTATTCCTAATGGGTGGGGAATGCACATCATAAAGTGGCCTTAATTGGTTCTTCCAAACGGGAGCTCATGCTGTCGCAGGAATTCGAACCGTCGACTTTCTGATTGGCAAGTCCTAGGCTCTGTGGTTTAACCCACAGCGCCACCCGCGCCCCTCGATCCTGTCATTACTAACATACCAAAGCATTACATTTTGGGGGGCCTGAGGAACATAGGTCGCAATGCTTTTCAGCAATTAACTAAGAGTTCTTTGCATGACGAACCTTTTCTCCTCTGCTTCCAGGGTAACCCTAGAAGAAGATAAAAGGGCAGGTATTTACATGCTTGTAATTGATTACATCATAGTAACATATGGAATTTAAAATCAGGCTGGAAAAGCAATAAGTTGCGACAACATTTTCCTTTGTAGCCGTTGGAAGAAAATCGCAAATATGAGCATTTAAGCCTCAGCCTGGAAGCAGACATGAGAAACAAATAAATCTGGTACAGAAAGCATGCTAGCCTTGTTAGAAATTGCTATGGAAATTAAAACAGCAGCAGAAAGCCATTATAATTCTCAGTATAATAATATAATTGAAAGCAGCCTCTGTGGTAAAATGCCTCAAGCCATTTTCTTCAGCTGTTTCCTCTTATCTAGCAAAGGCAAGTCTCTCTCTGATGTTTACTTTGACTGTACTTCAGCTTAGACCCAAATCTTTTGTAGCAACTCCCATGGACATTTAAGATTTTTAAAAAGAAATTATAGCTGCAATTGCGTAATGTAAATACCTAGGCCACTTAGTGGTTTTTAATGATTAAGTGGTATACCATTTGTCAAGCAATTAAATAAATAAATCAACATTAAAGATATATAGCCTCAATATGTATCTGATTTGGATACAAATGATGCTTAAACAAAGGTTCTTTTCTCTTTTTAAATCACCGTTGGCTATAGACAGTACTCTAGTTTTGTCACTTCAATCAATTCATCTTCTGCTAAACATGAAGTTGATAATGTCTTGTGCCTATACACTTTTAGTATGATAATATAGAGGGATTTCATGGTCCTGCACCATGACATCCAATGCACAGGAAAAAATCTGAGTTGAGTTGCACAAGCACAATTCACAATTTGGCACGGCGCCTATAAATTAATGTGGGATGTTTTATAGGACTATGGTTTGTGGTTATGCTCCAAATGACTAGTACTCCATCAGTACAGCCCATCTATCAAAACAAGAAGATAAAGCCATCTCCTTTAGCAAATATTGCAGCTGCTTCGGAACCACTAACTTGGAAGTTTTTAAATGTCAAATGTTGTTTCGAAAACCCAAAACAAAAACCAGAACGCTAGACATAAAAGTTGGGTGCAGCAGAAAGGGGAGTCCACTCATCCTATTCTTGGACCAAGGTTACACACACCATCCATTACGTGAGGGTGGCAGGAGGAAAGTGGGGGGGGAGAATTATAGCTGTCTGGATTTGGATGCAGGTAGGTAGCCGTGTTGGTCTGCTATAGTCAAAACAAAGTAAAAAAAATCCTTCCAGTAGCACCTTAAGAGACCAACTAAATTTGTTATTGGTATGAGCTTTAGTGTGCATGCACACTTATTCAGATACTTCTGATAGCTGCTGTGGCGATCACACAGGGTCCCGGGACGTTTCACCATCTATTGATCCCTGTGCCACCACTTTATTTCTCGCTGCCACCACCCAGGCCCTACCTGGTAAAATACTGAGTCCAGACAGGGTTAAGTTGGAAAATAAACTTCTGTTTATTTCAAGCAGTATCTGTCAAATACAATCATGGGTGCCTATCCAGACCTATAACTTCCACTACCTGCTCTCACTCACTAAACCACCTCTCAGATATTTACTTGTCTTCCTAGCCCCTAACTGACTCGGCTTATTTCACTACACTAACTCAACCTACCCACAGACTCTATCCCAATTCACTCCCACTCCAACCAACCTCCCAACTCCCAACGAACTCCCCGCTTCACCTCTCCCAGAGCTGGTTTTATAGTCCCTCTGACTCCACCCCCTGGGTTCTGATTGGTTAACCTGTTTAACTATTTCACCTCCAGCACTCTCATATGTTAACGCCACACCTGCATGCACACGAAAGCTCATACCAATAACAAACTTAGGTGGTCTCTAAGGTGCTACTGGAAGGATTTTTTTTATTTTGTTTGGATTTGGATGATGGTGCTAATACAAATATAGTGTACAACAGTGCTATTTTTCTAGAGAAAGAGGTGCCGGAACTCACCATGAACACCTCCCTTATTCTCTTATAAATGGCAATGGTGCCCACCTGAGAGGTGCCTGAACTGAGTTCCAGTGAATTCCGGCTGAAATTAAAGCCCTGGGGTCTTGAGGCCCATGTTACATGGATTTTGCTTTTAAATTACTTTTCCCCCCTTTATATTAGATTGTAGTAAGGTATTTGTTTAAGAATAAAGCAGAAAACCAGCATGCTGACAAAACCTTTTGTTTTTTCATTATTGCTATGGGGAAATCCTGTCTTTTCCTATTATTCCTTCTCCCCACGAACATTGCTGCTATCTTCAAACAATATACACAAGCACTTTGTAACCAAGGAAGCAGCTGTAACCAGCCAGATGGGGACGACATAGCAGCTGGGTGAAACAAACCTTAAAGCCCGTTGGTCCTCTTGTACCTGGCAATCCCATCAAACCCAAATCTCCCTTTTCACCCTAGAGGGGTCAATAAAAAGGAGTTATTCATTGTGGCTGCAGAAAGGTGTCAGTAACTGGAATGCAGACTGTTCTGGTTCTGAATCAGAGAGAGCAGAAACAAACCACAGTCTAAGCAGCAACACAACATGAAGTTTCATACAGCTAATTCAGACTAAATTGTAAAGCAATGCGTTGTCTCTTAACATCATCTCCTGCAACAGATGGCCATTTACCAGCACTACAATGAGACCCGCAAGCAACTGCACAACACTTCTGGTTCAATCTATATTGCTACTCTAGGGGAATGTCTGCTTTGCTGCCCTTCTTAGATTATTAGTGTTATTAAACTGCAGCCCCTTTCTCCTGCTCCATAGTGAACTGAGCAATGAGAAGGAGATCCATTTAGAGAAGGGGGGGGGGGGAGAGAGAGAGAGAGACTGTTGCTCACTCCCAGCCTCAGACCCTGCGGTCCCAAGGTACTTGGGGTTTTCCCAGAGCATCCCAGCACCTATTGCATTCAGGTGCCCCCGGCAGCTGCCTGTACTGCCTCTTGGATTGGGCCAGCTTAGTCTCTCTGATTTACAGTATCAGCTGCTGAAGTCCACTTGGGCTGTCAGTTTTGGCTACTGGTCTACCCAGTTTCGCTTGCAAAATGTGAATATATGGGGGGGTGTACACCTGAAAACGTTGGCAGCATTAAGATAAATTCAGCAGCGTAAATAAGTTTTGATGGATGCAATAATAAAATACTGAATGGTTTAGGTGTTTTTTTTTGTAAAATATGCATGGATTGATGGTATGCAAAATAAACCATGGAAAGAGAAGAAGGGAAGTCATTGATATTTTAAGGATGTTTAAATGAGTATTTTAAATTGTAAAACAGAAAATTTAATAACATTATATATATATTTTAAAAACAAAATGTGGACTGGTAGTCATTTGTTTGCAGAACTCTCTCTAGCCATGTACGTTTTCTGCTGTCCAGTAATCATCCAAAAAATGAGGAAGCAGGTGATTTGGGGGTGGGGAGCATCATCGTCATCATAATCAAATCTAGTAGGCTAAGTGTTTGTTAAGATAACATAGGAGCCAACTCCAGAGGGCTGTGGGTGCTTCTGCAATAATATATTTGTCAGGGCCGGGCACCCACAAAGGCAATGAGAAAAGCCAGCAGGCAGCAGCGGTGCTGCCTCCAAGAGAGAAACAGTTCAGCCCCGACCTCCACAGCCAGTGAGCAACACACCCTTTTTTGGGTGGGGGGAATGGGCCTTGAATGCAGGGTGGGAAAGGGTGCCTCACTGGCTGAGGAGAGAAGGAAGAGGAGTCGCTGCCACCGGCCGCCACAACACAGACATGGGATGTCACACACCCACCCACACACCCTTGCACGTAGCTGAGGGACATTGTACGCACTATGTGCAGGCGTGTGTGTGTGAGATGTTTCATGTCCATGTTATGGCACTCCTGTAGCCAAGTGATGGGGAAGAGAGTTATCAGGAATAAACAAAGAATATGGGAGAATTGTCATGATAAGAGAAGGCAGGGGAACTAAGAGGAGAAATGTCCATAGCAAATGATGGCTATGAGACATCATTCACACACACACACACACACACACACACACACACACACACAATTATCACCCCAAGGATACCACTATGGTCCATTCTGCCATCTTCCCATACTCTAAACTCCCACTATCATTCTGTGGTACATTTTCCTACATTTTCCTGCACATGCTCAGAAGTAAAGATGGCTTCACATTCCAGTACAGTGGTACCTCGGGTTATATATGCTTCAGGTTACATACGCTTCAGGTTACAGACTCCACTAACCCAGAAATAGTACCTCGGGTTAAGAACTTTGCTTCAGGATAAGAACAGAAATCGCGCAGCGGCGGGGCAGCGGCAGCAGGAGGCCCCATTAGCTAAAGTGGTGCTTCAGGTTAAGAACAGTTTCAGGTTAAGAACGGACCTCTGGAACGAATTAAGTACTTAACCCGAAATACCACTGTACTGCTCAAGAAACATGTGCAGCATTCAAATCCAGATTGAGCTTAATTTGCATTACAGGTTTGACCATATTAGTAAATGGTGCCTTAATCTTACCCTCGGTCCTATTGGGCCAGGCCATCCAATAGGTCCTGGAAGTCCAGGGACACCTGGGGGACCTGGTCTGCCCTTCAAAAAAAGAGGTCAGGGATGGGGGGAAGGAAGTAGAAAGAGAAAAAAATCAGATGCAATAACATCAAAATTGGTAGCAGTAATGTCTGAATACCGTATTAGCCCAAATATAAGCCGCACCCGCAAATACGTCACACCTTTAAAATTGAGGGGGGGGGGGAGAAAATACCTGGGCTGCTTCCTGGGGGGGAGCCACGCTGCTTTGCTGGGAGCATAAAGGTTTTGAATGTAAGCCGCACTTTCACTTTTCACTGTCGGAATTTGGGAAAAAAGTGTGGCTTATATTTGGTCCAATATGGTTTAACGAAGCCTCTTCGAATGACAATAAGGCACCCAAGCCACACTCTTGGAAGTTCTTCCTGACCGCAGAACATTAAATGTGATAGTGTTGGGACATGATTGTTCATTTTGGGCTGTGGCCCCATTTGTTGTATGTATACCGGCCAGCAAACATCTAGCTTATGACACCGGTCAGAGTAATTAACAGAATGGGTCAGCATGCAAAGCGGGCCCAGGAACATAGCATGTGCTGCTGGCACCTGGGGTAGGTGGGCACTCCGGGGTGGTCCATGCACACAGGGGGGCAGGGCGGGGCGTGAAGGGTGAGCAGAGCCCATGCCCAGCCCCTGCCACCAACGCCCCACCTCCTGGAGCAAAGAGGGTCCATGCTGCGCCCATGACCTGACACTCACACTGCCCTGCCAGCCCCACTCTGCTCTGCGATGCCGCAGGGCTGCGTGAGGAGGACACAACAGGCATTCACCCTTCCTGTTCAGCGTGCATGCCTGTTGCACCCTCCTCGTGCAGCCCTGCAGTGTCGCAAAGCCACTTCCAACCTCGGGAGGAGGTAGTCTTGCGGGCTTCATGCTCACAACACGAGCGCGGAGGCTGGCTTCCAGCCCCCGCGCGATCAGGGGAATCCTTGGGCCGTGTCATCCCCTGAGCCAGCCAATCGGCTGGCTTGGGGTGTGTGGCTTGCCTCATTTAAGGCAAGCGCAGTCCCGGGATCTCCCTCTTTGGTCCTGGTCAGCTGCTGAGGCTTCCCACCCACCCGCCCTTTAAGATTCCCTTCTGACCTTGCTATGGACCTTGGTTGGTGGCCGTGGAGGGGCCTGGTAGGAATTTTTTCCCTTTGGCAAATTGGCACCGGCCATTTGGTTTTTCGCCTACCTCGTAGCAAAACGTCACAACTCCTTTGGTTTTGGCGGTTTGGCATTGGTAGGGGTATTGTTATGTAGATGGGGGGGGAGTGCCATCCCCTCCCCCAAATATTGAAGGTTAGTCCGGTAAAGGATTCCAGGGGGCGTGGCCTCATTCGAAGCCTATGGAGGCCAGGGCCTAAAGCGCGCCCCCGAGCGGTGACCCTGGGGGAGTCCCTAGTTGATGTGCATCAGCAGGGCTCCCCCTGCTGGTGTTAACCCTTCCTGGTCTTCAAGCAATCAGGCTGAAGCCGGATAGTCGGTTAGGACCAATGCCTAAGCCAATACCGCTTTTTACCTATAACCAATAAAGTGGTGGCCAATTTTAGCCCATTAACCTAAAATAATGGTGTCATGTGTCTTTATTTCTACTGGTGGGAGGCGGGAACTCGCCACGCAAAGCAGGGCAGCGGGAGTGCACTCCAGGGGCACAGCGGCACAGGGCTGACAGAGCCCGGAGGAGCAAAATGCACACACCCCCTTGCACCCAGGACCACTGCCCCTCTGGTCTTCCCCAAGCAACACCACTAGGTGGGCCTGGTACTGTGGTCAGCTGAGTAGCATCAGTTCCAATAGCCTGTTGCATTTCAATTTTTAAAAAGTATCTTACAATCTTACAATGTGTGGGGATTTTTTGCAGGCAAGTGGGATCAACTGATGAGGTATGACAGTGATTGTAAAAAATATTCTGTTTAAACAACATGAAGCAGAAGGAGATGGGAAGCAGGACCACTCTGTGGGCCGTGCTGGGAAGCCAGTTCTATCAAGCTCCTCCTCTGCATCAGCTCACTTGCCAGCAGCTATTCCATCAGGCTGCAGAAGAGGGAGAGAGATGTGCCACAGAGCCAGTCAACTGACTCTGCTAAGCCAAACACCTTCAGACACCTCCTTCCCTCAACTGTTACCTGGCAGCAACAATTCTATGTGACTGCAGAGGAGGAAGAGGCAGGAAACTAAGGCCTCCATTTGGCCCCTCTTCTCCCCAAACTCTTTCCATTGCAGTTGGCCTTACATGTAGAAATCTCTTTTAACATGTGAATGGGCACAATGCTGTACAAGGGTGTTATACGATTTGTCTCATACCTTCCTTCCTGGTCTGCCAATCTCACCCTGTAGGATAAAGTAACGCATCAGTAGGAGACACAAACAACAAATATGGGAGAAGGTAGAAAACAGGTCACAAGTAGCATACGGCAATCTTTTGTGACAGGCTAAAGATAACTGGGGGGGAAGGCAAGAGAAACCACAAACAAAAAAATGTTTTTACTGCATTTCTATCACCCCTTTATGGTGGTATACATGGTTCTCCAGCCTCCTCATTTACCGTATTTTTCGCGCTATAGGGCGCACTGGCTGCTTGCTGCTATCCGAAGCCCGCCGCACACCCCAGGCTTAGGGCAGCTATCTGCAAGCCTGCGGCGCCTGGCAGGAACTCCGGATAGCTGCCCTAAGCCCGGGGTGCAAAGTGCCGCGCTCCTCGGACTTCAGGCTGCAAGCACCTATCCGCACCGACCCCTCTTGCTCTTCAGGCTTCAGCGAAAGCCTGCATTTGCCCCATAGGACGCACACACATTTCCCCTTCATTTTTGGAGGGGGGAAAGTGTGTTCTATAGGGTGAAAAATACGGATATCCTCACAACAGCCCTGTGAGGTAGGCTAGGCTGAGAGGCAGTGAATGGCCCACGCTCAGCCAGTGAGCTTCATGGCCAAGTGAGGATTAGAAGGCCGGTATCCCAGGGAACCCCTAACCACTACAACACACTGCCATGGGGATAGATGCACAGTTTTGTTTCATGGTAAACTTTAGAGGTGGAGCACAATAGTTTCTGGCTTGTGGGGATTGCTGGCATGTACATTTATTGGCCTGTCTAAACAGGTGCATCCTGCTTTTCATAGCCTAAGCCTTCACAAAGCAGGTAATGAGACAATGAGATATTGCAAATTCCACTTTGAAACGAGAGGCCACTAAAAACATACCATTATCAGTCATCGTAAACTCAGACATTGCAGGTCTGGAATCAGCAGGCATGGCAGCATGGGGCAAATTCCAGGGTGCTCAGGTCCTAGAGGGCACACCAGGGCTGGTGCCAGCATCCCTTTAGGAATTTTTAACTCCCCCCTAACTATATTTAAATGCTGCTTAAAAAAGTGAAATATACTCAGAGTCGAGTGTGAATTTCATGCTCTTTATTCAGCTTGTAGTAGCAATGAATGAATATTTCCCCAAAACGTCTAGCTATATATATATATTATTTACACAATGGGCCCCGCGTGATTGGCTAATTCTGGGCTGCCCCTGTAGGCCAATCAGGTTACGGATTCACTTCCTCCAGAAGCCTGATTGGCTGTTCCTGCAGGCCAATCAGGTTGCTGATTCACTTCATGCAGGACCCTGATTGGCTACTCCTGCAGGCCAATCAGGTCACTGATTCACTTCCACTAGGAGCTGGATTGGGTGGCTCCTGCGGACCAATCAGACTGCTGCATTCTGGATCCTGTTGATCTAGGATTCAGCTCAGTACATAACAGAAAGATTCAAGCAAAGCATCTTAATTTTCCCAGAATGCCTCTGGGGGTGACTGCAGCAGCTGCTTCATCTGCTTTTCTTATGCTAAACTGTCCATCACTGCCTGTATCTCAGCCTGTGGTACACTAGCTGGGGGATGCCACTAGGGTATCGCTGGGTGGGACCTTGCCTCAAACCTGATACCAGTCCTGGTAATTAATCTACACTTCCGAAATGACCTTACATCTAATGCATATACCTGCAAAGGCTCAGCAATTATCACAGTTCAAAATCCAACCCTGGCACTTACTTTTTCCCCCTTTGGTCCCTTCACGCCAGGAACACCTTGCGGGCCCTAAAAATAAAAAAGAGAAGAAATGGGACGTTCAACGTTGCTGATAACACTCCTCGCTTGTTCTTCTGCTCACCCCAGCGTCTTTCGCCTATCAGTTGTGACAAAGTAATCAGAAGGCTTCCTACTTCTTTTGTTGCAAAGGATCTCTACCATGTTTCAGCCCCTTCAGCCCATCTCAGATCAGGACCGAAGTTCTCACACGAAGCTCAGTTCATGAGGGTTCACATCTGTCAGTCTCTACTGTCCTAGCTGGATTTAATTTTCAGCTGTAAGCACTATAGTTCCATATAGGCAGGAGATAATGAGGTGCAGCGATGGGTCGGGTGATGAGCGGTGGAAGGATATAATGGAAAAGCAAACATGGAGTTTGGAAGAAAAGTAGTTCCATATTAGGAAAGAAGGTGTGAGAGTAATCAAACATTTGTTTCCATCCATCTGACCTGATGCAGTCCTAGGAATTGTAGTTTTATGCTCTAATTTTAACTCTGAAATTTCTTCTGGATTCTCTATATTCTTTTGCCTTCTCTATATTATTGAATACTGGATGATATTTAATATCCCGATCTTGGCTTTGAAGCTATTTTTTCTTAAATAGCTGTTTCATTTGCTGATTTTCCATTTTAAGAAAACTGGTTTTCAGAAAAATCTTCCACATTGCCCTGGTAACTGTTGTTACAGCATAGGGCAACTGATAAATGGAATAAATGAAAATAATTTTTAAAAAATCAAATGAACACATCTGTATGGTGTGGTCACTTGAGCGCACAGATCATCCATAAGATAATAGATAAAAAGAAGTTACTAAAATACACAAGTATTTTAAGACTCACCCAGCCCTACAAAAAAGGCTCCTCATGAGGCCGGAAGAACATCAACCAGCTATTGTTATTGATTTATTGATTTAATATGCTGTAAACCGCTTTGAGATTTTTATCAAAAATATAAAGCAGTATAGAAATAAAAAATTTTAAAAAATTAAATAAAGCTATTCCGTGAGCTATTCCGAAAAAAAAGGTTTCCTGCGAAAAGACTGGGAGACTAAGAATTTCCTCATCGTTCTTTTACATCACACTGAAAGGATTCAAGTGGAAGCAACATAATATACCTTGCTGTTAATGAGCCTTGCTTTATTTATCATTACTAATCCAGACGTCACTTGTAATGCATATTTAAACGAGGTACCATACTGCACAGGGGGTGAGGAATCCCAGCTGCGTTATGTTCTAACCTGCTACAGTATTGAAGAATGAAGGCCTCTCAACTGTATGGAAAGAGCACAGACTGAGGAACCTGTCTAAAGGATCTGAATTGGTGTGTTCTAAAAGGAAGTACTGGGATGCGGGTGGCGCTGTGGGTTAAACCACAGAGCCTAGGGCTTGCCGATCAGAAGGTCGGCGGTTCGAATCCCCGTGACGGGCTGAGCTCCCATTGTTTGGTCCCTGCTCCTGCCCACCTAGCAGTTCGAAAGCACATCAAAGTGCAAGTAGATAAATAGGTACCACTCCAGCGGGAAGGTAAACGGCGTTTCCGTGTGCTCCTCTGGTTCGCCAGAAGCGGCTTAGTCATGCTGGCCACATGACCAGGAAGCTGTGCGTTGGCTTCCTCGGCCAATAAAGCGAGATGAGCGCCGCAACCCCAGAGTCGGCCACGACTGGACCTAACGGTCAGGGGTCCCTTTACCTTTACCTTAAAAGGAAGTACTAACCTGTGGCCCAGGAGGTGCTGGAGGGCACAGAGATTCTACACATGGAGACTGTATTATCTGAAGCTCTTGACATAGGTTTTTCAGGTTCAGAGACAACATCTAAGAAGTTTTAAAAAGGGAGAGAGATCACTAAATACCACGGCAGAAGAGTAAACCTTTGATCAAGGACATATTTTTTAAACACTCTCTTGCAGGGCTGAACTAGATTTTCTTCATCTGCACTTCTCCATCTTCCGTACCGCACTGTTGCAAAAGGAGTACTAGTACTCCAGTACTATCTGGCTCATCCTCCTCAGCCCAAGTAATACACAAGGCTATTTTGCTCCTAGCTCAATTTGCAAGTGGCAGATGCTCCCAGAAATAGCTTCTCCTAATAATTCATACTGCATGAGAGTGCAACACAGACTGCATGACTAAAAGAAGCCAAATTCTCTCCTTGGCAAAGCCAGTGGGGAAGAAGTTGTATTAGATGGTGGATAAACGCAGAAACTAAATCAAATTATTCCATCTATCAAATAGCAATTATAGGATGTATAATTATATATATATAACAAGAAAAGACACAAGACCTAGATTTCATTCCCCCTCACAAGTTATTGTTTGCTGAACCGCTAGTGTTTGCTCATCGAGAAGACTGCATACAAATCCGGCTGTGCTACATAATTACGTTAGCTACTTTTTGTATTGCAGCTGAAATGTACACAACAGAAAATCCTATACTCCATGCCCTCAGGATTCCCTCTTGATGGCTACGCAAGATTACATCCTTTACTCCATCTCTCATTTCCAACAGCAGTTTAGGACCCTCTCAAAAGGTAGGAGAAAACCCATAGTATTATCATTCTCTCAGTTGGTAAAAGTTCAAATGTTTTTGGGTGGGGTAAATGGCAGAGCAGTCGGATGGAAATTCTATGGTATCCCAAGCTATGGCTGCTCACATGGGAGACCTTCCTTTTTCTCTCCTCCCTTCCAGAGCTGGTGTGGTTTCAGGAACATCAGGGTAAAATTGGGACTTTAGGTTCTGTGGATTCAAGGCTGTCCCTAACCTACCCCTCTCCCCTCCATTGGTGGAACACCTATTGAGTTGTTTTGTGGGTGCACTGGAGGTCTCTGACGGCCTACATGTGACCCCACTTACTACTACTAATAATAGGAAAAAATATTTTACACAGAAAACTACAGGCTTTAAATCCCTCTTCCAAGTTAATGGAGATGGGTTTTTTGAATACAAGTGAAGCTATTACATCAGTGGCTGCAAAAATAGAAGAAAGGATCGAGATCGGAATTGCTGTATTTGGATTATATGTGAGATTATATGCAGGATTTAGGAATAATTATCTCTGGATGATCAGAACATGGGAAGTCACCAAATCTGTTGAATTTGGAATGTATAATTAGCTGTATAAATTGTATTATGATTTGGTATGATAATAATGTGGCCCATATTGGAAAGTTATTAATGAAAAATTGATAAATACACACACAGTGGTACCTCAGGTTACATACGCTTCAGGTTACAGACTCTTCAGGTTACAGAGTCCGCTAAACCCAGAAATAGTACCTCGGGTTAAGAACTTTGCTTCAGGATGAGAACAGAAATCGGGCGGCTGCAGCGCAGCGGCAGCAGGAGGCCCCGTTAGCTAAAGTGGTGCTTCAGGTTAAGGACAGTTTCAGGTTAAGAACGGACCTCTAGAACGAATTAAGTACTTAACCCAAGGTACCACTGTATATATACACAATAATTTATTTATTTATACCACCACCCATCTGGCTGGGTTTCCCAAGCCACTCTGGGCGGCTCCCAACAGAATATTAAAAACATTATAAAACATCAAACATTAAAAACTTCCCTAAACAAGGTTGCCTTCAGATGTCTTCTAAAAGTCAGATATTTGTTTATTTCCTTGACATCTGTTGGGAGGGCGTTCCACAGGGCGGGCGCCACTGCCGAGAAGGCCCTCTGCTTGGTTCCCTGTAGCTTCACTTTTTGCAGTGATGGAACCACCAGAAGGACCTCAAAGCTGGACCTTCATGTCCAGGCAGAACAATGGGAGTGGAGACGCTCCTACAGGTACACTGGGCTGAGGCCGTTTAGGGCTTTAAAGGTTAGCGCCAACACTTTGAGTTGTGCTCAGAAACGTACTGGAAGCCAATGCAGGTCTTTCAGGACCGGTGTTATATGGTCTCAGTAGCCAAACCCAGACTTCCACCTCCTTCTCCACTCCAGCAATGGCACGTACTCCACAGCCACATTCAAAAACCCTTGGCAGCCAGCTTTTGAGTTGCATCTTAATTTGCTTTATTTCACATTATGTACCCTTGGCACAAAGTTCAATGATGCTGTCTGACTTGAAATTCTCAGCTTCTTTATACAGATTTTACGAAGAACGGCATTACTTCATTTACTGGACTTCTTCCCAATACGTATGCTCTAAATTTCGACCTAGCAGTTACAGCGAGAGTGACTGATTGAGTGAGTGGTATAAAAGGGAGAGAGAGAGATTGATTTTGTACAATTCTTTGTCATCTGCCTTCACTTGCAGTAAAATGCCAAGTGACTGACAGGAAATTACACAACAGGGTTGCGGCCCTTGAGGTATTAAAACTAATATCATATAAGGGAGTGGGGGAAATTCCAGTAGGCAACCGTGCAAAATATATCAGGAGCTGGACTGTCTCACAGAACATTTTGTCAAGAAACAGGGTCACCTTGGTATTCCAATAATTGGAGATCCATGTGCCAACAGAATTTGAGTCTATGTCATCCCCCCCCCACCTTATACATTAGAAGCCTAATGACCAACACAAAAGCTATATTGTGTGACATGTTAGGTATGTTAGGTCAAACTTTTATGGACCATGTACTGAAAGTTGAGGGAAGGTAGGGTTACAAATGTAGGAAACCTCAGAATTCACAAGAAGCTTTTATAATATATGGCAGCTACATGTACACATGTATTCATGACATGAAGCATATTTTTTGACCCACCTCCGACCCTCAAACCTGTACCTTGTACATTTGCGGCACAATCTTATCTATAGATGTCAAAGAGATAAATTATTCTATGACATCCAAAGGCAGCCCTGTTTTGGGAAGCTTTTAATATTTGATGTTATGTTGCGTTCTTTTATATTATGTTGGAAGACGCCCAGAGTGGGTAGGGTACAATAAATTGATTGATTGATTGATTGATTGATAATGACACTCACTGGGTGATGATAGGGCATTAGCACCAGTGGGTGTAAGTACAGCATTAGTGTGAAACAAGAAGCCTAGCTAAGGGGGGAAGGATCTATCAACTTTGGTTTTTTCAGTTCCCTCAGTTTTCCAATCTTAAAACTGGCTCTGCACATTTCTGTAGCAATCTGCAACATTTCTTTTTGAAAATCCTCATAAATATTCATCTGTATTTTAGTATGAATTTCTCCAATAAACACATGTCTGTATGCAGCTTTGACTATTATACAGATTTTTTTTTGCAAGCAATTTACCCTCATATAATGCACTTTCATTATTTTCACTAAAATATTCATTTTTATGCATAATTTTCACTAATATATACATTTTTGTAAACACGGCTTGCCTGGAAAACTGCATCACCTCAAAATACCATCCAAGGTCATGTCGTTGCCTACAGATGTGTTTGGTGGATTTTTAGTTGGTTCTGTTGTAAAAATCAACAACATTTAGGTATGTAAAAATCAACAACATCCATAAGTATCCGTGCCTTGGATTCATGTTTTTGGAGGTGCTGGCAAGCACTGGATCTATAGATTTTGTTGTGAAATCTACATATGTAAGCTTAAATCGCATCATATTTTTTGAGCACCCTGTGTAAAACCATATCAGTTAAAGAGGATCCATTTTGCCCACTTCATGGAGAAGCAAAGTCTCTTTCTCTCTGTGTTTTCTGTGCATGTGTGAACACACTTTGTCTTTTTAGTTCAGGGGTCAGCAAACTTTTTCAGCAGGGGGCCGGTCTACTGTCCCTCAGACCTTGTGGGGGGCGGGACTATATTTTGAAAAAAAATATTTGAACGAATTCCTATGCCCCACAAATAACCCAGAGATGCATTTTAAATAAAAGCACACATTCTACTCATGTAAAAACACCAGGCAGGCCTCACAAATAACCCAGAGATGCATTTTAAATAAAAGGACACATTCTACTCATGTAAAAACACGCTGATTCACGGACCGTCCGCAGACCGGATTTAGAAGGCGATTGGGCTGGATCCGGCCCCTGGGCCTAAGTTTGCCTACCCATGTTCTAGTTGTCTGGGGTGGTGTGGTGGTGAAAGCAGCCAGTGGGAATGTTATCCATGTTTTCTCTCAGAATTCCAGATGTGCCCACAAGCAACCCCAGACCATTTTGCACCTCTGATACATTACATCTCTGGTCACCAAGAGTTATGCCACTTTCTGTGGCAGGGCAGTTTCTTGGAACTGCTAAGGAAGGATAAGCTGTGCTTACAGGAAATAAAAACTTGAAGCCATACTTACAGAATTCCATCCCTGCCTGAAGTGTGGTGGAGGAAATAATGGCGGTGGCGGTGGAGGAGGAGGAGGGAGGGCAAGAAACGAGCACCCTCTGTTGTTATTAACCTGCTTCTTCTGGTTCAAGCAAGGGAAGGCTGTTGAGGGGAAAAATACTTGTCTATTAATTACGGGCTACGTATTAATTACGATTCTTTAAAGAATGAAAAAGGCGGCTCGAGCACAATAAAATTCAGCATGTTTGCGTCACAGAAACGCACTCCCACCACTCAAGGTTTTGCCAACTATGGCAGCTAAGAAATCCTCCAGTGACAGTCCACAATATTTTGCTACCTGAAAAGGTAAAAGGTAAAGGACCCCTGGACGGTTAAGTCCAGTCAAAGGGGTTGCAGCGCTCAACTCGTTTTCAGGCCGAAGGAGCCGGCGTTTGTCCACCGACGGCTGGGTCATGTGGCCAGCATGACTAAACTGCTACTGGTGCATGGAGGACCGTGACAAGTGCCAGAGTGCATGGAAACGCCGTTTACCTCCCCGCCGCAGTGGTACCTATTTATCTACTTGCACTGGCATGCTTTCAAACTGCTAGGTTGGCAGGAGCTGGGACAGAGCAATGGGAGCTCACCCCGTGGCGGGGATTCAAACCACCAACTTTCTGATCGGCAAGCCCTGAACGCAAATGGCACCCTCTCTGCTACAGCCAAGTCTTGCTGCGCCGTTTCTGAGATCCACAGGACCCTAATCTTGACCCTGTCATTGCTGACCTCCAGACAGGAAGCATAAACAGTTTTGCCCCAGCTTGCTGTCTCTTTGCCTAAAATGATAATAGGTGATCTCCAACAAAGTCACACTCAGAGCAGACCCCTGAAATCAACATAAGCTTGTCGATTAAATGGGTCAACTGTGAGTATGACGAACATTGGCTATCACCCACATTTTGTGAAATTCCTCTTGTTGTTTTACATTGTTGCTTAGTATTGTTTACTTGTTTCAATTGTGTTTCTTGGAAGCCCCCTGGAATATATTTTATACAGAAAGGCAAAACATAGATTAAATGAATTACAACACTTCTGGAATATTTGCTATGATGGTATGTGTTTTTTTAATGATTCTTAATAGCAACAGCGCTGTCATCAATACAGATCAGAGTTACTAAGGGCATCTCCAGACAACCTGTTATTCAGTATTTATCCTGAATTGCTTCCACAAAGTTTACATGCAAGTTAGATTATATCTAATCTTTACTGAGCATTTGTTCTGATTTGTTTGTGGGGAGGTTATACAGTGATGACCATTCATTCTGAATCCACTTTGATTTGCTTGTGTAGTATTTATACATCTTTCTGCATTCATCCCACACTTTTTCATGCATTCTTCCAGCACTTTACTAACCACAAAAAGTATGGGGATATGGTGGGGAGATAAGGAGACTTTGTTGTGCCAAAGCAAATGAGTGCTTCAAAATCCACTTTATTTGCTTAAACCCAGATTTCCATTGTACACTTGAATCCCTCCCACAAAAAGCGATACATTGCACACACACACACACACACACACACACACACACTTTTGAAAAGAAATGTGTTATGGTTTTGTCATGTATGCCTACTATCTAGGCCCACTTGTTGTTGTTTTCAATTATAGCCAGAATGTAGGACCAGGATTTTTGGCCTCTGTACAGAGCTGCAGTTTCGGTGAGCCCGTGGCAATAAAGCATCACTGAAAAACCGTTTCAACTCTTCCACCTGTTCAGAGAAACCCCGGCAACCTTTCCAAGCTGAAATTCAGTGCAGTCACAAGACAAATGAGTAACTGCTATTAAAAGGCCAACGTATAATATAACTGCTATGATCATGTACTCAGTAGCATCTGTGCTTCCCTATGGCTCAGTATCAATTCCAGGAGTTCCCTGACAAGAAATGCTGCCTTTATCTCGGATGCTGCCCTACTGTTCTCTCACAGACCATCAGAACCAGGGCCGGATTTAGGTTTGACGAGGCCCTAAGCTACTGAAGGTAATGGGGCCCTTTATATGTCCAGCTGTCCTTTGTCCACAACAAATTGTCGCTGTTTTTTGTGTTGAATATATGCTATATGGTAATTTATGGACCTGTGGGTTAAACCACAGAGCCTAGGACTTGCCAATCAGAAGGTCGGCGGTTCGAATCCCCGTGAGGGGTGAGCTCCCGTTGCTCGGTCCCTGCTTCTGCCAATCTAGCAGTTTGAAAGCACGTCAAAGTGCAAGTAGATAAATAGGTACCACTCCGGCAGGAAGGTAAACAGCGTTTCCGTGTGCTGCTCTGGCTCTCCAGAAGCGGCTTAGTCATGCTGGCCACATGACCCGGAAGCTGTACGCCGGCTCCCTCGGCCAATAAAGCGAGATGAGCGCTGCAACCCCAGAGTCGGTCGCGACTGGACCTAATGGTCAGGGGTCCCTTTACCTTTTAATTTATGGACCTAATAGGTCCATACACAACACAAGGCACTGTTGCTGTATGTAGGGTTTATTTCATTTTAAAAAATCTTATATTTTGGAAATGTACATCCAGTTTTTTTGTCCTTTACATTTTTGCCAAGAGAGTGGGGCCCTAAGCTACAGCTTGTTTAGCTTATACTTAAATCCGGCACTGTGCAGAACCCTGGTCTTTTCTTGCTGCATGGGCCTAAGGGTGAACGGGGTCTATAGCTGGGGAACTTTGCTGTAGCAGCTACAGTGCAGCTCTTACAGTATTATCTGCAATATTACACTAGTGGCCAAAACTGTGGAAACCTTTTGGGAAAAGTGTGTTTCCTGTTGAATATTGCAGAGCACATGCAGACTTTCTGGAAGTATCTGGTTGCAAGCTGACTGGATGAACAGGAACAAAATGCTGCTCACTAGTAACTTGGTTACTTAGAGGTTTATTATTTACAGCAGACTCACAAGTTACTATATACAAGATACAGAATCAATAATCCAGGTGTTTTGCCCCTCATCATCAGAACACTTGACCACGGCAGTCACGAGTTGCGCCATCTGCTTCTTTTTGCCATACTTTATTACAACATCAGTCATAAAAAAGAAATGTGAAACACATAGAAAAAAAATGAGATATACAAAAATTCTCAGCATGTCAATTAATACTTAACTGGGTAACCTTTAGCTTTAATTATGGCCTTTCAATGCCTTCTCATGGAGTGAACCAATTTTTTTGTTCTGCAGCTGTAATAATGTGAAACCAAGATTGAATTATTGCCTCTATTAATTGGGTTTTATTGCTGGGTTGCTTCTGACTAACAAGTTTATTTAGTTACCTCAATTAGTTTCTTTAGTTTCCACAATTTTGGCCACTAGTGTATATCGATATACTTGAGAAATTGGATTTCAAATAAATAGCTTTTTTAAAAAAAAGAAAAAAGAAAAGGTAAACGACAATTTTGGCCATTAGTGTATATCAATATACTTGAAAAATAGGTTTTCAAATAAACAGCTTTAAAAAAAAAAAGATAAAGGAAAGGACAATTTTGGCCACTAGTGTATATCAATATACTTGAAAAATAGGTTTTCAAATAAACAGCTTTTTAAAAAAAAGATAAAGGAAAGGACAAAGGTTTAAGTGAAAGAGATCATCTCTCCCCTTCCTGAGGGTCTTTATGACAAGGCCAAAATTGCTAGACAAAGTGAGACAGCCAAATCAGCAGCCAGTAAGTAATAGCAAATTGTCCATTCATTCATTCTCTCTCTCTCTCTCTCTCTCTCTCTCTCTCTCTCTCTCTCCCTCCCTCTCTCTCTCCCTCTCTCCATAAATACACATACTGTACCAACACAAACAACATGCTATCCCTACCTCCTATTAGAAACCTGGACATTCTCTTGCCCTCTAGTGCCTCAACTCGCCTCAACACCAGTGAGCATGCATTGATGACAACGCCACAAGCACGCATTGATCAGGTGTGGCATAAAGACATCCCCACCCTGTCAATGTGCCCTGGTGTGAACATAAACAGAAACGGATCTCGTACCAATGAAGCCCTGCTGATGTGAGCAGCTAGGGGGAAAGGCAACAGGAATATCCAACAACTTAACATTACCACCTTAGAGCCCAGTGAACACACCCTTTGTTGTTGTTGTTGTTTAGTCGTGTCCAACTCTTTGTGACCCCATGGACCAGAGCACGCCAGGCACTCCTATCTTCCACTGCCTCCCACAGTTTGGTCAAACTCATGCTGGTAGCTTCGAGAACACTGTCCAACCATCTCGTCCTCTGTCGTCCCCTTCTCCTTGTGCCCTCCATCTTTCCCAACATCAGGGTCTTTTCCAGGGAGTCTTCTCTTCTCATGAGGTGGCCAAAGTATTGGAGCTTCAGCTTCAGGATCTGTCCTTCCAGTGAGCACTCATTTCCTTAAGAATGGAGAGGTTTGATCTTCTTGCAGTCCATGGGACTCTCAAGAGTCTCCTCCAACACCATAATTCAAAAGCATCAATTCTTCGGTGATCAGCCTTCTTTATGGTCCAGCTCTCACTTCCATACATCACTACTGGGAAAACCATAGCTTTAACTATACGGACCTTTGTTGGCAAGGTGATATCTCTGCTTTTTAAGATGATGTCTAGGTTTGTCATTGCTTTTCTCCCAAGAAGCAGGTGTCTTTTAATTTCACAGTTGCTGTCACCATCTGCAGTGATCATGGCGCCCAAGAAAGTAAAATCTCTCACTGCCTCCATTTCTTCCCCTTCTATTTGCCAGGAGGTGATGGGCCCAGTGGCCATGATCTTCGTTTTTTTTTTATGTTGATCTTCGTTTTTTTGATGTTGCGCTCTCCTCTTTCACCCTCATTAAAAGGTTCTTTAATTCCTCCTCACTTTCTGCCATCAAGAACACACCCTTACCTTTCTAAAACTACCCACGTTTTTACATGTTTGCAATAGTTCTTTAAATATCCAAGCAAAGGTTTCCACTCCTCCTTAAAGTCTGCCTCTTCCAAATTTGAGATTTCCTTGACAGAGAGAGCACTAGAGACTTGGGGTGTCTTTGTAATGTATGGTTGTATTCAGGGTGGATTAAAATCAAATCGATTTAAATCACTAGTCAGTAAGACTTGATTTAAATCATTTTTTAAAAATAGAAAGACTAATTCTTGCTTAACCTTAATATTTACAACCAGATGAAGGTTTCATTTTTTGGAATAATAAATTTCCAGAGTAGTTTTTACAGTTATATCAAAAATTACTGATTTGGTTATACAATTAGAAATGCACAGACCGATAGTTATGAAATTATTGTGAGGTTTAATAAGTTAACTGTTTATATTTGGACAACTTTTCTGCTGTACTTCATTGGAAGGAGAAAAATAATCATTTCCTTAATAACAATTTAAACAATTTATTGAACTAAAACTATAACATTATAGCATATGTATCCATGTTTGTTAACTGATGTCAAACAATTAAAAAACAACTTAGACTGAGCTTGAGTTCACATGAAAAGCGTAAAACAAATCCTTATTTCCTGATGAATAGCCTTTGGACTATAATGTAACTTAAATAGAAAACTATCTTTAGAAAGATTTTTCCTCCGAAAGAATTTTATTTTAAAAATTCTATTTAAATAATAAAAAAAGATATATATATATTTTAAATCATTGATTTTTATCTACCCTGGTTGTATTTAAAAACCAGCAGTTAGCAGTACATGACCCCACCAGCCTGTACACAGCCAGGCAGCATTGGTCCAGTCCCTCAAAATCCTAAACCAAATTTTTAAAATGGCTGCTTCACCACTGTTCTGGCGAATCCTCTTGACATTCAGCCTGGGCAACCCACGTTAAGCCCCCTGTCCCCGTGCAAAATGTCCTAAATTGCTCGATCGCATCTCTTGTAATCATTTTACATAACAGGATAACATGGATCATAGCACCATGTACCGCAGGATTAAAAAATAACGCATATGAAGAAACCATCAAGGTACAGTACCGTAATGATTATTATTTTTAGAAAGAGATGCCCCCCAGATAAAGTATATTAAAAGGCTCGTCTGTGCATGTTCACACCTCAGGACCTGTTGTTTTGCTCCCAACTGTTGCTAACTGCTACATAACCATGTGGAAACACAGACTCGCAGTCATGTGTTCAATCTTGCAATATATAACACCCAGAAACATTTCCTCTAAAAACGATGCTTCAGCAGCACCAAGAAATCCAGTTGGCCGGAGCTGAGAGGATCATTTCCAGGAACAGCCTGGCCATATCCTGCCAGAGAGGTGGAGTCGGGTGAAAGGTACGAAAATTATACTTTGCAAGTTTGCACATTTCTTTTCCAGAGCAAGGCCTAAATGCCCCTTCTTTACAGTGATATCCCACGCAAAGCAACAACTCGGTTGCTCCCATATTGTTTTCTTCTGATCACTTAGTTACCGCCATGCCGTGGTCGAAGCCTCTTTGTTTGTGACATAGGTTGCCATGGGGAGACATTAGGGGACAATAATAAAAAGGCCCCTAAGGCCACTGGTTTTCAATTATATCTGGAAAATAGCTGAGAGTATTTTTGTAACGATGGGAAAGACAAGTCATCATTCAGGAATGGTGTGGCCGTTTCGTACGATGAGGCTTACCCTAGGCTTACCCTTGGCAAGCGCAGTGTTTAAGCTAGTGTCTTCCAAAAGGAAGCTTCCTTTAGTTGCCAGATAGAAATAATTATCTGGGACTCCAGGCTCATGCCAATGAAAGACACAAGTGAGTATTAAAGTATACTAGAAATCACACTAAAATAAACAGAGTCTCCCCTCCTGCTGAGTGACATCTACTACAAAACATCAAACATCTATCAGATGATAAGCCCAAATACACATAAAACAATAATTATCCTAATTAAGATGTTATGAAAGACGACAAATGGAAGAGAATCAGAATTGCGCCTGCTGGCCTTATCCTGCCACCATGACACCAGACAAGGTCTGCCATCATGATCCTTCTCCACACTCCATGAGATGAGTTGATGCACTTTCAAAGGCCTCAAAAGGATTGCTGTCTACCCCAAATTCAATGAATAGGAAAACAAAAAACCTGTTGTGACATAAATCGCGGAGCATTGGTCAACTCCTTTTTTAAAAACAGAAGCCACATTTTGAATTGAGTTAAGCTTGATGGACCACTCGCTTCACCCAGCGACTAAGGGTCAAAAACTAGACGATAATGGTGTGTTTGCAATTAATGTGCATGGTTTTTGCTATGTAAATAACAGCTGCAGGGAAATCTGAGCAGCCTCAGGACTCTTTCTCACCCTCCCCTAAAAATCACCTCTGTGGTCTAAACCAGAGCCTCCTGGGCTTGCCAGTCAATGGTTCGAATCCCTGCAACGGAGTGAGCTCCCGTTGCTCTGTCCCAGCTCCTGCCAACCTAGCAGTTCAAAAGCACGCCAGTGCAAGTAGATAAATAGGTACTGCTGCAGTGGGAAGGTAAACGGCGTTTCCATGCACTCTGGTTTCCGTCACGGTGTTCCGTTGCGCCAAAGCGGTTTAGTCATGCTGCTCACATGACCCGGAAAGCTGTCTGTGGAAAAACAGTGGCTCCCTCGGCCTGAAAGCAAGATGAGCGCCACAACCCCAGTCGCCTTTGACTGGATGTAACCATCCAGGGGTCCTTTACCTTTAGCTTTTTACCGTTTGCATTTCAAGGGAAGCCTCCACTGAAAACAATGGGAGCATCCGTTAAAATGCAGATAGCAACCTATGAGATGGTGTGTCTCTGTGTGTGTGTGCACGTGTGTGCGTGTGTGTGTGTGTGTAGAGAAAGAGTATGGTAGGAAGAGTTAAACTTCTCTATCTCACTGCTTCCTCGCTGCTGCTACAACTACCATGGTTAGCCCTCCTGTTGAGTCTCTTGTGGAACAGTGAGATGCCCAGAGCCATTGACATGATCACCCCTGAGAGCCCTTGCCATCATTGTAGAGCAATACGTTGCCTTGGTACTCTGGTAACCCATATGCAATGAAACAGGAGGGTTCATGGCTAGCACACAGGTGGCCCTAACTTGACCTAAGGCATAGGAGGTTGCATTGCTACACCTAACATGTGGCAGTGAAGTTGAACCTTCTCTTCTCAGAGCAATAGAGCCAATTTCTCTGTGTCACTTGCACAGGAGAAACTGGGCGAGTCACATAATAAAGAGGAAGAATCTCTCCTGCTGATCACAGTGAGTAGGAGAAGATGGCAAAGAGCCATTTCTCTATGTGCGGGATACTTGGGAATTGGATTTATGTTGGGGGCCGAGTGGGAAACATCTTGAAGCTGGGTTCAACCTCAGGGCTATGAGTTGTCCATCCTCACCATCAACAAATCCCCATTTCTCCAAAGTTTGCAATGCAGTTCTTCTGTCTCTTGCCTGTTGCAACATTCACGCAGGTTTTGTGAATAAACACCAAATGGGAGGATGCGGTTGGCTGAAACAACTGTTTTACATAGCTGGTGCAAATAACAATGTCTTTTAAGAAAGCCCTATTAGACCACTATTTTTAGTCTGCTGCATTTGTTCTGGATTTATTTTCACTGTGTTTCTAATGACATGTGTTTTCGTTATTTTGAATTATCATATCTCCATAAAGATCTATTAATTCACAATGCAGCAAAGGGAAGCTTAAATCATTGTAGCACTGTTATTCTATTGCAGTTTTGAAAGCACATGGATGATGATGATGATGATGATGATGATGATGATTATTTTTAAAAGCATACAATCCTATAAGAACAATGCTAGAAACCTAAAGCAGGGATGCAGACCTTTCTTCAGCCTGAGGGCTATATTCTCTCATGGGCAAGAGCCATGACAGATTATTCTTTGGTGCGGCCAGAGGCACAAATGGCCGGAGACACCGTGAGCTGGAGCAATTGATTGTACAACACAATAAGCTTCACAAAACACAGAGGTTTCTATGTACACACCTCCACGGGGGCAAACGAGAGGCACAATCTCATTCCAGTCAAGCAAACACACTTGAGAGGGCGTGGAGCAGGACTACTGAGAGGTCTGACGTGTGGGAAAGGTGAAGTGGTCTGGAGACCACTCAGTCTCCTCAGTCTCCTAGGCCTGGCATTGCCCCTAATTTAAAGTCTTATACAACAGCCACCTCAAACTTGATTCTTTAAAGGGTTCCCCTTTCAATAACATTGCATTCAGTAACAGGAATGCTGGAAAAAGACGGAGCTGTCTCTTTCATATTGCTGTGAAGTTTGCCGTTAAAATGTACAGACCTGCGGCAAGCCTCCTGGTCTCCTTCCCAGAACGCACAGCTGAAGGGAAACCTGTTGGATTAAAGTGGAAAATAGGATTCCCTGCAGTCAGGCAATCCATACCCTTTGCCTCCTGCCAACCCGGGGTGTTTTTTTCCATGCAGTGGGCTTTTGTTCGCTATGGAAGTCATCTGAGTATTTGTTAGTGCCACTGCGCTAGCCAGAAGATGTTTACTGTGCTAGCATCCAGCACAAGTCCAGCAACGCTGGATGAGGTCAAGGCTGTGTTAACAGAAATGGACATACATTGTGATTCATCCTCCTCTCATCGACTTCATTTGCGTCTCTGCAAATTCGCAGACCTTCAAGCCATCGATTGCCACTGAAATAAAGCAGGATAGCTATCTAACAACGAAGTTTCTGTTTTGTGGCGATATAGCCCATTAGTATTAAACAGGAGATGTTAGCCTCTTGACGTCAGGATCAGGAATAATAAAATAAGAACAGATTTGAAAAGGGGTGGGGGGAGCCTCTGGCTTTTATTGTTTTGTGATTCAGCATGCATTGGGACTAAGTATTTCCCAACCACGATTCCGAGTGCTTAGAACAGCAGGGAAATCTAAACACGCAGAGATAAGCAAGGCAAGTCACCAAGAGATAAATCAATGTTGCAATTTACCTGCTGAAATTGAGAAGACACTGTCCACAAAGGAGGACTGAGATACAGCAAAGCAGAAAAGGAGCTGGAGATAAAATCCCAAAGCAATACGGCTGAGGATGACCATGTTGGCTGCAAGCTGTACAATTCCAATGTGCAGGGTGCTGATATCTTGTCCACTGCCTTCTCTTGCCTGCCTGCCCGCCTGCCTTGTCTGCTTGCTTGCTTTCCCCCTTTCGCTCTCTCACTGGTTGGGTATGTTTATGTCTCTCTGTCTCTGCCTCTCTCCCTCTGTGAGCTTTAGTAAGAAAGAATGCCAACCATTTCCCATTAAATCTTCTCCTTACACTAGACAGGGCTATATTTAACTCAAGCGCTGGATCAGATGCCCCCATCACAAATACCAGCTATTAAAACATAGTCAGAGGACTAATGAAGAGGAGGAGGTTGATTTCAAGCTGAGCTGGGAACCACATATCTGATTGATAACCAGACAATCATTGAGAAAGCTCCATTCATTCATTGTCTCCTCCCACCCCACCCCTCGGCCCGACCAGGCCAATGAATGGTTCCTGACTAGGGATATGGACATAGGAACACCTTGTTTCTATATTCTGCTTCCCCTTTATATAGTTCATTTCAGGACTCACAGACCCTCCAAGTGTCCCTATTTTCCAGAGACAGTCCTGGATTTACAGAAGCTGTACCGGTTTCTGATTTGATCCCAGAATGTCCTGCTTTTCCTTAGGGCATCGCTATTTTCATTGGAGAAACATTGGAGGGCATGGACTCAGGAGGCTTAAGAAACCATGTGCCGTTAAATATTGTACATTATTATGGCTGTAATGATCATTAGAAACTTTAATGGCACAGAAATAACCACCCGTATTTTGTTACAAGCGTTCTGGGTCTTCAGTAGCTTAATGGATAGATTGACAATGAGATGGTACAGAGTGTGTCAAATAGCACCGAAGATGACTCTAGGATGGTTCAAAGAAGGCATGTTTCAAAGCACACCAGGGTGTGCTTCCTAAATACATTCTAGGACTGTTCTCCATCTCACAGGACCCTTTGTGAAATAATTTGGGGAGGAATGCATTAAAACGTACCAACTTGTGGAGCTTGCTTTCACTTACCTTTCTGCTATCAAAAGCATGGAAATAGAAAATAGTTGTGTCTCCATAACTATTTGGGCCGCTTACCCACAATATTAATGTTACCTCAACTTCCTAGTGAAATACTTGATCCATTTTAATTGCTTTCTGGAACAAGAGAAAAGTGTCTACATAGACATTTAGAAGAAAACAAGGTACTGGTAATTAAAAAAAAAAATCAGCTCCCTTTATTAAATTGGCACTAATATTCTGCTGATCTGGTAAAGAAAATGGGATTATAAACGTTCTTTTTCTAAGCCAATTCCTACACTAATTAAATGAATGCAGGTTTTTGTTTTTCCTCCTGTACTTTGCTGATCTAAACTGGTCTTAAATTAATGCATCCGTCCTCACTGTATTCAGTTTGCTGTGCAGTTTGAGATGGTTTTGAAAAATGTTTGATGGGTTTGCTGCAAGCCACATTCTCTTGCAGAGGGAAGTTGGGTTGCTGTTGGTTGTCCACAAAATGATTCACTGCATTACTTCTTTTTAGCTGCAGTGAAAGAGCAGCCAAAACAGAGGGTAGGGAAAGTCCTCAAAACCACAAAAAACCTGCATTGCTGCACGTTCTTGGAAGCAAACTGCAAGTTCATAAATTAAGCTTCAGTTCAGAGACACATTTTCAGTGAGGCTAGTCCTTTTCACCATTAGCCTGGAAAAATAAGTATTTGGCTGAGGATAAGGCATGGGTAGGCAAACTAAGGCCCGGGGGCTGGATCTGGCCCAATCGCCTTCTAAATCTGGCCCGCGGACGGTCCGGGAATCAGTGTGTTTTTACCTGAGTAGAATGTGTCCTTTTATTTAAAATGCATCTCTGGGTTATTTGTGGGGCATAGGAATTCATTCATTTTCCCCCACCCCCAAATATAGTCCGGCCCCCCACAAGGTCTGAGGGATAGGGAACCAGTCCCCTGCTGAAAAAGTCTGCTGACCCCTGGGATAAGGCTTTAATAGACTGGGGCAGTTATTGCAAGCTAATTCCTATCTGGGTAACTGAGAAACACTTCTGAAGAGGGTATTCCAAACTCTTGAGATGCTTCTTCCAGGGCTGGCTTGGATCAAGCTTCTCCCATACACGACAGGAGAGCAAGCCACACCTTTGCCTGGCCTACTCAGTGCCCCAGTGTAGTTCTGATGATCCTGGATGTCCACACAAAGCATAACATTTGACTACAGCCAGCATGCATGGGCCCAGATTGTGAGGTTGATTACTGGATTTTATTCAGGAAATAGGCCTACATAAAGTAGATTTTATGTTTGGAGGTCCTATATTGAAAGTTAGTTCTGCTACCACGGTGGGGTCTACTTCCTTCTGAATTCGAGCAATTTTATCTGCAAAAAAACCCTTTGCAAATTTGTTGCAAGACATCTTGGAGTCCAGTGGCGAAAGTGGTTCTGTTAGACTACAAACCACCTGAGTCTCCTGGTACTGTTTTCTGCAGATGCAACAGAGGCAGTGAAGAAGACCTTCTTCGCCGTCACCACTTGCTAGTCCCAATGTTGAGCTCTAACCCATGTTCGGAATGAGTTTTCTGCCACCAGCGCTCTAGCCATCTCTGTGATTGTTTCATCCCATATAAACCCAGAGTTTAGGATCATAGAATCAGGTTTTTGACCTTTAAAGCCCTATGTGGCCTAGGACCCACATACCTATGGGACCGCCTCTCCCGGTATGCCCCGCGGAGGACCTTAAGGTCCACAAATAACAACACTTTGGAGGTCCCGAACCTCAAGGTGGTTAGATTGGTCTCAACTAGGGCCAGGGCCTTTTCAGTACTGGCCCTGACTTGGTGGAACGCTCTGTCACAAGAGACTAGGGCCCTGCGGGACTTGACATCTTTCCGCAGGGCCTGCAAGACAGAGCAGTTCCGCCTGGCCTTTGGTTTGGACTCAGTTTGACCCTTATGTTTCCCTCCCCTTATGGTTTTGATCTATGGGCTACTTTTAAAATGAGGCTGCATTTTAAATTGCATTTTAACCTGTATTTTAAATTGGACCCCCCCCCTCCATTATGTTTTTATTGTAATTTTTACTGTTAACTGTCCTGAGCCTGGCTCTGGCCAGGGAGGGTGGGATATTACTAAATTTATTTTTATTAATTATTATTATTATTATTGAAGGGACCCAAGGTTCATCCAGTCCGACCCCTTGCAACGCGTAAACGTAATGTCATGAAATTGATGGCAACAGATTTAAGCCAACCCAATCCCCAATTCCGGTGGTCACCTCTGTTTTCAGGGTGTGTGGAGGGAGGAGTGGCATGACAAATCCTGCTCCCCACACCATCCTCATCTCCTCCACCTCTAACTGAGCTGCAAGGTCTACAGTAGAAGCAGAATCTTCACTTTTTGCAGAATGTACTTGGAATCCTCCGTGCCACCAGGATCCCCCCATTGTATGAATTCTAAGTGTGTCGACTTTATCATGTAAACATTCTCAGTTAAGAGCTTCCTGTTCAACATACAAGGATCCCAAGACTGCCAGCTAGCTGATCAGGAAAGGACTTAACATCTGGACTGCCTTACTGGCAGAACTTTGCGCAATACCTAAAATCTATGGAATTCGCCAAAAAAGTGTGGCAGTATTAAGCCTCCGGCTTGTTGTTGTTTAGTCGTTTAGTCATGTCCGACTCTTCGTAACCCCATGGACCAGAGCACGCCAGGCACTCCTGTCTTCCACTGCCTCCCGCAGTTTGGTCAAACTCATGCTGGTAGCTTCGAGAAAACTATCCCACCATCTCATCCTCTGTGGTCCCCTTCTCCTGGTGCCCTCCATCTTTCCCAACATCAGGGTCTTTTCCAGGGAGTCTTCTCTTCTCATGAGGTGGCCAAAATATTGGAGTCTCAGCTTCAGGATCTGTCCTTCTAGTGAGCACTCAGGGCTGATTTCCTTAAGAATGGAAATCTAAGCCTCCGGTTTAGAAGGCTATAAAAGAGGATTAGACCAATTCATGGAGAATCAGTCAATCAACTGCTTTATTTATAATGATTTCTGAATAGAAGGAACACAAGCAAATAATGGAAGTACAGTGGTACCTCGGGTTACATACGCTTCAGGTTACAGACTCCGCTAACCCAGAAATAGTACCTCGGGTTAAGAACTTTGCTTCAGGATGAGAACAGAAATTGCGTGGTGGTGGCAGCGGGAGGCCCCATTAGCTAAAGTGGTACCTCAGGTTAAGAACAGTTTCAGGTTAAGAATGGACCTCCGGAACGAATTAAGTACTTAACCCGAAGTACCACTGTATGTCTCCATGCTCTCTTCGTGGTCTTCCCTCGACTCAGCTGGCTGGCCACAGCTGAAACCTAAAAATTTGTTCTAATCCAAGTGACCTGTGTGGCCTGTCTCAGGTATTCAGGATTTTAATTGTGCACCATTTTTTCCCATTTCTTGAGACCTCATTAAACTCACAAAGGATCCATTTGCTTTTTTAATAGGCGTAGTGAGAGAGTTTAGTCTAACGAAAAACTGGACATATTGATGATTTAAATCAATTAAAATGCTTTTAAAATGACAGACATCGCACAAGCTCCATTATTTAAATTTCTGTATTTGGTATGCTGATACTTTGTTCAATATTTTATCAGCTACTGACATATTTTCAAAACCACTTATGAAATGGCTCAATTATAATTCAGCGGTTTCCCTACCCAATAAAACACTGAAAAAATCCATGGGGGGGGGGGGAAATCAAGTTTTGCATAGTACATAGTTATGGAACAAAGAATCGTGAATGAAGGGTGCCCTCTGGTGATTTTATGGAGGCACTGATTAAACAAACATTTGTTTTCAGAATGAATTATACAGAATGCTGATTTTTCGAAAGTGGGTGGATATCAGGTATAGGAAGATATTAAAAAGGGTTCAGCAGCTTTATATATTCAGAACTCATCACACTATGTCCATTTACTGCCATAATGTAAATGCACACTGAAATTCAGAACCAGGCTCAGTGGCTTTTATTTAACCCGTGCACAGACTCTGAATTTGTTTTAAACTAAATTACTGTTTGTTGACAGCTCAGTTGTAGGTGTTTTTACACCTGAACTTCAACAAAAAAAGGCCAGCTTCCAAGGCGGAATTTGTTGCAACGTGGATGTCATGAATGTAGACACGAGGCCCTACATGCAGCCGCAATAGCGCTGGAATTGCACTGTCTGGAAAAGCACATAACAGTGCAGCACTACGGTTGCTATCAGCCTTTTGAAACAGGGCTGGGGAAGCAATGGCTCTTCCGATGCTCTGGAACTCCAAGCCTGATCAGTCCCAGCCAGTACAGCCAATTGCCAGGGAGGACGTGAGCTGCTTCGCATGCCGCTCTCTGAAGAACCTCCCCGCTCATTTAGTGGGGGATTTTGAAACGTGGGCAGGGCCGCCCACCTGTCAATCATGTGATATCATAACAACACCATATGACACCCACTCACCTGTCAAATCTGGCCCATGGAGCCAAAAAAAAGCTCCCTCCCCCTGATCTATATTACCAATACTTTAAATGTGACCCTCATCCAAATCACATGAAGAATTAGCGTAAATCTGAACATTCATTTGCTTTAGTTCAGTGGTCTTCTGCTGATGTGTTCCAGTCCTTGCAGCTTCTGCTACATGTTCGAGCGGGTCAGCCAATGAAAATCCTAAGAATACAAAACAGAAAAACAAAAAAACCACACAACAATATTCAACATTCAGGAATGAGAGGCTATGCTAGCAGATTAGAATATTTTACAGAGAGAACAATCTTATTTTTCCAGCAGTAGAAACGAAAAACCAAACACTGGTAATAAAGCAACACTATAATCGTAGCAAAAGTAAAATGGCTTTTGTTTCTGATGTTTTATATTTGCTTTATGGTTCTCTTTTGTAGGCTATCTTGAAAAATCTTGATTAATAAAATTTAATTTATTTTAAAAATATATAAAATAAAGCCACACTATCACGTTAGCACAATAAAAAGGACAAAAAGTAGGTAGTCATGCTTAAGAGGAGTAACAGAGAGCATCATGCAAGGAAAGGGGGAGGGTGGCTGTGAAAGACCCCAGGGGCTGCCTTGCTGCATCCAGGGTTTCTCACCTGCTTAGAGGCAGATTCAGGTCCCCCAGTCAATACGGCTTGCTGGCAATCAGTACGGCTTACATTGGCTCCCAGCACATTTCGAAGCGTTGGTACTAAATGGCTTTGACCCTGTATACCTGAAGGATATACACCTGGGACGCGGGTGGCGCTGTGGGTTAAACCACAGAGCCTAGGACTTGCCAATCAGAAGGTCGGTGGTTCGAATCCCTGTAACGGGTTGAGCTCCTGTTGCTCGGTCCCTGCTCCTGCCAACCTTGCAGTTCAAAAGCACGTCAAAGTGCAAGTAGATAAATAGGTACCGCTCCAGCGGGAAGGTAAACGGTGTTTCCGTGCGCTGCTCTGGTTCGCCAGAAGCGGCTTAGTCATGCTGGCCACATGACCTGGAAGCTGTACGCCGGCTCCCTCAGCCAATAAAGCGAGCGCCGCAACCCCAGAGTCGGCCACGACTGGACCTAATGGTCAGGGGTCCCTTTACCTTTACCTGAAGGAGTGTCTCCATCCCTATTGTTTAGCCCAGACAATGAGGTCCACCTCTGAGAGCCTTCTGGCATTTGTCTCATTAAGAGAAATGGAAGTTACAGAGAACCAGGCAGACGGCCTTCTCAGTAGTGGCACCCGCCCTCCCATCAGATGCCAAAGAGATAAATAACCACACAACTTTTAGAAGACACCTGACGGCAGTCCTCTATCAGGAAGCTTTTAATGCCTGATGTATCGTATGTTTTTTTAATACATATTCTGTTGGCAACCCAGTAAAGATGGGTGAGGTATAAGTAATGAATTATTATTATTAAAAGGGGTGCCTGGGAGGGAGAGTCTGCTGGCAGAAGTGGCTAGTAGCTTCCCCTCCCTGCTGGATAGCCTGACAAGGCAGATAGGAAACAGCTGGAGCCAGAAACAGCTGCCGACATTGAGACATCAGAGCAGCTTCTGAGAGAGACTCTGGAGGAAGGGAGGGGCTTGGCATCAGAGGGGCTGGTTGGCCGGCATCCCAGTCAAGCAAAAAGCAAGCAGGAAGAAAATTCTTGAATGGAGCTTGAGTGGCCGGCTGTCAACGCAGGGAGGCATTTAGCTGTAGGTCACTCTAAATCAGGGGTCAGCAAACTTTTTCAGCACTGTCCCTCAGACCTTGTGGGGGGCCGGACTATATTTTTTGGGGGGGAAATGAACGAATTCCTATGCCCCACAAATAACCCAGAGATGCATTTTAAATAAAAGCACACACTCTACTCATGTAAAAACACCAAGCAGGCCCCACAAATAACTCAGAGATGTATTTTCAATAAAAGGACACATTCTACTCATGTAAAAACACGCTGATTCCCAAACCATCTGTGGGCTGGATTTAGAAGGCGATTGGGCCGGATCTGGGCCCCGGGCCTTAGTTTGCCTACCCATGCTCTAAATCCACAACCAGACTACAAAGTAGACTTCCTTCGGCGCGTTTCTTTGACTTAATCTCAAAGTGGTGGGAAGGGCTTGGAAAAGTACAGAGTGCTGGTTTGCACTTCCTGGGTGCTAAATTGTCTTTGAGAGGCATCACAGTGTTGGCTGGGGCAATGAGGGTGTGCTGTAACACCTAATCTCCAATAAAAAGCCGTGAATTGAACATTCCCTGTGTTTATTTCCCTTTGTAGGAATGGATGCAGCTCCTTTTCGATGTAGCCCTGACCCATGGATACCCAACTGTAGCCAGACTATCTCACAACACTTCCTGGGAAGTGTAGGGGAATGAAATGAAAAGTAACCCTAGTGGACAAGTGTCTGTACACGTTATATTACAAAGGTTAATATACAAAGACAGAACTACGGCTCTTTCTCAGACACAGACAGATGTGCACATGAGTGTTTTAGTATACAGTCTACAAGGTTTGGAATGTTGTTGTTCAGTGCATTTGTACCTCTCTTTGCTGTTCTGTGACCACTAGATACTCTAGCCTAGAAGCATTTTAAAGAAGCATAATGAATGGTGACCAGAACTGGGGAAATCCGGGTTAGGGAGATCAGCCAGCCATAAGAGACCTCAGAGTGCCCGTTCTTAGTCATAACTGTTTATAATTTTTCCTTAAAAAAAATAAATCAAGTCTGGCAGGCATATGGATTGTGCAAAATAGAAATTCATACAAAACTGAAGCCGAGGTTTGACCTGTTAAGTTATTCTCCCATTACAAAGACTGAGGAAGGTATTTGCTATCAAGTCCCCCTTTGCTCTCCCAGGTTATTTGCTGGTTTAATAACGGAGATTGTTGAGAGTAAATATTGCTTTGTAGTGCTTTCTGCCAACTTTTCTACTTTGAAATCTCAAGCAGCAGGCTTAGCTTACCAAGATGCTATTGAATCTTTAACACAGATATTTCACTATCGAAAGAGTTACTCCATTTAACACAGGAAGTGATGATTTGCTTACACAGAATGGGAGAACAAAATGGACACTCACCTGCTGCTTCCTGTCTGACTGTGGATCGATCATGACATTGATGAGGGAAGGCACATCCTTTCCCGCCAGGCTTGTTTTCAGGGCAGCTTGCAGTTCCTCTGGTGTCTGCACAAAGTACCCTTTGCCACCAAAGGCAGACATAATCTGCTCATAGCGAGCATTTGGCAATAGAGACACGGGAGGAATGCTGAAATGAAGCAAAAAGAGGTCTAGCTTTGCTCAAGGAAAGCTCCTTGGCATCATAAAAGGTCACTCTGTTGATATGATAAATGCACCCAGCAAGAGAAACTAATTGTTTTCTGTGCCTCAGGGAGATAGATCAGGGCCTGTTTAATTACTGTGCAAGCATTCAAGGATTATTTCAGTGGAGGTTTTAGCCAGGAATAGGAAACCTACAGTACAGTGGTACATCGGGTTAAGATCTTAATTCGTTCCAGAGGTCCGTTCTTAACCTGAAACTGTTCTTAACCTGGAGTACCACTTTAGCTAATGGGGCCTCCTGCTGCCACTGCGCCGCCACCGCACGATTTCTCATCCTGAAGCAAAGTTCTTAACCCGAGGTACTATTTCAGGGATAGCAGAGTCTGTAACCTGAAGCGTCTGTAACCAGAGGTACCACTGTAATGGAGACCTTGTATCTCTTCCATTCACTTGCAAAGCATTCTGGATGATTTCTACAAAGCACTTAAGCACATCTCTGTAGCTTTCCCAGACACCATGAAATAGTGCCTCACTGGACAAAAGCCAGCATAATTAAAGATTTAATTGTGGTATTTTTATGGTGGGCATCTGTCTCACACTCTTGGCTCTCAAATTTTCTATCTGTGTGGGCACGACTGTGCTCACTTCCTTTTCTGCCCTTTGAGCATTTTGCTGTATGAGCATGCTTGGAAACAGAGTGTAACTTTTCACCTCTGGAATGTTGGCGCAAAGCTTATGGAAATACTTCCCTATGACCTCAGGGTGCTCTTCACTAAGAGCTCAACACACCTGTGCTGCCAGAGTCCACCTCCCTGGCTGCCCATGCTCTTCTCCTTTCGATTTCCCAGTAGCAGAGAATAACCCAGAGAAACCACAGTCACCTTTTACTAGAATGAGTGAGTGTGCACTGTACTGCTGTCTTTCCCACAGTCTGTGGCACCACCGTGTGATCTACACAACTATAGGCATACCTCGGGTTACAGATGCTTCAGGTTACATTTTTTCATGTTACATTTTTTCAGGTTATGGACCGCCGAAACCCGGAAGTACTGGAACGGGTTACTTCTGGGTTTTGGCGGTCACGCATGCGCAGAAGTGCCAAATCGCAACCCATGTGTGTGCAGACCATAGCGGTCAACTTTCAGATTTGAAAATAAGGGATCAGCAGCCTCACCTGTCCCGGGGACAGTCTACAGGATATATAACAATCCGGGAACAGTGGGAAACGGCGCTGAAATGAGGGAATTTCCCACAAAAAAAATGGAAGGTTGACAGCTATGGTGTAGATGCGCCACTGCGAGTTGCGGACACTGCAAGTTGCGAACATGCATCCGCACGGATCACGTTCGCAACCCAAGCATCCACTGTGTATATCATGGGAGCCCAACACCTCAATTATCTCACTGGAGTTTGATTAGGGGTGGTAACACCCAGGAGATTCTATTATATGGAAATGGCAATGTCTACAGATGTACGACTATGATTATTGTTTTACACTAGAACCCTGGCATACGCACAATTTCCAATTTGTAACAGGAAAACGTTACTAAATCGGCTGAGCAAGTGCAGCACAGATGTACCCACCATGCAGAAGGTTCTCCCAGCTTCAAGATTTCCTTCCACGTATCTTGATCCAAGCCACTGTATATACCATTGTTATTGACTACGATAATGACGATCGGCAAATGGTATCTGCGGTGAATCCCAAAGAGAAACGCATTCAGAATGGTGTCATATTCAGGGGAAACTTGGCTACTCCACTGCATTTTTAAAAAGTTGGATCAAAGGTTTTACCTGCAGATGGTCTCTACCTCCATGCCAGAGAATCCGAAGGCACTGTCTCCTTCTATACAGACGACACGTTGCTCAGGATTATGGTCTTTAGTAACCACAGCAGCTGCTACTGCAAAACCTAGCCCAACTCCCATGGTGCCAAAGGTACCAGCATCAAGCCTAGAAAGAAAGAAAGTCTGTCATCTTTTCTTCCAACACATGTTTTCTGCCAGCTGTTCTGAACTCAAATCCTTTGTGCCTTATTAAAGTAGCACAGGATATCTTTCGAAATAAGAGATACAGCATGTATTCCCAAACAGAAGTGAATAAAGTGTGGATTTGTAAATGTTTGCTAAATGAATGTTACACTGAATTGGTAGTTAGAAAAGGCCTCTTTACAGTCATTAAGTTACAACATTGTCATTTTAGCTGTTTTCAGAGTTAAATTCCTGGCATTACAAAGCACATGCTAATTATTTGGATTAAGCTGCTCAAGGCTTGGGTGCAACCATTGCTTTCCCTCTGAGATTTGTACCGCAAGGAAAATAAAAGCATGTCAATAGGGCAATTTCATAGGCTTCTCGGGTCATTAACAAAAAGGTTCATGAAATCTATTCTGTGTGTAATGCCCTGGAAAAATCAGCTGGGAGCTTGAACACAACAGAAAAGCAATGGCATTAGCACTGTAGCTTTCAAATTAAAGTTGAAATAAGAAAAGTGCCTTGTAATGCCTATTAATATATATATGGAGAGAGAGAGAGAGAGATCTGTTGTGTTTAAATAGCCACACACAATACATGAAGGTTATGGCAAAGAAATATCTTTGCTACAAACATTTCTCCACAAATATTTCTTCCGGGCTATCCCACTGTTTCTCCAGGGTTCTTTGCTGACCCAAAATTCTAATTTCAAAATTGAAGTTTTACACTGAGAAAGCATCTGTTCAAGTTCTAAGATATAGCATGCAGATGCCAGACTCTAACCTGAAGCATTCTGATGCTTTTTCAGAACTTTGGTATGTAGATACAGACATCTAAAGCTAATGAAGAAGATTATTCAGTTGCTAAGATGAGAAAGTACCCATTCTATTGATTTTTAGAAGTATTATACCCTGGAGCATGATTTTTTTTGCTCTAGGTCAATAGAATTCATTATACGATGCAGAAAAACTGGCCCAAGACCAGATTTCATTTGATCCACAAACCACAATGATGAATATCTATGCTGAAGATGGAACCATAAAATAATGCCCAAGCTTAGAACTGTAATTAAAAATTAAAACACAGAAGGAAACTTTTTTTTTTTTACCTGTGGCGGGGATGATAGTTTGGAAGCATAGTGCGCCCAATGTCCATAGTGTTTGCTCCCTCACTAACCAGAATGCAGTCCTTTGGCAGAAGTTCCCTGACATGGTGGAATACTTGATAGTAATTCATTGGCAGATGCTTGCGTAGTGCTAATGCCTTAATGGGGAAAGCAAAGCAAATAAAAGAGCTTTTGAAGAGCTACTGTTCCAACGGCTGCTGTAGTTGTAAAGATTGTGAAAAGATGACTGATATTGATTCATTTATGGAAAATAGACTTGAAGTACAGTCGTATCTTGGAAGTAGAATGAAATCCGTTCCGGAAGTCCATTCGACTTCCAAAACATTCAAATACCAAAGCGCGGCTTCTGATTGGCTGCAGAAAGCTCCTGCAGCCAATTGGAAGCCGCAGAAGCCCCATTGGACATTTGGCTTCCAAAAATAGTTCGCAAACCAGAACAGTCTTGTGATGTTTGGGACCCAAAACATTCGGGAACTAAGCTGTTCAATTTCCAAGGTACTGAATTTTTTAATTTATTTTTTAATACGGGAAAACAGTGCACAAAGATTAACAGAACTGCAGTATTAATTTCATAAGAAGAACCCAAATATATTTTTACTGATACAAACTGATAGTAGTACCTTGGATGCTTCCTCGTTGCTTTTCATTTTTGCCCGTAGTTCTTTCCACCACTCTGCACTAGAAGGATATTTCCAAGACATTTTGTTCAGCTGATCAAAAAGCTAAGAGAATAGCGAAACTGTTACCATAGAACAGCATCATGCTTTTTTGCCCCCTTTGAATTGTTGTTGATATGCACCTTTAATAAAATATGCAAGCACACTGTAATTCAGATGTTGCTGTCTTATACCTTCGGGTATAGGGCGGTATAAAGGTAAAAGGACCCCTGACCGTTAGGTCCAGTCGTGGACGACTCTGGGGCTGCGGTGCTCATCTCGCACCGAGGGAGCCAACGTTTGTCTGCAGACAGTTTTTCCGGGTCATGTGGCCAGCATGACTAAGCCGCTTCTGGCGAACCAGAGCAGCACACAGAAATGCCATTTACCTTCCCGCCGGAGCGGTACCTATTTATCTACTTGCACTTTGACATGCTTTCGAACTGCTAGGTTGGCAGGGCGGTATAGAAATAAAATTAAAAAATAAAAAAAAAATTCCCATCATCCTTTATCTTTGGCCATTCCGGCTGGGATTTACTGAGCCCAACCACAACTGGAGGGCCACACATTAGCCACCCCATCTCTACCCCATTGATGAGGTATATATTGATGGGATATTAACATGCCTGGATAGCTCAGTTGGTTGGAGCGTGGTGCTGATAATGCCAAGGTTGCAGGTTTGATCCCCGTATCAGACAACTGCATATTCCTGCATTGCAGAAGGTTGGGCTGGATGATTCTCAGGGTCCCTTCCAACTCCACAATTCTATGATTCCATGATGTGTGGGTATCGGCTCCTGCCCAATATATCAGTGTGAGCTTTGCCCCCAAGAAATTAACTGATAATGCACACTAGCCAAAAATGGTTCAAAATCAAGCTATAAATTCCTAAATCCAACCAAACATAAAAAGATATCTGTGTGTTCATGTGTTACCTGCTCCGTCACTGCTTTCACGTCACCCAGTAAGGCTGCAGCGGGTTTCACATTATTCCCCAGCTCTTCTGCACAAATGTCTACCTGTCAAGTAAAAAGACAACAACCTGAACATAGGTTTGATTACGGCGAACAGCAAAAAGAGTTACAAGGTAATGTTCACACTAACATTTCTCTCTTAGAATGCATCTCTTCGCATTTCTTTTCAGCTCACAGCAAGGAACACGAACAGGTTGTTTGCACTCATTATTTCCCCACAGAAGTTAACTTTCTGCTGCTATACCTTGCTTGGACCTGCTGTACTAAACCCAGCATAATAAGAACCGTCACGCTGCGTGAGACAAACTGCCCCCAAGAGCAAAAAATGCAGCAGAAGGCTCAAACCTGGTGGTAGAAAAAGGCAGGAAAAAGAAGATACAGTTGCGCAAATCAAACTGGCTCCTGATGCGTTTCAAGGAAACTCTACATCAAGGATAATATATTACTTCTTGATTTAATTACTTGAGAGGACTTTTCTGCTCCAGCTCAGCTAAGTGTATGCTACCCTGAGCCTCATGGAGGATGTCATAAAAAGGTAATAAATAAAAATCCCACTAACCTAGTTACCCTAGACTGTGCCATACCCCTGACTGATTCTTTATTATGGTTCTGTTTGAATACCTGGATAATCTTTACATCTGACCGAAATCTTGGAGGAAGCCCAAAGTGTAGAATCCAGTTCAGTCTGGCACCCAGTAATATTATAACATCAGCCCCCTGCAGTGCCCTAATAGTTAAAAACAAAGAAAAGAATTTGATGGTTATTATTTTTGTACACGTTAGAACTAAAATTTAAAAAGACACTTGAAAAATCAGAAGTTCAAATTTTGATGTATTTTTGCCCGGGAAAACAGTTTCCCACTCAGATGGCACATTGTCTGTAGGTTACAGTCACTCATTCAGGCTCCACCTCCTAGACTGCACTGCCATGCTATTGGGAGACACATGGTTGCTGCTTCACCAGCCACCAATTCTGCCAACCCAGCTGCTGCGTCACAGCGAGATGTCCCTCTAACATTTCAGTCATTCAAATATTACTGAAGCATCGTAGAAACCAATTATAGAGGGTAAAAACATTAACCAGGCTAAAGACAGGCACTTAACAGTTTGCTCACAGGAAACTCAAGGTAATTTCCAGTTACTCACTGGCACAGCAAATATGCACAAGATTTAAGACTGCACACAGAGTCTTAAAAGCCTATCAAAATATACCAAATTTGACACTAAGAAAAGCTGAATTTTGCACGCTGTATACATTGCAAAAAATCCCCCCCCTCTTTTTTCTAGTTATAGAGGGTCAAGTCCCAAATGACTGGTGTGGCGATCACACAGGGTCCCCGGACGTTTGACGGTCTATTGATCCCTGTGCCACCACTATGATCACTTCCCCGCTGCCACCAACCCGTTTCTCTCAGGTACACACAGAGTCCAGACAGTTGTTAACATTAAATCAAATAAGCACATTTATTTTATAAGCATCAACAAGGTTATGGTTTCAGATAATTTTTCTCGTCAGTTTCTTAATCTTAGTTTCTTTACTGACCTATACCTTCCTAATAACTTCTAAATGATTATCCCAAATGTCTATCTGACTCCTCCTAACAGTTTCTCTCACTCTCTCATATCAAAACTAGACCAACCCACAGACTTATCCTCCCTCGTCCTTCTCCAACTCCCAACTGACTTCCCAACAACTCCTCCCCTTGGGCTTCCACTGGCCAATCACTTCACACCTTTCCTTATGACCCACCTAGGATGGCAAACGCCACAACTGGAAATCTTGATATATCAACGGACAATGTCCAAGCTTTCAAGTATCTGAATCTATAAATGCTAGAAACTTGCTTCTCTAAATAAAAAGGTATAGTGACATAGGGACCTGAATTCTGCATTCAGTAGAATATTGTGTTTGTCACCTCACACTGCATTACCCTGGTTGACAAGGGCCTGAGATACAGAGCCACTTGGAAATTTCCTCCCAACCTAATGGCAACTAATGGTCATGATTTCATAGCTTTGAGGACAGTGTACTGAACATACTAAACACCTTCCAATTCATACTTTAGACCAGGCTTCCTCAACCGCGGCCCTCCAGATGTTTTGAGACTACAATTCCCATCATCCCTGACCATTGGTCCTGCTAGCTAGGGATCATGGGAGTTGTAGGCCAAAAACATCTGGAGGGCCGAGCTTGAGGAAGCCTGCTTTAGACTATGCCTAAAATAACTCTTCATCTGCATGGATAAGTCCCATATTGGTAAGGCTGAAAGAAATTCAGAAGGGTTCCATTTGAATTTTCTTGGATTACTTTCCTGACACTCAGTTGTAAGCAGAAGCATTTGGTGTTTTATATTAAGGGATCATTTAAAGAGCGGAATCTTCAAGAAATATATGCTTTAGCTTACGGTGTTGGACAAGAGGGGAAGATCTGATTCATATATTTACCTAGATCTGGCTGCAGCCACACAGTATGGATGGTTGTCAGGAACCACTCCCTTCCCCATTGGTGTAGGCAAAAATGGAAGCCCACATTGGTCCACCAACTTTCTGATGCTGTTTTCAGCATGTGCATAAGCAGCACCTGAGAAAGACACCCACCACCACAAGAGATTCCTTGACACTGTTAACATATCTGCACCTGTCAGATGAAGAACCCCCCCCCTGCTCAACGTGTAAGAATCAGAAGTCACTTACACATACCGACAAATCAATTAGTTTTAAAACTGGCAAAGGTAGCTGTAGCATTCCGGGTCATATGTTCCTCACAGAAAATCCATTTTCAGTTGGCCAGTGATCAGTTTTAGCTGGGGAGGATTAGGTTAGCCATATGTACTAGTTGCAATAGCTGCACGTTACTATATATCTGAATCGGGACGCGGGTGGCGCTGTGGTCTAAACCAGAGCCTCTTGGGCTTGCTTATCAGAAGGTCGGCAGTTTGAATCCCCATGATGGGGTGAGGTCCTGTTGCTCTGTCCCAGCTCCTGCCAACCTAACAGTTTGAAAGCACACCAGAGCAAGTAGATAGGTACCACTGCAGCGGGAAGGTAAATGGTGTTTCCGTGCGCTATGGCTTCTGTCACAGTGTTCCGTTGTGCCAGAAAAGGTTTAGTCACGCTGGCCACAAATGCAGGCTCCCTAGGCCTGAAAGCAAGATGAATGCAGCAACTGTAGTTGCCTTTGACTGGACTTAACTGTCCAGGAGGTCCTTTACCTGTGCCTTTTACCTATATCTGAATACCAGCTGCTGGGGAATAAGAGCGGAGAGGGCTACTGTGCCTGTGCCCTGCTTGAGGGCTTCCCATAGGCATCTGACTAGTCAAGGAGGGAACAGAATGTTGGACTAGACAGATCTTTGGTGTGATTCAATAGGACTCTTCTTATGTCTCTTGCATAAACAAAGGGACGTTGAATAGAGGCTGCTGTATTTTTCTCAAGGGGGTTCATCTCCAACGTTCAGGAAGATTTTACTTTGTGATATAGTCTAAACATGGCAACAGAAGGAAACTTCCCCCTCGCTGTACTTTACGACCAGCCATAAGCTTGAAAGAGGATTACCTTTGCCAATAATTAGGAGTGGCTTTCTGGAATGTGCAATGAATGAAGCCGCCCTGGAAACAGCGGCCACTTCAGCCATGCTGATGGGAGGTGCTGAGCAGCACTCGATGTATCTGGAAGGCAGAATGAAAAGGCCATTGTTTTCAAAAAAGAAATAGGAAGACATGGAACTGTCGAGTTGGAAGGGACCACAAGAATTGCTAGTCCAACCCCCTGCAATGAAGGAGTCTTTTGCCAAACATGGGGCTCAAACTCACAACCCTGAAATTAAGAGTCACTATAGTCACTTTTTAAACAGAAAAAAAGAACTTAAAGACGAGTTTTGCTTTGTGTTTTACTTCAGATGTTGTTCTACTGAGCAACATTGTTCTACCAACGTACACAAATGGCTTCCAAAAGAAACTCAAGTATTTCATTATATGTTTGTTACAAACGCTTACCCTGTAATAAGTTTCTAGTAGTCCACAGCCAGCAATTTTGCAGCATAGTCTATGCTTAATACAGATTGCACATTTCTACCTCGCAACATGTGGGAAGCCACATGCAGAATGGCACCAGCAGGCACCAGCTACATTCCTTCCTAAGCCGATTTCTTTTAAACAGCTGGAACACAACGTTTTCAACAAAGTAAGCGTTTTGTTGTTGTTTCAACTTCCCACTATTTCCTTTGCTTACTTTTGTCAAATACAGGCGAGGGTTATTTCCCCCTCACAAAGATTCCTCAAGAAACAAGAGTAAAGAGCTGTAAAAAGAGCTGCAAATGGTGGCTCTCTGTGTGAGCGCTGGAGTTTCTGCACCAAACCTCTGCCTTCCCACTGCAGTCTCCAATGTCCCCCTCCCCCACCGTAAAGGCCTTCACTGAAGTCAGGGAATGTTCCAGAAGAACCTTCAATGAAGCACTAGGAACCGCAGTTGGAAGGTGGCTGGGGGCAAAGAGGGATGGAGAATTTGTGGCTCTCCAACTCTCCTCAGCTGCAGCTAGAATGGCCAATGGTCATTCCCCATTTTGGGGAAGCCATGCCCAGGTGCCCTGAGCCTGACATCATACCTGCTGTCAGATGTGGGGTGGTTAAGGGCAGGGAACAAGCAAGACCTTAAGGTGGGCAAGGAGCAAGGCATACTCCCCACTGACATGGTCCTTTAAACCTCCAAAATCCAAAAAGTTTAGTGAAGCTGGTCCATGCTGCTTCTTTAAACCTCTGGAATGGGAAGTTTACGGAACAGTGTGGGGTGGGAGATTGAGCAAGGCATGACACTACTTCCAAACAGTCTGGCACTGCGCTTTGAAGGCCCGGAGACCGGGGCTTCAAAGCTTAGCATCACCTGATGTCACTGTGATGCTGGATGACAGACAGGTGTGGGTAGGAAGATAACAATCAGGCCCACTTGCCAGAAAAGCTTCCTCACCCTAGATTTATCATACAGGACTCAAAATAACAGTTAATATGTAGTGTCTCATGTCAGCATTGTCTCACCATTTAACAGAATGCCATTTAAGCGTTGGTTCACTGGCATATATGCTTGAGTCTCTTCCAGATCTGAAGACTCTTCCTAATAATGGTGAGCTCAGTTCTTCCATGTCTTATTCTAGATCAGCCTTCCCAACCTGGTGCCTGCCTCCATGTTTTGGATGGTCTCAGGTAGCACAGGTGGGACTTGTAGACAAAACAGCTGGAAGGCACCAGACTAAGGGTGATCAATATGGGAGCTTCCCTAAAAGGCGTGTGCTAAGTAGCAATTTCAGGAAAGTAAACTGGAATCCGCTGGATTGAACACATCCCAGTTGATCAGGAAGCTACTACCAGATCACATCCATATCTCTTCAGTGTCTTTTACTATGAGGAATTCCTTGTGTTTGTTCAATATGTAGAGTTTATGCTTTCCCTTAGCAATACACTCCTGCAGGGGTCTCAAACACAGGAAAAATGACAATCTAGCGCACACACACACCCTTTTTTCAAAAAAGGAAACAAGCACTCATCTTAATAATAAAAGACTCACTTGACAGAGCTCTTCTTCACCTGCATATTTACAAAGTCTCCTGGTATGTCAATGTAGCAGGCACCTGGGCGACCGTAGATGCTATTTCTGACAGCCTAGATTGATGAGAGAGAGGAAAGAACATAAATGTACTACAATAATTAAACTTTTTAAACAAATCAAAACAAAAACACAGCACCAGATTTCATAAAATGAATTCCAAATTTGTAGGCAATGGCTAAACTTATTATCCAGCTTGGAGAACAAGAAAGCAGCTGGATTCAGCTTGCAGCCATCTGTAGCCACTGTTATATCTGGAGTAACCAAGTCAAAATCTCCTTCTGACTGCCTATTTTAAGTAACATGACCCCCATGTAAATGCCCTGGAGCTGTTCTTCAGTTTCTCTGGATTCTTTTTGTTCCAGCGCACGCCATAGGCTGAGCCAACACTCCTTGAAACTCCTATTGATTAAAGGCTCCAACGGTGGCTCAAACAATCGTAGCAGTTGCAGCAGGGAACTTTACAAAACTGTTTCCTGGAAAGTTTAGAGAATAAATGCGTCAGCCACAAAAATAAACCTGCAAGGCTACTCCATGACAGAGTATCTGGAAGGATTATAGAGTGTCATTAAGCACTCCGTGCGTGTTTTGTATAGGATATATATTTTGGGAGAATATTGCAGAGTTCACAAAAATGAACAAGAGGTTTTTCTAAGAGCAAATGGAGTATTATTTACACTTTTAGGCTGCAGTCCTATAACACATCCTGGGCTCTGAGCAAGTGCCATTAAACTCAGTGAGGTTTACGTCTGAGTAGACATGCAGAGGGCTGCACTGCCCACTATATATACAAAATAGCACATGTAAAGTATTAACATCTTCAAAAGCATTGGATGTTTTCTACATTTATAGGATGATCCTACAACTTACTGTTCGAGATGTACCAGTGAGAGGTGTGCCAATTCTATCAAGATGTCACCTACGATCTACTATAATGCACTGCCCCTGTAATACAGTGGTACCTCTGGTTACATACTTAATTAGTTCTGGAGGTCTGTTCTTAACCTGAAACTGTTCTTAACCTGAAGCACCACTTTAGCTAATGGGGCCTCCTGCTGCTGCCGTGCCGCCGGAGCACAATTTCTGTTCTCATCCTGAGGTAAAGTTCTTAACCCGAGGTACTATTTCTGGGTTAGCAGAGTCTGTAACCTGAAGCGTATGTAACCTGAAGCATATGTAACCTGAGGTACCACTGTGTTCTACTGCTGGTTGCCTGGCCTACAGAGCTGAATGCTGAGGAGCAAGCATCAATGCTTTTCAACTGCTTCATACCTTCTCAATTACAGCAGGAATATCTTCAAGACTGCTGGGTCTGGCAGAAAATTTGCTGTACAGCCGACAAGCTTCAACCTAGATTCAAGCAAACACATATGCTAAAGCCAACTTTTACCTGTTTCTCATTTTCTCACAGCATGTGAGAAGGAAGGAAGTAGGTCGGCTGGACCCAACCAAAGGTTTGCTCAGCATCCTGTTTCCCAGTGTCCAAAGGGAAAGCCCACAAGTGGGGAATGACGGCAGTGGCCCTCACTGGCTATTGCTCTGCAGGAGCTGGAATTCAGTGCCGTGCAGCCTCTAAAATTAGACACCACAGCTGATGCCAGACAACACTATGTTAACATGCAATATTCAGTAAAAGAAAGATTCTACATAAACACACAACAGCCTTTAAATCCAACCAATTGGTGCTTTCTGCAAGAGAGGGCATGTGACAGATACCATCCTATCAGGACGTCCATTCTGCAAAATGTCAGACTCGGGCCTTCGGTGCTGCAGCATCTAACCTTTGGAACTCCCTTCCACTATATATCAGATAGATGCCTTTTCTATTGTCCTTTTGGCACCTGTTGAAGACTTTCCTCTTTCAACAAGCCTTCTAAGTGGAGATCTTTATCCCGGCTGGCATCTGTATTGGATCTGAAGTGATTTTATATATGTGTTGAGATGGTAGTTGTTTTAAATTGGTTTTGTATATGCAATAGTTTTATACATGTTGATGCTATATTGTAACTTGTTTTGGGGTGCCTCAAGGAAAATGATTCATAAATTAAACAGCAACAATGAATAACAAAATATTTTATAAAATAAATAAACTCAATCATTAATTTCATATATATTTATTTTATTTTCTAACATTTATATACTACTTGATTGTAAAACAAACAACTCAAGGCGGTTTCAAAAAGAATGAAACAATAAAATTGTTAGTAAAATCCAGTGAAACATTCAGAAAATTAAAATCACAATTAAATTAAAAACATACCAGCATTCTAGATACCTGGATAAAAAAGGTAAAGGTAAAGAGACCCCTGACCATTAGGTCCAGTCGTGACCGACTCTGGGGTTGCGGTGCTCATCTCGCTTTATTGGCCGAGGGAGCCGGCGTGCAGCTGGTCATGTGGCCAGCATGACTAAGCTGCTTCTGGCGAACCAGAGCAGCACACGGAAATGCCGTTTACCTTCCCGCCAGAGCGGTACCTATTTATCTACTTTCACTTTGACGTGCTTTTGAACTGCTAGGTTGGCAGGAGCAGGGACCAAGCAGCGGGAGCTCACCCCGTCGCGGGGATTCGAACCACCGACCTTCTGATCGGCAAGTCCTAGGCTCAGTGGTTTAACCCACAGCGCCACCCGCGTCCCCAGATATCTGGGTAGGCATGTCTAAACAAAAATGGTTTCAGCAGGTGCCAAGAACAGTACAGTGAAGTTGCCTACCTGATATCATTATGCAGGGAGTTCCACAGTGTGGGGCCGCCACACATAAAGATCAATTTCTTACATATGTGGAATGGGTATTATGTGGCATTTGTAACAGTGCCAGTTCCACAGATCGAATACCCTAAACCATTTCATGCAACACGTTTACAGAGGGAAAAGTGACCAAGCTGTGTACCTGTGGAAATTCTTGGAAAGCTCCCATCGTTTCTTGATTTCTGTCTGAGGAACCTCCAATAACAATCAAAGGCCTGGGGAGAGGGGGGGAAAAAACATTTCTTGGAACCAGGGGTCATGAATTATCAAGATTCCGACACACAGTTTCACCTTGATCCTGCAAAATGGCAGCATGGCATAAACCCAGCATTTGGTACCCAGCAGTCCATGGTGATTGGGCCCAGGAATCTTCTAAGAAATTGTAAGCATGCTCAGCTTTGACAGACTCACCAGCAGTTGGGGGAGTCAGAGGAGAGGGGAGACAGAAGGCTGAATCTAGTCCTGCCTTCCAACAAAGGTAGTTGGCACTTCCAAGAGGATGACTCCAATTAATGCTGCTGTGTGAGAGGATCTTTTGAATTAGGACCATCATCATTTTGGGCCCAATCTCACTATGTTACGTATGATTTGGCCTTGCAAGCTTTCATCACTTCAAAACAAGATTCATACAGGACCCAACTTATCATATTACCAGTTTGCCTAATATTACAGTTGGCAATTTTTATTTTATTTTTTGAGAGGGAAACACACACAGAGAAAGGTTGAATTGGTTCTGCAAAAAGATTAAGAGATTTTTGCCTCCTCTTTTATGACTGGATAAACAAGACGCCTCTTACCCTACCAGATGATATGATAGTTACCAAGCGATAATGTTATCATGTGCTACAGACACTGCACTTAAAGGATAAGATGCTGTTATAAACAACATCTTTAAACCAAGTTATGGTGTGATTATATTGGTCACATAGCCGACATGACTCAGCTGATAGATTTCCTAAAGTATCGAGCTCTTTTCCTGTGTGATAATGAACTTGGCCACTGTAAAAAAGATCTGAAATCTATGGAGGAGTCACCAAATGTATTTATATGCTGTCCTAGCGCAATGCCCTACCTGCTTAAAACAGCACACAGAGAGAGCAAAGAAGCAGAAGAAAAATGACATTTTATCTGGCTTTCACGACACATGATTTGTATTGTAACTTCAGATTAATTAGAAATTGGACTAACAGTCGATCAAAAAAACAACAACCATAGGTTCATTACCAGCAATTCATGTTTGCATTTGCCATTCCACCTAGAGCATGTATGAGGCCAGGACCAGAAACTACAAGGCACACGCCAGGCCTAGAGACAAAGGGGAAAAAACAAAGAAGGTATATAAAAATGTATGGAATGAACACACAGATTTAGCAGGCAGGGAAGCAAATTACTCTAAAGGCATCATGAGGAAACACTGTCATAGGACATCATGCTGAAGAATCAATTTGGAAGGACAGAGGCAGGCTACAAATTTTAATCAACAATCATACAGGAAAGTCAGAGAGGCTCTGAGGAAGCATGCACATATGAGTAAGAGAGGAGGGGTGTGACTCCTTTCTGTGAAAGTATCTCCTTAGTATTGGCCACAACCCCAAAAATTCTCATGGAAGCTGATGTGCAAGTGCATATTCTTTTTGTAGAATGGAAAACTTCAGGACCTTCAGCAACCATTTCCTTTTCATCCTTTTTGTTTACGTTTGTTTAGGTTACATTTTCTAAAAGTGGCCTTTTATTTACTAATGGAGAGAAACGCTTGCTGCACATATACAGAGGTTTGCAGTAGAGAAAACATTGTAAAGTGGCAAGTAGATAGAGGTATACAGATAGCAAAACACTGGTGTACAAACAGTGAAAGCTTGTAACTCTGGAAGGCAACTACAAAGTCCTAGAAATCAATTCCTGATGATGATGATGATGATGATAGAACCAGGATTGTTTTTGCCTTTCAAACAATTGTTGACTCTGAAGACCAACACAAGGAAGCACCTTACCTGCCCGTCAGATACCCAACTGCAGAGGCAGCATAGGCAGCCTATTGAAAAATAAAACAAATATTTATCAGCAAGCTGGTGAATGGGATTTTGGTAGTTATAACAAAAAGTCACCCTTAAACACCCCCAACTAGTAAGCTGAGAGGACTTCCTACGGATGTTCAATTGAAGTAAATGGACTATGCTCAGCAGACAAAGATGTCCACATGTGAACTAGAATTGACACAACTTCTGAACTCAGATTTTCATAGCTACAATAGAAAGCTTCTTTTAAGACTCATTTCAGCTGGGGAGAGCCAGGGGGAGGTGGAACCTACGGGCAGAAGGGAATGCCTTCGCACTCCCATGGGCACCGTGTAGATGACTCATATCCTTTACAAAAACAGAGATTTGACCAGTCAAGGGTATCACCCAACATTTTGCATAGCAGAAACATTTCCTCTAAAAGCAGATCTTCCAGGTGCTACTGCTTGTACTAGCATTGCATAAACAAGTGTTATGCAAGCACACAGATGGAAATCTCTGCACGTTTTTTCAACCAGTATTATGGAAAGTCACTTTGGACTACTTCTATGACTATTTTTTCCCATATGCCAGCAGGTGGCATCCAAGAGAAACAGTAGGGAAATTAAACAAGGCAGGGGGGGAAACGGTAGATATTGCTCCATCAGCACTGCAGAAACAAAACTGCACTACTCACTACTTGGATTCGAGTGGGCAGCTATTTCAGTCTAGAAACTATTAAACGAGAATGTTATCTGTTTCGTTACAATCGACCTTGTTCTACAAAAATATTAAAGTAGGTGCAACAAATGAATTCAGTTTGGGGCTGCTTTTTTTATAACCGAACACTCAACAATTCCTGTTTTGCTTTCCAGCTGTTCTGTGAGTAGTTGAAACTGCACAACTAAAGTTGATGCATCTCAGATTGGGACACGGCTCAGAGGAATAAAATTTAGGTTAAAAGAAAATTGAGGTCATTTTTTGAGGTCTTGTCAGTGAAATGGGTGGCCTTTTCTCAGTGGTGGCATCCCGACTGTGTAACACTATTCCCAGGGAGGCTTGCCTTATGCTGTTTTTATAGTAACTTCACCCCCAAGTAAAGACACTATCATGCTCCCAGGCCCCTTGAAAACCTGACTTCTGAACCACTGTTACTCTCTCTCTGCTGGAAGTTTTTTTATTGTTGTTTAGTCGTTTAGTCGTGTCCGACTCTTCGTGACCCCATGGACCAGAGCACGCCAGGCACTCCTGTCTTCCACTGCCTCCCGCAGTTTGGTTAGACTCATGTTTGTAGCTTCGAGAACACTGTCTAACCATCTCGTCCTCTGTCGTCCCCTTCTCCTTGTGCCCTCAATCTTTCCCAACATCAGGGTCTTTTCCAGGGAGTTTTCTCTTCTCATGAGGTGGCCAAAGTATTGGAGCCTCAGCTTCAGGATCTGTCCTTCCAGTGAGCACTCAGGGCTAATTTCCTTAAGAATGGATGTGTTTGATCTTCTTGCAGTCCATGGGACTCTCAAGAGTCTCCTCCAGCACCACAATTCAAAAGCATCAATTCTTCAGCGATCAGCCTTCTTTATGGTCCAGCTTTCACTTCCACATTTTAAAACTGTAGTCTATTATTTTATGCTGTAAGCCATTCAGTAAAAAGTGCTACCAGAAGGATTTATAGAAATAAAATAAGGATGTAAATAAAATAAAAAGGTGTGAAATGGTTGCAAACACACACACACTCTCTCTCTCTCTCTCTCTCTCACTCATCACTTTTTCTGTTTCAATGTTCACATAGGAAACATCAAGAATGCAGTTAAATCATTGGAATTGGTAAGTTATTATGACAACAAAGATTTGCCAGAGAAGTTCCCCCATTTATACCATGGTTACATTCATGCAAGCATGTCAAACTTATTTACTACTGATAATGAAACTGCCACACTGAATTAATGGGAAACACTGCGCCAAAGACAGACTGACGTAATTTTCCAAAGCATGTTAAGGGTTGTTCCTGTCCACTATTTCTATGCCATCTGTTACATCACAATAATAAAAAGAGCAGGCAGCTTCCTTCTACCCCAACAGAAAAAACCAATGTTTTAAACTATCGTTTGTCATTGGCCTGGTTTGCACCTCCTATTAAACCACAGTTAGTGCTTACTATGGTTTGACACAAATCAACAAGAGTGACACTGAAGGCTGCTCCATGTTCCCACTCCATTCCTCCTCAGCTTTACCAGGACTGTACCAGGAGCGACAAGCCACAAGTGTTGGCTTGTTATATCGTCTGGACCTGTCCTAGACTCATGGTTTTTACCAAACAAACCCCAAGTGGAAGCCAAGGTTTATTCTTGGTTTACTGCTTTGTTGGGGGAAGGAGGGAACCACAAGTCTGGGTTCAAAAAGCATCACAAGCCAAGGCCTGTAGTGTGTCACTTCCAGAGCAGTGCAGCCAGGAGTGGGGAAGCTGCAAAGGGAAAAATTTTAGAGCGTGCAACAGCATGGTGCTCATTCACATTAAGCCATAGTTAAACATGAAAAGCATGGCTTTTTATTGTTATTTATACATTTTTTACAACTTGTATACATACAACACATTGTCCATCACTTATCTTTTTCCTTAAGACTCCCATCTCTCCATGCTAACCTTGATCTTCTGCATATTCTGATAATCTACCCATTTTTGTCTCTAATCTTCCTTTATTTAGTATTATCTGCTGCTCATATGTTAACTCCTACTTGCAGGTTAAATTGAGTATAGTAGTCTCTAATATATTCTCCAAAATGCTTCCACTCTTCTCTTAGTTGCATCTCATCTTTATTTCTTATTTTCGTGGTTATGGTTGCTAATTCTATCAGTATATTCTGCCAGATTTCTTTCGTGGGTACCTCTTTTTCTTTCCAGTTTTTCGCATAGACTATTCTAGGTGCTGCTGTCACATATAAAAAGGAGGTTAAGTGCTTTCTTCGATTATAAGCATGGCTTTATGTGAACTGCAAACACACCCCTCAGCGGCCTAGAATTTCACCTCAGCGGCCTAGAATTTCTATTACATCAGGCTCTGGCAGGTGCATAGCTGTCAACTCTTCCCTTTTATTGCGAGGACTCCTATTCGGAATAAGGGAATTTCCCTTAAAAAAAGGGAAAAGTTGACAGCTATGGGCAGGTGGGATGAGGAGCAAATTTAGCAGAATCGTGAGGTGTGCAACTTCTCCTGAGCTAAATGTGTCATATTCCAAAACAAGAATCTATGCACTGGGCAAAACTAATAATATCACCAATTTATATGAGAGCCTATGGCATTGCAAAGTATATTCAAGCAGTTTGGTTGATAATTTGGGGAAAGGAGTCAATCCTCCCCACAACAGTTATCTAGAATAGATGTAAATATATTCTACATATAGAAAGCCCTCAATCCCTACCCCAAAATATATGCACATATGTGAGCAGGAATGAGCAGGAATGGTTAAATAACCAATAATAGGTAAGTCCAGAAAGCATAGGAATGAATAGTCAACATGGCGCTTAGCGTAGGAGTAGAATATTGAGGTAGCAATTTAGATTCAACATGGTGGGTGAGAATGCAGTTTTTACATAATACCTTTGACGAACAGAAGAGGGGAGAAAATGATTACTACTCAGAAACCAGAAGGCAATTTAATGTGACATGTGTTTCCCTTCTCCTTCTGAAAAAAAAAACATGGCAACGTACAAATGTTTAAAGATATACGGAGTGGGCGTTTCATTAGCAAGGCTCTTTGTACCTCACAAGCAGGGTGCCATGGCAACGACACATTGTCAAAGAAACTGACAAGCTAAAGCGACACACAAAACTTTGCAGGTAGAGTGAATGGCACTTTCCCGTGCAATTAGGCAATCTTGTCAGCACTGCCTCTGGTTACACAATTTTTAAACTTATGCTGCTGTAACTCAATGAAATTCACATACAGTATCCTGACATGTGCCACCACCGGGAAGAATTATGGAAAGCTTCAGCCAGAGCCCCCTCAAAAAACAAACTATACCTCTTGCTACTCTGCCCTCTGATAATAACCAAGTTGTCAGTTTGGGTTCTTCAAATGTTAAAACATGGGACCTTTATTAACATGGGACAGTTCTCAAAACCATTTACAGGTAAATTACATAAGACGTCCTCATGTATAAGACACCCCCTATTTTTGGAGACTCCAAATTAAGAAAACACGCCTCAGCACTACCTGCGTATAAGACGAGCCCCAATTTTAAACCTTATTTTTTGGTAAAAAAAACCTAGTCTTATACATGGAAAAATACAGTAATTTCTCTCTCTCTGTATACGTGTGTGTGTGTGTGTACATATTATATGCCACACTTTTTTTTTTGTAATCGAGAATATTTGTAGCACAAAGGCAATTTGTTGCATTTTGGAAACAGGTGGTGAGCCATGAGATCAGAGTTCAGAGTGGTCAGAAAATCTGTGGTCACATCATACTTCTCAGAGTATACCCCACCAGAGTCGTTACATTCATACTCATTTGGGAGAGGCTATTAGGATCAAATGACAGTATTTTTCCCTTGGGGGGAAGCAACTAAGATGCATTATTTTGTTGGGGGGTAGGATAAAAGGCAAGGAAAATGTTAAGAAGCCCTCTGTCCCACCCTATGCTGGGTTTCCTGTAACAGACTGCAGCTTCCACAACCACATATAAAAAACATTGGTGAAAGACTATACATGACTGAGTACCGTGCACCAGTCTCGTTTTCAGATTATGCATAAGCTCAGCTCGAGGCCTGGCTAGCAAACAAGGCTACTGAAGATACTTACAGCTTGTTCATTGCGCATTCCAATATATTTAATTCCACTTGCTTGAGCAGCAACTCCTACTTCGATCACTGGAACACCAACAATGCCAAACATATATTCGATGTTCTGAAATAAATAGCATTTTTTAAAAAATAAGCTGTCTCCCCAAAATATTTATCTTCTGTTATCTATCTAGCTTTTTTATTCGTTTAAGGTCAAGATTTCTAGGAGAAAGTTAGAACTGCAACTAAATACTTGCAGCTTCAAACCAAGCTAGGCTTCTAGTAATGCCATGCGTAGACCACTGCAGCTGGTATACCTGTATTGATGATACTATACACCCAAGGTTCTATTAGTGCAACAGCCAATAAATGCTTATAATGAATACTTATTTTTCACAAAAATACATTTAAACAGACATTTCCATGCAACTAAAAATAAGGAATTGTAACAAACATGTGATCATCATTTGGAAGAAACAATTACCGTATTTTTCCATCTATAAGACGCCCCCATGTATTTTTGAGGACTCTGATTTAAGAAAATGGGGGGAGATACTATCCGTGTATAAGACAAGCCCAGATTTTGAACATTATTTTAGAGTAAAAAAAATAGTCTTATACACAGAAAAGTACGGTACTTTAATAAAATGTATATTTATGAACACTCTGGGTAGTTCACACATTTTTTTTACTACAAAAACAGTCCCAGATATGCAAGAATGGGGACAAATAAGGTTTGTGAATGAGGAACATGTAAACAACAACAACTGTGTTCCCATGTGGTTGCCCGGATAAAGAGACATCATGATCACTAGAATTGTTACAGCTACCCTAGGATATGATGGCTGATTAACACATTGTGTGTGTGTGTGTGTGTGTGTGTGTGTGTGTGTGTGTCTACACTAGGCGTTGCCAGTGTGGTGCCCTCCAGCTGTTGTTGGACTTCCATCAGCCACTGTCAGCATAAGCAGTGGTCAAGAATGGTGGGAGTTGGTCCAACATCTGGAATGCACCATGTTAGCTACTCCTTGTGTATGAATGCATGACCAAGGAGAGCTGAGAACCCTTGAGCAGCTAATTCAGGGGTCGGCAAGCTACGGCCCACCTGGATCAGGCCCACCTGGATCTTAAATCAGGCCCGTGCCAGGAAGCCACAACCCGCCGCAAAGCCAAGACTCCCAGCGATGGCGACGGGAGGAAGAGGCCAAGTGGCAGTGGCTCTGCCACTCAAACGCCACACCTGGTTTACCTCAGTGGTGTTTGACTGGCAGAGATGTCCCAGCGCCACGCTGAGGTAAACCAGGCGTGGCGCCAGAGAGCGGAACGGATAAGCTCGCTCTGCTTACCCACAAGAAGCAGCAGCAGCAGCAGCGGTGGTGGTAGTGGCGGCAGCCCTTGGGAAGGTAGGTGCTGGGGCTGGGGGAGAGGACTTGCCCCCCTCACCTCTTCTTCCAGCTCACACCCCCCCCCCCCCCGTGCCACTTCTCTGGCCTGCCACAAGGTCTGAGGGACAGTGGACCGGCCCGCTGCTAAAAAAAACTGCCAACCCCTGAGCTTATACATGCAACCACCCAGTTTCCTACGGAAACAGCACAGAAAGCTTTCCAGATGTTGTATGAAGTAGATTATTCTCATCTTCAGTAAAACAGTACGTGGGGTTGCCAGAAATTTAGGCAACATAGCTGATGATCAGCATATGGGTGTTCTTTATACAAAAGAAATGCTCGTCTGAGTGATCACACTGTGAATCTTGGTTTGGAATCCTTGTGTGGACAAAAAAGTAGGTTTAGCCATTATGGTTTATGAGGAAATTGTGAAAGGACCCAAAGCTTCTCAAAGTTTGCTCGTGTAGGCCCAAGCCACAATTTGGTTTTCTTCCTGAATGCAGCTATTATGTATGATATGCCAATATAAACTAAACTTCTACATAAAATAGGTGTTTACTGCCAGTATGTACCTTTCTGGCTTGTACAATGTCATCCAGGTGATCTGGGCCACCAAAAGGAAGACAAGGCCTAATGAAGGAAGCCAAGTCAGCTAGAGCACAGTTTGCTGAAAGCAGTTACACATGCAAGTTGCTGACAATGTGATACTTTCAAAGGGCAATAAACCCTGAGCTAAGGGAACTTATTCTGCTGAAGCGATTGCGTATAATGATTAACTTATTAAGCAATGGACTTTCCACCAATGGGCCTAAGAGGGAAACCTCATTAGCAAAAACGTCTTCTTTTTTGAAGCATTATCTGGAAAATCATTTATAATTTGATTTTACTCAAGCTTTAGTTAATGGTTGATCACTGGGTCCTTGATGATGTGGGAAAGTTATTGCATGAACTGTTATAGCTAGGAAGTGGAAGGGACAAGTGGGATATAAAATGGAAGAATGGTATAAAGAGATGTGGGATATAGCTATTAATGATAAATTAACATGTGCCATTACGGTAAGACGAGGAATATAAAACGGAAAGGGGTCAAACCATCGCAAGAGGTGCTGAAATTATGGGAGGTTGGATAGTTACAATGGAATAGTCTCAGTGGTGGGGTGCACATTTTTATTCTTATTATTTATGATTATTACTTTGCCCAAAGACAAAAATTAAAAAAGAAGCCGCTTCACACCAGGTCAAAAGGTTTTGTATTGCCTAATATTGTCTACATAACTTTATCCAGGAGTTTCCAGGCAGGGATCTGTGCCCCATCTCCACCTACAAGAACCTTTTCAACTGGAGGCGAAAGGACGGGCAGACATGGGGCGTCCCGTGCTCTTTGCCACTCTGCTATTGCTTCTCCTGGCATGCTGTGATCTTTCACCTAAGTCCACTAATCCTTGATGCCGTTCCCAGATTAACTAATTCTTTTTATCTTCCCTACACCTTCTTGTGCAACGAGAGCCAAACCTACACAGCCTACACTGTAGGCAGCACAGCAGCTCGACAGGTACATGCTGAGAACGCGAGAAGCAGGTGACAGGGTAGTAAACAGCTCCTTAAAACGAGAGGGGCCAAAACAGTGACAAGACTCGTTGCAATTTTGAACCATCCACGACCAAACCTGGGGCTCTCCTGTTGATGTTTCACCTCCCATTGCATATCGGCAGGGCCGGGTGAGGCCCTAAGCTACTGAAGGTAATGGGGCCCTTTAGATGTCCAGCTGTCCTTTGTCAACAACAAATTGTCACTGTTTTCCGGGTTGAATATATGCTGTATGGTAATTTATGGACCTAATGGGTATCTAAAGCCATTTGCACATAACAAATAGGACCCTACGCAACACAAAACACTGTTGCTGTATATAGGTTTTGTTTTATTTGTTTTTTATCTTATATTTTCGGCTATAGCTTGTTTAGCTTATACGCAAATCCGACACTGGGAAATAATAAATAATAATAATAATAATAATAATAATAATTTATTTTGCCCTAGCGACTCTGGGCTGTTCCCAACGGAATACTGCAGTAAAATCGCGATAAAACATTAAAAACTTCCCTAAACAGGATTGCCTTCAGATGCATATTGGGCTACACGTCCTCGACAGGGACTAGAACCCTTCACGTAAAACTACGCTTTTTCGAAAAAAAATGCTCCTTCCCGCTCTCCGTAGGAAACACGTAATATTTCCGGGTTGGCTGCCGGGGTTCAAGGGTCAGCCAAGAGCGTTTCTTACTTGCATCTTCAGCGCTTCCGCGATGACCTGAGCCCCGCTGACACATTCTTCTTCCTGCCCTGCCGGAGCCATCGCTTCCACAACCGTCTTTTCCCGAGGAAAGGGAGAGACAAGCGACAGGCTAACTTGAAACCACGCTGAGGTACGGCACCATCGGCCAATGAAGGAAGCGCTAACCGCGTGATTGACGCGCGCCGCCGTTCAATAGGAAAAGGCTTCGAGCCTAGCTAATAGGTGGGGGACGTTAAATGGGCGGAGCCGTTGGAGCAGCCCGCCTCCAACCACCCCTCACTCTGATGGAGAAGGGTTGGGCGGGGGGAGGGGGGAACGCTAGAAGAAAGGCTCTCAATTGGCCTCTTGCTTAGCCAATCCGAGCCCGTAAATTGGGAACACGGAAGGCAGATGCGTGGCTGAGGTTTCTTTGCTTATTTACCTGACAGGGAGTTGAAGCGGATTGCAGATAAAATAAGAACAAATAAAAACAAACATTAAAAGAATTGAAATTATCTATCTGTAATATCTGTGTATATATAGATATATGTGTATATATATATGTGCGCGCGCGCATATATGCGCATATATATATATATATATATGCACACGCATGCTATTAAAACATAAGACTATTAATAAACAAAAACACCAGCCCCCTCATTAAAAGCAGCCAGGTCCCCAAAACCTGTTGGAAGAAGAAGGTCTTCACCTGCCAGCAAAAGGATAAGAAGTCTATGGCTTTAATGGGTGTTCCTGCGCTATATAGTTGTGTAATGTGTCTGCTGTGAAAAATTAGCAGCAACTCGGGATGTTTTCCCAGTCTTATAACAACACACATGTTGCGCTTTGTAGTGGAGAAGGGGGACTGCACTCCTTGCTCTTATCAATTTCAAGTTTTTATTTAGCTTTTATAGATGTTTTCTCCATTGCAGGTTTTTATCGAATGGTTTTTTAAAAACAACAACCAATAACCATGTTTTAATGCTACTGCAAATTGCTTTGAGAAGCTGCCTGACCTCGAAAAGCTGGATTATTATTTTTTTGGAAATAATTATATTATCAGGTGCCTCTTTGTTAAACTTGGTACCGTTTTTAACATAGGAAGCTGCCTTATCCCGAATTAGACCATTGGGTCCTGCTAGCTTAGTGCTGTCTACACTGACTGACAGCAGTTCTCCAGGATTTCAGACAGGTGAATCGGCCACCTGCAGATGTCAGTGGTTGAAACTGGGACCTTCTGCATGCACATGGTCTATTCTTGAACTACAGCTTTTCTTATTTTAAATATTTTTTTTAAAAAAAAACCAGACTTGAAAAGGGATATTTTAAATGGGCAAGCTATCTATCTAAATCACTGTGTAAGCTTCCTAGTGATAAGAATTACATCTTCTCCATCTGTATCTTGTCTTTCAACAGCTGCACCAGCAGCCGGAGTATGGTGAGAAACTGACGTTTCCCCACGAAGCTCTCACAACTTTCTTGCAAATTATTTCTAGATATGACGACACTTAAAAACTGGAAAAGCCAGTCTATTATTTCAGTACATTTCAAGGTGTAGCATTCTGTTTTTGTCTGTTATGCATTATGAAAATAATGTAGCAATCATGAATAAATGCATGGGTGTGGTATAGATGGGTAGCACTGCCATTTTCTAAGGCCATGTTGTACAGTATTATGCCTGGGATTCATAGGAACACATGCTTAGTTCTGCACAGTGCTTTTTTTTCCTAAAAAATGTTTAGGGGTGCTCTCATTTTCCTGTTAATATTGAAGTACTGCCCCTCAATGAGGCCAAACTTAGATTCACAAAATGTTTAGGGATATGCGTACCCCCAGAAAAAAAACACTGGTTCTGCGTGTCCAAGGGGGCTTTAGGCTTATTTTTATTGAATAATAACCATGTGGCAAAACCCTTTGAAACTGAAGGGACTTTTGAAAGCTGCTTATAATATGTGTGAGAGTCTGCAGATCAAAGAAAAGAGACCCTGGTGTGCTTAAATAAGGGATTCAGATCCCAGCCTGTTCATTTATGTATGTATGTATGTATGTATGTATGTTGATCAATTTATGTCGGAAGGTTCTAAGGCTTATGGCCTAAGCTCTCCACAGGTTCTCAGGACAGCTTACAAAAAGTTAAAAAGACAGTGAAACACATAAAAACAGAAACAGTAAAACACCACAATATAAAAGCAGCCGGTGGAATTAAAAACCAACACCAAGCAACATAAAATACCGTAAATGTATTGCTGATTAAAGAATCTGGTAAAACAAGAAGGTATTTGCTTGGTATTGAAGTGACATCAAGATCGGTGTCAGGCAAGCCTCCCTGGGGAGAGCATTTCATTATGGGGTGCCACCATCAAGTAGGCTCTTCCCCCAATACACACTTCAAATGATAGGGGCATCAAAAGAAGCTTTTCTTGAAGATCTCAGGAGACAAGTATTCTGTGTTACTTCTGTAGTACAGAACTTTGCAGAGGGAATGAGTACAAAAATGTTTTATTACAAGCATTTGTTTCTAGTAACCTCAGACTGCAGTCTAGTTAGAAAGTAAGTGGTTGGAGACCCTCTAAAGGGCATGTGTGGGCTGCACGCGGGGGGAGAGGAAGGAGTTTAAGGAGAACACGTTTTCATTCCTGGAGCGCAGGCAAAGCTCATTTCGGTTTCCCGTTGGGAGTTGGCTTCAGAATGAGAAGCCATTTACCATTTACAGTTTGTCTGTGAACAAGAACACAGTCTTCTTTGTTTTTTGTGTTCTCATGCAGAATGTTTTGTCACAGGATAAGAGGAACATGCCCAGTCTTAGGGCGGATTTGTACATTTGTGTTTCTGATACGTCAACGCCACTAGGAGATCACTTATTTTACAAAATCACTCTTAACAGAATTTTATCACATTAGTTTTTAAAGTTTTGGTTTTTTAATCGTGTGACTTTACCAGGTCCTAAAGTAAGAGTAGAATCAGATTTTAGCTCAAACAGAAAAATATTTCATATTATTACCCATCAGCAGACATCACATTATTAGGAGCCAAAATGGCCAGATGCCTGGTCCTTTGCCAGATATGTTTAATATGCAACTGGCAAAGCTCCAGCTATTCACCACTGTTACAGAGCCTGAACTATCCTGCTCTAGAATCTAGATAATCTGGATCTGGCCTTTGTCAGACACAAAAGACCAGACTTGTTTTGTATTTGGTCTGCTCTTGTAATTTTGCCTGGAAAGGAATATGGCACCAGTAGCTGGAGAATAGACACTGGTATTATTGAAGGGATAACAATATCCATTGCTTTATAGTAGTCCAAAACGGAACCATTTGCCCATCCCACATGGAGGTTGAAGTGGGTATTGATAAGAGAATATATTAATTATATTTAATCCTCTACAATCCCACATGTATCGGCTAGCAAACAAAAGAAAAATGGCTTGTGCCTGTTTGCAGGGCTTGCAAATAAAGAACTCCAGTAGCAAAGTTTAAATCCCGTCATGAGACAGATTTAGTGAAGCCTAGGGACAGGCTTTTAAGCCTTTTAAAACATTCTAGCTACTTGAGGCAGCTGACTTCCTTTTAATCCTGGTGCAAAGAAACAGATCACACACTAAAGTAAGTTTAAAATATAATTTACTTACAGGCATGCATTGTCCTTAGCAGCAAATAAAATACAGGTAAATGTTATTGGGTAGAAATTCAGCAAAGACAGCTTCAGAGACATTTGCTGCCTTGTTTGCAATGCTGAGAGAGAGAGCGGGGGCGGGGAGAGAAAAGAACAGGAAACAAGTCTTACCTCATCCCTTTCACTGAACCTTAACTGGTCCTTAAACCCTTCATGTTCTAACTATCTTTGTTAGGTTTGGCTGCAAATCTCCCACATTTTTGTATCCTCCACAATACTTTTTTTCAGTGGAGTTGCATATAAGAGGACCATACAGGAATATATGCTTTCCTATCCCTAAAAATCAGCTTCATTTTTCTTATCTGCTAATGCAAGCAAACAAAGGCAAAGCTGATGAAAGGAATATTGCTACATCCATGGGTGTTAACTTAGCAACATACACACATACGTTTCTGTATTACTGTTTTGCACGCAACATAAAATTATCCTGCAGGATTGGATGTTGGGTGTTTGTCCGTGCCTTTGATCCTATGCAGGGTCTTTTTTTTTTTTTTTTTTTGGTATAACTGGAAAACTTCCAAGGGCCAAATGCTAGTAATAGCGCCAGGTTTTAGTTCACTTCCCAAATCCCTTTTAGAATTATATTCCAGCATTTTCCATGCTTCAGTGGTAAAAGTTGATCGAATTGAACATAGTTCAATAGTAAAGAACATGGGTCGGCAAACTAAGGCCCGGGGGCCAAATCTGGCCCAATTGCCTTCTAAATCTGGCCCACAGATGGTTCAGGAATCAGTGTGTTTTTACATGAGTAGAATGTGTGCTTTTATTTAAAATGCATCTCTGAGTTATTTGTGGGGCATAGGGATTCCTTCATTTATTTCCCCCCTAAAAGTATAGTTCGGCCCCCCCACAAGGTCTGAGGGACAGTGAAAAAGTTGAAGTTTGCTGACACCTGGTAAAGAACAACAAAGCACAATGACATGCATTGATAAAATGTTTTTCTGGACTGATTGTTTTTTTAAAAGGGCATTTCAGTTTGACTTGGGTGTACTGATGTGCTGCTATCTTTACAGCTCTCTTTGTGAGGCAAAACATTATTACTTAGCTTGTCGATATTCATGTATCAAAACGTTCTGCCTTTGCTAACATAAAGCTTTTTGGATCCCTTTTAAACTGGATCTTGATTACAGCATATTTATTATTTTCCAGTTATTTTTTGCCCTTGGAATTTTGACATGACTCTGTGCTAAACACTATGACCTTTCTGGGACAAGCAGTCACCACTGCAGCTGCCACTTAACCTCCATTTGTGTCAATGGTGTTTGAGCTAACTCTATTGATATGAAAGGGGCTGCAAAACGGCTTGATGGACTGTGCCAAATGCACACCGTTTATATCTATCCATTTTGCAGTGACTGACTGCTGGCTTCCCGAGGCAACTGACGCTCTCAGCTTTCCAACTCTCGTACAGAATCTGATAACCGACATAATTTCTCAAACAGAAATGCATGAACAATTGGTGCTTTTAACGGTGGGCACTGTCCTGGCTATTGTCCAACGCATGCAGCCAGAGGCTCTTGCTTATAAGCAAGAGATATTAATTCAGGCAAGTAATAGCACAAGCTCATCAGCACAATTCAGGAGTTCAGGAGTGAGAAGTTCAGAAGAAACAAAGGTGTCCCAAGAAGTTCTCACACCCCTACTGCCAAGCTTTAAAAGACAAGGTATGACACACACACACTCAAAGGATTCCCTTGCCTTGTGAGAATGCCAAAATTCCAAGCACATTTTCTGCTGGGGCGAGTGGATCTGCTCCCATTTGCAAAGGTGCTGCCTGGTTCTAGGTGACAAGAACGCACCATCCTGTTCTAGCTGCAGTTCAGTCACAACCTTCTCTTGGTCATCCTCCCCCTTCAGCTGGTCGAAGCCCTCACCTGCCTCCACGAAGGCTATGAGCTCCAGAGGAAAGCCAGAGGAGAGAGCTGCCATCATTCCTTCTCCTCCCAAAGTGACTGAAGATGGTGTGGGAAGGGGAGATCTCCCCTCCTCCAACCCAAGTTGGAACTTTGAAGGACCCCATGAATGAACATGAATGAACAGTCATGTAGCCATGGAACCATGGTTAACATTATCCAAAACTGTTTAGAGGGCCAAGAAAATCAACCAGGTCGTGCTTCCGCTGTTTCTCTCCTGGAAGATGTAATGAGTTGATGCTATTTTTGTAGAAAAAGAGGAACTCACCAGGAAAGCCTCCCTTGTTCTCTTATAATGGCAATGGTGTCCATCTGAGAAGTGCCAGAAGTGAGTTGAGTTCTGGATGGAAAAAGAAAAACCCTGTACAGTCAAACCTTGGTTATCGAACATAATCCATTCCGGAAGCCCGTTTGGCTTCTGAAATGTTCAACAACTGAGGCACAGCTTCCGATTGGTTGCCGGAGCTTCCTGCACTCAAGCAGAAACCGTGTCGGATGTCCGGCTTCTGAAAAATATTAAAAAACCGGAGCATTTACTTCTGGGTTTTTGGCGTTCAGGAGCCAAAACGTTCCAAAATGAAGGCGTTCGGTATCTGAGATTTGACACTAAGGAGTCAAGGTGACCAAGGCTGATCTGGTCCCAAACTGGAGCCTAAAGCGAAAATGAGATGGGTCAAGACTGTCAGTCTCTCCAAGCACATCTGAAGCTGACCTCTACCTCTCCAACTTGTTTGACAGATCCTCTTAATAATCCCCAGGCTACTGCTTCAGGCCTTGTTCGTTCTACAGTACAAGGAACTGTTTCATTGTTCAAGGAACATCTTTTGCACATTGCAGTATAAGTAATGCTGACTACTGCATACTTTTCATTCCCTCCCACCTTCCCACCCTCCATTTTGGGGCTCGTCAGGAAAAGCTGGTGTCAGCAGCCTCATGTCCAGAACCCTCGACATCTTTTGCAGAATGTGTCACATTAATTGTCTTCAGAGATGATGGTGCTTTAGACTTTACTTGCTGGGTGCCAAATAACCTGCCACCTTGGGAGCCAGCAATGTTGCTGGAACGTATTTTAATGTTCAAAACAAGCTAAGTCCATTATAATTTTGGCATTAGCCTGAACTTATTTGTTGTACAGTAACAAGGCAAACGCTTCTAGTAACATAATCGTGATTTAGCAACTATATTGTGAGTTGGTGCAGATTTGCAACTTGTAGAACTGCATTTACACTTGTACGTTCTATACAGTATTGGATTTGACAGGGTAAGTGTTGATACAACAGTATTTGTTTTAAATTGTATCCCACTTTGTCTTCAAAGAGAAAGCAAAGTGGCTAACACTAAGACAATATATATTTTTTAAAAAATAAACAAACCAGTAATACATATAAAACAACAAAGAGTAAATACGGCCATCAACTAAAAACCTCCACCAAAAAAATTTAATTAATAATACTTTGCAGTGGTGGGGAGGGGGCAAAATCAAACTGGCAGGTCAGATGCTACTGGAATATTCAAAGTTATAAGTAAAAAAAATACTTAGCTCAGTACTTAGCTCTTTTCATATCAGCTAGGATTTTTTAAATGAAATCTATCACTAAAAATAAGCACAAACTGATTCAGCTTACGCTTCATGACAAAGTCTATGTAATAGACAGTAATTATAACGTATTTTTTTTAATGATATTTATTGAAAAATTTTTAGAATTACAGAAAAGAACACAGCAGAAAAAGAAAAAAGAGAAAACAAAAAGAGAACAAACCACATTAAACAATGTAGATTCAAAAAACAAAAATACACCACAAACAGATAAAAACAAGTCCATCATTCTCGAATCCTCAACTTTCATTACCTTCTTTCTTTGACCTCCTCCTCCTCCCTTTTTTTGTATCCTAGTTATTAATTATCGCAGCAAATCCTTTCCATATTTCATAATATTCTGTCATTACATTATCTTAATCTATTTTCATCTTATCTTATAGAAAACCTTAAAACTTAAAACTTAAATCTTATTTTTACCAACTTCTCATAACCATAGTATTCTTACCTAATTCATTAGACATTTTTGCTAGAGCCAAGTAATTTCGTTCCAACATTTTTCTAACATTCATCAATTTTATAAAACAATCCTAGTAATAATAAAAAAAAAGAGATAAGAACAATCCAATCTTCATCCAGCGTCCCTTCCTCCTGGTCCCGGGTTTTGTCAGTCCTTTTTATCCATTGATCTAGCGCATTAACCTGGTAACTTTATATCCGAGGCCCTTAAGTCTCTTCCATGTCCCTTCCGCGGCTCTTCTTCATATTCTCCTTTCACTCGTGGGAACTCCAGCTTGATAATGTTTTTGACCCTTTTCAACAAATCAGCCCCTTTTCCAAAGTCCAGACTAAACTCCATGTGGTATTTGAAAACATGTTTCAGAATCCCTCCAAGATTAAGAGCCCCCACAGCCCCAAATATCTCACGGCCCATTGCCAGACTTGGAAAGTCCAAACATCCCTGCATAGGGGGGTCTATCCAACCCCCCATTTCCAAACCAGTCCAAACTTTATCTTTCCAAATCTGGCTTTTTCCAAGTTCATTTGTCAAATCCAAAAGCTCATGTTCCTGCAGGGCCACAGCTCCCTCCATCTCTGGCGCCCAAGATTCAGCAACATCCTCTTCTCTAATTATAACGTATTTTTGTAAGCTTTGCTTTTGTAAGTTCTTGCTGCAAGAATTAGAACTCCACAAACCCCTGTGCACACCCCAAACACAGTGTGCATCATTTAAATAGACACCACCTATCAAAAAGCAGTTGGAGCTGTAGAATGGATCTGTCTTAAAACTCTTTGCAATTGAATTGTCTCTTAAGAAATGGCAGGATACGCTAGTAAATTACTAAAAGAAGACATTTCCAGGAAGGGTGGTCTGTTTCCAAAATAAAGTGCGATTGCTGGGATAGCTCAGTTGGTAGAGCATGACTTAGGGTCGTGGGTTTGAGCCCCATGTTGGGCAAAAGATTCCTGCATTGCAGGGGGTTGGACTAGATGACCCCCGTAGTCCCCTCCAACTCGACAATTCTATGATTCTAACTTTGCCCTTTTATCAGAACATATACAGTGTTGGGGTTTGCTTTAACACTTGTGACAGTATTACCTAGAGATAGTTAAATTATCTACTGTAGGTGCTATCCTCTCCCAGAAGTGGAATAGCTCCAACATGACTTACGCACATTTTTATCAATTAGTATATAATAGGTCCTAATATTTATGGACCATCCTGTTAAAAAAAGGGGGGCATGCAATCTAGCAATTGTAATACCCAGTTTGAGTATTACAAGTGGATCTCATCACTCTGCTCTCAGTTCAATATGGTAGGAGCAATAGACATTAGAAGCTTACAATGCATCTTCTTGCCTTGTTGGTTTGGGGTACCACGTCCAGTTCCGGGCACCATTTTCTAAAAAGGGCAATGGCAAACTGGAATGTGACTGGAGGGTGATCTGGTGAGGATCTGGAAACTAAGTCTGATGAAGAATGGTTAGAAGAACGGTGTAAATGTATCTGGACAAGATTAAAGGTTACATGATAACTGCTTTCAATATACAGTGGTACCTCGGGTTACATACGCTTCAGGTTACAGACTCCACTAACCCAGAAATAGTACCGAATTAAGTACTTAACCCGAGGTAAAGGTAAAGGTACCCCTGCCCGTACAGGCCAGTCTTGACAGACTCTAGGGTTGTGTGCTCATCTCACTCTAGAGGCCGGGAGCCAGCGCTGTCCGCAGACACTTCCGGGTCACGTGGCCAGCGTGACACGCTGCATCTGGCGAGCCACTTTAGCTAATGGGGCCTCCCACTGTTGCCATGCCGTCAGAGCATGATTTCTGTTCTCATCCTGAAGCAAAGTTCTTAACCCGAGGTACTATTTCTAGGTTAGTGGAGTCTGTAACCTGAAGCGCATGCAACCTGAAGCGTATGTAACCCGAGGTACCACTGTACTGGACATCAATTACATCTGTCACTGATGCTGCAGCTGCATTGTAGATCATCTACTGAGCAGGGTGTTGGGCTAAAGACATGCAAACCCTCATTCCAACTCTATGATTTTACTCAAGTATGTTCCACATAAATATGTTTTCCCCCCTTATAGATTCATGGCAGACATCATTTTGGGCAGCTGCTGCATGCTCGTCCTGGTCTGCTTCCAAGTTCTCTTCGCAGATGTTCACAGAGGACATTACATTGCTGCTGTGTACGAACATCGTGTCATCCTGAATCCCAATCCAACAGCTATTACCAGTCGACGGTCTGCATTACAGCTGATGAACAGAAACCTAGACATTTACGAAGAGCAAGTAATTGCTGCTGTTAAACAGGTACCACAGTAATTAATCACCTTGCAAACATTTTAAGTAACATGTGCCTTAGAGATTAATTGGTTTATTGTTACAGGAGCTGTTGTAGGCATATATACTGTATTGGAGGTTCTGGATGAAACAGAATCTTGAGCAAGTTCTTCCAGAGTCACAGAGCTCCTGTGTTTTTCTTCTATAATGGCTTTTCCTTTGAGACTATTAGTGAATAACCTACTAGGATGTTGAAGAGACAGCATCTTATCTTAGCTTTTTAAATTTTAGATTCACTGAGAATGTGATGATTTGAACAGGATGCACTCATACTTTCCCCTGTGAAGGTGCTTACCTTTGAAGTATCTGAGCATCACTGGGTTGTCTTCCCGGTTTTACTTCTGTGAAATGGGCATTTTGTTGTGCTTTATGGGGGCAAGTAGGTGGTTTGCTAGCTGAGGCTCAGACCTAACCTCTGCCTTTTGATTAGTTTTTCTGAGCAACTTACATATTGTTTATGACTATTGCAGCAGTGCCCACAAGTTTCAAATTTCCAAATGGGCACACGGGCCTAAAGAAAGTTGGGGACCCCTAACATACATCCTGCTAGGATGCCCTGCACCTGCAACTGAAGGTTTTCCTAACGCAGTGAATCCAGCACACAGTTACTTGTGTGGTGTTTGCTACTGAAGTCAATAGACATACAAGAACACAGAGCTCTTGAGCCTTAGCAACATGTTGAAGCAGCCACCACGCTGCTTCAAGAAGGCAAGGATCCCCTTTAAAATCTGCTTACGATACAGCTTTCGGTGTCTAAACGCTATGTTTCCTTCCAAACCAGTTGAATCATTTCACACTTCCAAACAGTTCTGGTGTAAATCCCCAAAGCTTTGGTGAAATTGCTTCTGGGCAAGAAGTTTGTGGATTTTAGCCAAATAGAAACTGGAGAGTGTTTTGTGATCATTCCCTCATTTCCACCGTAAAGCCACATATGAGCTTCTAATTCATAGTACTGTAGTAGGTTCAAGGTCTTACAACTATCTTTTAAAAAAAAACACAATTTAAATGGAAGTAACACAGTGTTCTTGTGTGTTTTGATTATCAGTAATACTTGAATGAGATTAATGCAATCTGCACAAGCATTTAAGTCTTCTTAAAGAAATTTCAAGGCACCTTTCCTTTTTTTTATTCTGACTGAAAGCTGTCTTTTTTATTTTTGTTTGCTATCAGGGAGCACAGATAATTGTCTTTCCTGAAGATGGAATTCAGGGCTTCAACTTCACCAGGACTTCTATTTATCCTTACTTGGATTTCATTCCATACCCTGACTCTGTGACATGGAATCCATGCAAAGAAGAATACTTGTTCAATGACACAGAGGTATCTGTTATAACTGTTGCAGAACTGGAAAAAACGGGATATTCTTTGCTTTAGTGGAATATATAAAGTGACACTCTGTTCCTTAGTGATATTTTGCTGCTCAATTTCACTAGCGCTTTCTGTCACACTGCCTGATGCAATATTGGCATTGCATCTCAAAGCATTTTTGTTTACAGTAAATTTCAATCTCTAAGTATGAAGTTAAGGTTAATGCAAATGCAATCAAACTGCCAATTTCTGTAAATGCACACCCATTGATTTCTATCACTTAACTATGTTTGGCTGTTAATAGATCTCCTACCTGCTACAGGTACCAAGCACAAGCACATTTAAACTTACTTTTTGCAGAGAACTGCAACTAAGTTAAGATGGAAATGCCATAACATGTTTTCCCCTGAAGATTTAGAATGTATTTGGAGCTAACACAACAGTTTCTGAACAGAACAATGTTTTGTACATTCAAACTACATATGTAGGTTTCCATTAAAAACAACAAACAAAACCCAACTTTCTTATTCTAAGCTAGACAACTGTTATGAGTAAGTATAATATGATTTTCAAGAAATCTGTGGTTTAGATCATTATAATTCTGGAAAATCTACCCTGACTCCACCCAAGCCTTAGGTCTTTTGTGTGCAGCAGAAGAAATTCTGTATGGTGCACTACACAAGGATCACAGACAACTCTGTCAGCTGTGGCAGCGTTGATCACTTCCTCAGCTGGACCTAGATTCAGTTTGTGGTTTGAGGACCCGATCCCCGCAAAGTGGAATGAATACACAAGGACACGTGATATAAGGTTAATGGGCAAGAAAAGGCCACAACTTTATTGATTACAGCAAGTGAAAAGGTATTGGCTTAGGCATTGGATTACGTCAGCTGACTCCACCCCCTCAGAGAGGGGTGAGTCTAAAACAAGGGGGGTTTATTCACCAGTAGGTGGAGCCTGTTGATGCTAATCCAACTATAGGCTCTCCCCTAATGTCACCGAGGGTCGTGCCATGAACTCCCGCCAAGCAGGCATCGGACAGAGTACACGACCGCCGGATTCCTTTAACGGAATACCCAAAAATTGAAGGCGTAGGCGATGGCCACACCTAGCCCTTCCACACACCACAACACATTATTCCAATGCCTAACCTACCCACCAATACCACGAAAGTTGTGACAATTGCTACGAGGTAGGCAAAAAAACCAAAAAGCCTAATGCCAAATGGAAAAATTCCTACCAGGCCCCCGGACAACCAGGGCGACCAACCTAAGGTCCATAGCAAGGCCAAAGAAAACTAAGACCCTGAGCTCAAGGGAGTGGAGGGTGGGTGACTTGTGACGGGACGACGAAGACTGAGGCCGAGGAGGGGCTGGCGCCGCATTTAGGCTGCTGTACACGCCCCCTCGGAGGCACCTGGTTGGGTGCCTGCCAATGGGCACAGGCACACACACGGTGGTGATACAGGGGTCAGATTGCTCTGAGGACATGAGAGACTCAGGCAGGGAATAATACAGCTAGCGCCACTGTAGCGGGGACTCACACACACTCCACACGCACACGCAGTGACGAACCCAAAGTCGCACTGCTGGAAACGGAAAAAACAACTGGCGGCAGGGTTGAGAAGGGGAGGGGAAGACACAAATGGGTAGCGCTAAAACAGCCAAGAGGACGAAGGAAGCTCAATGAATTGCAACAACAACAGCAAAGCAACCCGCCAATATAGGGAGCGAACCGAGATGTGCTCTCCGTGCTCTCCTGCCTGTGCGCGTTTTCCCTGTTTAGCCAAGAGCTCAGAGGCTCTTACTTTTCCATATTGCGTGTATCTCCCTACTTTGGGCTTATCAGCGCTCCTCCTTCCTGAAGAGAATTGTTTGGCGCGGTGCGCAGAACTGTATGGCACTTACAATAGTCATATATTACATTTATTACCAGGTGTCTATCAGAATGTGTATAGCCTACAGATCACGAAGCACATAGCTGCAAATGTTACATTTGGGTTTGGTTTACCCCACAGAACGTGATTTTTTGTGTAACGCTCACCCCTGCTAGAGTAAGCTGAATTGATAAGATGATAGCTTTCTTAGGTTGAAATCCTACACATGCTTATTTGGCATAAGTCCCATCGAACCCATAGTGTCATAGAATTGTAGAGTTGGAAGGGACCCTGAGGATCATCTAGTCCAACCCCCTGCAATGCAGCTGGTCTATATGGGGATCGAACCCACAACCTTGACATTATCAGCACCCTGCTCTAACCAAACGAGGCTTACTAGTAAACAGAGATGTATACAGCCGTGGTGTCAATTATATTGCTGACAGAATATGCAGGATCTTATAAAGTTTCAAGTTTTTAAGTGTTGCATTTTCTTTCAAAATCAGTTGAATAAAAAAACTAATAATCTTTTTGCATTTGATAAAAATTTCCCTACTTTAAAAAAAAACCAAGAGTGTCTACTGTCACAAGGTTGACTCCAATGAAGTCATTGCATGAGTGGAACAACTTCCCCATGTGCAGCAGAACATCCTCTCTCCCCTCCACCTGTTCCCTCCCCAAATCTGCTTGGTGGGGGACCCAGAGCAGATGCAGAGGGGGCTCTGTGAGGGAAGGAGAGACCAAAGTTGCATTGCACAAACGGAAGTTGTTCCACTTGCAGAATGGCTGTCCTGAATACAACCTAAAGAGAGAGATGCTGCCTCTTCCGGTGGTGCCAAAATTAGATCTGTCAGCCACTTAAAATTTATTTAACTAAACAAAAATGCAGTGCTTTTCATTTCTCAATATTACAGTCCCTCTAACAATAGCATTCTGAGGTAATTAATGAATAGAGAAGTTTCAGCACAGTGATTTAATGTTTTGGAGATAAGTCCAAAACATGTTGCCAAAATCAGGAAATGACCACTGAAGGCTTCAGTCATCTCTGCACACTTACTTCTGAGTAGAGATGTTCAAGACTACATCTTTCACAGACACTGAACATCTTTTCATAGGGAACCATTATATATATATATTTTAAATAATATTTATTAAAAGTTTAAGAATTAAAGAAAAAAATAAAAAAAGAAAAAGAAAAAATAAACAGTACAAATCGACACATTACAATACATATACATAAAAAAGAAAAGCATAAAAAAACACGATACATCAAAACAAAAACAAAAGCAACAACAGTTAAAAACATATCCAATATTTCCATATCTTTATCCTTCATTAACTTGTTTCATCGACCTCCTCACACCTCCCTTTTTGTATTCTAGTTATTAATTGTTTCAGCAAATCCTTTCCATCTTTCGCTATTTTCTATCATATAAATATCATAATTTATTTTAACCTTATCTTACCGTTAATACCCTAAAACTTATTTGTACTTAACTCCTTATAACATTTCTACTAAAGCCGTATAATTTCATTCCAACATTTTTCTAACACTCATTAATTTTGCAACATTTCTCTAAATAATTTTTTTTAAAAAAAAATTATGCTTTTTTCCCCCAATCCTCTTCCACCGTCTCCTCTCCCTGGTCTCGGATTCTGTCAGCCCTTTCTATCAATACCATATAGCCCATTAACCTGGTGACCTTCTGTCCGAGGCTCTTAACTCTCTTCCCTGTCCCTTCTGCAGGTCTTCTTCATATATATCCATGCACATTACTTTGTCTTCTGCTGATCTTGTTCTTAATTTCCTTCCTTTGGCACTGAGGAGTAGATCTCGGGGGAGCTCCAACCTAGCAATGTCTTTATTCCTTCTCAACAGGTCAGCCCATTCTCCATAGTCAGAACTAAAGTCCAAAAGATATTTCAGAGCGCCACTCTCCCCCTGACCCAAATCCAGGTCCCAAAGGCCAGAGCATCCCTGCATAGGAGGATCTAGCCAACTTTCCTTCTCCAATCCAAGCAGGGCTCCATCCCACCAAATCTGACTTTCTCTAGATTCGATCATAAAAGGCAACAGCTTATGTTCATCAAATTGCCTCTGGGAGGCCGGGGCTCCCTCCACTTGAATTACTTGAGATTCAACAACAACTTTCTCCTTCATCTTCTCTACAGCTTGCCATGTCAAAACAGATTCCTGGGTCAATTCCTGAGTAATTTCTGTATAGGTATTCCCTTTTTGTCCCAACTCGGTCAATTTTTGTCCCGAATTGTCAATTTTAGTAATCCTCACATCCATCTTCTCATGAAGCTGTTCCAATAAAGCACTTGTCTTGCAAAATGCAATCACTAGGGCTTCTTCTGTCAACATTCTTGTCCAAGGTCAAACTCTAGTTCTCACACTCTTTAATCTCTGCAGCTGGAAAATTCCCCAGCTCCACTCCTGCAACAGTTCCAAAAGCTCCCTCTAAAGGAAACAATTTCTATTTGTATCCATTCTTTTAAGCACAGATCCAGCCACCGAGCTAGTTTCAATTTTCAGTTACTTTTTTTCCTCCTTTTTAAATGTAAAAGGAAGCAATTGAAACAATGTATTACTCTTATTTAACTATCTGTCAACATCGTTTTATTCTCAGTCAATGAACTTTCCCAAAGCGTTAATCTTACTGACAGTCGGTTCCCAGGTTCAAAACGGTGGTGATTTATCTTTCTTCACTCTCTCTCCTGCAGGCTTAAACAATAGAATTTCCCCCCTCTTCTCCTGCTTCCAAGGGGGGTTTAGTTATTTTAACCGATGGAGATTTAATCCTTTACAGAAAACTTTCCAGGCTTTAGCTTGCAACGTCTTTGCTTTACTCTGTTTACAAAAGAGGAAGGCGGACTTCCTGTTTGAGACCTTCCTGTTTCGATGCCAAATTATGAAGTTTAGAAATCCAATTTTCCGTTCTACTCACGGGTAGTTGTTTAGAGTCCAATTGTCCACAGGAAAAAGTCAGCGCTCTCCGGCAACAGCAATGCGGCTTCACTCCATGAAAGAAGCAGTTGATTCGAAGCACCGTGCCGCTCACCCCACGTCGCTCCGGATCCCCGAAACCGGGTTTCCCCGCGAGTAGGGGAGGCGCAAAAGGTGCCAGCCGAATCCCACGTCCACAGGCTTCTCCCGCCTGTGGTTTTTAGTGGGTCTCCGCCTCGCCGTGGTGGTTCAGACCCTAATTTCCACGGAGCAGATTCCTCCCAGTCAGAGGAAATCCGCCATTGCCAGAGGCGCTAACCTGGAAGTCCCCATAGGGAACCATTATAAAGGGGGGGGGTCCATATATACAAGTATACATGTTTAATCCAAGAGCCAATTAATAGGACTGCTCAATGCTTATATCTATTGATGCAACAGAATATGTATTTACTTTTTTGCCCCCTAGGTTCTGCACCGACTCAGCTGTATGGCACTGAAGAATCAAGTGTTTTTAGTGGTAAACTTAGGAACCAAGCAGCCCTGCAATCACAGTGATCGTCACTGCCCACCAGATGGGAGATACCACTTTAACACAAACGTAGTATTTAGTGACAGTGGTACACTCATAGCCAGATACCGAAAACAAAACCTGTATTTTGAACGTGCCTTTGATACTCCGCCAGAAGTAGATTACACTGTTTTTAATACGCCTTTTGCAGGCAAATTTGGAGTTTTCACTTGCTTTGACATCCTGTTCTATGAGCCAACAGTGAAGCTTATCAAGAAATACAATTTAAAACAGGCTGTGTATCCTACTGCATGGATGAACCAGCTTCCGCTGCTGTCTGCTGTAGAATTTCAACAAGCATTTGCAGTTGCTTTCAACATCAATCTTTTGGCAGCGAATATCCATCGTCCTGACCTGGGTATGACAGGGAGTGGTATATACACACCATCAGAATCATTCATTTATTATAACATGGAGAACGATAAAGGCAAGCTTATAGTGGCCCAAATCCCTATTACATCAGGGCATGAAACCAACAATAACATGCAGACGAGTTTTTCAAACTCCCCTATGGACCATCAGATTTGTCGTAAGGAGGATCAAGAAGCCCACTGTGAAAAAGCTGAGAAAGGAGCCCAGGAAGCTCCACCTATATTTCATGGCGAAATGATGTATGACAATTTCACTTTTACGCCCATAATGGAAGCTGAAGGAGAGATCCAGGTCTGTTCCAATACTCTGTGCTGTTCCTTAAGTTACCAGAGACTGTTTGTATCAAAGGAACTCTATGCTTTAGGAGTATTTGATGGCCTTCATACAGTTCATGGGACATACTATGTACAAGCTTGTGCGTTAGTGAAGTGCGGCACCCTCGACTATACGAGTTGCGGGCAGGAAGTCACAAAGGCTACTGAACGGATAGATTTTCAGCTGCAAGGGAATTTCAGCACTGCTTTTGTCTTCCCTCTCTTGCTGAAGTCTGGCATTACTCTGGACTTTGCGGACTATCTGGGGTGGGAAAAGAACCACTATGTCATGCAGAAAAAGGGAGCATCTTCTGGCTTAATAACGGCCGGTTTATATGGACGATGGTATGAGAAGGACTAAAACAAGCATTTGGTGCAACCAAAAGTCGCGTGCCAAAATGAATGATTCAGGACCTTGCTTAATAAAAGGAGATTATTGTCCAATGGAGTTCTTGACTTGAACTATGTATACCTGAAAAGTAATTTTAGGTTGCATGAATTCATAAAGGTTCTTTATCAATGAAGTGAAGGACATGAGGCAGGAGTTGATAATGCAGGTGAGCTGAGATATCTTGATTTATTGCTCAGATAAGCCTGGTCTGGCACGCTTCCCCCAAGAGTCTCTGCATTCCAATGGTCCGACATCTGAGCATAGCAGAGTTGAGATCAACAGCGGCTAGAGGAAGCTGCAAAAAAACTCCAGTGCATTCTTCAGTGTGCTTAAATGAAGTCCACACAGGATCTTAGCAGCTAAAAGCAGTTTTATTTACAGCAGGCTATCCATTATCTATCACAGCGAACAGCATTGCGAAAACACGTCCTCTCTCCTCAAAAGCGAAAGTAGAGAGACAGAACAAAGACTTTAGTCTCTCGGAACTGACGTAGCTCCCCCCTCCCAACTGTAGGCAGGGCGTACAGTCTGAGCTGTTTAACCCTGTAAGCTCAGGTTCTCCTCACACTGCACACAGGTGAGCTGCAAGCAAGCTGCCGGCCAGCTCTATGGAGCCTCCTTTTATTGACACAATATGCAAACCCAGGCAGATAAATTTTGGGCTGTGACCTTTACACATCTTCCAGTCCCGAGGTCGCGGGGTGGTACAAAGTTATTTTGGCACCTGTTTCCACCGCGTCATTTTCCCCTTGCACAATGTACGACGAAAGGGACAAAGGTCTCAGAGACAAAGGTCACAGACAGAACATGGCAGACTGCTTAGACAGCAAAAGGTTAGACAGAGGGCAAGATGTTCAGACAGCTGTGGCCTTATCTGTGAGGGGGAGTGTGCTCCGCACCCCAAGATCACGCGTGCAGACAACTGAGGCTGCCCGCGGGCGGGGAGTGTGCTCCACACCCAGCGATCATTCCTACATATCAATTCCAAGGGTCCACAAGTTTTGGCTGATCTCAAAAGGGTTTGTTCTTAGCTCTGACATCACACTAGACTCGTCACATACAACTAGCTGCCTGTTGTCACATAGAATCATAGAGTTAGAAGGGACCCCTAAGTGTCAATCTAGTCCAACCACATGCAATCCAGGAAGCTCAACTAAAGCATCCAGGACAGATGGCCATCCAACCTCTGCTTAAAAAATCCAATGAAGGGGAGTTCACCACCTCTGTTCTGCTGTCAAGCAGGTCTTACGGTCAGAAAGTTCTTCCTGACATTTACGTAGCTGGAATCTCCTTTCTTGTAACTTGAATCGATTGGTTCAGGTCCAATCTTCCAGAATAGAAAACAAGCTCGCTCCATCTTCCATGCGACAGCTCTTTAGATATTTGAAGATGGCTGTGATATCGCCTCTCAGTCTCTGCTTTTCCAGGCTAAAACAATTACAACTGCCTCAACTGTTCCTCATAAAGCTTGGTTTCCAAACCCTTGATCACCTTGGGCTACCACCTCTGCACATGCTCTTGCTTGTCAATATCCTCCTTAAATTGTGATACCCAGAACTGGACACAGTTCTCCAGGTATGATCCGACCAAGGCAGAATATAGCAGTACTATTACTTCCACTGATCTGGACACTATACTATACTTCTGTTGATGCAGCCTAGAATAGCATTAGCTTTCTTTGCTGCTGCATCACAGCGTTGACTCATGTTAAGCTTGTGGTCTACTAAGACCCCAAGATCCTTCTCACATGTACTACTGGCAAGCTAGTTGTCGCCCATCTTATATTTGTGCAGCTGGTTCTTCCTCCCTAAATGTTGCCCCACCCAGACCACATTTTACCAGCTTCTCTGTAAAAATATTCTAGGGGACTTTGTCAAAAGCCTTACTAAACTTAATATACACTACGTCCACAGTAGTCTTCTGATCTACCAAGCTTGTAACTCTTATAAAAAAAGAAAAGAAATGAGATTTGTCTGTCATGACTTGTTTCTGAGAAACCCATGCTGGGTCTTTGCATCCAGTATGGATAGGTTAAACACTTGTGAAATGCCCTGAGATCGGCAGATGAAGGGCAGTATACAAATTTAAATAATACTAATACCAAGTAGAAAGGAATTTTATAGTGAACAGAAAGGATGTTGCAGAATAATATGTCACTATATTAATAATAAGATACTGTATTAAGTGATGTGTTCTAATTCCACTTTCAGTAACAGAACCCCATCCCCCAAAAAACGTCAGAAGCTTTAAAGGACTCCAGTGTGAACGTATTTATAAAAACAACAGTTTTACCTTGTACTTCATCTTTTTTTTCCTGCTTAAAAGAATGAACTTGAGAAAACAAGAGAAATGTCAAAGGTAATGCTAATTTGATTTATGAGTAAATGCAAAACAAATGTATAAATAAAAGCACTGTTGTTTGCTGTTGTAGCATGTCAGCATCACTCACCAGCAACAGCAAGTTGGAAACACTAGGAAAGAGAGGTTTACCAAGAACTTTTAGGTGGACAATATCCAGCTATTTTCACAGCTAGAGTGCTAGCTCTATCAAGTTCTGGTGGAATTAACAGTCCTTTCGATCAATTAGTAAGCCATCCATTCCATTTTATGCAATGCCACAGCACATTAAGGAGAACGGTATGGAAAAGCAAAGGCCCCAGGCTTTTCAAATTATCCAACAGTAATAATGCATATGATCAATGATCAAAAGGCCTCCGGAAGATAGCTTAGTTATCTGAATGATTGATCTTTGCTTTAGAATCAACAGGACCAAAAAGGTTTCGTAGAATAGGATTTATAAATCTGAGGTATTCAATGAAGAGAAGCCCTTTAAGGAATTAACAATTATCCCACATAGATACACAGATTATTCATTAAATACAACTCTCACATCTGGGTTTTATTATACTCTGTAAAATATACACAGGAATCTTGATGTACTCAAAGAGTGCAGGTAAATACAGTATTCAAGCAGTCGCTATTTATATGTACATGCTCATTAATTCTTCAAAAACCCACAAAATTATCAAATAGATCAAAATACTGTCCTGTGTTTCCACACTATGTTCAGAAAACAAGCTGATAATTTACAATGGCATTAAGGTTTCCAGTTTCACAATACAAAAAGGATAAAAGAAGGTTGGGGTCAGTTTATAGCAAGTCATTTGTGTTTTACCTCAACATGCAAGAATATGTTCTTGCATGTACATAAGCAAGTTATAATTTAAAATGTTACTTTTCAATTAAAGCAGAACCAAATAAAGTAAATACCTCTATTTTAACAAATTTCATTTTAGGATCGAGAAATGTATTCCATTTTTCAGTTTATTCATTTTTTTTACAGTAGCCTGTTATAAATTAGACAAACTCAAGGCAAGATGTAACTCTAGCTGAAGGACTTGGGATACATTTCCAAAGATTCATCACTGTACCTTTTTGATGAGAGGGAAACCATTTTAACCATCCCCCAGTCACATCCTGTGCCATGAAAGCTTAGGAGGTGTTTTTTTTTAATTAAAAAAATTATATACATCATAGAGGCACAAATCTCATGTCATTGTATATGATGTAGAAGACTGGGCAAGCTGTAGAAAATGCCATTTACCTAAGGCAGCCTAGCAGGGTGTCAGGATTTTACAATTCTCATTTTTGATGCAGTTTTGCTCATCCAGATAATTACCATTCCTGTATTTTGAATAAAAATATATATTTAAAACAGATTTATTTTCGTAAAAGTAAGCTGTGCAATAAATACTGCATCGCTGTCTCATCTCCCTTTTATTATACTACTGTACAAGTTTCACCCTGACTACTCCTCGTTAAGCCAGTACAGCTTCACTACTATAAGATTGTGACAAGTTCCTTTTCATTTCCTCTCAGAGAAACAAAACTGAAAATTAAGTTTTCCCCCCCCATGGTACATTTAACTGTGTTGGGAGGCTGTTAGGTGATTAAAAACAAATAAGACATTTAAAACCAAATCTAACATTAATTGTCAGAAGTAATTTAGGGGTTGGTTAAGACTATTACTTATTTAACCTATTCAACTTTTCAAAAAAAGTTTTTTTTTTAATTAAAAAAAGTCTAAGTTATTCATTTGGTCCTTTGGCAATTTGCTGCACAAACAACGCCTTCTGTACCAAACTCAATTATTGCCTTAAAAATGATCTTGGTAAGATTTAAATCTATTGTCTTCTTTGTTGTATAACTTGTTTATTCATTTAGACAGACAATGGTGCACAGCCTTTTTTAGGATTCTTCATGGCACCATGGACAACCTAGTACACTGCAATTAAATAACATTTTGTGTAATTTTTCTTTTCTTTTGCACCATGGATTTGAAGCATTTCCTTTGCATAACCTGCTTTTAAAAGCCTTTGGGAAGTTGCACAAATGTTTCTTGTGCACCCATGTTTGTTTAAAAAAAAAACCCCTCTTCTGGGTGTCCCTTTTTTATATTCAGAAACTGCTTTCTCCAACAACACAATCTTGAAATTCAGCAAGGGAGTTCCTCTTCTGACCTCCAAGGAAGCTTCTTAATAGGTTTCAGAATCCGAGTCATTAAGTTCATCTTCTTCCGTATATGGGTAGCCATCTTCCCTGCCAATGTTGTTGAAACTACAGTAAGAGCTATGTTCACTCCTGATAATAGGCAAGGAGTCAAAGGTGACAGTTTTTGAGGTGTTGGTGTAATGATTAATGGCATTGAAAGTAAGGGAAGGTAGCGTGGTGCTTGACGAAACAGGCATCATTGTGGCCAGAATGAGAGCTAGGCAATCAGCAACATCCTTATTGGGAGCACAGGCCAAAGCTGGTGTATAACCTAGAGTCAGAATAAAATCATAAATTTTAGTTCAAGACACACCCAAAATTTCAGATATCAAAGTCCATTCACTTGGTACAGCAGCAAAGTACGATTTTGTTATGCTATACAGTTTAACCTTGAGTTCTCAAACGGAATCCATTCCAGAAGTCCGTTCAACTTCCGAAAACGTTCGAAAACCAAGGCACAGCTTCCAATTGGCTGCAGGAGCTTCCTGCACTCAATCGGAAGCCACGTCAGACATTTGGGTTCCAAAGAATGTTCGCAAACCAGAACGCTCACTTCCGGGTTTGCAGTGTTCGGGAGCCAAAAGGTTCGAGTCACAAGGCATTCGAGAACCAAAGTACAATTGTACTAATTAAAAACTGGATTATGTGGGTGACAGACAACTGTGTCCGTCTGCCAAGTGGGAATGGGTTTCCATTTGTGCAATGGGACTCTGAGTTAGTGTGCCACCCCCCTGATCTAGCGCAGCTTCTGTTTTAGACTGGCCACAACTTTTGTGACATCCAAACTGTGCTGAATGGAAACAAGTCAACTTCAAACCACAGTTTATAAAGGTGGTCAATTCTCAGCATTTAGCTGCACTTTAAGGTTTGGATATAATGCTTAACTGTGGCTAATCTAATATTGAACCTTCCAATCTCCTTGTAACTGCAGTGGGAAGAAGCTGGGGAGCACGCAAGCCCAAGGTGAACAGCAACACATAATGCTAAACCATGGTTTAGAAATTGCAGGCGAACCATGTGACCGCTGATTTAGATGGTTTGGTAAAATAGGTAAAGGGACCCCTGACCATTAGGTCCAGTTGTGACCGACTCTGGGGTTGCGGCGCTCATCTCGCTTTATTGGCAGAGGGAGCCGGCGTACAGCTTCCGAGTCATGTGACCAGCATGACTAAGCCGCTTCTGGCAAACCATAGCAACACACAGAGACGCTGTTTACCTTCCCGCTGGAGTGGTACCTATTTATCTACTTGCACTTTGATGTGCTTTCGAACTGCTAGGTTGGCAGGAGCAGGGACCGAGCAACGGGAGCTCACTCCGTCACGGGGATTTGAACCACCGACCTTCTGATCGGCAAGTCCTAGGCTCTGTGGTTTAACCCACAGCGCCACCCGCATCCCTTGTTGTTAAAATAGCATTAGACAAATTCATGGAAAATAGACCCCAATAGATGCCCAGAAGCAGCATACCTTTGAATACCAGCTTCTTGGAGGCAATATGGCACTGCTGGAAAAGGAAGTGCTATGCAGGCTTTTTTGATTCAACTTTACCATGTTTAAATTTACTTACCATTTTCATCAACGGCAAGTACACTTGCTCCTTTTCCTAGAAGTTCTTGAACTACAACCGTTAATCCATTTCGAGCAGCAACATGCAAAGGTCTGCAGAGACAATCACCCACAAATCTTACAACAAACACATTCAAAATGCATACAAAGATTGCTGTCTGATTATATTAGTGTTTTCATTTCTATCCTTGTGAAGAGGTAATTATATACATATTAAAGCAAGCCGTTGCAATTTCTAGAGTAGAAAAAGTGATATTCAAATATTTGAGCATGTTTAAATATTTGTAAGTAGCTTGTTATGTATCTATAATCTATTACTACAATACAGAGAGGGTGGGAGTTATAGTCCGGCAATACCTGAAGGACCAAAGGTTAGCCAACCTTGGTGTAAACACAGAATCTATATGGCATGAGACTAAGCAGTTCTTTGGTTCTCGTGTAACCTGTAATTTTTTTTGTAAACTAACTCTTATCCTATTCCAAGCAAACATGAGAGTACAGTAACTGTGTCATTAACTAGCAAAACATCCTTTTTCTGTCCCTTGTTTTAAGCCAGCATGATTACTATTCACCTGCCTTGTGACCTGTAAATTATTGCTACTTTTGTTTACTGTTAATACAGCGGTGCCTTGCAAGACGAAATTAATTCGTTCCGCGAGTTTTGTCGTCTTGCGATTTTTTCGTCTTGTGAAGCACGGTGTCGGGAAAGTTTTGGAAAAGCTTCAAAAATCACCAAAGTCTTTAAAAACCTCAAAAAAGGCTACCACACCGCGTTCTATGAGTTGCTCCTCGAAGTCAAGTCGCAATTGTATTAACGGTGTTAAGAAAAAGGAAACAAACTTGCAAGACGTTTCCGTCTTGCGAAGCAAGCCCATAGGGAAAATCGTCTTGCGAAGCAGCTCAAAAAACAAAAAACCCTTTCGTCTAGCGAGTTTTTTGTCTTGCGAGGCATTCGTCTTGCGAGGTACCACTGTATTTCTGTTCTGCCTTGCCCTTTGCCGAATGTTTCCATGAAGACCGTTTCTTAAAACATCGTATAGATTAAGCTCATATACTGCCAATTATCACACAAAAAATATTTAGTGAGCACTTTCCCCCATAATCTCCCTGCTCCCACTCCACTACATTCACCTAAATATAGTTTCTTCAATAATAGATTTTCAGTGCTATATGAAGCTCTACTTACGTCTGCAAGGCTGCATTGGTGGCATTGATGAGATTTCTATCTGTAATCTTCTCCAGTATTAACAAGGCACTAGTTTCATGACCCTTTTTTGAAAAGGAAGGAAAAGGAAAAAGAGATTCTTTATTCTTCCTTTAAAACAAAAATCTATTATTTTAAACCTTGGCAAATTCAACATGTATATTTGAAACAATCTACACACGTTTTCTTTAGAGTATGTAAGCAACAGAGATTTGTAACTAGTAGGTAGAGTTTTTATTAGCGCTAAGTATGGTCTGCAGAAGGACACAAGATACTTAACCCAATATGCTTATATATTATAGTGGTGAAGACTGCCTTTTCTGTCTTTTACTTCAGTGTATACAGTTTTTGTACCCACTGCTGCCTCTCTTCCTTCATTCCGTTTCTGAACTGTATCATCTTCTTCCCTCCACCCCTTTGCCAAAATGCCCTCTGTATTCCAAGCAGATCCAGTATATGGGATGATGTTTCATCTGCCCAATGATGGAATAGTTCTGGTAGAGAGTCCAGACCACTGGACACCTTAAAAAACACAACAGATGGACTTCATTGTCTTAGCTTTAGATCAGGCATAGGCGAACTCGGCCCTCCAGGTGTTTTGAGACTACAATTCCCATCATCCCTGACCATTGGTCCTGTTAGCTAGGGATGATGGGAGTTGTAGTCCCAAAAAACATCTGGAGGGCCGAATTTGCCTATACCTGCTTTAGATAGCCGTTGTTAAAAATCTGTTACCTGGCTCAGTGTTGATGCAGCTATGAATGAAGCAAGCATGATAAAGAACTCGGCACCCCACTCAAGGTGTAGTTCTTTCCCAGTGCATTTAAAAGACTGCTGCATCACCACTGCTGCTCTAGACCAACTTTATTCAAATGGATAAATGATGAAAACCACGACGAGACCAGCAATAAATCACAGAAGCTCCAAACTGGAAAATGATACATACCTTGCTGCAAGCCAAATGCAGTGCTGTGTTTTTACACTTATCTTGCAAGGTCAGATCGGCTTTAGCGCTGCTAACCAACACCTCTGAAAGAAGTAAAGTGTTACATTAACTGAAAAGATGCATTTATAGACAGAAGCTTTATAGTGTACAACTTTTTTTTACTGTTATCTCATCAGCAGAGATTGTTCCCAACTCGGAAGTGTAAATAGGTCTGACATGATTAAGAACATAAGAGCATGCTTGCTGTATCAGATCAAAAGCCTTTCAGGTTGAGCGATCTGTTTCACAAAGTTGCCAACTGGGTGCCTTTGGGAATCCGAATGCAATAGTCTCTCCCGCCACTCAAGTAACTGTTGGTAACATTTTTTTGTTTGTGTGAGCAAATTTCCCTACTGCCCCATGTTTCATCATCCTATGCTTTTCTATCCTCTTAAGTCACTCAACAGGTAGCCTCACTTACACTGTGGCTTATCCTGTGAATGAAATTATGAGACTACTGTAGTTGTTAAGAGGATGCGTGTTCTTTTGAATCCAATTCTGTTGATTAATAAAAATATTAACCCAAGAAAGTTGCTTCGTTGATCAATCTGAAATCTGCAAATCTGCTTTAAAAAATGGCCTATGCAGTTCTAATGCAGGCTTTTTACATTAGTAGAATTAATAGTTATTAGTAATGAAAACAGAAAATACACAAGAGTTCTCTTTTTACCAACTGTATTTGTTTGTCCATTTTCTGCAGCCATCATTAGAGGGGTCTTCCCAGAAGAATCTACAGAGTTTACTTGTGCATTATGGCTGAGCAAAAGCTGTAAGCACTCTACATGGTCTGTAAAGGCTGCTGCATGAAGAGGAGTTCTGGGGAGAAGAAAAAGAGTTCACTTTGTAGATAAAAAGCAGGCTAACAACTAATATCATATGCATGATTCTACCTAAAAGCATAACCCGTCTAACGATTGTAGAAAAAACTGCTTTAGAAGTTTATGATTTGTGAATTTGAATTATCTCAACACTTTAGAGTCAACTATATACATTTCATTTCCCCTCTTGCCCTTTTCATGGAATAACAAGGGGCAGGAGATATAGAAAGAGTGGGGTTGGGCAGAGCACCGCAGATATTACAAAAGAGGTCCAAACCCAGATCTCAGCCCAACACATCCAAAGCTTCTTTTCATATCATAAATTATTATTTTTTTAAGAGTTTTGGTTTACTGTGTAAAGAAAGCGCAATCCTATATAAGTTTAATGAAGGATTTCCAGATACTTTTATGTAGGATCACACAGCTTTATTTCTTTATTTACTGAACATATTATAAATTATACATATCACTGCAATGTATAGGGAAGGGAATAGTCCAGTCAGCTTGAAATTATAAGTATTAAATCTAGCTAGAACATATATAATAGTTAACCTACTATTGTAAAATACTAAGCTTTTACAAATATTAAAACATCAGCTGTTTTAAATTAGAACACACAGATCTAGACTAAGGCCCATCTGAACTATATATTTAAAGCAGTATCATACCAAAGAATCCTGAGAACTGTCGCTCATTAAGGGTACTGAGAGCTGTTAAGAGCCCCCTGTTCCTCTCATAGAGCTACAGATTGGTTTAACAACCAATTCCATTTCCCAGGGAACTCTGGGAACTGTAGCTCCATGAGGGGAGTTCACTTTGTAGATAAAAAGCAGGCTAACAACTAATATCATATGCATGATTCTACCTAAAAGCAGAACAACTCTTGGCACCCTGAACAAACCACAGTTCCCAGAATTCTTTGGGGGAAGCCATGACTGTTTACAGTATGGTACTGTTTAAAATGTGTAGTGCAGATGGGGCCTTAATCTAGATTAAACACATGAAACCTGCGACAAAATGTTGTAGTTGGCATGCTGCTGTCCAGGGTTCTAACCAGCCATGCTTTCTACTAAAATACTTCATTACATTCAAGCTCCACCTCCCTGACTGGGATAACGGTCAGAGAACACATAAAGCAACAACTCTGGCTACTTATTAAGCAGAACTGAAAATGCAGAACATTCTTTTTAGTAAATGTGCTTCGGACCTTACCTGGCTTTCCCGTCTGTAGAATTTACAATGCTAGAACCCAGTGTGTCAATTAGCATTTCAGCAGCGCCCTCGTTATCATTAATCCTATCAGAAATTTAAAAGGGAATTACTTCCAGAAAAGCTGCAGTTTGTTAAAAAGATAAAATGAAATCCATGTAGAGGTTGCTTACACAGCACAATGCAATGGGCTGAAAGCATTTCCTTCCATTTTCTGGAAAACCTCCTGCTCCAAAAGAAGTTCGACACAGCTGTCATGACCTAAAATGGTTTAAATGCCAGATAGCAAATGCAAAATAATACAAATCAGAGGTCTTTATTATGAAACACTAAGTATAAATAGAATGTATAGTTTATTTCTTATGTGTCACATGTTGGAAACTGATGTTTATTTTGGAACACTCCTGACTATCAGGTAAATGTAGCCATAGGTACCATTTTTTCATGGCTACGATGCTGTCACACAGCTATTATAGAAATGGGTGAAACCAACAGAGGGTGAGGAAGGAGATAAATGAATTGAAGATCTATTGGCAGAAATATTGAATAGGGTGTGTCTTTTGTGCATGTGGACTCCGACACTTATTTATCTTTTTCCTGTATGTGTTTATTTGCTATCCATGACCCATTCTGTGGCCTGGCAATTGGCTGCTTCCTACAGAGACATCCTGGCACATGACACTTCTAATTAGTCACATGTTCTGGGACCAATCAGCTACAAACTTTCTAAGGTACTTTGGCATGTGTAAATCTTCACAGAATGGCGCATAAGATAATATGTTGTCTCTGCCCAAAATCCTTCTCTAGTTCTCCTGGTGCGTTTTAGGATTTTATTAGTTAGCACTGTCTGATCTGAGAATGGCAATGGAGATTGGAAGCACAAGGCAGCTTGTACGAGTCACGTGATTCTACACCAACCAAGCATTCCCCTAGAATATTTATTCTTAAGAAATGATCATGTCTTATTTACCATTGTAACAGGCCCAGTGCAATGATGTATATCCATGATTGTCTGCAAGGGCAGGTACTGTATCTCCAGATGCTGCTGACTGCAAGAGTGCTCCTAACACCCCAATATGTCCACATGCAGCTGACAAATGTATAGGTGTTCGTCCTCTGCAATCTCGTAGTATGGACTTTGCACCGTGTTGAAGCAGAGCTTCTACACACTCCTCGTGTCCTGTAACTGCCTGGAAAAAATGTAACACAGAAAGCATATATTGCGTCAACGTGTATATAGTCACAAAGAAGAAGAAGAAGAAAATCAATGGTCTCCACAGTTATGTGATCCATCCATTGCTTCTCTACCATATCAGCCCAATCTGTTTTCACATCAATAAATAGACATTTGTGTACAAAAAGGCAGATGGAGCCTGCTAGGAATGTAGGCTTCAAAAGCTATTGAGAGCTGATTTTGCATGTCTCAGGACACTTTCCAAACAGCATTTGTTTCTGTATTGTTAACGCTACAGCATTTACATTGTAAGCCACTTTGTAACAGTTTGCTATAAAAGGGGAGGGGTATATAATATATACAGGGACGCGGGTGGCGCTGTGGGTTAAACCACAGAGCCTAGGACTTGCCGATCAGAAGGTCAGCGGTTCGAATCCCCGCCACGGGGTGAGCTCCCGTTGCTCGGTCCCTGCTCTTGCCAACCTAGCAGTTCGAAAGCACATCAAAGTGCAAGTAGATAAATAGGTACCACTCCAGCGGGAAGGTAAACAGCGTCTCTGTGTGCTGCTCTGGTTTGCCAGAAGCGGCTTAGTCATGCTGGTCACATGACTCGGAAGCTGTATGCCGGCTCCCTCTGCCAATAAAGCGAGATGAGCGCGGCAACCCCAGAGTTGGTCACGAGTGGACCTAATGGTCAGGGTCCCTTTACCTATATAACATATAAATTAAGTGTTCTGGATGCAGACTAAGTTAGTTGAACTTAGTTTCCATTGAAATCAATGACTCTTTAGTCATGACTTGCTTGTTCCGCTAGGCTCAGCAAGACCTCTAAGCATAACTAATTCAGTCTATATCTAAAGCAATGCTTCTCTAGGGAAACTTCAGGGATGCTACCTATTGAAGCAAAAGGTGAGGCAGGGGGCAATGAATGACACACTTACCCCTCTGTGCAATGCTGTTCTTCCCCATTTATCTTTGGCATCTACATTTGCTCCTTTATTAAGCAATGAATAGACACAATCTGTGTGCCCATTGAGAACAGACAACATCAGAGGAGTCCTGGAAGAGAAACAAAAAAACCCCATACATTCTATGTTAACAAGCTCACAAACCTGCTCACGTGGCAAGCTAGGCAACTGTGAAGAGAAACATTAGCAAATCCTAGTTTGACTCAGTCCATAGACTGGAAGGGCTGCTGCACATCTGAATGGAGACAGAGACAAATCTTCTTAAAAGGAGCATACCATATATTAAAGAGCAGGGCAAGCAACCTAAGGCCCAATCTGGCCACAGACCGTCCGGGAATCAGTGTGTTTTTACATGAGTAGAATGTCTGCTTTTATTTAAAATGCATCTCTGGGTTATTTGTGGGGCATAGGAATTTATTTTATTTTTTTCAAACTATAGTCCGGTCCACCACATGGTCTGAAGGACGGTGGACCGGCCCACAGCTGAAAAAGGTTGCTGACCCCTGTTAAAGAGAGTAGAATAGAGAAGCCAGGTCAAAATACAGTTGTGATGCACCTTTCACTATTGTTGCCTCATAACTGTCTGCAAGCCACAACCTGAAAAATGTATGCAATGCCTTAGCCCTTTGTTCTTTATTTTATTTGCAGAATGATTTGAAGATCTGCCTGGTAATAAACTATTTCATGGGTTTTTAAATAATGAATGCTCTGCAATAATTCAGCACTGAGTTTCATAAAAGGCCAGCTGGAGGTAATCGTTCAATACTGCATATCTTAATTTGAAAATAAACATTATCCAGAAGAAAACATGGCCACTGGGAATAATAAATTATTATGAAAATGATCAAATATATTTATTTACATTCTTTATCTGAATCTGTTTCCTCCGAGCAAACCATGAACTATAAATCCAAGAACAAACTTTGGTTATAGCTTCGAGTTTGTCTGGAGTGAGACAAACCATGAGCCAGAGTTTGAATGAAACACTAAGCCAAACCGCATTGGCTTAGCTCAGAGCAGAGCAATGGCAGCAGGGCCAGAAGAGGAGCAAATAGTGAAATCTCCTAGTAAAAAAAAGTCTGAAAAGACCAGAAAGCAATTTAGGTATTAAAGAAAACCTCATTATTTGGTTCATAGTCTACTGAAATATTTACTGTATGTGTTCAAAGCAAATAAATATCAGGCAAATATGAGTATATTTCTTTTTAAAAATCAAATGGTCCTAAAGGATTTTTTTTAATGCTATTTTGATTTCATGCTCATGTCAGCCCAGCACTGTCAGCCCAGCACTAGCGAGCTCATTTTAAGAGAAAAATGCAATTTGAGACATACTGTCCATTTCCGTCTTGGATGTCGACAGCATTCTGTGGTTCTGCATTTCCTATCAATAACCGCAGACATTCCGAATGACCATTTGTAGCTGTAAAATATTAACAAATAAAACATTAAAATCATTAAACATCAAATTATTTGAAAAATTATAATTTCTGTTTTAAGACTGTCAGAAGGTATTACTGCATTAAAGCATAAAATACATTTTTGCCAGTGATGCAACCACATTCCATTTATCCTAAGGGTGAAATAATGCAAATTTTGGCTGACAAATCTGGATTATCTAAAGACCTTAGGCTTTAGTGGAGAGGGCAAGAGGGAATGGCTGAGATTCACATCACATAAGGGAGTAACTTGCAACTTACAGGATTTGTTTTGCCTGGGTGGGGATTATGTGATCAAGAGGGTTGGGTATAAATCTTTAAAAATAAACTAAATAAAAAAATAGACTGAGGATCCCAAGTCACCCAGAAAGCACACACATCTTATGTGCTGGGCTGCTGCTTCTTCATGTTATCCATGCAAGGCTACCATCAAAGCCCAAAGCTTAAGGGAGACCAGAAAATATAACCACATACAATTCACTGCTCTGGGTGCCTGAATATTTTTGATAACTCAAAACCTCCGCAAAAACAAATGGACAAGGAAAGGAAGGAGACAGAAGCTCCCAAGCCAATGTAGTTAGAGATGTGGAGGCCTGGATTTAACACCTCTAGTTATAAAATAGGGTCCAATAAAACCAAATAAAATAACCAGAGTAAGAGCAATATAACATATTGAAAGCAATTTTTGTAACTATCTGCTTTTTAGAAACAGCAGAATTAGATAATCTGTTCTCTATTTGTAAGACCACTTGATTTAAAAAATAATAACAATTAAGCGGGGGGGGGGGGATTTGTTAAACAAAATAAACAAATTTCCACCCTATTTACTACTTTTCTGCTATGGTTTAAAAATGAAGTGTTAAAGGTCTTACCTGCAGCATGTATTGGTGTTCTCTTTACAACATAGTCTTTCACCAAAATAGATGCCCCCTGATTAATTAGTACATCGACACATTCAACGTGTCCTTTAAAAGCTGCAAGATCCAATGGCGTTCTACCATTATTGTTCCGGACATCAAGATCCAACAAAGACTGTACTAATACTTCCAGAGCTTGATGGTGTCCATGATAGGCCTGAGAAATGTTACAATTTTAGATAGATGGAGACATTACAGTGATAAAAATGAATCAGATTTGAGACAAAAATGTACACTTTACAAAGATATCTATCAAATGTAGCCCAGGTTTTAGCAAGCGTAAATAATTATTGATGCATAAACGAACTCAAAGCACAAGTCAAAATTACATTAAATCACCCAATGCAAAGGTATGTTTATTTTCTAAAAGGCCAATAATCAATATTTGGTGAACTAAATACTTACAGCTAAGTGCAATGGACTAATTGGTGCCCTGTTGTCTGAATCATTCAGCATGTCTGTTCCAGATGTTTCCATTAGCTAAACAGAAAAATATACACGATGAAAGTCAAATTATTTTTAAGCTGACATACATACTTCAACAATGCATGGTTGTCCCAATCTAAATTCGTTAACAGAGGGAAATACCAATGTGAGGAATTTGTATTTTAAAATAAAAACATGCTTGTTAAGCTCTTGTAACAAAAACAAGGAGCTTACACTTAAACTTTTCATTCCCCCCCCCGACATACTATAAAACACATTAGAAAGACTTGATGTTAGCAAAGTTTTTTAGCTTTTTTTTAAGATCAGTTAATGGTTATAAGCCTCCAGGAAAAGACTGGGCGAGAAATGGAAGCATATGAGAAGGATGTTCCTTGGCCTGGTTCACATGTCACAGTAAGGCAGGGTATGGTTTACTGTAACTGCATGATGAATATGCTGGCTCCTGGCGAGGAGCTGACACCCACTTTCCTGATTCCCCCAGGCTTTTTCGGTCACCAAAGGATGGCAAGCTAAGCCAAAGTTGGGCTCAGCATGTCATCCCAAGCCAGGACTGTGATAAACGTCTCTTCTCCCTAACCACGACCTGTAACCATCGGATGACCCTCTGCTACAAGGGGAATGCTTACCGTATTTTTCACTCTATAAGATGCACTTTTCCCCTCCTAAAAAGTAAGGGGAAATGTGTGTGTGTCTTATGGAGCGAATGCAGGATGCGCGGCTATCCCAGAAGCCAGAACAGCGAGTGGGATCGCTGCACAGCACTCCCTTTTGCTGTTCTAGCTTCTGGCTTAGCCACGCAAAGCCTCTTCAGGGCACAGGGAGCCTTCATCCTGCTGCCCTGAGGAGGCTTCACTTGGCTATCCCAGAAGCCAGAACAGCAAGAGGGAGCGCTGCGCAGCTTCTGGCTTAGCCCCTCTGTCCCTTCCCCCACCTCCCGGAAAAGCCCCCAAGAGCCGCGCTCCCTTTAAAGAGGCACACGGAGCATGTGTGCAACTCTTGGGGGCTTTTCTCCCTCCTCAGGGAAAAGCCTGCAAGCGCCACACACACGCTCCACGTGGCTCGTGAAAGGGAGCGCTGAGCAGAGCCTGGGATGCATACAGGCTCTGCTCAGTTCTCCCTTTAAAGAATATTTTTTTCCTTGCATTCCCCCTCTAAAAACTAGGTGTGTCTTATGGTCAGGTACATCTTGTGGAGTGGAAAATACGGTAATTATGACCCCAGCTTTGGACAAAACACTAAGCCAAATCTTGGCTTAGTTGCTGTGCCACATTAACTTTAAAAGCTAGAGCAGTGTTTCCCAACCTTGGGCCTCCAGCTGTTTTCGAACTACAATTCCCATCATCCCTGACCACTGGTCTTGCTAGCTGAGGATTATGGGAGATGTAGTCCAAAAACAGCTGGAGGCCCAAGGTTGGGAAATGCTGAGCTAGAGCATCAAAGTAGCTGCAATATCCTCCACGGGAGCTGCACGATCATGCTATGCTATGGTTTGGCTTAGCATGATGTGTGAATGCAGCCTTTAAGGAATCAAGCTGAATTAAAGAAGCAAGAAAACTACATCACGAAAACTGAGCTAAATGAGAAACAAGCAGCAATTTGTGGTTTCTTTAACTTGCCTACTTGTATCACCAGGATCACAGTAGACAACATAAAAGCTATCTGAATGTTACTAATTAGCTTCTTTGGAAAACAAACTAGAAGAGCCATATGTTTTATTCTGAGTCATTCAACTTTTAGTTAAGTATCTGCTGAATTTCCAGTATAAATAGTGAAAATGTCAAACAAAATTAGGCTATAAAGCATTCTGAATATTTGCAATAAATATTTTACAGCAAATGTCTTTATACTTACAACATCTAGAGGTGTTTCACTGGCAATCTGCAATGAAATCCACACTTTAGATAATAGTTGCTAAAAATGTGAATTCAAAACTCCAAGTTTTTTATTATTCTTCAGAAAATTCATGGTTCTGAATTTAAGTTTATAAAACAGCAATTGTAATTCAAATATGTACATATCTTTGCAGATATGTATTACGCTTTGTATCCCAGGTTTGGTATGCAAATCATGCATGGAACTATCTATAATATCCTCAGTGAAATTAAAGGCAACAATCCAAATGATTTTGTTTGAAATGGACTTTACATACTGGCCAAGATTCAAAGAACAATGCTTGTTCTGGGCTTCTGTTTTTTAAACAGCATGCCACACGGCAATCACTTTTCAAACTGTATGGAATATTCAAAAGCAGATTGTATTATGGTATTGGCATCTACAGTTCAAAGAAAAAGGAAAAAAATCACGTCAACATGTTTAATAAGTAATAAAATAATAGTTATTTAACCAAGCTTTTTGCTAACTGACACCTTTTTAATGTGGAAGAGGGGATTATTGGATTGTCTTTGTTTTTGTTATGTGATATATATATATATATATATATGTTGTGTACCACCTTGAGATAGAGGGTGGTATACAAATTTAATAAATGATAATAAAATAATTAAGGCTTCAGAGAAAGCTAAAAGTAGCTTTTCACTCTTGTTTTTCTTTGTGAATGCTCAAGGATAAGATAATAAATTTTATTTTTCATGATTATCTCTTTTTGTCTTTTAAAAAAACTGACCTACATGTATTTCTAAGATTTCTCACACAATCTTTATTTACTGGTCAATGTCCTTCACAGTAAATTATCTTACCAATTCAAGGCATAAGCGATGACCATAAGCTGCAGAATAATGAACTGCATTGTATCCTTGCTTGTCTCGAATCCCTGGATTTGCATCATTTCTTAATAAATATTCCAGGCACCTGTACAAAATGAAATGGCATTTTAATCTTTAATCAATGTCTTCTTCCCCATACATGGGTGATTCACTCATTCAATACATTTAGATACTGTTGCTTGTCATAAACAATACAACAATACACTATAAAGCATTATATAACAAATGTATCATCATCATTATCACAATTAATTATTGAATTTGTGGCCCAATCATCCTTCACACAAAGCTTAGAATGGCAAAAAGATACACAAGCTAAAAACAAAAACAAAATTTTAAATGCTTAAAACATTCTAAAAACAATTACAATTCAAAACATCTATACATATTAAGACCAGCAGTAAATTCCATAACAAGCCAACTGAAAGCAGTCCTCCCTTACAGAAGGGCAACACTGCACTGTCAAAAATGATTGGAGACAAATGACTCAAAACAGTGGCAGAGGAAAGAGGCCCCAGGAAGGCATGGGCATGGAGGAGGAAGGAGTCAATGAACACAGACAGCTTATCAGCTGGAGATCTCAGCTTCTGGGTCATGTGGCCAGCAAGACTAAGCCGCTTTTGGCAAACCGCTTTTGGCAAACCAGAGCAGTGCATGGAAATGCCATTTACCTTCCCGCCGGAGCGGTACCTATTTATCTACTTGCACTTTGACGTGCTTTCGAACTGCTAGGTTGGCAGGAGCAGGGAACGAGCAACGGGAGCTCATCCTGTCGCGGGGATTCGAACCGCTGACCTTCTGATCGGCAAATCCTAGGCTCTGTGGTTTAATCCACAGCGCCACCCGCGTCCCATACACAGCATACTTCAGCACAGATTGTTCTGGTCTAAAAGAGAGTGAATGCATCCACGCGTGTACAATTTTCAGAAGTTTATTAAACTTATACTGTACTACCTTGGTTTGCAGGGGGACAAGATGAGATACTTATAATATTTTTGTGAATAATTGGTTGGGGGCATCACACCCCTTCCTCCTCAGCTGTGTTCATTCCCAAAATCACTTCCTGTGCCACAATTAGCCGGGGCAGGAGAGGAGAGCTTTGTGTTGGGTACAATTAATGACTTTTCCCAGTGCTATTTTTCTAGAGAAAGAGGTGCTGGAATTGAGTTCTGACGAGTTCCAGCTGGAAAAAAAGCCTAATTAAAGCAGGAGAGTCCTAACAGGTACAGCAAGGAAGGCGTTGGCGGGCATATGTATATCTGCACTGCCAGGTTGGCAACCCCCAGAACTGTCCTTTGTCCCCACTGTGTATTCCAGTATATTTACAGCTCTGCTTCTTAGTAACTGCGCTAGGGGTGGACAAAAATATTACTAATTATACCTAATATGTATAGTTTTATCACCATATCTGTTTGGTGTTTGGAGACATCTATGATACAATGTCTTGAGTCTGCCAATCCATCCCTTTGCTTTAACCATGAAACAAGCTTGTAACAAAAATAGTTAAACTATTTCCTGATTAACATGGAATTGTCAATGCAATAATATCTTATTTCTGTGCAAATCCACAAACAGAAAAAAAATTTTTTAATCAATGTTTACTTACTGCCGTGTCTTTATCAGTAGTAATTAAATTGTTGAATAATGACTCATCAGCTATGGGTCACAGTCATTATTCGCTTGCTGGTTCTACAGAAATCTTTTTCCCCTGTGTCTATGACTTAGCTACTCACAAACAAAACAGATCAATGTTTGTGGGAGAAAAGTACCGTAACTTGACTGTCAGTATATACTAATCGCTTCTAACAACATACCCCCATTAAAAAAACAAAAAACTGCACGGCAAATTTCATGCTACTAGGGGGTTTGAATATTAAGATTTCTAAACAGTACCATACTTACTTTCCATCAGTGTCTGATGCAGCTGCATAGTGCAATGGTGTACAACCCCTTTCGTCGAGGTCGTTGACACTTGCTCCAGAACCCACAAGGGCAAACAGGCACTGGTAATTACAATTGGCAGCAGCATAATGGAGTGGAGTTCTATGGCATAATTTGAGAGAGAGCGAGAGAGAGAGAGAGAGAGAGAGAAGGAGGTGTGATAGTACACATTAAAAAACTAACTCTAACACATGAACATCTGACAAAGCTACTGTAAAACCATTTATATTTCCAATGTTTCTTTTTTGCAAGTAAGCACTTCAATGTGTGTGCTTGATGGTGGTTAGTACATCCTCGTCTTATCACAGTCTCTGTGATACTGCAAACTCAGGGTTGCTGACCCGCAGCACTCTAGATGTTTTTGAACTACAATTCCCATCTCTAACTATGGCTGTGCTGGGTAGGGCTGATGGGAGTTGAGAGTCCCACCAACATTTGAAGGGCTACAGGTTAGTCATCCCTGTTGTAGACTCTGGGCTGGTTAGGATGATCCCCACCCACCCTAATTGCTGTGGGACCCCACCTCTTCCCACATCCAGGCCCAAAGGATATCCATCGGCAGCACCACGTTTTCACATCGTCTGCAAGTGAAAATCTATCATGCATAAGCCCAGACAGCACAGTGGAATCCCATATTATGTAAAAGATGTTGGCCATAAGATTCAGATCAACAAACATTATATTTTGTGTGTATAGTTCCTATGCAAATGCTTTGTTAATGCATGTTCAGCAGCCCAATAGCAGGTCAGACACAACCTTTTGTTCTGGTTTCACTTTCCCATTGTGCAGAGAGAGAAAAGACAAGATTGTTTGAATCGGCTGCTAACATAATCAGTTGTTTGTCCAGGAAAAGAACTTGGGAGTCAAGATAGAAAGAAGGGGAAAACAGCAACCAGCTAACTAACAAGAGTATGCAACACCTGGAGACTATAATCCCTACTCAAAATTTCTCCAAACTTTAAGGAATTCTAGATGCAGACCAGAGTTAATCAAGTTGTTGGGCCAGATAAAAACATCACACTTGACTCAATATGCCCATACATACAAGTGGAAAACTCGTAATAATCTAAAGGCATCAAATAGAAATCAAACAGAAGAATAACAGAAGAATAATCTTTTAGGCTTAAAAGGGTGCATTTGTGAATGTTGTCATAAATCTCTCTTCTCAGAGTACTTCAGGGGTAAAAATATGGGTTGGAAGTGCTAATTTCATCAACAGCTTGATCAAATGAAGCTTTAAAATCAGATTGTAAGATTTAATTTGAAGGAGAGATGAAAAGCAATCAATTTCTTCCAAGCTATTGACATTTATTGGCAAATAATGGAAAGAAGGGTAAAATTGGGACATTTCCTGAATGTACTTGGTTGATTTACTGAGAAGATATTGGATATATTATTTGTAACAATATTTATACTTAAAATTTATCAATATGCCATGGTAAATTTTTATCTATTTCAAGTAAAGGGTAGAAATAAGTCTGAAACTTTGTACTTGATCAGTCTTGAAATTTACCAGTAAATATCAGAATACTTGGACATATCCCAAGAGCCTAATTACACTGCAGACAAGTAGATTTCAATGGTAAATGAGTGTCTGTTTATATAAATATATAAAAGCAGATACAATACTAAGTGCAAGGGTGGAAGTGACAATTTCAGTGCTTTTCATAAACAAGGGAAAGAGCATGTAATTAGACACGGGTGGCAAGTAAACTATGCTTATTATTTAACATATCCTGCACATTCAAAAGGAGCATCATGTTTTACCTTCCAAATTTGTCTTTCTTATTGAAGTCTGCACCTGTGTTGAGCAGCAGATTTAGGCATTCCAAATTCCTGAAAGTTTTAGAACATGCTTCTCTTAGTCAGACTTCTCTAAAAACATCCCCATGCAATGTCACCCACGATAAATCAGAATCTGTAGTTTTCTATGAAACTAGGCTAGGATCCAAAGGATTACAAAGTGTTCCATATGTCTTTCAGCCATATTCCTTAGGATGGCACCTCCTTAAAAGCTCTCCACCCAACCACCAAGGAACCTTAGGGTGAGATGGCAGAAGTGACTGAGACCAGAAGGGAAAATTGCTTGTGCATGGGCTTCTCAGAATTTTAGGCTCTTAGCCATTGTAAGGAATCTTTTAACCAAATAGCAATATCAAACAACTACCAATAAAATAATGCAATATATAGTTTTAACTTCTTTTAATCACAAGCAAATAAAGACCTGTAATCATGGAAGGGAAATAAAGGGCCTTTGAGAAGGACCCAGATAAGCTAGATCATTTAGGCTTGATTTTGTTTTACAATGCTTCAAAACCAGGAGTTCGTGAAGAAAAACTTGTTCATAGCTACTTAAACCCATAATACTGTGATATTGTATTATTTTTTATTCTTTGATGGTATCCCTGAGATTTCATGGAAGAGTGCATCCAGTACTTCAGACCTCATTAAGTATAGTGGGATAGATACTAGACAAACCCCTTATTGCTGTCCATAACGTGTTAAAACTTCTTAAGCACAGAATAATAATAATTTCCAAGTATTACACAGGTAGTACAGATCATCTGACAGGCTAACTTTTCTGCTGCTGCTGAAAATCCTAAATTTTAAGAAGTTGCTAAAACTGTACATACCCTCCAGCTGCAGCAGCATGAAGACAGGTCCTGCCAAAATCATCTGGAGTATCTATGTCAAAGCCTACAAAAGAAAGGCATTATTCTGTGAAATCACCTATAAAGTGCATCTCTCTGTCCAGTTTGGCAGGGTACGCTATGAAGCAAACTTCCTTATATAGTAACTGTAGCACGAATTGTTACTTCTACGCAATAAATTAATCCCCCAAAGATGTTCTGTTAATGTATAAAAAAGCTAGCTTTAACCCCACTTTTGTAGCATTGCTGTTGAGCCTTCTCAGACATAGTGTTAAACCATGTCTTAGCATTATGCACAAAAGCTTGAGGGTAACACATTTCTTGCTATCCTCTGGCACAGCTGCAAAATATCAACTTTTTGCTTTTAAACTAACGTGCAGCTTCCTAAATGTCCAAGTAAGCTAGGCTCAAGCTGTGGTTTATAATCCTGACTTGCTCATAAACCACAGCTTAAATTAAACACATTTTTCCTGAGTTTGGATGCAGCAGTGTGTTGTGGTTAGTTTAAAATCAGAAGTAAATCTTCCTTATAGCTGCACCAGAGGAGGTATGTGGGGAATGAGGAGAGCATGTGAGCGCAAAACTTATTTGCATAACAGTAAACCTGGCTCATTGAAAACAGTTATGCCTTCAGATTCCTTCTGCTGCAAGTACTGCTTTACATGGGAAGCAAGATATCTGGGAATTATCCCATTTCTAGCACAAGATGCCTAAAAGAGAAAGACTGGATGTGTTTAAAAAAAAGGAAAGAGGAAATCAAGTTTCCAAACCATACAATCATTGTCCATCAGCAAGAGAGGTTCAGAGTAAAATAAGATCAAATATTCAAAACCAGCCAAATGTCTACACCATAATATAATGTGGGGGATATTGAATTTTGCACACTAAAGATGAAGGGGAAATATTTCTTGGGAATTTCGATTCCAGTACATGCCAGAAGGGCACCTATGTTTCTGGAATAACTTTTCCATTAAAGAAAGAAAGGCAAGGTGAGAGTTCCATCATTCTAGAGGGTACAACCCGCCAGCAGCTTCCAGACCGATATGCAAGGAACTTAAGACTAGAATCAGCAGATGTTGCTTTCTAACTAGGACAATCCACAGACCAGAATATCTTACTGTTACCCACTGAACAGACCCTGACCTACGAAACTGTCATAAAGGCAGTCACTTGATTTTCATTGAATTATGCATCACGCTGCATACGAGGAGCAAGTTTTCCTCTGACCTTGCACTGCATTTCAGAGGTTTAGTACAAGACGATAGGTAAAACACTCTCGTGGGGAGGGGAGACGTAGCGACAAAAAATTGTTACTTGGCCAACAAGACCAGCTAAAATTAGTTGGCACCTGTTTAAGGTGGAACTCCCTATCAGAGCTGCAAAACCAAGAAACTTAAGTCAATTGATTTCAGTGGGCCTACTCTGAGTGTGATTAATGCTGGATATCAACTATTGAATTAAACCCCACACACAAGACATGTAGAGTAGAGGAACTGCATGGGGACAGAGCTTGCTCACAATCCTCCAAACCACGGTTTGGAAAATCATCTAACTATAGGCACAGTCTTTTTTAAATCACTTTTCACTACAGTGTGTGCTATCAAGATATGGAATAGCCACTATTCCTTAGTTTTATCTTCCTTAGTTAGTTAAGAGTTTATATCCCACGCTTCAGAGTTTATACGCGTAGTGGTTCAAAAGAGTATTAAAACAGAAAAAAACACTGAAGATGGGTTTTCCTTTTAGCGATTAACTGTTGCTTTTGTTTGTTAAAATAGAAGCATTCATTATAATATATAATATAATATATAATATAAAAATATATCTTTACTGAACTTTTATTACATGCGTACCCCTCAGAAAGTTAATTTTAAAAATACCATCACCAAGAATAGTCCTTGATCTGCTGACGGCTCTAGTTATATAATAAAAATTGTAGCTTCCAACTCCAAAACAATAACTCCATTATGCCTATCAGGGAGTGTGAAGAGACTTGGAAGAGTAATACTGTACACTCTTTCTACCAACAGTTATAATTTTATACTAATATCACCAATATCAATGACCAAAAATATCTAACAGGCTCTGTCTAACCATTAAAAATATGTATCTGACTGAAAGCTTTAGAACGATGGAGTACATTACCTCACAATAAAACTACTCAGTATGTATTCACAGGACTACACAACATTTGCTCTGTTTTCTTTTTATGAAGACCTACCATATTTCCGCAAGATATTGGATTTCAAAATGAGTGATATGGACAACTGTATAGAACTGCAACTGTTTCATAGCTATAGCAGACTCAAAACTAACAACATACATATAATGTAGGCATTTCAGGGTCAGGGGAACATGCAACCATTCTAATCTATAAATCTAAACAACATATAGCTATTTATCATTGAAAATTAAAGTTCCTAAATTCAAACTAGTTTCACTCCAAAGGAAACATTTCTCTGTGTCATTGAATTCATCCCACCACAAGAAAATATGGGATACACTATCTAATGTATCAATTAATGAAATGAATCAATCAATCACAGATAATATAAGGGATGTAAATTTTTCAGAGATTTAATACATATATTATCATCAGTGCTTTTTTTTCTAAACCAAAGGGTGCTGGAAGGCACCTCACTCAGAAGACACACTCCAGAGCCCAAAGAGGATATCTATGGGCTTGTGGGGGGGTCTCCTCATGAGCCAGAGGAAGCCTTGGTCAGGCTCCGTTCATGAGGCTACCTCAACTGCCTTTGACCAGGCATGGGATGGGAAGAAGTTGTGGCCCACCCACCTGCCCATATCAAGGCAGCTGATGCACAGGCAGGTAACTTCTTTAAACTGCTCTGTTGAGCGATGTGTGACTGCTGGTGCCGTAGCTGAGCAGCTTGTGTGAGCCAGAGTAGCATGAGGGCTTGCCCAGCTTAGGAATGGCTTAATTGACTAATACAGAGCACAGAGATCACTTGGGCAATCATTCAAAAAATAAAAGGTAAGGTAAAGGACCCCTGGATGGTTAAGTCCAGTCAAAGGAGCTCAGCCCGTTGTGTGGATTCAATCTGTCGACCTACCGATTGGCAAGTCCAAGAGGCTCAGTGGCTTAGACCACAGTGCCCCCCTGAATGCAAGCCCCCATATATCTGGGTGCAGGACAAGACTGAAAAAGATTGCATACTGCATTCTGTCTCATAACTAAAACAAAGCAGATTTCCACCACTGGACATTTTATGTGTAAACAGTGAGTGTTCACACCTTTTACATTTAAACTCATCTATGAAGCATCTGAAAAATTCAAGAGCTGGAATTTGTTATAGCCTGAAAAGTATTAATGAGATTCTCTACAATTAATTGCAGATGTAGTACAGTACTTTTTGGTGCATCAGCATACAAAAATGAACTTCATGGCCGAGTGAGAACTTGAACCAAAACCTTGCTACTATGAGTCCACCCCTTGAACCATTATATTGTCAATTAAAATGTCAAACAACCAAAGGTTAACAGGAAAAGGGTTTAAAATTATTTTGAAGAGCCTACCTGAAGACAGCAGCTTTCTGCAACAGTCTGAGAATCCACTTAATGCTGCCAAATGGAGAGGAAACATTCCATGTATACCCCGCCTAAGATACACCATAATCAGACATCACAGTCTCATTATAATAGAAGTAATCCAAGCCAAACTCCTTGTATATAAGGTAGCATTTAACTGCCCTTGTTAAAATAATTAAAGAAAGTAACTAATACATTCAAATGTAACGGTTCAGTCTAAATGTAGAGAATTCATTCAGAATGAGAGCCAAATAAAAATTGAGCCTTATCTATTTTTACATTAGAAATGCAGAGGCTGTCTTATTTTAACCAGCATACACAAAGCAACATGCAGCATTTTTAAAAGTTTGATTAAATTACAGAAATTTTATTAAGACCTTTATGCAAATTCTTCTCCACAGATGTTTACTGTTCTGTAACCAGTGTAATACTGCACAAATTCTGGATTAATTTTTTGTATAATATTGAGTTAGGTTTTACAGAGGCAGTTTGACCGGTTTTTGACTAGATATACATTATATGGGGTGAAGTTGTATCTCTTGCTCATGTTCTAAAAAGGGACAATACTACACTAAGATGCATAATCAGAATTAACTTATCACACACACACACACACCAATATGAACTTTTTAATGGATATATATTTAATTTTGATGTATTATAAGTGTTTCTTACTTTGCAGTGTCAGCACCACTTGTAATTAATGTGTTGATGAGCAGTTCATGGCCATATCTGGCTGCTATGTGCAAAGGTGTATTTCCATTCTTATCTTCACAATCTATTTCAGCTCCTAAAAAGTAAATGTAAAATAAAGTGTAACCATATATGCATGTGTGCTCAGCAGCATACAGGTTGTTAAACAAATAAATTCACATTTTAGATTATCAGAAAACTCAGAAATTTTCAAAATGTCAAATTGAGTCCAAGGTGTCTGAAGATCCTGAAATGTAACTAAAGGCCACTTGCCATGTTAAGAACAGGCAGAAAGTGGAAGCACAAGAAGTATGTGTTGTTGTTAAATTTGTATACTGCACTATAATGGTAAAGGACCCCTGGATGGTTAAGTCCAGTCAAAGGCGACTATGGAGTAAGGTGCTCATCTTGTTTTTCAGGCTGAGGAAGCTGGCGTTTGTCCACAAACAGCTTTCCAGGTCATGTGTCCAGGATGACTAAACTGCTACTGGTGCACGGAGGACCGTGACAAGTGCCAGAGCGCACGGAAATGCTGTTTACCTTCTACAGCAATGGTACCTATTTACCTACTCACACTGGTATGCTTTTGAACTGCTAGGTTGGCAGAAGCTGGGACAGAGTAACGGGAGTTCACTCCGTTGTGTGGATTCGAACCACCGACCTTCCGATTGGCAAGCCCAAGAGGCTCAGTGGTTTAGACCACGGCGCCACCCGCAGGTCTCAAGGCAGTTCACAGGATAAAATCACAACATAAAAACATGAAATACACAATCAAAATAAAAACAATACCCCCCCAATAACCAAGTAACTCCCCTTTCCTTCCTGCTAATGCTGATAATGAGACTCCATGATATCCTTCAAAGCAACTATCAGAAGACTTCTGGAGGTCACAGATCTTACTATAGGAGAAAACTGAATCATAGACTTGCGGGATGGGAAGGGACCCCAAGGGTCATCTATATACTTGCCATGAGAAAAGCAGCACTGTTTTTGTGTGTGTGTTTTTAAAGGAAAATGGAAGTGTCTATGTTTGTGGTACTTTCTTTGATCCCAGGGCTGTGTGGGCTAATTTCAGAGTTCTAGAGAAATTTACTCTGAAAGCAAAGCTGTCAGTATAAAACATAAAACACAGGTTAACAGCATAATAAAGCCAACTAAAAGATGAGTGAGGGCAGGGCCCTCATAGCAGACTTATTTGCTTGACCCAGGTACTGGCAAACCTGGAAAAAATAAGTAGTTGCCTCCCCAGAGAGAATTCTTCCCCATCAGTTTTTAAGTGCTGTAGCACTAAATTAATGACTTTATATACCCGACTTTAACAGTGTTTTAAAATGCAGGATTAGTGTTATAAGACTGTAACAGAATCTAGACTTATAAAGGTGATGGAGCATACTGGAATTACAGGTTTTTAAATAAAGGAAAGAGTTTGCTATTGATTTAGTAACCTGAAGATTACAGAAACTTCAAATTTCTGAGATTCATATTTCAGCACACAAGGCAGACAGATGAAAAGGTTAAAGCTAGTAAATTAACTGATTTATTTAAAATGTCAAACCATATGCATCGCATGACAGTGACAGAAACATTAATATTTTAATATGTTTTCTTTTCTTTTACCATTCTGGATGATTGTTTGTGATCTTGAAAATCTTCCATGGATTGCTGTCATATGCAATGGTGTTTTTCCATCTTTACTCTGGGGAAAAAGAAGTCAACCCATGGCTACCAAGTCAATTGACAACATTAGATAGACAACTTCAGTGTTTTATTTTTGCTTCATTTATATTCCTTTCCTGCACTATTGTAACGTTGTGATAGAGGCTTTTCAACATTATAGTTTTGTAAATATTTGCATTATAACTGCACACAACAACACAGTGAGGCCCACTCTGAACTGTATGTTCAGGGCACTTGCTGTTTATACAACAATGACAGCAGACAATCTTTATCACCTAGCACCTTAGCCACATCCCCAAGCAAGGATGCCAGAATAGTCAAAGCAAGCTTTTCATTGTACACCTAAGGCACCCAAATCTGTTACACACAAATATTTCACCTGTGTCACCTGACACGTTGGTGTTGACCAGAAACCCACCAGCAATTCATTGCAAATCAGAAGCAATGCTCAATGGAACTATTCCATTCTGGAGGATACTGTATATTTTATATGCAACCATTCCCCTACAATCACATCTTAGAAGTAGGTCAACCTTAATGCATGAGGTAATTCCGATTTTTTGCTGAACTGCGACAAAGCATTTATAATCTGCAGCCATGATTAGCTATGCAAACATGAACAGAACGGTCAGAAAAAGAAACGTTTTCATACATTTAATATAGACAATGTGATAATAAAATACAAAGATAAAAATTCTGATTATTTAAAATACTGCATATATTAGCATTTCAAATGGTAAACTGCTTTGAGAGAATTGGCAGAAAGACAGCACATAAACAAAGTTAAACACGTAAGTAAATAAGCAAGCAAACAAACAAACTGGCATTCATCCCATTTCAATATTCAGAGAGTAATGTATTTTTCTCTTCCCCATCTCAAGAGAATGGGGATTGGGGGACAATTGTGGAACAAAGAATGGTAAAATATATTGCCAGCACTCTTTAGTTTTGGCTTACATTTCTATGTATCTATTGATCACCATTACAAAGTAAAACACAGGCCATTTCAATGAATTATTTTGTGTTATGTGGGGGGGGGGGTTCTTTATCTGAGCAATATACTCAGATGCACATTTTTTAAAATGTTCAGCTTTGTCTAACCTTATTTTTCATAACTTTCCAATAGTCAGTTGGAAGCTCTCTGAATTATTAAACTTTCTTCTTAGTCCCTTTTGTGTGACCTGTATGAGTGGTTCTAAAACGTTTTGGATCAAGTACAAACCATATCTACTTTGTTTTCATTGAGTGAACCACAATTACATGGGTGATTCTGTGGACAACTTGATCAAGTAGGGGGATTCCTCAGAGCCCCTTGGCAAAAAGTAGGCTTTAGAAAGTATCCTGGAAACCAATGAACCATAATCCTACAAGCTCTCCCACTTATTCACACAGTAAAATGCATTGAGCCGTGCGTTTGTTGAATATTAACATGTGCATATTATTTTATATTGCGTTTTAGGATGACGTGCATATTGATAATGCCAAGAAAATGTTCATAAATATTGTTACAGCATTTAAAATTCACCTTTCAGATCATTTTACCTTCATATTCACATCTGCGCCATTACAAACCAGAAGTTCTAAACACAATGCTCCATGGGTCGATGCAGCAGCGAAGTGTAAAGGTGTAAATCCCTTCTCATTCATTTGATTTACATTAGCACCAGAGTCTATCAGTTCATTTACTACAACATCTTGTCCATTGAAGCAAGCGACATGAAGAGGTGTATTTCCATATGCATTTGGTTCATTCATCTGTAGCGGAAAATGTGACGGGGGAGTCTTTCAAATGTTAAGTCCTTAGGCTACTTTTAGTCCATCACAATAATAATTTATATTCAGCAAATGTTATGAACAATATACCGTATTTTTCGCCCCATAGGGCGCACCGACCCATAGGATGCACCTAGTTTTTTGGGGGGCAAATAAAGGAAAAAATTTTTTCCTTTATTTCCCCCCCAAAACCAGGTCGGGGAACAGCGGGATGGCGGCGCTGCGCCTCCCCGCTGTCCCCCGAGCTTGTGGAGCTGCCCAATATCTGCACGAAGCCCGGGGCACGCTGTGCAGCGCCCCCCAGGCTTTTGGGTCCAGGCAGCTCTCCGCAAAGCGGTGGGAGAGCTTCGCGACTTCGCGCAGCTCTCCCACTGCTTGTGGACAGCTTCCTGAAGCCTGGAGAGCGAGAGGGGTCGGTGCGCACCGACCTCTCTCGCTCTCCAGGCTTCAGCGAAAGCCTGCATTCGCCCCATAGGACGCACACACATTTCCCCTTCATTTTTGGAGGGGAAAAAGTGCGTCCTATAGGGCGAAAAATACGGTACTTGTTCAATAAAAATGACAATTATTCATTGAATCTGAATCAAGGTGGACCACAGTCCAGTACCAGAAAATGTACTTTACATATGAATAGTCACAAGTTTAATTCCAGTTAAAAGGACCTCAGATTTGCAGGACAGAGGAAGGCTGCAGCTAAGTGAAGCAGACCACACTAGGCTACATGAACTATGGTATATGACTCATTATAAACCTTCAGATTTTCAATTATTAGTTACAAGAGTTTAGCTCTAATTGACATGTGATTACCCTTTCTTCCATCATAAAAATATAATACAATCAGTAAATCTGTAAAGTACTCTTCCAGAGTTCTGATTATCCTAGGCAAGTTGTAAAACTATAAATATATGGATGCATACAAGGGTGCAACAATGCAGAAATTAAGATTATTTTGTCACCTTCCTAATCCCTTCCCTGCTGTGTTATTTCTCTTTCATAGGCTGCCTGTTTTATACTAAGATGGTCTACAAGAAGGCAAGGCCTGTAATTAAAAAAATTAATTGTACAGTGGTACCTCGGGTTAAGTACTTAATTCGTTCCAGAGGTCCATTCTTAACCTGAAACTGTTCTTAATGGGAAGACCACTTTAGCTAATGGGGCCTCCTGCTGCTACTGCGCCGTGGGAGCACGATTTCCGTTCTCATCCTGAAGCAAAGTTCTTAACCCAAGGTACTATTTCTGGGTTAGCGGAGACTGTAACCTGAAGCGTATGTAACCCGAGGTACCACTGTATAAAGAACACTAACTATTCCAGAAACATCCTTTTAGAACAGACTAGATATTATGCCAGTACATACTACATACAATTCCTCAAAACCTGTCTTAACAATGTACAAAATAATGAGAAACAATTTAGAGTCATCTCTTACTCACATCAACTCCAAGATCCAGAAGATACTTGACTACACTAATCATTCCACTGGAAGCTGCAGCATGTAATGGTGTGTATGATTTTTTATCTTTACACGTAACTTCAGCACCATTGGCTACTAGCAGTTTTACAACATCAATATGACCTGAAAAAAATGAATAATTATATCATTTATTATACTGCAAACTTTTAACTGGGGCAGAGTTAAGGTCACATGTTTGAGATTATGGTGGTGTTATGATGACTGATAATAGATGAACACATTCAAGATTGCCCTTCTTTTTAACAGTGAGTTGCGGGTCTTATTCATTAAGTTTAAAAAGTGAAATCCAGTCCTTTTGATCTACCAGATCCATAAGCTAATGTAAGTGAAGGGGGCGGCAGCATTTTTTCCTTATTCTCCTTTTTGCAGCTCCCTTCCTCCCAAGTAGCTTGGTTCAACAGAAAGAGTGTACAGGCCCTGAGACCGATGGTGCGGTTTAGATTTAATCGGAACAATAAGTGCTTCACTGTGGTAAACCAAAGAAAGGACCACTGGTGCAATCCAAACCCTGCACACACCAGCCACAATTAGAAGGTTGCAATTGCCACACTTAATGCAAGCAACACCTCTGATTTGATTGTTAGCCATCCCTTGTGACTTGGATGTCATCCACTTAGTATATACTGCCTTGATTTGCTTTAACAAGACACCCTGTCTGCATTTTGTGAGAGGTCCAAGTGTGGTTCCCTTCAGAAGGGGCAAGACCACGCCACTAAAAGCAACATATTAACGTTGCAGATACCTTTGCCATTTTAAGTCCTGTGGTGATCTAAAACAACTCAGGCTGCCCCAGGAAAACTTACCCGTGTCTTTTGTTATGGGCTCACTGTTCAGACCAGGCCTTTGTGAAAATTCACTGATTAATTATTCCTACAACTGGATCCACATTGCACCCAGAGATTGTTCAGCTTTTTCATATCTCCCTAGAAGTCTGCTCCATGCTACTATTCTCCAGACATCATACCGCTGTGGTAAGTTCGCTTCTTTCTGATTTTTTGCTAGATCCCTTCCTTGTCCTTTTTCTCTCTCCTTCCCCCACCCCATCTTGATTTCCTTCTCTGAAACACACTTGTCTATTTTCTTCTCAGAAATGGACTAGTCAAAACTCCTGTGCAGAGAGGCACTAGGCTAAGAGAGTTCAATGGAAGCCAAATAAAAATTTAAAGAGGAACAACTTAAGGAGGGGCTAAAGCAACTTAACTTTCTATTATTATTATTATTATTATTATTATTATTATTATTATTATTTTCATTTAATATACAATCTTTACAACAAAAGACTTCACATCCAAAATAAAATCATATATGGCAAAACCTTGAGTCTCATGTTTTCATTTGTACTAATCTCTTCTCATATTTCTTTACTTTAGTATTCCTTAATATTTGTCTCCTTATTTTAATTCCTTATTTTCTATTTCTTAAATCCAATCTATATCTTTAACATTTTTTCAGTTAATACCCTCATCTCTCCCCCTCCCCAAGACCCATTACTTCCCTCCACCCGTGTGCGATCTTCTTTACATACATTATTTTTGTTTATTGTTGCGTTACTCGCTGTTTATATTTATTGTTCCATCTTTATTATGATATTATCATATCTCCTTGCACCCTTTAAGCTACTGCATATTAATTTTTAGTCTCCAAAACCAACTCTTTTCATGTAAACTTTTATGCATTCCCATTTTTTATTAATTTTTGGATTAGGACAACCTCTAACTGATGCTGTTAACCTTGCCATTTCCGCAAATTCCTAAATTTTGACTCTCCATTCTAGTAATTCTGGTATTTTGTCTGTTTTCCAATTTTTCGCCACTAGAATTCTGGCCGCAGCTGCTGCGTAAAGGAATACATTCCTTTTATCCTTTGGGATATTGCTCGTTACTAAGCTCAGCAGAAATGCCTCTGGTTTTTTAGAGAGTAAACTCCTGAGTATCTTTTTGAGCTGTTCATGTACCATAATCCAGAATTGTTTGACCACCTTATACCCCCACCACATATGATACATTGGAGATGCAAATCAGAGGTGGGGACAATGTAAGCAACTTAACTTTCTGAAGTTCCCCAATTTTTCAAGGATTGTGGTGGGTAAGGTGGTCTCATGGTTTGGGACAGGGGCAGCCCAACTAATTTTACTGCCTGTGCTGAAGCAGCGTATGCTACCTGCCCCCATTAAGTCAAAGTGCATTGTACCCAAGGCCCATCAAGTTCTGTTGACACCTCTCTTCGGCCTTCTTCTTCCCTATCTCTACAACAGTAACTAAACATACAGTCCAGACAATACTCGAGTTGCCTGAGGCAACTGCCTCACTCTGCCTAAAAGTAGTCAGCTCTACTAACATAGGGTGAGTGGTTATGTAGTATAATCCCTGTTTACTTTGCCTGTACGTTTCTGTGAAGGCACTTCAAACCACAAAGCTATTCATTTACTTTTAAACCATTCTATTCTTACTGCTAGCTCCTCTGAAAGGACAGTAATTATAAATTCCCTGAAGTAAGCAAGGTATTTGTAGCAAATGCAATTTGATCTGTAGCATGAAACCATCCCTAGTAAAGATCTGTTCTGTGAACGTTCTGGGTTCATGTGCATGCATGTATGGTCATAAAGGCAGAACTTGTTGCACTCTGCACCACCTTCCATGGTGTTCTGGAGGGTTGCCCAACTCTTTGGAACAGAGTGTGGGGTCACAGGGGGCTGGAGCAGAAAGTGGAGTCAGTGAAAATCACCACGCTTGTATTAGCAGACAACTTGACTAGATCAAAAGCCATTCCATGGCCCCGATTTTCATTCTATACTTCATCTCATACTTTCTTCAATATCTCAGAAATGTCCCTGTGTTATTTAGTAACATAGACATGTTTAATGAATACTTTGATCAATCACAATTGATTAAAAAGAAGTTAGTTAATTAATTGTTCTTTAGTTGGTGGAGAGTCCCAACCGATTCAATAATGTTTGTCTCTTTCATAGAAAATAATTTCTTTTTAGTACCATTAGGTGATCTTTTACATGTGAAAGATCCACAATGAACATGCTAGATGTATTTCTAATATTAGATGGGATTCATCCAGGAGAAAAGACCACCATAACCTTAAACCAGACATAGTGATGCAAAATTGAGACAAGGCTGGTGGAAAGCTCAGTCTCTTATCCACACCAAACAAGGATTGCACTGGATGCTCTGTGTTCATATGTGCATTCAAACTGCCTATGAGATTCCTGATCCAGGAAGGAAACAGCATGCAGAAGCCTGTTTTAAGAACAAAACCCTGAAACAAAGAAATCAGCCATGAATAAATTCCTGCCGGAAGTCAAGTAAGGAAGAACAAAGTGCTTTTACATACCCATGTAAGCTGCCCAGTGAATTGCTCGTCTGTCTTTCTTGTCAAAGGCATTGATATTGGCACCTCTAGACAATAATAAACTGACCATCTAAAATGAAGATAAGTTATATTTCTTAATATACATATTTATATTAATTTAAAGCATAATCAAAGTTGAATAAACCTAATGCCTGCACAGCACTTAAAACTAAAATGCATCTACACTGAGGGAGAAAGTTACTGATAAGCTTATGTGATCACTGCAGGATTAAAATAACCAAAATAAATAAGCTTCTATCAGTTTAGCTAGCTATTTGGATTTTCACTAGAACAACTTTTCAAAAACTATATTAAAAGTCACTGTTGAAGTAGTTTTTGCAACCCTGAAAAAGCAGAAGAATTAGGTGTGTCATCAAAAAATTGATTCTGATGGTTGAGGATTACATTAATAACTGACCATTACCAATGAACATTTTGCTACAGTACATGTGATGGAGACTAAAAGGCTTTAATTGGTTTGTAACTATAATGTATGTCTTCCCTTAATCAGCATTAAACAGTTTCAAGTAGAAAGAAAGTCATGAAGGCACATGACACAGGAACCTTGCTCTAGCTAAGTAGGTTTGGATGTTGACTGCCTGATAACCACGTTTACTACCCTGAGTTCTACAATGCAAGAAAGGCAGGATAAACATATCATTTTAAATTAAAGAAGGAAATATTTCTTTCCATACTATAAATAAAAAGCACAGTATTTCTGCAAGGCTAAAGTAAGCATGTTGCAGTTTTCTTTGCATGTAGCACTGGGATTAGGTAAACAGACCCCTGTTTGTGGAGGGACAGCTGGCTTGGGGGAGTCAAATATAAGAAGTCATCTGTACCTCAACATGTCCACTGAAGGCTGCATGATGTAATGCCGTTCTACCAGCACGGTCTGACACATTTACATTGCTGAGAAGTGGCACCAAGGCTTCTGCACACTTGACAGCTTTATTTGCAGCTGCTATGTGTAGGGGTGTTTGCCAATTTTTGTCACGGGCATTGACATCTGCTGAATGCTTCAACAACACCTGCACAGCATCCTATAAATAATAAAACACACACTTCCAATAAATAAAAAAGATTAGCAAAGTAACCTCCCAATTTTGTTTCCTTTGCAGCTTATCTTAACTCCCCACCCCCACCCCAATAACCTGCCTCCCACTTCAATTACCCAAGTATTCTTCCTATGGACAAAAATCAAAACTGGCATTTAAAATTCTTATATACTCTGCAACAAAGTGTCCAGAAGCATGTGATCAAATATCTATTCAAAGGCTTATAAAAGGTTTAATGAACGCCTTTCAGCAAGCAACAGGTGACTGGGTATGACAGCTTCCATACCAAGTTCCCCCTATATTTGTCTCCACTTCCTTGCCAGCACCAGCAGGAAAGAAGGAGTTGACCTTTTGGACAGGCAGGAAAATTCTTTCTAGTGTTCATAAAACTAGCATTGATAATTGGTCCCATTGATTGAGGGATTTAGAAGGTTGTGGGGTCCTGTGTTATTTAAGTTGCAAGGTTGTTTAATGAGAGTGGGCAATATAAAAATATGTTTGGGTATGAAGTCAAGTGAAATTGAGTTCTCTCCTCATGCCCTCTTTTGTGTGTCCCCCCCCGCAAAGTTTAACTTTTTTTTAGTCCCTTCTACAAACTAATGAGAAAGCAATGATTATTAATGTTTACAAATGTGTTTTATTTTCTGGCTATACTGACCTCTACTTTCTCCTTTTCTTAAATCTATATATGCTGCGCTTTTTCATTTATAAATTACAAAATGTGTAGCCCAGCTTTCCACATAAATTTTTAAATGGTCAAGGCAGCTAAAACCATAAAACACAAAAATAATAGCCAGCTTGGAACCCCTGATAATATGTGTTTATAATAAAAATAATAAAATATAAAATGAGCATTTGCAACCATGTACATTTCCCTGTGGGAACCTTGGCTGGTTCACTGGTCATCAAGGCAGTACCTGTGTGGGACTGAGGTTGGAATACTATATCTGCCCAACTGCAGGTAAATCAGTGGTATTTACTGAGTGGATATGTAAAGGATTGCACTGTGAATTTTGGTTACGCAGGGTGGAAGGAAGGGCTCGTTGTACCTAGACACACTCCTCTTATTATTTCATACAATGAAACCTGGGTCAACAGTCCTAAGTGTTATCTGAAACCAACATAACACCAAGTAGAGTCTAAACTGATCAAACTTTATCTGATATTCAGAGAAAACACATCCAGTTCAGACCATGAGTTTCCCAGGAATGTTTTAGCTTCAGAACTTTTCCTCTTAGAAATAATGCACGTGTAATAAAGAGTATTTAAAAAAATCAAAACAGAAGGCATTATGTATGTATTTTGCATTCTGTCCTTTTGTGTGACCTTGGCAAAAGCAGTTTAGGAGGCATTCGACTGCAATGATGTCCCAGCACAAAGGTGCAGAGCAAAAACCTTTAGTGCAAAAATTGGCACAATATTATTTTATTAATTTATGAATCCCCAAGGCGATCTACAGTCATACAATAAAAACAATTCAAAAAACCAACTACATATGGGTTTAATAAAAATATATACAAACATCTAGGACAGAGGCCTTTTGAAAAGTTTTTTTCATCTAGCTGGAAAAGCTTGGCAAAAAAAAAAAATCCACTGAAAGTACCAACAGTGGATTCTTATGTCCATAAGAATCATAGTCATTTTATGAATGTTTGTCACAGGTCCTCAGGGAGCCTTTGTAGGTTCCCTGCAACCTCTCTTTCCACCTTTAAGCAAGAAAAAAGCTGCGGAATAAAGACATGATGTGCATGTGTACTGTTCCCTCGGCCAAGCTCTGAGAAGAATCCATGTTCCTGTTCCAGCAGATTTTGACTACAAGCAGCTTCTCTGCTGCCACCAACTGAGCTATTAATCCTCTGGGAGGCTAGCTCTGAGCACCCTTATGCTGCCTTCAGCTGGTGACATGGCAAGTAGGATGGGAGGGGAAACAAAGACAAGAGTCAAATGTAAAGGTACACGTGCACTGATGGGCAGACAAGATGGCTTGAGGAGGGAACAAGGAGCTCATGGCAAGCACCAGAGTTGGAGGGAAAGCTGAGAAGCATCGGCAACACTGAAGAGCCTCAAGCTTGTTTCATTTCAGTTCTGAATTCTTTCCCATTTCAAAACAGAACAGTTTTCAACTGAACTTGATCAAATAACTGCTTGCAAAAATTGTGTAAAAGTTTGGGTGGCAAAAAGCAACAGGAGCACCTGGGTATGTTGGGAAGCAAAGCACTACCTGGCTCAGGCTACAACCACAGCAACCAGCAACTCTATTTCCACTGAATTCCTCCAGTCCTCACATGGGTCTGGGAAGCAATGAAAATGAAGACAACAGGCTACTAGAGCTGAATAGTGCTTTGCATTATGCTGCCCTATAAAAGTGCTTTTTAAAACCTGCAGGAGAAAAAGAAAACAAAAAGTGGTGCTGGGGTCGCAGAGTTTATGGGTCCTTATATTTCTGCCTCAAAGTCTAGTACTAAGAGTGTCACTGTCTGCAGGATTCTTTTGCAATAAAATGTATTGAAGAGTTTTAAAGCAAACCCATACCTCACTACATGATGCAACAGCTCTGTGTAAAGGAGTCAACCATTTGCTGTCTTTGGCATTAACTCTAGCTCCTGCAAATGGGGGGGAATACAAAAAAGGAATATTATTTGATACAAATTCAAATATCTAAATGACTATTAAAGATTAAGAAAAATAACATTAAAATATTCCTGCAGAGTAAATACAGATTGAGTGTAAACAAAATGTTTTTGCATATTGCAGTTTTTTTGTTTCTCCCTGACAATGACCAGAATTTTAATTTGTCCAACAGCCAGTTTCCTGAATTGTTCAGTACTGAAAGTAGTAACATAAAGCAGTAAATAAGCCAGTATGCTTGTTATCCCTACCTATTCAGTTTCTCTGACTAGAAAATTATTCCCTTTAATCCAGTTGTTTTTCTTTGATGATTGAGGATTAGCTCTATATTAAAACAACATACTGTATACACCCAGCTAATTGACAGTATTTCATGCCTGTTCATTAAATACTCAGGAATGCAGCACTTGTAGTCCCAAAGCAATACTATCAAAAAAAAATCAAAGATTAAAGATGCAATTCTGTGTATGTATATCTGGAAATAAGCCCCACTGAACACAATAGGACTTGCCTCTAAGTAAACATGCATAGCATTACACTGTAAGCAAACTAGACGACAGGAATTTTAGAGGAAGAATAGTAAGTTGTTTGGCTTCACCTTCTCCCACATTAAAACATTCTATGCCTATGAAGGAGAGACTAGTAGCAGCATCAATGTCAATTCCCATCAAATCTAATCTTTAACAGAAATATACACATACTAATTTCAGCATTTACAACATTAAAATGAAAATAGTACTCAGTGTCCCAGAGTATAAATTACATTATCAGAAAAACCTCTGGGAACTAGTTAATGGACTGCCTGCATAACACTAGAACAGATGCATGCATTAATCTTACGCTAACATTTAGAGATGAAATGGCATGTCTGTTAAAGAAAATATACTAGAGGTGGCCTGAGAAGGAAAAAAGGAGCAAAACTGTTTCCCTGGGTATTTGTTCCAAGAAAGGCACCATCCTTTTCCACATTATCATACTACTCAAACTTGAATATAATAATGATTTGCACCAGATGAAGTGGAACAGAAAAAAGGGGAAACACTTTTTTAAAAAGGAAAACAGGAAGCTGCCATATCAGATTATTTGTCAATCTAGCCATATCAGATTATTTGTCAGTCTAGCCCAGTACTGTCTATTCTGACTGGCAATAACTCTTCCAGGTCTCAGATGGAGAGGTGTTGCCTAGCAGCTATCTGATTCCTTTAACTTAAAACTCTAGATAGTCAACCTGACATCTACATTCAACACATGTGCTCTACCCCTCTCCTAAACAGCTTACTTATCAGTGAAACATCGAAGACAGGAGTAAACTTCCCTGGCACATATTGCTCAATTGTGCCAGCATTACCTCAGTTCCCTTCAACTGAACTGATGTTTAGCAAGCTTTCATTTATGCAATAATAGAAAATACTGAAAGTTGCCTCCATGACTGACGTTCATGTAATTTCAAATTTCAATTTCAACAAATGTTCACAAATAGGCATGGCCTAGCCTTCCTAAAAACATATTAGCAACAGAGAAACAATCTGTTTTCCATAATAGTATATCTTCTATTTAGTTCATATGTAAAATTAGCTACAAAAGGAATGATTTAAATAAAACAAAACTGGAAACTTTGTGGCTACACTATTTTTTTTAATATAGAAGCAGTATTTAAATAGTTGGCTAGCTATGCAATACTTTTAATAATTCTACTGTTATTCACAACAAAACAAAAATGGATGACCAAAACTTTAGTTTTGTGTGTACGTTAAACACCTGAAAGGTTAAATTCAATAAACGGATTGTTCATATCTCTTATCACATTTGCAGAACTTGTAAAATTATTGTTCCAGTCACACATCTTGTCCATAACCAAGAAAAGCACCATACCAGATAAAATAAGTAGCTCAATAATTTCTGCATCTCCCAGATAGGCAGCAGCATGTAAAGGGGTCCGCTTTTCATTATCCTGTTGTAAGAGGAGGAAAGATTTAATAAATAATAACAAGTGGTAGAAGCATTCCCTACAAATTAATTAAAAATAATGGTGTAAAGCAGCAGTCAGCACCTGGATTTACACTACGCATAATGGTGTAAAGCAGCTGGGCTGGATCTACACACATCAAAGAAGCGTTTCAGTTAAACACATTGCAAACTTTGCATGAAAAATTGGGTAAGCAAAAACAGAACTCCACAGCGTGGAGTGTTACAGTGTTAGAATGCATAAACAACACATATACTGTAAAGCGTTTTTTCTTTACCAATGTAGCCGAGTCCCTGGTGTCCACAAAGGCTTTAATTGGTGCCCATGGGCAGGTGTCCTAGATTCTGAGTTTTCATTTTAAAAAAGGATTTAGCCCTCCTAGAAATGTAGTTATGGGCCAAAATGTACAGGTATCTTCTAACCAATTTCTTTAAAGTGTGTGTGTGTGTGTGTGTGTGTGTGTGTGTTGCAGCCACCTTGTATATTTTCCTGATACTGAGAAATGTTCCCTATTGCTATTAGATAGCAACGGCATCAAAGTGTGCATGTGAAATCAATATTGTATAATGGTGTGATCTCCATGATCCTGAGCCGGAGGTCCTAGCTGACTTCCCATTGTAATCATAAAGTTGTTGGGAGTGGCTATCTAATCTTGTTATATGATACTCCCCATGGCAGCTGTTTTGTGTTATCCCACCCCTCATGGCAAGTATTTTGTGGGTAGCATCAGCAGCACTCACTCAAAATTCAACATGTGCCCAGTGGTCCATAAAGGTTGGTAATCACTGGTGTAGAGCTCTTTTTCAAGTACTGTATTTTATATTTTTAAGAAACACAGTTAACACCATAGCATCGTTAAACATCTTAGGTGATGAGTACAAATGTCCATTCCATAATCAAGAACACTTAATGTAGATTAGCAGCCAAGCAAAATACTCCAATCTCCCTTTTATAATCCATCAGTATGGATTTCCAGTTAATGCTTACCAATAGAATTGGAAAACCCTTCATGAGATGGAGCAATGCTACCAGTTACAAGCAAATTAATTTAAAGAGCAAAATAAATATTTGTTTGAATTTTTTTTAAAAAAGTTTCACTTATAGTACAACCCTATATCTACTCAGAAGTAAAAACCACTGAATTGAATGGAACTTTCTCCCATGTTAGGGTGTAGAACAGCGGCCTTAGTGCAATTCAAATGCTATATATTGAAACAAGCCCCAAAATTTATTTTTACTGGAATACTTGTAAATATATTAAGTCATGTCCACTCAATAACATACCATTATTTAACTTTTAAGAAAAAAAATGAAGAACTATTAACACTTCATTTTACTCATTTTAGCATACTAGAATAATAATAATAAATAATAAATTTTATTTATATCCCGCCCTCCCCAGCCGAAGCCGGGCTCAGAAGAGCTGTGGGTGCATATGTACTCCCTAAGGACTGTCACATCATTAAAAAAATAGGATTTAGTCTAGTTTTCACCAATATTGTATGCATTCCAGTTGCTGAATTTGACTTGTATTTTGTCCATTCATTATATATGTCTACTCAAAGTAAGCCTCACTGAGTTCAATTGCGCTTAATCTTAGGAAGGTGGATACAGGATTGAGCCTAATTAATTTTCTGAAAATACATTTCTAAAACGGGAAAATAGTCCATATAGGAATATAGTAATAGAAAATGATACACCTCACATCACTGCCTCAAACTGTAATGTGCTGTTACTTCCAAATATGCAAACTGCTCTTTGAATGTTCCTTCCCAATTACGGTAATATTACTTAAACCACTTTGCTGATTTGGATATTAGAACAAACTGTGGTGTGAGGAAATCAGGAAAAGTGAGAGAGAAGGAAGTTAAGCTTTCTCCTGATGTTCTAAACTGTAGTGTGGAGGACTGGGGGAAATGGTTTCAGTTTTCACAAACCAGAAAATGGAAGGCAGACATGAATGAAAAGAAGCGTCACAACAATTCCATGTGTTGTTTTCTGAATTCTGTATGCATGCATCTTCCAATATAAGTCAATTTACTTCACAAAGTGCAAATGAGAAACCAGAAAATCCAAGGCTACGTGCTAGAGGCCTTGACACTATATTGAATGATGCTTTGTAAATTCCTAGTTTCCTTCTAAGAATGTCATTGTTTACTAATCCAGACAAATGTTATTATTAGCATTAGTATTTTCCATGTGCTCTTTAGTGAAAATGCTCCAAGCCCGGCTTTAAAAAATCACTAATAAGTGTCCCTGCCTTCAGGCTTACACTCTTCAAAAGACATGAAATAAAAGAAATATGGGGGGGGCAGGGGGCAAGCTACACTCAGGCACTAGGTCTACACTACAAGTCTAGCAACCAGATGAAATGAAGGAGAAAGGACTTGCTAGTCTCTCAACAGAACAGATGGAATGACCCTGTTTCCCCAAATGCCCTTCTGCTACAGCCTGACAAAATGCAGTACTATCCTCACTAATTTTACTATCTTATCGTGGATCTAGGAGTTTCACAGCAGAATAAATATCTTTTAACAACATTGTTTTAAAACACTACTTTAAAAGATATTTCACTTCATCACTCTTAAAATACTGGACACAAACACAGCAAGCCAGGCAAGTATTCTTATTCCTATTCTGTTGTATGATCTTCCATTTATGTTTGTTTACTATCTATTTTTGTCATTCTTTCAGCAAGGTTCTTACATATCATATCATCATAGCCTCTGTCACCCAAAGGAGATAGGACACACACAAACGTAGTTTTAATAAAGGGAAACCAATCAGGAAACCCGGGTTTGTACTGATGCAGCCAACACAGGTGTTCTGCATTGCGGACCTATTAACATGTGTAATAAATGGCCACCAACTAGCACAGAAAACATCTGGTTTCTTTTTTCCATTCAATACTACTACCTCACGAGTTATTTTCTCCACAACTGCAGCAAAAACAAAACAGAATTTTGTTGTACCTTTAATAATAATAAATATGCCACTCTTTAAGATGCAACGAGATTCGCTATTGTTGCATAAGGAAGATCCATTTTCCCACTGCTTCCCCCATACAAATACCCACATTTTTTAATAAAGAAGCATCAACTCAACCTCCAAGGCACATGTTTGGGTGCAACTAGATATTTGCTATATTTTGAAAGCACCATTAGACTTGAATGATTACAACAATATTACTTTTATGCTGATATTTTTAATTTTTTTTACACAAGTTAACCTATGTGGAAAGACACCTGCCAAAGTTCTAAGGGGGTTACTGCAAACACTCATCAGCTGATCAGAGTGAACTCCCTTGAATGTGTACCCTTCAAAGGTGCTGCCTCCCTTTGACTGAATGGAGCAAGCTCCTTTGAAGGAGTGCTCTCAGTGCCAATCAATGAAACTTGCTTCTTAAATTGGAGCTTTCCCCTCTCTGCTTCAACATGAATCAAACAAGTCCCACTCGCCAAGCTCCTTTGTGGACATGTCTGTACCTCCCCTACACCTGACATCACATTATAATGACAGGTAGGCATGACCTGTGGGGGAAAGCTTTATGGGCCAAATTAGGACCCAGACCAGGCATAATTAAGCCCATTTGTCATAGGTTCCCCATCACTGTTGTAGACCTAAACTGTACAGGTCCAAGTAACTTTCACCCAAACATAGGAAGTTTTCAAAATTTGTTAATTTCTTTCGTTACAGTTTGAATTCAACATGCTTTAACAATATGCTAGAAGTGCTAGCTTCCACAAGTCTGATTCTTCTGGAACACACTGAGCTCAAAACTGAACATGTTATGCAACTAAGCAATAAAATAAAATAAACCAAAACAGGCCCCTGCACACACAATTCAGAGAACAAGGGCTGTCTTTTCATGCATTACAAAAGAGGTGCCTAATTAAGACCTTAAATATTAGAATCACAGCAAACAGAAGGTGTGTGTGTGTTCTCTTGGCATCTCATTTGGCAAAGTGGTGCTGCACTTTCTTGTAGCTGGAAAAACAGTTGCATAGTCCCTTTATACTTTCAGTTCCAGTTCTTTCTACTTAGCACATTGAAACTCTGAGACAATAAAATATAAGTGTTATTCAAGCTGTACTGCTAATAAAGTGTTCACATTAAAATCAAGTAAAATCCTGATGGACCTAAAAATAGTTCTTGCTTAGGTTTGGGTAGATTACACACTTGATATTAGTGTCATCAACAAATCTCTTAGAAACATACAGAACCTGTTCTGTATCAGCACCTACAGTGTTCCAAGGTGTTGGAAAAGGCACTCAGATGTCTCCTAGTGAGGGAGATTGAAGCTTTATGGACCACAGTGACCTACCTGCCTACCAGCCTTTTAATGTCTGATGTTTAATAATAATAATAATAATAATAATAATAATAATTTATTATTTATACCCCAACCATCTGGCTGGGTTTCCCCAGCCACTCAGGGCGGCTTCCAACAAAATATTAAAATATAATAGTCTATTAAACATTAAAAGCTTCCCTAAACAGGGCTGCCTTCAGATGTCTTCTAAAAGTCTGGTAGTTGTTTTTCTCTTTGACATCTGGTGGGACGGCTGTGTTCTGCTATATTCTGTTTTGCTGTGTTCTGCTATATTCTGTTGAAAGCTGCCCAGAGTGACTAGGGTAAATTACTGTATTTTTCCGTGTATAACACGCCTCCATGTATAAGACAACCCCTATTTTTTGGGACTGCAACAAAAAACTTGGGGGGGGGAACTGCCCAGAGTTATTGAGCTTTTTTGGGGGGGGGGGTCAACGCTGCCAATCACTCTATAGCCTGCCTGCCACTGCAAATTGCACATAACACCGTGGCCACCAATCGTCTGCACGCTTGCCGACAAAAGCCCACCTGCCCACTTGCCACACGCACGCCTTGCCGCTGCTGTAAATCAACATCCACAGCCAATCATCAGCAGGCCTTGCCACAGCGACCAATCACATGCCCAATCACCGCTGCCAATCTCCTGCTGGCTGCTGCCACCAATCGCCCATCCCCCATCTGTTATCCGTGTATAAGACAACCCAAAAATTTTGCCTATTATTTCTAAGGAAAAAATATTTTCTTATACACGAAAAAAATACGGTAGTCAGATGGGCAGGTACAAGTAATAAATTATTGGTGGTGGAGCTACATTGGTTATTACATAGAAAAATGTATAAACTACCTGATTAAAAAGTGTTGTGCATAGTAAAATTGTAGATTAAAAACCCAGCTAAAATCTACAAAACTGGTTTAAACAACTATATGCAAACCAATTATATTTAAAACAAACAAAATTAGTAAAACATTTTAAACTAATACAGGTAACTAAATACTATGTCTGGGTAGGCTTGTTGATGATTAAAACATTGTAGCAAAGGCTGCTGCCTAATGTTAACAAGCAGGGAGCTCCAAAAGCCCTGGTGCTGCCACACTAAAAGACTTCTCACAAATGTGCAATGAACATCATGTGGCACTTGTAAAAGTACAAGTTCTGAAGATCAGAGTGGTCAGATAGACACATATGAGGCAAGGTGACTGTGGTACCTGCTGTCTTGAAAGATGTGATGGCGTGGCCACGCCTAAAGAAACCAGCCATGTACCCTTTGGACTGAAATAACTATCAACTGCTCGCAAATACTCCTTCTTGGGGAAAGTAGTGGAGAGAGTCGCGGTAGGGCAGTCGCAAGCATTCTTGGAAGCCACATATTATTTAACCCTGTTCCAAACTATGTTTAGGCCTGGCCATGGGACTGACCTGGCCTTAGTCACCCTGGTGGATGACCATTACATAGAATAGGTCCCAGGGAGTGTGACATTGCTCCTGCTTCTCAGTCCCTCCCCAGCTTTCAATGCTATTGGCCATGGTATCCTCTTGGACTAGCTCTGTGAGAATGAGAATGGACTTCCGGGACAGCGCCATCGGCAATGGCGGAGTTCCTCTGACCGAGAGGAACCCGCTCCGTGAAAATTGGGTCTTGCCGCCGCGGCGAAGGCGGAGACCCTTTAAAAATCCCAGGCGGAGGAAGTCTGGGAACGTGGGATTCGGCTGACACCAGGAGCGCCTCCCCTACTCGCAGGGAAACCCTTTTTCGGGGGTCCGAAGCGACGTGGGGTGAGCGGCGGGGTGTTTTGAATCAACTGCTACTTTTACGGAGTGAAGCCGCACAGCCATTGCCGGAGAGCGCTGACTTTTTCCTGTGGACAATTGGACTCTAAACAAGTACCCGTGAGTAGAACGGAAAATTGGATTAAGTACTAAGACATATTTTAATTTGGCACCAAAATGGGAAGGTTCTAAACAGGAAGTCCGCCTCCCGTTTTTTGTAAATAGATTGAAGCAAAAACTTTGTAAGCTAAAGTCTGGAAAGTCGTATATAAAGTTCTAAATTTCCTTCATTCATCACCACCAAAACCCCTCTTGGAAGCAGGAGAAAAGAGGGGGATTTTTGACTGTTTAAGCCTGCAGGAGAGAGAGTAAAGAAAGATAAATTTTCCACCGTCTCAAACCTGGGAACGGGGTGTCAGAGACAGAAATTTATGGGGAAAGTTCATCGACTGTGAACGGAACGTCTTTTGACAGATAGTAAAAAAGAAAAGAAAAAAAAGAGAAATATATTGATTCCAATGTTGCTTCTTGCAATCAAAAGAAACAAAGTATTTGAAAAGTGAAAGTAATTTTTCCTTGTTGGTCCTGCTTTTAAAAGATGGATACAAATAGAAAGGAAAGAAAACAAGAAAAAGATCAACAAAAGATAAAGTAAAGGGCAGGTATAAACAAGAAGAAGACCTGCAGAAGGGACATGGAAAAAATTTAAGAGCCTCGGACATAAGAGCACCAGGTTGATGGATTAGATAGACGAGAAAGGACTGACAAAACCCGAGACCAGGAAGAAGAGACGATGGATGAAGATTGGAAGAAAGTTTCAAAATTTATTTAGAAAAGTATTATAAAATTAATGAGTATTAGAAAAATGTTGGAATGAAATTATTTGGCTTTAGCAGAAATGTCAAAAAGAATTCTGAAAGAATATGTTAAGGTTAAAAGAAGTTGGTATATATAAGTTTTAAGTTTTAGGGTTTTTTAGGTAAGATAAGGTTAAAATAGATTAAGGTAATTTAAATGACAGAAGATTGTGAAAGATGGAAAGGATTTGCTGAGATAATTAACAACTAGAATACAAAAAAGGGAGGTGTGAGGAGGTCGTTGAAATAAGTTAATGAAAGTTAAGGATTTGGGAATATTAGAATTTTTTTTTAACTGTTTGTTTATTTTTGTTTTTTGATTTAGATGTATTGTATGTTTTGTTATTTTTTCTTTTTCGACTTTGGTTTTTATTGATCTGTATTGTTTAATTGTTATGTTTATCTACTTTTTCTCTCTCTCTTGTTTTTTCTTTCTTCTTTCTTTGTAACTTTAAAATTCTCAATAAACATCACTTTAAAAAAAAGAGAGAGAGAGAATGAGAATGGAGGGCATTGTGTCACAGTGATTCCCATTCTACCTATAGGACAAATTCCAGAGGACAGCACTAGGAGAGTGCTTTCCAGGCCGCTGGTGGTTATACTATGAGATGCTGCAGTGCACTATTCTACCCCCAATGCTATTTAATATCTACATGAAGCCACTGGGAGCAATCATTAGGAGTTTGGGGGCACATTAATATCAGTACACTGCTGACATGCCACATAACATCTGAGTCAGGAGAGGTCACGAGGTCCCTGGACCAGTGCCTGCATGCAGTGGTGGAATGGATGAGGGGAAATAAGCTGAGCTGGAATCCTGGCAAAACAAAGGTACAGTGAGCAACTGGCTCCTGTGTCTGAAAAATTGATCAACTGTCTGCTATGGAGAGCATTTGTGCTCCCTCCAGGTAAGCAGTCTGGGAGTGCTTCCGGATGTAGCCTCAGTAGCTAGAAGTAACTTTTATCAGCAGCGACCAGTATGACAGCTATGGCTGATCTTGGGCCAGGAAAACTTGACACAGCACTTCAGACACTGGTGACTTCAAGACTGAATTACTTCAGTGCACTCTATGCAGGGCTTCCCTTGCACTTGATTGGGAAGCTGCAGTCATTGCAGAATGCTGTAGCACAGTTGCTGACAGGAGTGAGAAGCTGCCTGCATGAAACACCTCTGCTCAGAGATATGCAGTGGTTGTCTATTCGCTACTGGGCCAGGTTCAAGGTGATACTATAAATATATAAAACCCTTAACTGCTTGGGATCAGTTTACCTGTCTAATCCCATAATCTGTTACAGATGACACACAATACTCATTCCAAACTTGTAAGAAATCAATCTTTTCGTCTGGCAGCATATACTCTGGAATTCCTTGCCCACTGACACCAGCCAGGCACCTTCACAAGCCTGCTTATAACATTTTGGCTTAGGCAAGCCTATCTAGACATGTAGAAGTTGCATGTATTTTTCTGTTTTAGCTCATGTTGATTTTAGTCATCTTTTGAATGTTTTATAACTCATTTTTAATCAATAATTTTAATGTTTTACTTTCTATTTTTTGTGAACCACTTAGAGGTTCTCTATATTACAAGCAAGCAGTATATAATTTTTGCTAAATAAATAAAATTAGGCAAAGCTTCAAGTAAACTGACCACAAGCTGTTGCCTAGATGGGCACAGCTGGGTCAGATCTACTCTACCCAGCTCCTCCACCTAATTCTTGGTAATGCACATTTAGTGATAGAATAACCAGGGAGCTAAGGTAAGGGCTAAAGGAAAACCGAAAAGGGGAGTCCTGCCAGAAGCTATTCCCTTCACCACACACCATAACTTCCATTGCTCATGATCACTCTTACCCCAGGACCACTCATTTCTCCCAGCTCTGAAATCATGACTACTTGGGCTTATGGATACCCCACCAATATACTCCCCACTTTAGCAGCAATAAAAGATCTAATTACAAGCAGTAGTCAGCAGCAGCAGCATGGCATTAACTAAGAAAACACTGCAATAAGAACTAGGTAAAAAAGATGATTAAAGTACCTGTGCTTACAGCAGTCAAAAATATTCAATAAATGAAGTTCCTGGGAAATTACCCTTCCGGTCAAACCATCTCCTGATCTTTAATGCTGTAACCAACAAGCTCTCACCTGGTCAATCCCAGACATTATCCATCTTTCACCTAAGAGAAATCACAGCAATATCCTCCACCTCCACTCAAGTCTCCTACTCTGAGTAGTATCACAGATACTCCCTGGACCCTGCCTCCTACCCAGGTCCACAAGCTAGCAATCCACATTTCCAACAGCTGACAAGGGGTGATGCTGCTCACAAGTGACTCTCCAAAGGGATGTTCTGTTGCTTGCAATCAGGTTGGCTTTCATGAGTCCTACCCAGAAAATTCGGTTTCAAGCCTCTTTGCAATGGAAGCTGATCACCCCAGGCTAAGGCTTCGAGCCAATGCAGCTGCTTTGCAGAACTTGTCTTGCTGCTGCCACTAACACAACTTCACAGTGTTGCATGTCCAAGCTGGGGCAAGCAGCTAGAGAAGGAGCAGGGGGCAGTTTTTATCACTGAATAAGGCATATAGCTTCCCTTTGTACTTCCAGAAACACAGCAAACATCATGCACCCTGGCTAAGAGACATGTTCTGTATAACTTAAAAATGTATACAGTATACCACATTCAAACATGGCTGCTTCGAGTGAAGTTGATGTTTCACAGACTCTGCAAGACACATGGAAGCAATGTTGCCAGAAGCAGCACCTTGTGATCAGTGAAAATTGACATCTGTGAAAGCTACTAATTGAAATATTATCTAGGAAGAGAATACAATTTAACAATGCTCTTTTCTTTTTTATGACATCTCTGCTTGTGTGTGGTTCCAGTTGCAAAAGAAAATTATCCACTAATCTTTTAAATAATTAATGCATTCAAAAAACAGAAAGACCAAAGCTGTATCTACTTTTGAAGTTAATTAATTTCTGCTTGGTGTTTTGCTAGATTTCCTTATTTAATTCATTTCTATTTGGTTGCATACAAGCTGATGCATGCCAACTAAAAAAAACCCCTAAAAAGCCCGAAACAACTCATGTACACTACAGAAGCACACCAGGGGAAAGCTATAATTGGCTCTCTGGCATATATTTCTGTGCTTTTCTTAAAAGTAAAAAAAGAAAGAAAGAAAAGTGTGTACTGTCAAAGGCTATAGTTTTCACAAGTACAAGAGTAGCAACATCTACACTTTTACAGAGATATGACATACACAGAGGTCTTCATTATCTCCTCCTTAAAGTACTTTCATATTTCAAATCATGTCTTCTACCTAAAAACAACTGGATTCTTCTTGGAAAACTCCCTTTTACCCTGGATGCAAGGTCATAGACCAGGAGCTAAAGAGCATGAAACTAAAAAACATAGGGATCAGCTGTTCAAACCCCCACCACATAGCCTAAAGTTATTGAATCCTGGCTCTAGTTTTCAGCTTCTTTATTACTTAAAAGGTAATGGGACTCCTGACTGTTAAGTCCAGCCACAGACGGCTCTGGGGTTGCGGTGCTCATCTCGCTTTACAGGCTGAGGGGCCCGACATTTGTCCACAGACACTTTTTCCAGGTCATGTGGCCAGCATGACTAAGCTGCTTCTGGCGAAACTAGAGCAGCGCACAGAAACGCCATTTACCTTCCTGCCAGAGAGGTACCTATTTATCTACTTGCACTTGATGTGCTTTCGAACTGCTATGTTGCCAGGAGCAGGGACCGAGTAACGGGAGCTCACCCCGTCGCGGGGATTCGAACCACCGACCTTCTAATTGGCAGGCCCTAGGCTCTGTGGTTTAGACCACAGCACCACCCGCGTCCCTCTCTATATTACTTAGTTGGTCATTTAAAAAACAATTATATCTGTAAGGTAAAAGTAGTTCCAAGTACAAATATAGCAGAAACAGATTTTATTGTGATATATTTGTCATTTTAAAAACTACTGTAGCTGAGGTTGCAGAAATATATAATCAAGGATAAGACCAACAAATTTTCACTATTTTATTTTTAAAATTTCTATATTTCTATATTTCTTTCTAAATTTCTATATTTCTTTATATTTTTAAGAAAAATCTCAAAGCGGTTTACAGCATATTAAATCAATAAAACATAAATAAAACAATCTGAAGAAAGTCAAATATAGAGCATACAGTCAAAGCAACATAACAGAAAACTAAAATATTATCTTAGATTTCAAAATAAAACATTACAAAGGAGGTCAACTACAGAATACATATTTAACATAGTAGGGCTGGGTGAATCTGGGTCCCGCCCCTAGACCAGGTGGAAAGGGCCTTGAGGGAGTGGCCTTCATGCCTCACAGCTGAGCGATCAGAAGAAATGAATGTGTGTCTAACAATGGAACTGAGGGATTTTAATATATGCTTTATTTGTTTCTGTAGCACAAAAGTAGGTAAGCATGTTCATCATAGCTGTCAAGTGTCCCTTATTTGAAGGGACAGTCCCTTATTCCAGCGCCATGTCCCGCTGCTGTCCCTTATTGATGGACGTCCCTTAAATGTCCCTTAAATGATGTCCCTTAAATTTCAAAGGAAGCAGCTCCTCTCCCTCCCTCCCTGCCAGCCAGGGAGGAGGGAGGCTCCAACTGTGTTGCTTGGCTGTGTTGCTCACCCAATAAGAAGTCTAAGAACGACTGGGGGGTGGAGCTTACATGCCTTGTGTGTGGCTAGTTAATGCAAGCTGAGGGGTTTTTTGAATGCTGAACGCTATTTGTTGCACGTGCTGCTGCAAACTTTGCAGTGCAAAGCCAGGCCGGGGAGCCATCTTAGGCTGAGGCTGCATAGGCCTTGTGGTGCATGTGATTCAGATTCTATTCAGTTGAACCTCTGGTTACAAAGTTGGTTGGACAGTGTTCTCGAAGCTACCCAGCATGAGTTTGACCAGACTGCAGGAGGACAGGAAGACTGGAGTGCCTGGAACAGGTGAGGCTTCAGGTCCCTTATTTTGGCTGCTGGTCCCTTATTTTCAAGGCTGCTGGTCCCTTATTTTCAAATCTGTAAGTTGACAGCTATGATGTTCATTTCCATTCCAAAACAATTTCCAGCAAAACTACAATATCTGCACTCTCTGCACATTTGTGGAGATCAGATGAAAATTACACGTGCCTCAGATCAGTACTATTCCACAATCTAGCTTACCATTAATTTAGACATGCCCAAGTAATACTGCAATGATAGTTACAGTGGTACCTCTGGTTATGAACTCAATTCGTTCCGGAGGTCCGTTCTTAAGCTGAAACCGTTCTTATCCTGAGGCGCGCTTTTGCTAATGGAGCCTCCTGCTGCGCGTGCGCCTCCGGCACGTGATTTTCGTTCGCACCCTGAGGCAAAGTTTGCAACCAGGAGCAGCTACTTCCAGGTTAGCGGAGCTCGTAACCTGAAGCGTTCATACTCAGAAGCGGTCGTAACCAGAGGTACCACTGTATTTCATAATATTTTAAGTGCTGCGCTTTCATGAATGTGAAGATTCATCTTTTTGAAAGGATCCTGCATCTTCTCAGTGATGGCTCCCCATTTGTGGAATGGCCTTCCTGGCACCTATATCCCTCACTGACTTTCAGGGCACATGTTAAAACATTCATATTTACCCAGGCATTTGATGAGTGATATTAGCCATGGTAAATGTGAAATTAATAATTTTGAGGGTATATGGTTGTTATTTTAGATATTATAAATGTTTTAAATGGCTTTACAATGTTTTAAAATATGTAAAAAATAATAATTTTATTTTAAACTGTACTGTATAGCATTTGATGTTTGTTACCCCAGGATTGCTTAGAGGGGAGGGTGAGATACAAATGTAAATAAACAAGCTGAGATTCATTGATACAGAAAGTAATATCAGCAGAAATCCTTGTCCTGACAGTCCAGGAAGGGAGAGTGCAGGAGTCTCTTGGATTCACAAAGTTTTCTCCACATAGAGTTAAATCATGGCCTAGCACCATGTGTGAACTATCCCATCCTGGAAACTGGGGAGGACTCTCTCTGCCTCTAGAAAAATATTCCACTATTCACACAGAACAGTAAAATATTCCACTAGTGCAAACAGCGTTCAAAACTCCCATTGTTCTAGGCGCGTTTTGCAACAAGGAATTACATTAGCTCCTAACTTTCATATCTCAGTTTCTAACTCTTCTAAATTCAGGTAGGTAGCCATGTTGGTCTGACACAGTCGAAGAAAATATTTTTTAAAAATTGTCCAGTAGCACCTTAGAAACCAACTAAGTTTGTTCTGGGTATAGCGTGTGCATGAGCTACTGGACAATTTTAAAATCTTTTTATTTATTTTAACGCTTCTAAGTAAGTGCAAACTTACGTTACTAAATAGGAGGAAATGGCTAATCAGTTTGTTGGCATCTTTACATAAAAAGGAAATGAAAAATCATGTTTGTCTAGAAACATTATGTTGGTCAGTGTTTATTTTTAGAAAAGTCTCTTCTGTGCTAGTGAACTACCAATCCACAATGGAGGGCCTTTGCACACGGTTCCATCCCGCTTTGTTTCTATAACTATAGAGCATGCATGGTGACTCCAACAAAATGCAAAATAGCATGGCCTCAAGCTTAAACAAGGTAAAAATTTAGAACAAATTTTTACTTTCCTGGAAATGACATCAGTGGCTGATGAGTGGACAACAATGAGTAAATTTAGGCCAAAGGCAGGAAACAACTTTAACAGACTACTGTTTAACTATTATTCAACCTTAGCAGAGCACTGGATGTTTGCTACTCTTGCACAGTGACCAGGATCTAGAGAACTAGGAAGAACATCACATGCACCCAGAAGCTGACATCCCTTCCTACCTTACACCTTACCTTGTATTTTCCTTCCAGGATGCAGCTAGAAGGAAAATACTCAACACCCACCCACTCAGGATTTATTCCACTCATGAACGAGCTCCACAGAGCCTAGCCGATGAAGTTAAGCAACTGCGCTTGCTTGTGCTTTTACTGTATCTTCACCAATTATACTTGAGTATGATTCCTATGGATGTTGTCAAGTTTTATTCATAATTAGCAGGGGAGAATCTTTCTTCCAAAGTTTCAACTAAAACCCTGCTTACTCCAGACTAAATTATGTTCATTGACAACCCAAACAGTGAAGAATGTAACATTTCCCCAAAATGAAAATATCACAACCCTTATCCACGTGGGAGTTCTAAGAGCTCCTCCTCCACAAATGGCTTGCCCTATTACTATAAGCAGATAAACTTTATCAAAATTCCCCAGCATGCGTCGATCAATGAAGATCCCCAACCACAGAAGATCTGTGCACACATCAGAGGACACACTCTAGTATTAGAGCGCTAGCCTACAACCATCAAGGAAGGTTTGCAGCAACTAAGCATTATAATTCATTGTAATCTGTGTGCCACCATCAATTGGCACTTCAGCATTATTTACCTTACAAAATAACACACTACTTAACATGCTGAAAATCTGAAACACTTACAATACAGGCAGCCCCCCATTTATGCAAGGATTACGTTTTGAGGCACTGCTCGCATCAGTGAAATCACGTATAATTTAAACCCCTTGAAAATGCCTGCAAACACCCCATTCTACCTTTTTAGTGCTGTCTTTATGACATTTCCAGGTTCAGCATGATGTGTGTATACACGGTTGCACACATATGGAACACATGTCAACAGGAGGCTGCCTGTACCCCCCAACTGAACAGAGGACAAATTGGGAATGGTTTGACCCTAATCGTGTATTATTTTATTACACATGTAGGATCACAACTCACTCAATTCCTGTTTTGTTCATAACTTGCAGAATAAAGAAGAATACAACTAGGACAGAGCCTATCCTCACTGTAGGCTTTATTACAACCAAATCCTTGTGTTCTTTTGGAAAGCATCTTGTGCTCTGGCTCACACAACTATAATAGAGTTACTGTACACTAGATCTTGCATTTGAAACACTGGTTTAAAATTCTAATTAGCAGCCCTGTTTCAATGACATTTGATTTCAATCATTTATTTTTCATTACACATTTTCACCAGCCAACACCCATCATGACAAAAGTTACCCAGTATACAAAGAATACATTTGTTTTAAAACCACTAGTAACAACCACTAAATTCAGTGACTAATTCTAGTCAGGTTGAGATTGAACCAAGATTTTGCCAGTAAACCTTTAACTATTTTCCTCATATACAGTAAGAACTTCTTTAAAAGTCATAATAAAGCATAATTTTCCCATCATATTTTGTAAAACAGCATTAAAAATTAGTTGTATGCTAAATACCTGGTTAGTACTTAAAACCATATCCCTCTGGAATGTTGATAGACTAAAAGCCCAGTGTCTATCTCTACTCTGGAACAAGTCCTACTGAATTCAATGGATCTTACTCCCAGAAAATTGGAATTAGAATTACAGGCCACATTTTTCTAGCAAAAAAATCCCGCAGAATTAAACTGTTCTCTCTCCTGAGTAAGCATGTATAACACCGCATTAGTCTCACACTGAGGGCTCATCTAGTCAGGCATCCTGTTTCTAACAGCAGTCAGACGATAAATCATATAACATCCGATAATTAGTATGATCATAATAACTGCATGACTAAGGTTGCAAGGCTATGCACCCTTACTTGGGAGTAGGTCCCACTGAACTAAATGTGACACTTCCAAGTGAATATACAAAGAATTGTGATGCATGAATATAATAACTGGATCATCATATATCATTATCTTAATTCTCCTAAGGCCAGTTCATATGTAGCCAAAACCACTCAGGCACAAGAAAGAAGTATCAGGGGACAACAGCTCACAAAACATTCCAATGAGCAGGTTGAGCATGCTCAGTGGGCATGGAATACTGACTGGTTGTTGGGAAGAGAATACAAATAAGAGAGAAAACTAAGGGGAAATGGAATGAATTATCAAGGAAGAAGGCAGGGGTGGCTGAACAATAAATTCCGCAATGCCACATTTATTTATTTTTTGCAGGTCCCGCTTGTACATGAAACGTAGTGGCTGCTGGAAAATTAATTAGACTGATTTTGCAATATTAAAAAGCCTCTTGCACCTACAGAAAAAAAGGCCTGCAATTGTCTATCCAGCTGCCAAAGAACAGGTCACATTATGAGTAGTTTGGACAACCAACATAGCAGCAGGAAACCTGATCCAGTTTACCAGCTCTAAAAAGTGAAACATTTTGGCATTCCTCTGTCCCCCATCTTTTTCCTTGGTTTTATGAAAGGGCTAAAATGAGATGACTTGAACACCAACATGAATTATGGGTGTGGGTAAGGATTATTAGTAACTGGAGGCTGGATAGTGGTATGTGGTGGAGAAACCATATTTGAGTTAGTAACTTTGTGGCAATTTAGTGCAGTCTTAATATTACAATATCTTAAAAACTAAAGAAAGATAGGCAAGTGTTTCTTTAAGCTAAACAGATTGATTAGTTCACCACCAAATGTAGGTAAAATCTGACAGAATAGTAGTAGGGTAAGTTATATTTCGTAAATCAATAAATTTATTACAAAGACTTCTGGAGTGTCTCAGATAAGAAGAAGAAGACAACAAAATAAAATAAAATCTATGAGCAAAAAATAAGGCATTTACCTGAAAGTTAACATCTTCTTTCTTAAAAATTAGTGCACGAACTTCATCAGGGTCCCCATTAAATATAGCTTGAACAAGTGGTGGCTAAAATACAAGAAAACAGAGAAAGCATTTTAATTTCAATGCTATTCAGGTGTAATTATTCCACCACAGTTTTAGACGAGTACCAAAACATTCCATATCACAAATACTTCATTAAAAATCTGTCTAATGCACTCCTTTAAAATGCTCTTCTACATAAACAACCATACTGCACTAATTATCTATACAAGATAAAAATAAAAAATACCTGATTATGGCATACTAATTTTGCAGAATGCCTTCTGAAAGAAACAGAAAACAACTAGACACATGCATGCAATGTGATAGACAAATAAGGAAGTGCAGTACATGATCTGGTGACAAACACATCTATTTCTAAAAATATCTACATGTGCTAACCACCACCATAAACATTTGAAAGCATTATTGCCAAAGCAATAAATAATAACTACTCACTATTACAATGTTGCTGGACTAGTAGCCCTGCATCACATGATCTATTTTCCATATTTTTAAAGAATGGGACTTGCTTTACTACAGAATATACTATATGGTTTTTGAAAGACTACATAACCAATTATTTTAGGAGCTGTGTTAGAAACAATTTGCTACAAAATTCACTTCTTTGTCAATTTACTTTTGAAAGCAATGATTGGAGCACCCCTTAAGATTTGAAAAGGAACAATCTAGAGAATTTGTTTCATTCATTAGGATTATCGTTAGACACAGAAGTGAATCTACACAACCATATTAACTACTTCAGCAAAATAAATACCAACTACAGTTTCATATTTATGGCAAGTCAATGGAGCCTTGAACCACAATTACAAACAGGACATATTTAGCAAGAACCTCTTACCAAGCAATGTCCTGAAGCTGAAGGATGTAGAGATATGCTTTCCTGAGGCAGTTTGGAAATAAACGTGGGAGAATCATCTTCCACCTCCTCCAAAACAACAATACACACACGACTCATTCGACCCGTTTGAAGGAGAAAATTAGATTTGTAACAGCCTTGTCCCAAGGATAGCCAAGACAGCACAGAAAGTTCTTTTCCTCTCAAACATAATTTACAAACACTAGTGCTTTGTTTTGAAATATTTAAAATGGCATAACTTAAATTATATTCTATTTGTCAAATTCAACAACATATTCAGCTAATGAAGTTTTCCAAAATATTCCATAAAAAGTTCTGCTAAAATAGTTCTGCTATTACTTTGTAGCAATCAATTACTAAAATATCCTCTTACAGTAGAAATTACAACAGTATATATAAAAATTCTGAACTTTCACCAGCCAATTTGCTTTTGTTTAATTTCTACAGAATAAGACTACCTAAACAGTAAAATCATTGTTATAGACGACATAACACCATTCTGTATAGAATGAAACAAGAGACAATTGCTCTGGCAGAGATGATCACAGCTCTCCCCACTCCAGCAAGGTCAGCCTCCAGTTAACGGTAGCAGGATTTCTACCGAAAAAGGCATACATGACTGCCCCAAGTGTTCCAGGTCATGATCATTCCGCAATTAAAAATGCTACTGCCTTAAAATCAAAAGTCCATCACACAAAAAGCAACGTATAACTCAACAGTTATTCAGCACTAAAGCTCCAAGGTTGACATTTCTTCTCCATGTAAAAATGCCTGCAATGTACAGCTAAGCTGCAGTACATTTACATGTGATGAGTCAGACAACAAAGGACAATGAGACTCAAATAATACTGCTTCTTCAATCTAGATTCCCCAACAGACCATAACACAGAATGCTACTCCATCAGTCAGAAAAGAAATGCAGAACATTTGTTTTCCATCATCAGACCATTGCTCTAGCTAGCTGCTCCAACAACGAACACATAAGATATAAATGCCAGTAACAACGTTTTAGCAAAACACCACAAACACAAGCACTTGAATTATTGCTTTAGACTTTTCCTGCAGAAGTAGTTCATCACTCGAGCGCTTCTTTTGATCACTGTGTGAATAGAGGTTCCATTATAGCCTTCATTCAGACCGATGTAAAAAAGGGGGGGAGGGGGGAGAAAATCAGGCTCCACGCATCATCTTTCAGCCAACTTCTTTATTTGAAGATCTGTGTCTATGCAAGTCCTGTGGTTCTTCACGTTAAATGCTCTATTTATCCAAATTTTGTCATTAAGTTAGGATTTTTCATGCAGCAGATGGTACCGCAAACGGTATAAAAAGCTAGCGCTTTAAAAAGGTCATTACAGAACACATTAACAGGACACAAAAATCGCACCCGCAGCAGTATTCCAACAGAGCAATAGATCCGCAGAATGAAATGCCTAGTAATGCTCACATGTTACACTTACCAAATAACTGAGCTACTGCTCTGGATGCAACTTCCTGTAGCAGGGGGAGGGAAAAAAGCAGCTTTGGGGCAGCCCTCACAGAATATCGATGCCAGTTTTGTGTGACTAATTCACTTAAAACGTAAGATTTCTGTTGAGCCTTCAACATTTTCCACTAAAAGCCACAAGGAAACTCGTATACTGGCACTGCTGACTAACAATGTAGGAAAATAAACAATTCCAACCCATAACTGCTTTCATATGTTACCATATTCTCAGAACGGTCTCAGTTAACCCTCTGTGGCCATGCAACTTTTTAGTCTTTAGAAACTAGGAATTAAAAAGCCTTTTAAAAAAAATCAATCCATTATACAAAGTAATAGCTGCTTACAAGAAATATTTGGGTTGCTGTTAAAAGACATATTTAGCATGCTAACAAGCACCTAAAAAAAGTGAGGATATTAACAAACACTAACAAAAAATATCATCCAATAATCTGAATTTACAGCTTTGGTTTGAATCTGCTGAGCTGTAGCAGTGATCTGTGGGTGTATTATATAAATGGGTCATATGCCCAAAGTATTGGAAATGTTGCTTTTTTAACTCAACAGTACTTCCAGTTCATATTAAGTAACCTTACTTTTTTAAGGTTCTCAATTTCAGATCTTAAAATACAGACTTAGCAGAGTTTCAACGGACATGCGCTGAATGACCATAACAAGAGATATCTGAAGCATCTTGTAAGCTGCTTTGGATATGAATACTGTAGATATATTCCTATGGGTTAAGTATCAAAATTTTCAGGTATCAACCAAACACTGGTATTTTCAAATTCTGTGGTGAAAAATAAGTTCAGCAGTATACAATGAAACAAGATTCACATTTCAGAAGAAAAATACTTTTAAACAAAATTCCAAGTGACTGACTCAGCTGTCCTTAGCTCGGAGATTTTGAAATTTTAGCTAGAAACCATTTTTGTTTACATTGTTGCCTCAGTCATTTCCTCATACTGGTAAATTAATCCCATTTATTTAAATGAAACTTGGTTAAAACAATGCATTCAAAATTGGATGTTTTAAGTCTGCTATCCTATGAATTCTTAATTGGGAGAAATAAGTCACTGGCTTGCCAACCTAGCAGTTCGAAAGCACGTCAAAGTGCAAGTAGATAAATAGGTACCGCTCTGGCGGGAAGGTAAACGGCGTTTCCATGTGCTGCTCTGGTTCGCCAGAAGCAGCTTAGTCATGCTGGCCACATGACCTGGAAGCTGCACGCCGGCTCCCTCGGCCAGTAAAGCAAGATGAGCGCCGCAACTCCAGAGTCGGTCATGACTGGACCTAATGGTCAGGGGTCCCTTTACCTTATGTTACATTGAACACAGTGATCTTGTATGGTCATAATGTTCCTAGTTTACTAAACCATAGTTTAGTAAGTCAGCAATGAGCACTGAGGCTCACCATGTTCCCCTTTATGCACTGGCTCTGAAATTTCCATCCTCATCTATTTAAATGAGAGTTTCCCATTTCAGAAGTAACATGGAGCTCTGGTTTAAAAGCATCAGGACAATGAGGTCAGCGGGTGAAAGAGCCAAAGGGGGGAGAAGAAGGGGGAACATGCAGGTCCAATGTTCTCAATACTATGGTTTGACAACTTCAATCCAGCCCTGTGGATGCTTACCCAGAAGTAAATTTCTGTGAGTCTTTTCGAACATAATGTTCCTGGCTCAACAGAACTATAGTTTTATTTAGTCTGGAACATTATGTCCAAAAAGGCCTCCTGAGATTTACTTCTGGGTAAACATGCATAGGATTGGGCTGAAGCTATCTAAAACTGAGGAAAACTAGAAGCACTTTGCCCTTCTTTTTTCTATTTAAAGGGCAAAGGCAGCTAACACCAATAGGGGCTGGTGGGGCAGAGGGATGGGCAGCTTATGGTAAGAAGTGCTAAGGCTAACAGAGCTAACGGTAGGTGGAACATTGCAAGGTTGCAATCCTATGCATGCTCATATGAGAATAAATCCCACTGGACACTGAAAGTCTTGCTTTTGTTTTTTTTAAAAAAATAGGATTGTGAAAGTAATCAATGCCAAGTCATACCTCATCAATATAATTAGTACTTACACAGTAGTGAAAATACATCACTCCTTTACAGAAGTATAATGCAAATATTACCTCCAGAGTTATTTTGCAACATGCAGCCCAATCCAATGCATGTTTACTTAGAATGTGTACTGAATGCAGTAAGGCTCGCTCCCAAGAAAGTATAGGAGACGGCAGTTTTAGAAGTCCCCATTTTTATTACTGGCCCTGCTCCTATGCCTTTAACAGCAACCTGACATGCAAAAATTAATCAGGTAAAGGTCTTCTTAGCATGGCTATATCGGTGGTACGTGAAGCAGCTTCCAGCCAGAGCTGCTAAAGCTAAACCAGGACTTGCTTCTAAGTGCACAGGATTGTGTCCCCCCTCTTTTTTCCATATATGGCTTTTGTAAACTCAAAACAACAGAGCCAGAAAATAAAAACTAGCAATCTGGCTGCTAGATGCCTCAGAGCATATGTCTTCAGGGAACAACATGGTTACTACCTTTTCTCTTAACAGAGCTCCTGTGCCTTTAAAAGCTGCAGAGAGGCAGATATTCAACAAACACACCTTTCCTAAGAACACAAGATTTAATGAAGTTGGAGGCCAGCTCCAGGCATTAAAATAAACATTCACTCAATTTTCAGCAGCCCCAAAAACTACATTTTCAGTGAGCGGTAACAAAGAAACAGAGCCACATAGACTTCCCATCACCTGAACTGGAATTTTGTCTGTACTGGAATTGCAGAGGTGGGAGGGGGGAGAGGAAGAAGTTAAATATACCTTGCTATTCAAAGCCTGGATCTGATAGTGTCCCATAGGGACAAGGTCACACGCTGCTGCTGTTTTCATCAGTGGTGCGGGCTCTGTGTGTGATTCACAGGTGTCAACAATCAAGTGCTTGGAATTAATTGTAGGTACCTGTCACAAAATGTCCCTCTTTTTACAAATAACTGGGTCCCAATTGGCTAGCTGTTCCAGGTTGCAAGGAAAGGAGGGTGTATGAAATGTCACTGGTTTTCACCATCTCTCAAGGCTAATTTTCAATAGGAATTGCTTTTTGGGGGGTTGTTATGGAAAGTTATAAGGCAGTACTGGGACACAGTGATGCAGACGTTAAACTATTTGTTTATTTTACAAATCTTATATGCAACTTGATTGTAAAAACAAAACCCTCAGAGCAGGAGGAAAGAAAGAAAAGACGAGAATGGGCTTAGGTTCTGGAAAGCACAAGGGACTGTCCCAATTGATATTTAAGGGTAAGCCTCTGGAGGAACCCTGCCTATCAAGATATGCAGGTAAAGCTCTGCTATATATACCACAGTTGGCTTGGGGTGGGAAACACAGGAAGCAATGGCTGCACCTATATATCACAAGAAAGCAAACAGAACATTCCCAAATGTGTGTTTGCAAATATATTTAATACAGTATCTTTTTAAATGTTAAGTATATTTCTAGTGACTACAAGCCCTCTCTAAGCAAATTCTAACAATGCAGGATGGAAAGCTGGCATAAATATATTTTCAAAAAGCATAAGCAAGTCAGGTACTACATGAAACACAGCTGCTAGATATGTCACAAATTCATCCATATAAAAATCACAAGTTCATCTTAACTCCATGCCTGGTTGCAGAAATTAATATTAAAAACAAAATTAAGTTGTCTGTCATTTAAAAATCCCAGAGAACAAGGAAAATGACATGTAAAATGAATGTACTTCTAATTTTGTTATCTTGTTACAGTAAGCATTGAAATACCGAAATACCTACTAAAAAGGACTCTTAACTGTATGCATTAAATATACCTACAGAAGCACTACTTGCCTTGCAATAACATCTTTTGAAAGTACAATATTGTTTATAAGAGTATGAAACAAACGTATTCCGGGAAGAATTCATCTGAAGAGAATCAGCTCCATACAGCACAGCATTACCTGGGAATTTAAAAGTGACATTCTGCTACTGCCCACCCATGTGAAAGTATAATTAGCAAATTACATACTATACCCATATGCCACATAGAATACAACATATGGACACAGAGTGCTATATTTTGGGGCGATAATAAAAAGCTATCCTTATGTCATTATAGCTAATGATAGCAATTATAACTGTCACAGAACATGAAGGGATCATATCCTACTTCTTCTAAGTTTGAGTGAATCTCTTCTGTAGTACTGTCCTCAACTTATTCTATCTGAATCGTTTAAGGATTTTGCCTCCCTTCTCTGTACAGGCAACAACCAAAAGACGAAGGGCATAATGGAGTGGGACACGTTTATACACACTCTGCTGATAATAATAATAATAATAATAATAATAATAATAATTTATTTGTACCCTGCCCATCTGGCTGGGTTTCCCCAGCCACTCTGGGCGGCTTCCACAAAGACAAAAATACACTAAGATGTCACACATTAAAAACTTCCCTGAACAGGGCTGCCTTAAGATGTCTTCTGAATGTCAGGTAGTTGTTTATCTCATCTGATGGGAGGGCATTCCACAGGGCGGGTGCCTGGTTCCCTGTAGCTTTGCTTCTCACAATGAGGGAACCGCCAGAAGGCCCTCGGCGCTGGACCTCAGCGTCCGGGCAGAACGATGGGGGTGGAGACGCTCCTTCAGGTATACTAGGCCGAGGCCGTTTAGGGCTTTAAGGGTCAACACCAACACTTTGAATTGTGCTCGGAAACGTACTGGGAGCCAATGTAGGTCTTTCAAGACCGGTGTTATGTGGTCTCGGCGGCCGCCCCCAGTCACCAGTCTAGCTGCCGCATTCTGGATTAGTTGTAGTTTCCGAGTCACCTTCAAAGGTAGCCCCACGTAGAGCGCATTGCAGTAGTCCAAGCGGGAGATAAACAGAGCATGCACCACTATGGCGAGGCAGGTAGGGTCTCAGCCTGTGTACCAGGTGGAGCTGGTAGACAGCTGCCCTGGCTATAGAATTGACCTGCGCCCCATGGACAGCTGTGAGTCCAAAATGATGCGCACGGAGCAGGGAGAACGTAACCTCTGTGTGAAAAGGTTGTTGACTGTATTTCCTTCAAAATACCTGTTTCTCAGACCATTAGTTCTTTGTTCTTTGTCGTTCAACAACACTAACTCTTGATTCCACTCTTTCCAAAGTTCTCTCCTGGTATGAGCCTTTCTAACTAGGAAATCCAAGGAGGACACACCACAGCTGCTGGAAACTGACTCCAGCTTATCAGAAACGATAGGATTTGCTTCTCCTAGAATAGTATGCTGTAGGCTTCTTGTAGGTGGGATTCCGAGAGGCACAACACTGCTTCAACTTGCTTACAGGACCTGTTAAACTCCCATCACTGTGGCAGCAGCTCCCCATGTTTCCCCTAAGAAACTCCTATCCTGAAGGTTGAAGCCATGAGGTGTGAGAGACTGACACCAAACAGCAGAAAACAGACACTGTCATCTTCACCACCTTCTACACACATGTGCAATTCCAGATCCCATGTGACTCTGGGAGCAAGTATGATTACTCATATCATTCAGTAGCCAGGAGACAATGCTGTCAGACTGGAGTTTTCCAGTTGGCATCTTAACAAGAGGAAATCACTAAAAACAAATTCTAACACCCGATAATTCGTACTTCATAGGAAGAAACCAGTGATAGCAGCAGCACAACAGATTGTGATCTAAGTTTTTTTTTGGGGGGGGGTAACATTTTGCTTCAAGAATTTGACTATTTGATGTGAAGTTTCCAACCAACTGCGTTTAGTCACAACGCTGAATAATGAAGCTAAGACAAGGACCGTATTCATAGAAAGCCATCATATGATAAGTCATACATCAAAGGAGGTAAATATCAGCGTACAACATTTATTTGCTTTTTGAAAAGGGAAAGCCTGCTTTCAAAGTGCATCTGATGCTCAATTTTAATCTGACACAGAAGGAGCCTTATCATTGGGATTCCTGCTTTGCAGGGGGTTGGACAAGATGAACCTTGAGGTCCCTTCCAACTCTACAATTCTATGATTCTATGTTTACTGGGAATAAAGTCCAGAACAGTTCAATAGTATTTTCTTTCTTGGAAGAAAGTGACAAAAGTCCAGGATTATGAATTCTTGCTGAGAAGCACTACCATCACCACTGCAAACCCAAATCACACAGGCAGCCTTTACTTTCTAGCAGGAACAGCAGGCATTAATATGAGAAATCACAACACAGGGAATTAGACTAGGGCATGGGTAGGCAAACTAAGGCCCGGAGCCGGATTTGGCCCAATTGCCTTCTAAATCTGGCCCGTGGACGGTCCAGGAATCAGCGTGTTTTTACACGAGTAGAATGTGTGCTTTTATTTAAAATGCATCTCTGGGTTATTTGTGGGGCATAGGAATTTATTTTATTTTCAAAATAGTCGGGGCCCCCACAAGGTCTGAGGGACAGTGGACCGGCCCCCTGCTGAAAAAGTTTGCTAACCCCTGTTATAGAGCCAACCTCCAAGACTCTGAGATTAAACATTACAATCAAGTAACCTTGTTAAAAAGTAATAGAACTACTGATGTGGCAGAACTGGGATACATTTGATGACTGTATATTCCATAATTCCCTGATATGCATGATATCTCATATAGCAGGAGAAATTAACTGCCACTGAGGCTGAACACTTACACAGAAGAATAGAGAGGTATCTAATCTTTAACGTAAGAAGTATAGTAAGTGATAAATGGGAGTATATTCTTTTAGAATCATAGAATCATAGAATCATAGAGTTGGAAGAGACCACAAGGGCCATCGAGTCCAACCCCCTGCCAAGCAGGAAACACCATCAGAGCACTCCTGACATATGGTTGTCAAGCCTCTGCTTAAAGACCTCCAAAGAAGGAGACTCCACCACACTCCTTGGCAGCAAATTCCACTGTCGAACAGCTCTTACTGTCAGGAAGTTCTTCCTAATGTTTAGGTGGAATCTTCTTTCTTGTAGTTTGGATCCATTGCTCCGTGTCCGCTTCTCTGGAGCAGCAGAAAACAACCTGCATGGAGCGTGAGCGTGTGCGTGTGTGTGTGTGTGTGTGTGTGTGTGTGTTCTCTATGAGTCTAAGTGGTAGTCTTGGATTATTTCTAGGGTTTTTTTAATTGAGAATATCTCCTGTGTGTGACAAAAGCAGTTGAAGATTTCCCACCCACAGTTCACTAGACAAGAGGCAGACAGAAAATAAGTGCCCAGGATATACCCAGCAAAAATAAGATAGCTTCCACATATTTCCAACTGTAGAAGGAAGCAAAGCTGTAAAGTAGCAATGTGACTGTTAGGGAAGTGGAGCATTTGACTATTTTGCAAGTATCTTCATTTAAAAAAACAAGACACAAAAATTCACTGCAATTTTGAGAGCCTTCTTTCTTCCACCTGGGGCACAAGGCTTCCTTAACGTAGAACATCCTAACTGGCTTCCTCACAGTCTCAAATTTTGAAATACTAGTTACCAGTCAAAACATGAGTCAGGGATCAGACACATTATGGAGGCTCTGGCTCATTCAGGAAGCAAAATCTCAGCTGGATGCATTAGTCCTTCTTTTGTTATTCCTTGGCTGAGGAAAAAGCCCTACCTTGACTATTTATAATTTTGAATAAACTGGGGGGGGACGGGACAATTTTGAATACAGTTTTCAAAGATACTAGTCTTCAACTATTTTTTAAAAAACATAATTTGTTTGCATTCAAACATATCAATATTTAGCACCTTGTTATATTTATCTGTGGCAACAGAAAGCCATACGAAATAATCTTTATGGTTAAAGTAAGTTGCTAGGGTTACAAAATGTTTGTCTAGTAGTCAAACCAAAACCATTTGAAAATTCTTTTGAAAATCCCATGTGTCTATCAGCATCAGTACTTGGGAGGATACCAGCAGCGTTTTACAACTTATTACAGGAATACATGCTACTTCCTCTCAAACTATTTAGGAAACACAGAAGAAAATGATTCATATTATTCTGGCCTGTGGAAGGGTGTGGACAACACACTGATTACAACTATTTAAAATCTTCAGCAGTGACTCATCACTGGTATAGGGCATTTCCAACTCCAGCCTCTTTGGCAACGTAATATCTTCCGTTACATTATTCAGAGGAAGAGCAAATTGATGGGATCTAACCCATTCTTTCTTAGAATATATGTATGACAAAATAGTTTTCAGAACTGAGCACATGGCAAAGTTACCTAAGCTGCAATTCTATATGAACTTACCTAGGAGTAAATCCCACTGAGCTCAACGTGGCTTACATCTGAGCAGATATTTATAGGATTGCACCGTTAAGCATCCAGGTTTGAAGGGTATAAATAGATCAGCTAAAATCAGGTGACTAGAGAAATCTATCCAGGTTTCTTTGCCACCTCAAAGGAGAGGAGATGCTATGTTTTCCTTTTTGGACACTATTCTCTAGTTCTTTCTTCCATCCTGGAAATTACAAATAGACTCTTGTTCAAGTACGTGAAAATTCAGATTGTTTTGTTTCCAGAAGTTTATTGTCAAATAATATACATGAGTCTTTTTAATTACAAAAGGTAGAAATACAAATGCTGTCTGTTTGACAAAGAGTTTTCTGCGAAAGAAAACTCCAAAATAAGCATGTGCAGCCAGTTTAGCAAGGTTTACAAGATCCTTCATGAAAGACACCAAAAAAGACAGAGGGAGGCTGTTTATTCCTATTGTTGTTTTGTGAATTTTAGCTCTCAAAAGATTTTTTAAAAATGTCTTATAGATTTGGCCAAAGACAAATGAATACATTTCTCAAAATTCATATGCATTAAGATGTCAGGAAATAACTAGGTTGCTAATCATACATGCTATTTGTTGTTCTAGCGGTTAGGAACAGACATACTGCATATGTGAAAGAATTGAATTACAGTTTCCATGGATACCATTTTAAAAAAATCTTTAAAAATGTGACTCCTGCAAGAATTACTCATCATCACTACATCTGCACAATCTGACTTTGCAAAACTAGCCAGGATCAAGGTTAATCATTAAATCAGATGCATGGTGCCTAATTATTTATTTAAAAATCCTTGGGGGAGATTCAGGTTCATCAGGAATATGTAGTCCTATACCAGCTCAAGAAAGATTTTCCAAAGTAATGCTTTGGAAGCTGAAAGAATATTAAAAATCCCAGTTCAAGTGAGTAAGAACAGGATAAATCTGACTCTCTGGGGTTCATGTATATGCTTACAAATTAGTAAACATACGGAACAGGAATAAATTACATGTCTTTATTCACTGTCCACATTATGGCTAAACTCAGATGCTGTTCTTGGTTTGTTCATTACCCAATCCTTCTCACCAAAAACCACATTTCAGAAGACAATTGTGCTAGCTAGATCACTGCTACATTTCAAAACCGATAGTAAATTCAATCTGAAATGTGAATGCTACTGATATTTCTCAGGTTAACTGAGGTGCTGATGATACTGTTAATACATAGTTCCTGTTACGGCCTGCACTGCAATTTTTGTGAGCTCCTGGGGTAGTGTGTGGTTATGGAGGACAGAGTCCTTGAAAAACGTGCCTAGAAGGGAGGCCTTGCAAGGAAGTCTCAGGGATATCAACTATTCAAGCGACTGGAGGCAGAGGTAAGTGAGGCTAGAGGATGGCTGGGTGCGAGGGAGGGCTTACAGAAGCTTGCATTCTGTTGCTCGCTCTGACCTCTTACCTGTGGCATCACTGGAGGTCTGGTGGTGGTGTTACTGAACACTAACCCAGTTCCTAAGATCCATGATGTTATTGTGAACAAACAGGCTGACCTGATCTGCATAATCGAGACCTGGGGAGGAGGAGATGGATTGACCTGACCTAACACAACTCTCTCTACCTGGAGTGACAAACACTCTCATGTGTTGTCCCACAGCTATTTGTTGCTGTCGGCCTCTTTAGGGGCTGCATTGAAAATAAATTTATGTCTTTGAAATGAGTACCTATTCCATGATTCATGGCTGGATTTGAAATCACTAAATCTACTTTGGAGATGGAACCCACAAAGGGCCGACTATTCTGATAGTGAGGGATAAAAAGGATGCTGCTTGTCTTGACATGCAACAAGTTTTTTCGTCTTATCATGAGACTCCATCAAAACGTTCTATAGGAAAGGCTGATAGCATGCATTAGTTGGAAGTGGATTAGAATGTGAACTGACTGTACAAATTAGATGTGTATAAATCTGTTGTGTATGTTGAGTTATACATAAATTAAAGTTTAACAGGTACAACCAATCTTAAAGTGTAAACTATCCTTCAATGGCATTTTTTTTTTAGTGCAAACTTTTAAAGAGAAAGTTCATCTAAATCACTAGTTTAAAATCAGCCTATTATCTCAGCCTCACAACAGAGGTCATTACGACACAGTCCCATTTCTGCAGTAATAGTCTCTAGAAATTTCTTAATCTATAGGTTTCTATTCGACTGTTGGGTTCTGTGTGTAAAAATCCATAATCTAAAATGCAAGTTTTGAATGCATATATTTTAGCACAGTTTCACTAGCTAATGAAAAAGCCACTATATAAAGTAAACTACTGCCCCCTAGGGTACAAATCAGAATTTTAAATCCAGTCTAGCAAACAATTCCAATAATTACATCTCTGGATATACTGAAATACAGGCTGACAATTCCAGACAGATTTGCTAATTACCAACCCAGAACAATCCTCTTCTTCCCATCTATATTTAAAAGCCTGATTTTAAAATATCACATCTCTAGCTAATTAATGTTGCCTGAAAGGAAAGAAAGAAGCCACTCTAAACAGTATCTGAAATTTCAATCTAAGATTGTGCAATTAAGAAATTAAGCAACTTTGTATCAGCATGATAATCACTAGAATCTGCAAGTACACACACCAAAATTTAAAAATTCACACATAGTAAAACAGGAAACTCTCTTGGGAACAGAAAATTAAAAGCTGCAGGACATTTCAATGAGAGTGTCTTACTTTACACTATATACAGGAGGCATCAGTGAAAAGTCCAAAAAATAATCTGAAGAAACTTAACACAAAAAATAATGTTCCTATTTCTTTGTCCAGTATAGGTGCCAAATGTTCAAAGCAGCTGCCTAAGTGTTCATTGATGAGAAAGGCAGAGGAAATGAATCTCTGAATTAGCCACCCCTGCCTCTCATATAGGTCAATCACAGAACATACAACTAGCAAAGTGGCTGATTATGACAAAACAGCTGGGTATAGTTAGGTTGTGGTGTTTAACTCTACCTCACACCAACAAGCCCGATTATATTATTTGCACCACTTGCCCCCTACTTTTCCATGGTATCAGTGCCATCCATCTCTTCACTGTCCCTCAAATCACAGAAGTCACTTTTAAAAACACTCAGACTAATGTGGGGTGGCTGGTGGAAGCCATTTTCACATAAAAAAAATATGTAATGCATTCCAAAATTTGGATGAAACAAATTAATTCCATTCTTTGACATGCCCTCCTATATCCACAATGATCAGAAGAAGCATTATTACCCACCAGGCAGGCCCAGAGTTAAAACTGCCAAAACAGCAACAAATGTACATGCTGGTAAGGGCCAGCCTGAATGGTTCCATCTATGATCACTTAATACTTAATGGGTATAAATTAATAAGCCTAGCATACTAGCCAAGCATGGGTAGGCAAACTAAGGCCCGGGGGCCGGATCAGGCCAAATTGCCTTCTAAATACGGCTCGCGGACAGTCCAGGAATCAGCATGTTTTTCATGAGTAGAATATGGTTATAAGACGTCCCCGTTTCCCAGGGACAGTCCCCGGATTTACAAATCAGTCCCCATACAAAATCCATTGAAGTTGAAAAGTGTCCCCAGATTTATTGAAAAAAATCTGGTAACCTGAGAGTAGAATGTGTCCTTTTATTTAAAATACATCTCTGGGTTATTTGTGGGGCATAGGAATTGGTTCATTTTATTATTATTTTCAAAATATGGTCCGGCCCCCCACAAGGTCTGAGGGACAGTGGACTGGCCCCTTGCTGAATAAGTTTGCTGACCCCTGAGCCAAGGTATATAAATTCCAAGATTAGCATTAGGCTATCATGGGAATTAACTCTAACATTATAGCCTCATTCAGATGTAACCCTAAACAACCAGTTAACCAAGAACAACTTGCAGCAAGCCATAGGTTAACATGCTTCCTCATCCTCACTCCTCCTTTTGCATGTCTATGAAAAGCAGTTTGGAAGCTTTCACTTCCATTTTCAATTAACTGCAGCTTGTTATATCTGAATCTAGACCATAATCTTAACTATGGCTTTTTAAAACAAACCAATGTCAAACAAAAGTTCAGATGGTACAATAAAATGTAGTTAATCCAAATGAAGTCACGGCTTCAACCTATCTGCAGATACAGACGTATAGCTAAACTGATGGGGGGGGGGGGGATTGCAACAGTTACATTTCTAGGTTCTTTTCAACAATAGTATGAAACAACAGGAAATTAAAAGAAACTGCAGAAACCAATGTTAAATTCTATAATGTAAGAACCCAAATTTGCTAAAAAGGGATCTTCCAAGAGCTTTCATAATGCAGTTCTGACTAGTCTGAACAATTACTGATAAGCCAACAAGTACTTTAGAAAAACCCACTTTCAGCAGTTAGAGAAACTAGTCCATCGATTCAGTTTTACATCAGCATTTACTTCAAACAGCTTACATGTAATATCATATTCCTTTATTTTTATTTGGCTTATATGACAGTAGTTTATAGTTGAGCCACATGGTGGCACAATACAAAAAGAAAACACGGTTTAAAAACCAAAAGCAAAGTCTTATTATTAACTTAAATGTGGATGCAGAACCACCATGTGTAGTATGAAGAGGAAAGAAAAGGAACAGGAGGCAGAGCTGATCCCCTGCTTCATGTCCCCCAACCCAACAAGAGCTACTTAGAGAAAAGCATATGGGGGAAAGTAATTTGGGAGGGGAGTAGAAGAGACAAAATAAGGTTTAAGTTTAAAGCTGCATTTTAAATCAGTTTTATTTTGTACTACCACACACATTAAATAGTTTCACTTGTAACAAGTGCTATTTTAAAGAATCATACACGAGTCTACCACTACTGTAGTTTAAATCTATTTTATTTAAATGTTGAAGGCACACATGGAAATTACACAAGGCATTAGCACACTGCATGCATCCTTTTTCCCCCTAGGGCACAGACATAGCTCTCAAGGTGTTGTTGGGGAGCTGTACTCCAACATCTTGGGGACCAGAGGTTCCCCATTTCTGTTCTAAGGCTACAGTAAGTCTGTACAGTCATTACCTTATCCAGTCTCAAACCAAAGAGAATAATGCCACTGCAACTTCTTTAATAAAGTATGCTTTTGAGGTGCCTGTTCATGGTATGTTTTTCCAAAAAAAACTAGACTGAGGATTTCTCTTTTGAAATGCAATGGCAGAGAAATAATTCCTAAGTATCAGGTGCATATTCCCAGTTTCAGGCACTGCTTCAAAGGGACTATTTTGCACAATCAAATTGAAGCAGGACCCAATTTCAGAAACAAAGATTGTGAGAAGGTGGCTATAGGGAAATGTGGTCTCTAAAGTATGTGTATCCCATGTGTGTAGATATTTATAAGTTAAAATCAGCACCTTGGTTTTGGCTAGTAGCATGTGCAGTTGGCAAATCCAAGGCTGCACAGTCTCATATAAAGGGAGATAGGCTGCAGCATTTTGCAGCAGCCGAAGCATCTGGATCATTTTTCTCAAGGTCAGCCCTTCATAAAACACATTACAATTGTCAAGCCTGGAAGTTACGAAAACATGGTTCAGTGTGGCATGGCCACGTCCTCCAAGTTGTAATTGACAGAAAGCTGCTCTAGGCTACAGCAATCTGCTTGGCAAATGCCATTGTCTTGGACAGACTTTCCCAACCTGGCACCCTCTAGATGTTTTGGAGCACAACTCCCATCATGCCAGACCTTCAGACTGGGACTGATAGGGAGTTGGGAGTCCAAAACACTTGGAAATCACTGCAGTGGAGAAAGCTAGTCTAGGATAACACCAAGGATGTGGTAGAAGCATAAAGTGAATCCAAAGAGAGAGACACCTAATAAACTTCCTTCTGCAGCTCAAATCACAGATCAAGTCTGTGCTATGTAAACTCTATTAGGATAGTGTTGACTTCACCCTCATGCATCAAGACAATTTTCTCTCTTTTCTGGCTCCACCAGTTCTCTGGTGCACATTCATTTGAGTGCCCTATTCCTGCACTCCAAAAAAAACCCATTCAGGGTGTGACAGAACTGTACCGTTATCCAGGTTCTTAAGTACATTTTAATTTTTTTATCATAAAGGTTACTGAGACTGCTGATTTGCTGAGTCTTTTTCCAAATGTTAGCTATGTCAAAATTAAGTAAAAGGTTATGAGCTTTATTCAAACTAATGTTGATCACAATTAAATTCACTGATTTCAATTTGACGAATCTATTTGACTTTAGATTTTGAGGGCCACAATATCTAATATATTTCACTGAAATTTTTGCTAATTTAGAGAGGAAAGGAGAAGGTGATGCAAACTTACAGATAAATAAAATATTTTGTAGAGCACAGTAAAAGGCAAAAAAAACCACCTCCTTTTCGTCTGAAAGAACTACAGTGGTACCTCGGGTTACATACGCTTCAGGTTACATACGCTTCAGGTTACAGACTCCGCTAACCCAGAAATAGTGCTTCAGATTAAGAACTTTGCTTCAGGATGAAAACAGAAATCGTGCTCCGACGGCGCAGCAGCAGCAGGAGGCCCCATTAGCTAAAGTGGTGCTTCAGGTTAAGAACAGTTTCAGGTTAAGTACGGACCTCCGGAATGAATTAAGTACTTAACCTGAAGTACCACTGTACAAGACTCGGAGAGAGATGAAAATCTAATAAAACTCAAGACACAAACCTACATGTTCATTGACACTCTTGGAGAAAAATGTTTCTCACTATATTTAAATGTACAACTTTAAAGAAAAATGGGTTAAGTATCGAGACTTACTAATTATGTTACGCTTCGTAACAGTTATTGAGAATAAAAGCACAAAGTCTGAAAGCCGCTTATTACCAGGTCTCCCAATAGTAAAAGTACTTCATGTGATTGGCTGGCACAGAGTCTCAAACAGTGATTGACAACTCGAAGATCACAGTAATGAGCATGCTACAAATGACTAGAGCAGTTAAATTGCTGTCATGCAATACACAACTATGATAAATTGCACTGGACATGTGTGGTAGAAATGCAGACCATTCTTGCATGAGATTTTGTTAAGCATAACATAAAACATTCTTATACAACTATTGTAGAAGAATCTAACATGCCATAGAATCAGGTGTCAAATGCTGAGCATTAGCAGAGTTTATCTAATAATTTATCTTACTCACTCCCACTCAAACAGCAATACTAGTGAAAACTAATTCATATATTTCCAAGATGAACAAGTTGTCTGCTGAGTATTAATTTGGAAGAATATTTTTGATGAAATTTGATCTTTAAAGCTCTATAGTAACTGGTTTTTCCTACTGTAGCTGTGCCTTTGTAATAAAGCAGCTGCAGCAGTGACGCAGCAAGATTTAAAGCAGCATATGACGCTGAAGGCTAATGCCAGAGTCATGATGGCCCTTCAGGATGCTTGTGGGATTCCTAAGCTCAACAAGAAAAATTACAGCGACTGGGTTCAGTATGCAGAGGCAATTCTGCGGAAAGAGGGTTTGTTTGAGGTGATTACAGGAACCCCCCCAGTTCCAGTTACAGATGCATGGGAAGCTAAGGATTCCAAAGCAAGGGGAACTCTTACATTGATAGTATCCCCAGAAGAGCTCAGTCTATTGCGTGATAAGACCTCAGCCAGAGAAATTTGGGACGCTCTGAGAGAGGCTCACTTAAGGACAGAAGCTGGATCCACTATGTTTTACTATAACAAGCTGCACAATATGGCTCTTGCTGAAGGTGGAGATGTGCGTTTACATCTAATGCAGATGCAAGATCTGAGACATGAGCTGCAACAGAGAGGACTCAACTTTCCAGAGGCTGTGTATTCTTTTATGATACTACAATCTTTGGGTTCAGGTTGGGAGTCTGTTGCAACCCAGATTGCTGTGCAACCAACTGCTCAGCTGACAGTGGACTTTGTTACTGCCGTGATTTTAAATGAAGCAGATCGCCGGGGTGCTAGCTGCATGGGCAAGGGGAGTCTTCACAGACGTCATCCCATAGTGCAGTGGAACCACCAGATGGCGCCAAAGCTTTGAAGGCAGTGAAATGCTACTCATGTGGACGTCTAGGCCATATGAAGAGGGAATGCAGACATCCCAGGGCCAAGACAGAGCAGCGCAGCGAAAGCTCATCGCGCGGAAAAGGCCGAGGCAAAGGCAAAGGTCCGGTGTCTAGGACAACGCAGCACAAGGCTATGGTTTCACGCTTCACTCCAAAGGTTGCAGAGGTCCAGAAGACGTCTAGATCTTTCTTCGTTGTTGATTCAGCGGCCACCCACCACATGTGCAACGATAAGAGACTGTTTGTGTCTTTTACACCGCAGGAAGGTGCGATTCACCAGGCGGATGACCACACTATTCCCAGTAAAGGCTACGGAACTGTTGTTCTTCACAGTTTGGACTTATCGATACAGAATGTGCTTTACGTGCCAGACGCCAAACATAATCTGCTCAGCGTTGGACAGCTGAATGAGCGGAACATTGACGTTTCCTTCAAGAACAAGAAGTGCATCATCACAAAGAAAAATGATTATGTATTGCATGCAGAATATGTTGATCATTTGTTTGTTTTGTATTATGATGATGTGGTGCAGGATGACACTTGTTGCATTGCAGGTTCTAACAAAAGTTTGCATGCAGAATGTATTCACGATTTTCATCGAAAATTTGGTCATTTGCATTTTGAGGCAGTATCTAAAATGCCTGCCTTGGTTGAAGGTATGACTATTAAACCCTGCAGGTACCACATGAAGTGCAAAGCATGCGCAGCAAACAAGGTGAAAATGGCTGCGAAAGGTAAGGTGTCTAGTAGGAAAGCTACAGAACCATACCAGGTTGTTCATGCTGATTTGGTTGGACCACTAACGCCCTCTTTGGGTGGAAATAGATACTTCATGGTTCTCATTGATGCATTTTCTAGATATATTTTTGTGTACAATCTCAAGCAGAAATCGGAGGCTTTTCCTAGGTTCAAGGAATTCTGTGCTTGGTTGGAAAATGTGCATGGTAAGAAGATAAAGACTCTTTTCAGTGATCGCGGGGGGGAATTCACTTCTCAGCAGTTTGAAGCTTTTCTGACTGAGAAAGGAATTCAACACGATTTGTCTAGTCCTCGCTCGCCATGGCAGAATGGACTTGCGGAACGGGCAAATCAGACTTTGCTTCAAGGGTTAAAAACCTTGCTGCATGATGCCAATCTTCCAGAGAGTTATTGGGCCGAATCTCTCTCGTGTTTTGTTTACAGTTACAATCGCAGGTTATCTTCAGCGATTGATTGTACCCCCTATGAGAAGATGTTTGGCAAGAAGCCATACATCAAACACATGAAGATTGTAGCTACATGCTCCACTAGGCAAACACTATCCTTTGTCAAGGGACTCCACAACCACAGTTATTAAGTAAGCAGATTATGGAAGAGCAAGCAATAGCATGTAGTAGTACACCCCTGATTTTTTCAGTAGATTTGCAACTCTGCAATTTCCCTCAATACTCAATACTTGATGTTCATTGCACAGTCACAATGTTTTTAAATGAATTAGTCCTATGTGGAACTTTGACACAGATCTGTCTCTGTTCATTATGCAATTTCAGTCCACAGACGAACCTTGCAAAGATAAAGAATTATAATGAAATACAAAAATAAAATATTTCCTTGATGGCATATTAGCTGCATTTGGATGAATGTATACCAGCTTATTAAGCAGAGAATAACACCCCCACCCCCAAGCAAGTAGCTTCCTTGTTCCTTCCTTTGTGCAAGGTGCAAGTAAACCAGGAATTCATTAGCCAGAAAACTATGGTTTGGATCAAGAGAGGACCTTAAACAATGTTCTGAATATGGTTTTAGACTCCTGCTTGTTCCAAAGCTGGTAACCACAGTTTCCCATTCTGTATGAAATAGAGAAGCTATATTTAATTGGGGCATCTGAATATAATTATGGCTCACAAGAAGGGAGGAGGAAGAGAGTTCTGTGCATGGGCAAAGACTTGTTCATTCTCATCTAAGCCAGGCCATATTAGTCTTAGAATCTCAGATGTATAAGCTAATTGCCAAATGGCACCTTAAACCTAAGTTACGGTTGCCACAAGGAATGTCTACTCACTATTTTTACAATGTAGCTTATTATGGGGAGGGAGACAGCGCTCCTGAAGGTAGGAGTCTATCAATTGATGATCATCCAAATGTCATAGACCAAATGGAGCAAACAGCACGCAGACCTAGTGGTGGGAGGAAAAAATCCTTAAATAAGAGACACGGGGGAATGATTAATGGACTTCAAGGTCTGTACACTAATGCGCAAAGCATGGGAATAAACAAGATGAGCTTGAGCTCTTGGTACAGCAAACTAAATATGACATAATAGGCATCACTGAAACCTGGTGGGATAAGTCCCACGATTGGAATGTAATAATGGAGGGATACAATCTATTTCAGAGAAACAGACCAGACAAGAAAGGAGGAGGAGTGGTGTTATATGTCAGGGATGTGTATACCTGTGAAGAGATCCAAGATTTAGAACCTCAAAGCCAAAGTGAGAGCATTTGGGTCAAAATTAAGGGAGAGAAGAATAACAGTGACCTCATCGTGGGAGTTTACTATAGATCCCCAAGCCAAACGGAGGACATAGATGATGCCTTCCTGGAACAGATGGCCAAGCATGCAAAAGGAAGGGAGATAGTAGTAATGGGGGACTTCAATTACCCGGATATTTGTTGGATGTCAAACTCAGCCAAGAGCATAAGGTCAAACAGATTCCTCACTGGCCTTGCAGGCAACTTCATTGTCCAGAAAGTGGGAGAAGCAACAAGAGGAACAGCCATTTTAGATCTGGTCCTAACCAATGTTGATGACCTGGTTAGTGGGGTAGAAGTGGAAGGATCATTAGGTGCAAGTGATCATGCTCTTCTGAAGTTTACTATACAGCGGAAAGGAGCAGCCAAGCATACTAGGACTCAATTTCTTGACTTTAAGAAAGCCGACTTCATAAAACTTAGGGAAGTGCTGGGTGAGATCCCATGGACAGTAATACTAAAAGGAAAGGGAGTTCATGATGGCTGGGAGTTTGTTAAGAGGGAGATAGTAAAAGCACAACTTCAGGCAATACCAATGAGACGGAAACATGGAAGGTGCCTAAAGAAGCCAGGGTGGCTATCTAAAGAACTTTTAACTGAGTTAGGATTAAAAAGGATGTGTACAAAAATGGAAAAGGGGGAAACCACCAAAGAGGAATTCAAACAAATAGCCAGCACGTGTAGACACAAAGTCAGAAAAGCTAAAGCACAGAATGAACTCAGGCTTGCTAGAGAGGTTAAAAGCAACAAAAAGGCTTTTATGGGTATGTTCGTAGCAAAAGGAAGAACAAAGAAACAGTGGGGTCACTCAGAGGAGAAGATGGTGAAATGCAAACAGGGGACACAGAAAGGGCTGGACTCCTCAATGCCTTCTTTGCCTCAGTCTTCTCCAATAAAGAAAACAATGCCCGACCTGAAGAATTTGGAGCAAATGATTCAGCAGAGGAAACACAGCCCAGAATAACTAAGGAGATAGTACAAGAATACTTGGCTAGTTTAGATGTATTCAAGTCTCCAGGGCCAGATGAACTGCATCCAAGAGTATTAAAAAAACTGGCAGATGTGATCTCAAACCACTGGCAGTCTTTGAGAATTCCTGGAGAACAGGCGAAGTCCCGGCAGACTGGAGGACTGCAAATGTTGTCCCTATTTTCAAAAAGGGGAAAAGAGAGGACCCAAATAATTACCGCCCAGTCAGTCTGACATCAATACCAGGGAAGATTCTGGAGCAGATCATTAAGCAAACAGTCTGTGAGCACCTAGAAAGGAATGCTGTGATCACCAATAGTCAGCATGGATTTCTGAAAAATAAGTCATGTCAGACTAACCTGATCTCGTTTTTTGACAGAATTACGAGCCTGGTAGATGAAGGGAACGCAGTGGATGTAGCCTACCTTGATCTCAGCAAGGCATTTGACAAGGTGCCCCATGATATTCTTCTAAAGAAGCTGGTAAAATGCGGTCTTGACTATGCTACCACTCAGTGGATTTGTAACTGGCTGACTGACCAAACCCAAAGGGTGCTCATCAATGGTTCCTCTTCATCCTGGAGAAGAGTGACTAGTGGGGTGCCACAGGGTTCTGTCTTGGGCCCAGTCTTATTCAACATCTTTATCAACGACTTGGATGATGGACTCAAGGGCATCCTGATCAAATTTGCAGATGACACCAAACTGGGAGGGGTGGCTAACACCCCAGAGGACAGGATCACACTTCAAAACGACCTTGACAGATTAGAGAACTGGGCAAAAACAAACAAGATGAATTTTAACAGGGAGAAATGTAAAGTACTGCACTTGGGCAAAAAAAATGAGAGGCACAAATACAAGATGGGTGACACCTGGCTTGAGAGCAGTACATGTGAAAAGGATCTAGGAGTCTTGGTTGACCACAAATTTGACATGAGCCAACAGTGTGACATGGCAGCTAAAAAAGCCAATGCAATTCTGGGCTGCATCAATAGGAGTATAGCATCTAGATCAAGGGAAGTAATAGTGCCACTGTATTCTGCTCTGGTCAGACCTCACCTGGAGTACTGTGTCCAGTTCTGGGCACCACAGTTCAAGAAGGACACTGACAAACTGGAACGTGTCCAGAGGAGGGCAACCAAAATGGTCAAAGGCCTGGAAACGATGCCTTATGAGGAACGGCTAAGGGAGGTGGGCATGTTTAGCCTGGAGAAGAGGAGGTTAAGGGGTGATATGATAGCCATGTTCAAATATATAAAAGGATGTCACATAGAGGAGGGAGAAAGGTTGTTTTCTGCTGCTCCAGAGAAGCGGACATGGAGCAATGGATCCAAACTACAAGAAAGAAGATTCCACCTAAACATTAGGAAGAACTTCCTGACAGTAAGAGCTGTTCGACAGTGGAATTTGCTGCCAAGGAGTGTGGTGGAATCTCCTTCTTTGGAGGTCTTTAAGCAGAGGCTTGACAACCATATGTCAGGAGTGCTCTGATGGTGTTTCCTGCTTGGCAGGGGGTTGGACTCGATGGCCCTTGTGGTCTCTTCCAACTCTATGATTCTATGTTATTATTACTTTCCTTTCATTTCTCTACTGCTTTATATTTTAAAGACTAAAACTCAAAGCTGTTTACAAACATTAAAACATCAAATAAAACAATCCAGAACAAAATCAAGCTTCAAGGACAGTATTTCAGACCCTTCTCTAAGTGACATTTTGCTTTCCCCATATTTATTTACCTACTTAATTTATACATCTGCCCCATAGCAGTACACTAGGAAGCCAGTGTGGTGTAGTGGTTAGAGTTTCAGACTGTGATGTGGGAGATCAGGGTTCAAATCCTCACTCAATGAAGCTCAATGGGTGGCCTTGGGCCAATCACAACCTCTTAACCTATCTCACAGGGTCTTTGGAGGGATTAACGAAGAGGGGTGAACCATGTACTTCTTGGGGGGAAAGGTAGGATATAAATGCAGTAAGTTAAGCTCCTCATCTTACTTGCTTAAGAAAGCTAGAGAGACCAGCCAGATGGACATGTCAGTCACCAACCTGACATCCAGAAATCTCCACATGGTTGCAATCGGACCCATGCCAATCGCAAAACGTGCCTGGTGCCTGGGGAACTTCGAACACTGACTATAATGTAAGGTCAAATGAGGCAAAGCAGCACAGAATAAACATTTAAAGTACAGTAATACCTCGGTTTTCAAACGTAATCCGTTCCGGAAGACCATTCAAGTTCTGAAACGTTCGAAAACCGAAAACTCAATAGCCAACAGCTAGGCCTCAGGATCTTGCACTCAGTGGAAGCCGCGTGGCATGTTTGACTTCCGAGGCGTGTTCGAAAACTGAGGTACCACTGTATTTCTCACTCATTCACCACAAATCCTTATAAATATAAAAATTGGCCTTCAAATAATCAGAGTACAATGTATTATAGAACAAGGATAGATTTGCTAGAATTGCTGGTAGGCAGAGTGCAGCTGCGCTCATGTCAAGCTTGCAGGCAGGCTCCTCATAGGTAATGGTTGGCCACTTTCTGTGCTCCTCCCAGCAGTCATTTCTCCTCTGGTCCCTGCTGTGGATACATGACCTGACTGGTTGTCTTTACACTGAGCCTTATGCAATTTGCACTCTAATAGTCACTGAGTCTGTTTGGTTGCCCTGAGTTCCCTCATATATTCAGGAAGCAACCTGGGCTTCACAGTGCCAGAGAGGACACTAAGGATCAATTATGCTGAGAACCCATCAGGCCTCACTATTCCCATTGTCTCACTATTCCATAGTGAACGTTGGCCACTGGAAAAGTTCCCATCATATTGAGGAATCCACCAATCTCTATAAGTATTCAGAGACAGATCATCTTAATGAATCTCCCTCCCCTCCAAACTTCTTCAGATAGTGCAGTCAATGACAATGGGGTAGATAATTTTAACCCCCCATCCCAATATCCAAAAAATGCCCTCACATCCTGAGGCAGAGACTAAATAAAGGGTATGGCCTACCCTGTGTCCAATGAGACAGCCCCCTGGTTGTCCTGGAGATCACAAAGTCCAAAAGCCAGCCCAGTCAAGGCAACCTTGGTGTGGATATTGAGGTTCCCCACAATCAATGTCCTGGGATTCCATGACACCAGATTTGGGACATCTCTGCCAGCTCAGCTGTTGGGCAGCAGGGTGGGCAGTACACCAACAGCATCCCCAGTCTGTCTTGCTGACCAAGCATCAGATAAAGGCCCTAATAGCCTATCTCAGTGTAGAGAAGTTTCCTGATGAGTAAAAAAGCAGTTTTGTGGACCACAGCAAGTCTGCTACCCCACACGCCTAACCTAGACTGGTGCTGCATCAAGTACATAAGTGGGCAAAGCTGGGTCAAGACCCCACTGCCCACCCAGTGATTCATGCTAGTTTAGCTCCATCATCTGTGGTAAAGTCCTGTTTGTGGATGTGTTCTGAATCAACTTGGAATTGAGCTACATCACTGCCTGCCTAAAGAGCTCACAGCCAGTCCTCTGATTACCCATAGCATTGGGTGTCAGGCAAGGAGATGATCTGCACATATTTCCATCCTATACCTATGCCAGCATTCACTTATATATGCTTCAGGGAACCCTGGGCAAGAGCAAACAGTGGTTGAATTTACTAATTAGCGGTTATCTGTGGCTTCTGCCAACCCTATCTTCCTTCCCACATGGAGAGCTCAAGGGAAGAGCAGGATCTTATCCCAAACATCACAATAGGTTTTAGAAGCACTAATCAGCAGGGTGGATAAAAATCAAATAATTTTTTAAAAAATCATATATTTTTTTATTTAAATCAGATTTTTTTAATTTAAATTGGATTTTTAAAATAAAATGCTTTTGCAGGGAAAATCTTTCTAAAGATAGTTTTCTGTTAAAGTTACATTATTATTGTTGTTATTTTATTTTTTTAATTTCTATACCGCTTTATATTTTTAATAAAAATCTCAAAGCGGTTTATAGAATATTAAACCAATAAAAAAATTGCCAAGTCGTGTTCCTCCGGCCTCATGAGGAGCCTGTTTAGTAGAGCTGGCAAGTCTGGGCCCCGCCCCCTAGGCCAGGTGGAAAGGGCCTTGCATTATAGTCCAAAGCAGGGGTCAGCAAACTTTTTTAGGAGGGGGCCGGTCCCCTATCCCTCGGACATTGTGGGGGACCAGACCCACCCTCTCCCAAAAGCACCCCCCGAAAGGACAGAGACGCCCATCAGAAGCCGCATCGCAGAAGTCAGTCCCCGCGCAGCGAGGCCTCCATGCTGTGCCAGTTTAGCACGGGGACAGACCGAGCGGGCGGCAGAGTCTGCAAGGTTCAGGGGCCAGATTAACGAGCCCGACAGGCCGTATCCAGTCCACGGCCCTTAGTCTGCAGACCTCTGGTCCAAAGGCTATTCATTAGGAAATAAGGATTTGTTTTAAGTTTTTCATTTGTGCTAAAACTCAGTCTAAGGTGTGTGTTTTTTTAAAAAAAAATCGTTTAACCACATCAGTTAACTAACATGGATACACATGCTATAATGTTATTGTTTTAGTTAAATAAATTGTTTAAATTGTTATTATGGAAATGATTGTTTTTCTCCTTCCAATAAAGTACAGCAGAAAAGTTGCCCAAATATAAACAGTTAACTTACTAAACCTCACACTAATTTTATAATTATTTGTCAATGGATTTCTAATAGTATAACCAAATCAGTAATTTTTGATATAACTGTAAAAACTATTCTGAAAATTTATTATTCCAAAAATGAAACCTTCATCTGGTTGTAGATATTAAGATTATACCGGCAATAATGAGTCTTTCTCTTAAAAAATAAATAAATTAAATTAAGTCTTACTGATTAGTAATTTAAATTGATTTGATTTAATTCAAATTCACCCTGCTCACTAGTACTGGTAAGTCATCTTGTTGTTTTCAGGTACCTCTGAACCCTAGAGACAATATCTGTCCTTACCTTACAAAGTGCTCAAGCAAATGGTCACTAGGCTATAATAGTGATGCCACTGGCAACTGCATGTTTATGAAGCTCTCCAGGATATATACAGTACAGCACAAACCAATATTGATACAGTCTTTAATATACCCTTATGTGAACTGCATCTGAAGCAAATAACTACACACACCTCTACTCTTTTAAAACAGTTTTTTGTATCATGATAGAACCGAACCTTATGCAAACCAAGGTGTTCTTATGTGCAGGAAAGACCGCATTAAACCACTGCTTTTTCCTGAATGTGAAGACTATTTGAAAGTTTGTGAAACTTGTATCCTTTTCTTAAAAAGCAGGTTACCAGTTCAGAATAAGGGTTCAATGTTTATTTTTTTAAGTAGCACATTCATTGCCCCATCCAGAATGAATCAGGAAGGCACAGTTTTTCAAATATTTTTGTCTTTGTCTTGGCTTATGTTCTGTCTTCTTAAAGGGTTGTGAAGCAGGAAGTAAAATAGTACAAAATAAGAGCATGTTATGATTATGATACTGGATGTTCTAGGTTTTTTAATGCATGCTTCAAAGTACTTGTCGGTTATGGTTTTCAACTAATTGTACCACTCCACTTAGTGAATTAGCATTGTAGTGTGAATTGTATTTACTTTCCTATGTGAACCAAACTCAACCAGCTCCAGAAGTGTTTTGAACTAGCCGCTGAAACCCTTACTGCCTTGAATCACAGCAACTTCACTCAAAATCAAATTGGAACCAAACAAAAGCATTCATTGGTTTGACTCTCCAGTTAAAATAGCTATATAAAAGCTCCAAAAAAGCCATATTGAAAAGGGACAAGAAAAGCTTCTTTTATAATTACTACCATTTAGAATCAAGCATTAAGTTTATCAATAAATACAAATGCATTCTGCATGATGCAACAACAAAAAAGATAAATTATGCTATATGTATTGAATTTACTGCAATGAAGGAGGTGTTAACCTATGTATAGTAATGTAAAGCAGCATACAATTATTGCAATGTGAATACAATTTAAATAACTTAATACTGTTACCAACTAAAGCTAAAACTCAAACTTTTGAAATGTGATACAGGTTATTTACAACTGGAAAACATTACAATCACCATATATTATGCAAATTGAAATTTAACATGGCATCAAGGTGAGAATGCCCAAGATGGTGCTCAATCAATGCAATTTAAAAACAGAAACAGCAAGATTAAAAATAAAAACAGAGAAAGCACAGAGCAGATAAAGGACTAGCTCCAGACGAAGCTGTACTTAGTTCAATGAAATCAGTGGGACTTAAATTAGTCATGATTTAACTTCCCATAATGATTTCAATGGAATGTAAGTGAAGTCAAATAACTCTAACCATTTTAAAAGGGGGTAGGGCTCAGAAATCCAGCATGCCATAAGCCCACTGAAACCAAATACAGTGGTACCTTGGGTTACATACGCTTCAGGTTACATACGCTTCAAGTTACACACTCCGCTAACCTAGAAATAGTGCTTCAGGTTAAGAACTTTGCTTCAGGATAAGAACAGAAATCGGGTTCCGGCGGCGCAGCGGCAGCAGGAGACCCCCATTAGCTAAAGTGGTGCTTCAGGTTAAGAACAGTTTCAGGTTAAGTACGGACCTCCGGAACGAATTAAGTACTTAACCCGAGGTACCACTGTAGGCACAGAGGATACGATCTCTGTTCCCTAGAATGTACCAGTATCCTATGCACAGCTACATATACACACATACAAATTTTGATCATGAGCACATTTTAAAAGCACAACTTGAAAAACATAAGGTGTGAAGAGGGAGACGCCCTCAAAATTGTTGGTGGTGGTTTTACAGAAGTGAAATAAAACAAGTTTCTCAAGCAGGCAGAAAAGCTGGATTGGCTCTGTTCCACTTGCCAAGGTTAGAATGTGTAAGTATCATATTACCACAGCTAAAGCTTAATAGAAAGACCATAAGTGTTGTGACTTTCAACAATAGGCATGCTACGTAAGATTAAGGTAATTCTCATGGTTACCTTGACTAATAAAGCGTACATTGAAGCATACATAGTTTGAAGGCAAAGGAGCTCTAAAGCAGAAAAAGCATGCCCTCAAGTCCAAAGTTTGTGTTCTCATATATATGAATGAATTTAGAAGTCACACTTTCAATAAAATATATAGCAAGGTGGAATACAACATCAAAAACGATATCCATAAGCATAATTTAAAACATCAATAAATTATGACAGGATTAAAAAGGAAGTTCATGTTGCAAAGGCCTGTCCAAATATGAAAGTCTTCAAGAAACGTCTTAATGAAAAGTAAGGATGGCTGTCACCAACTGCTGCTGGTAGGGAGTTCCACCGGGCAGGGTCTGCCACACTAAACAAATGGTCCTTTCTGATGGCCAGCTGAATCTCAGTGGTATGGGGAACCACCAAAAGTCCTCCATCAGAGCACTCACAGCAGCCCCATCCCCCAGACCCTCTAGCCTGGGTTGATGCTGCTGGGTAAGATATGCTCCCCTATCTTGGTAATGCATACCAGGCCAGCACCCTCATGATTAAGGAATAGAAAACAGTGATAGGATCCAGGAGAACCCACAAACTACAAACCTACTCCTTCCGGGGTAGCACAACCTCATCCAGTAAGAAGAACCAGCTACTAACAGCATCATTGTCTTGTCAGGATTGAGCTTCAGTTAACTGGCCTTCATCCAGTCCACTAATGAAGCCAGGCATCAATTCAACACATCCACTGACTCACTGCCTGAAGATTAAAAGGAGAGATAGAGCTGAATGCCATCAGCATACTGAAAACAAAGCAGTCCCAAACACTGGATGATCCCACTCCACAGTTACACGTAGATTTTAGACAGGTGTTCAAAATTAGACAGGGGCATTTTGAACCTGGCTATTGGCCAACTGCGACCAAGTGAAGATGTCCCGGTACAAATGGGCTATAAGGACATAGTGGTCCAGTTCAGATCATGATTTAGCACTCAGGTGTACTGTAGCCTTATGAGGCTTTGCCCTCGGGTGGGAAAAATATTGCGCCTGGGAAAGGGACAAAGGGAGTTTTGGACAGTTTTGAGGCCTGGGGTGATTTCAGACAGGATTTGGGTATCTTGTCCCTTCAGTACAACCTGTAACCTGCAACCTAGTTTTATTATACTAACGAAAACTCACAAAGGAAAGGAGGGCAAAGCAAAATGGATGGAATCATGGAAGGAGGGAAATTCCATTCCCTGTAATTAGTTCAGACCTACTATAAAAGCAATCTGTTCCACTCTGAGCAGCCTGCATGGTGAGGAGCATAAGAGAGAAAATGGATGGCTCTACCTATTTTTGGCTAAGGCCATGCCTACACCTGGCAGCAATCCCATTCACTACCAGCAAACAGCCCCCAACAGATTACCACCAAGCGGATGCAGTCCTCAACAGAAAAAAAGGATCAGCACCCATGGTTTAGCATTAGCAGACCTGCCACAGTAAACCCGGGGGTCTCACATGGCCCCAGTTAATCAAACTGTAGCTCATGAACTAATACTTCATCCAGGTTTTCTTGCAGTAACCAGTTAGAATAAACCAGAGTTTCCAAGTTTGGATGTATTATGCAACAATGTTCATTCAAAACCAAAATTGGAAGCTTTTGATCTCTTCTCATGAGCCTGGTAAAGGGGAGACCGAGAGAAATAGGATAGCCATCTATAAGGCTATCACATGGAGCATGAAGCAAGCTTGTTATCTCCGAAGTCTAGGACCAATGGATCCAAGTTACAAAAAAGGAGATTCTGATTAAACATGAGAACAACTTTCTGACAGTAAGAGCTGTTCGACTGTGCAACAGTCTCACAAGAGGTGGCGTACATTCCTTCCTTGGAGGTTTTTAAGCAGAGGTTGGATGGCCAGGGAGTTAGTCCATTCCAACACTACAATTCCACCCTACAGAAATCCAGGAGGCAGTGGCAGGGAGAAAAACTGCTGTGATTAGAAAGACAATTGCTCCCTCTCCCACTTATCAGATGATCAATTAGATGGGGGAGGGTACATTTGCATACCCACTATGCCACTGGACTGGGTGGAGAGACTGGAAACCCCTTTGCTCAGTGTCAATTATGAGAAATCACAATTGCTGGAGCTCTGCACACCTTATCTCCCAAGTGGCAGTGCTGCCACCAGTGAAAGATGGGGTCTGGCCACCAAGGAAAACCAGATCAGGCCATTGCATACGCCACCCATGGCATACAAGGGGGTGTACTACTGCAAAAAGGAAATCCTAAGGCAAGTGACGAAGGCATGGGGCAAAGCATATATAGCCCTGCCAGGGGAATTCTGCCAATTTTGAGTTCTACTTACTGTAACCTTCTAAACCAGAGGTCAGCAACCTAAGGCCCATGGATCGGAAGCGGCCCATGAGGATTGCTTAACCAACCATGTTAAGGATTGCTTAACAACCATGAGCCGCCCCCAAACCGAGCTGCCCGCTCGGTGAGTTCCCGTGTGCTGCGCTAAACCAGCGCAGCGCAGTGACTCTCTTTTGTGGCTCCAGAAATTGCTTCTGCGCATGCCCAGACACCGGAAATCGCTTCTGCGCAGGCGCACTTTTTGGCATCTGGGCGTGCTGAGAAGCGATTTCCAGCACCACAGACATGCGCAGACGCAATTTCCAGCGTCACACTGTGCCAGTCCAGTCCACGGAGGATCTCCACGGGAGTGATCCGGCCCATGCCCAGTAAGCCTTGCCGACTCCTGTTCTAACCCTAAGTGCTGGTGATAATCTGGGGATGTGGAATATGAGTATGAATACTCATTTCTGACACAGCATTGACAGAAGCCTAACTTTTGTGGGACGATGGGTGGAACATATTTGATCTTCAAGGCAGCTACCATTACTACAGCTTAATTCTTGAGGACAAAGCAAGACAATTCTGTTTATTTACATACATTTTGCTTGTATTCATGCTATAAATGTTTTAAGAAGCAAGAAGTCTTTTTAGTGTTTATTTGAAGAAAAATGTCTAATTGGTTGGAAGCAGGTGAAACTGATATTTCTGTTGCAAAATTCTGGGTGTAGCTCCTGAGCAAGGAATTTAGTCTTGCAACACATTTATGTTTGACACCCCTGCTGCAGACTGAATGTGGGATGGGAAAGAGAACTTGAAGTCATAACAATAGAGCATGAAAACACCCAAAACAGAAATTCTCAGCCCCCTGAATTCTAGAGTTTATGCATTAACTGCTTCCATGCTTTCAAAGATCAACAAACATCAACTCCCAGTCCATACAAATGTACAGTATACCTAGTATAGAGAAAGCACAACTGAAGTTTACATTTAAACTTAAAGTTTAATTAAATTAAAATTTCTTGCAAGTCCATCAGCTACATTTCAAGAAAGCAAACACTAGTCCCATTTCCTCCCACTCTACTTCTACAGCAAACAGGACAGGACTCTAACTTATCCTGCAAAGAATCATGGCAGACTACTGCCAACATATAAACCCCTGCCACGGAATGCATAGCTAAAATTATAAGGATGCATGTATCAGTCTAACCACCTTTTACACCAAGAGCACAAGAGGTAGAATACTGGTAATAGGAAAGATGAGGAAATGGCCCTTGACAGAGTATTTTGCATAAGCTCAGCCTCAGAATATAACAACATATTGCTCACTTTGCTTTTTGACACCAACTGAAAATGTACCTATTCATCCAGGCTTTTATAGGATAACAGAACTCAATTAATCCTTCAGCAATTAAGCACTTTGTAATATATCTTTTCAGAGGTTATACTGACTTGCTTAAGAGCTTAGAGGTTTTTATCATTTGTAACTCCCTCTAAGATTAGTGATGAAGTGCAAGCTAGAAATTTACTATACAGGCACCTCCCCGTTTGCATGGGAGTTGCATTCTGGATCATCGCATGCATTAGTGGAGCACATGTAAACCTACAAGCCTACCTCGCGCCCGCCCCGTTCCAAACCTATTCTGGGGCCAAAAACTCCCCATTCCACCAGCAGCGCACCAATTGAACGCATACAAAATAGTCACCAGATGTATAAGTATAGAACCCTTATAGGCAGTGCTATTTTTCTAGAAAAAGAGGGGCTGGAACTCACCATAAATGCCTCCCTTGTTCTCTTAAAATAGCAGTAGTACCAGAGAGGTGCTGGAACTGAGTTCTGGTGAGTTCCAGCTGGAAAAAAAGCCCTGCTTATAGATAGATACACTTTCCGAGGGCTCCGAGACACAAACACTCAAAATGACTTTCTTATTCTACTCTGGGGATGCACAGGTTCAAATGAAGACTGCTATAAATGCATGCATCATCATCATCATCATCACATCTCATTATCAACTTCCTATTAAAAATAGCACTGGCTTCCTCCTTCCTCCTTCCATAGGAAGCAGGGCGCCTCTCTCATATCTCTCATATACATGTTCAGTATGCATTAAGCAGAAAGGCTGACCCTGACTGGCAGGCACTTCACTTTTAACCATTAATAGTGTTGCACAGAAAAGGAGGTGGGGCTCATGCCTAGGTGGGGACATTCGGATCAGCTCATTATTAATGAACACCTAGCTCACCACTCCAACTTTTCAACAAACTGGGCACACAGAGCAGAAACAAAAAGTGCAAGCAGCACTGCCTTGCAATTCCTTGAGTTGAGTGACCATTTTCTCAACCCTCCGTCCTCCTAAAAGAAGAATAGTGTGGAGAGTATGGCTGAGGAATAAGAACTGAGCTGGAACCACTTTCTCTCAGTTGCTCATTACCACCTATGGAGCTGGCAAGCATTATGCATTACAGTCCCTGTGTCTTTTTAGGCTCTTTTGAGGCAGTTCTTCAACACGATTCCCAGTGCAACGCAGACCAGCAACAATGGATAGTATGCATCCAACCATTCCTCTGTACAGTTGCCACATTCATTTCCTCACAAGGCTCCTGCACCTTTACAAATCTTTTTTTATTTCTTTTTTGCATCAGGGCATTGTTGAATAGTGGGCAGTTTACAAATTATTTAAATAAATAATTCGGCTGTATTCAACTACAGTGGTACCTCAGGTTAAGAACTTAATTTGTTCCAGAGGTCCGTTCTTAACCTGAAGCACCACTTTAGCTAATGGGGCCTCCCGCTGCCGCCACACTGCCGCTGCGCAATTTCTGTCCTCATCCTGAAGCAAGGTTCTTAACCCGAGGTACTATTTCTGGGTTAGCAGAGTCTGTAACCTGAAGCATCTGTAACCTGAAGCGTCTGTAACCTGAGGTACCACTGTAAATACTTGTGCTAGCTGGTTCCAGTGAAACGAGTCTCACTAGTGCAACAGGGCCACCCCCTGACAACTCCTCCCTTGCACCCCTCAAATTAGCTCTAAGGGGTCAGGAGATCCCCAAAACAGCATGCAGGGAGAGAAGGAAGATAATTCCATCAGTGAGCAGAAATGCTTGTGCAGACAGAGCAATCTCCTTATTGCTACTTTCAATTAAACCCATTGTCTGGTGTGTAAGTCAACTCTTCCAAGAGAGATCTACACCTACACTATGGCATCAAATTGTTAACAAGTTCCAATACCGATTTCATACCAGGAATTTTGCAGTTCCAATCACCAAGTACCTTAACAGCACTTCAGGTGGTTTCTTCCATCCTACTGTTTAATGTTTGGCTTTTTGTGAAATGAACAAGTTCAGGAAGTACAATACTATGTATTTGTCCTGGCTCTCCCCAACCGATGCTGGAACTCATGACTCCAGTTTTGCCAAAGGCATTCGTTCAGATTAGAATGGTAGAGAAGACACATCAAAAATTGCAACAATTAGCAGTTACATGAGAGGTGGAAGGCATGGCTAGTTTGCGGGCTAAGATGCTGAACCAGAAAGTCACATGCCCCTGCACCTTTCTTTTGAAGGACAGGGTGAGCACAGAATGTAGTCTGGAAGGCAGCTGGAGTCCCAAGCAAATAGGCACTCCTTTTAGTGGGCTGGCAAAGTGATGTTTGTGCATGCTGGCTTCTCGTGTCCTAGTGGTAGAGGCAGGGCGGGTTCCAGCGCAGCATCAGATTTAGTCCGAGTTGCTTCCTGTGGAGGGGAACGAAGGCTCCTATATAACAGGAGGAAGTGCCAGAGGTGGCTCACCAGCTGGAAAAGTTATGGGAGGAGTGTCTGGAAGGTAGGTAATGAGAGACACAGATCAAACTCCCCAAGCTCCTCCCACTCCTCAGGGTTTGACTACCTGCGCCATTGAACCTCCAAAGCTCGCATTACAGTATTCAGTATATGAAGTTATTAGCCTAAACTCTATACTGACCTCATGTATAATTTGATATATTTTCTATCCCCCCCCCCCCGCCCAAATGGGACTAATTCTTCCACTACCACTACATAGGCACATTAACATGAAAATAGATTTAGGTTTCTAAATCCATAAATATAAGATTTTAGCTAATAAGAACACAGTGAAGGAATGAGTAGACATAAATAGTATGCAATGGAGCTTTTCCATATTTTAAGTACTTCTCGTGCCTATGAGTAAGGATGTGTATTGCACAACAGTGGCGGGGGGGGGAGAGAATTATAAACAGCAAGTCAAAAACCTACCATTAAGCAGATCTTGGAATATTATAAGCAATTGTTCATCAGCAGAATAGTGTTAGAAAGAGCCCTAGTATACTGCAAACATGTATTTTACAGATTAAAAGGCAATATAGCAATCAGGCCAGAAGGCTGTAACAACTTTGAATAAGCAAGCCAACATTCAACAAGTCAATGCTAGAAAAGGAGGTGGTGAGATACGCAGTAAAAGCATGGCTGTGATAAATGAAAATCTTTGCTATGTAGCAAATTTATCTAGATACGAGTCTACAATCTAACAAGAAAAAACCTAAGCCAATGTTTCCCACCAGCAAAGAACTTCTGAGGAAAAAACTTTACAAAAGGTGCATTAATGGGAGGCAGAGAGAGACAGGCAGACACTTAAACACTGCAAAATTTGGATCTTTCTGACCTTCATACATCAGCTAAGGAAATGAATGTAGAATTATATTGTTCTGCAAATGGAAACTATAGAAGCAGATATGGCTGTTGTGGAAGAAGTGAGTGTGGTGATTAATGCTGGCCTAGCAACAGGGAAGACTGGGTTCAGATCTCTGTTCATCCACAAAAGTCAACACAAAACAGCCAAGGCTGTGTACACACAGTATACATTTAAAGCACATTCCTACCCTCAAAGAATTCTGGGCACTGTAGTTTACTCCTCATAATTCCCACCAGCCCTTAAACTACAGTGCTGAAAATTCTTTGAGGGAAAGTATGCGTTTTAAAGGTATAGTGTTTAGACAGCACAAGTCACTAAATTTTAGCCAGCCAGATCTCTCTCAGGGGGTTGCGATGAAAACAAAATGAAACAGGCCTTTGTAAGCCACACGAAATCAAGGCCTTTGAGTGATGGGCCACAAATGTAATATTAAAATGGACTAGGATATGAGAGAGTTAAGGGCATGAGTGCTAGAGAGAAAGATGAGTATCATTTTAAATAGATCAGGCTGGAAGGCATGCCAGTATGTTATTTGAGCCCCTTAGATACATGTACAACACCGAGTGATATCAGACTGTCCATGTTAAATTAAATGGTTCCTTCTGGCGGGGTCCTCCGATATCGGACACTGGGATGGAAGAAACCCTTTTTTATGTTAGAAATAGAACAAGCTCCCATTAGCAGCATTCCCAGAGACCCCTAGTTGGCCCCCACTGGAACGGGGGGCGGACCTTTGCTCTAAGACCCACCAGGGCTCTTCCTAGTGCTCCCAGCACAGTTTCAGCCACAGCCATGTAGGGCAAAGGGGTACCACTTTGTCCAATCTGCGCAGCCGCCTGCAGGAGTACATAAAGGTGCAAGCACAGAACGCCGAAATGCATATATTGATATAGAGATATATGTATCTGTGTGTTGTCTGCTTGCACCTTTATACACCGTGTGTGTGTGTGTGTGTGCGCAGGGAGCTGGCGAGCAGAGCCGTACGGCATAATAAAGGGGGCGTGCGTGCGTGCATGTGCGGGGGGGGGGGCTCTCAGCACACGAGTATACCGGGAAAGGAGAGGAGAAATGTGGCGGTGGAGGGGGGGGCGGAGAGGAAAAACGACTCGCTGCCACCTGTTAGGCCTGAGCCACAGAGTAAACCTGGGAAAGGAGAAGGAGGAGCCAGGAGGTACCAGGAGGTAAAGGGGAAAGGGGGTGGGGAGGAGTGAGCAGCAGCAGCAACACCACTCCCCCCCGCCGTTTCCTAGCAGGCGGGCGCGCACACTGCCGCCACACACGCGCGCACGGGGGGGAGGGGAGGGGGGAAGCAACGCCCTCCGGCCCGTATTCCCTCAGCCACACACGCACCCTGTCACCACCACGCCGGAAGCCTTTGAGAGAGAGAGACAGAGAGAGGGCCACGGCGGGGGCCACGCCATCCCCACCCCCGTCCGCCCCTAATGCCGCCATAGTGCCTCTCCCGCCCCCCAGCCTGTCACCCTCACCAAAGAGGGGGACTCGCCCCCTCAGAAAACGTTAAGGCTGAGGGCGGCGAAGGGAAGGCCGCCGCCGCCGCCGCGCTTGAGGCACCCACCTGCTCGCGTAGTTTGAGGAAAACCATGGCGAGGCCGCCGCCGCCGCCGCTACTACTACCCCGCCTCCTCACGGGCCACCGCTGCTATTCCTCGCCGCCGCCAACGACTCCTTCCCTCAGCAGCCCCGCCTCCTCAGCGCCTGGGCCGCTCAGCCCGTGCTCGGCAGGCCACGCCCACGGCCACGCCCCCGCCTCCTGGCGCGGCGACGGCGGCTGCCTCTGCTGCGAGGCTCGCGGATGGGGCCGGGCGGGGGCGAGAGCGTGAGGTACCTCTTCGCCCCGCCCCCTCTCCTCTTCCACTCCTGTCCGCTAAAACACACACAGAATCTCTCTCTCTTTCAATCTTGCCCTTTCACTGAAGGGTATAATGTGGCACGGAGAGAGAGTCGATTTGATCCGCCCCTCCCCTTTCTTCTCCCTAACGCCCTCCCGATGAGGGTCGCGACGCCCGTCACTCACCACCAATAGGCGGCGGTGATTGGGCGCGGGGCGCGGCGCGGCGAGCGCCGAGGCTGATTGGAAGGCAGGTTGGCGTGTGCGGGTAGGAGTGCGCGTGTGATTGGCAGGAATGAAGGTGAGGGAGAGAGGAGGGTCGGCACAGAGAAAGAGAGAGACAGAGTGCGCGCGCTGGGCGCGAAAGATGTGCCAGTGGCTTCTGGGAGAAGGAGGGCTGCGGAGATGAGATTAGTGAGGGCAAGGTGGAGGTGTGTCGCCCTTTCCTGGGCTTCACCGTGGAATCCTTTATAATGTATTATTGCCTGCAGCCTCCCTATCCAGGTTTAGGCAGAGTCCGATTCATACCTCTGCAGCTGATTCGTTATAGTTAGTGCATGGTTTCCCAGCTGGAAATTGATAGGTCTCAGTTCAGGTTTTAAAAGAACGACTCATGGAAATTCAGTCAAAATTCACTACGGCTCCCAAGAGAACGTATTTTTAGCAACTGCACAAGATGATAGGAGTTCCCCTGTGGCTGATGGCAGCTACTGCTTCCACACGGGATGAAAAGGCTTAGCCGAAATAGGTTATTAAAGTTGCAAGTGGCCAGGCTGCCCCATGAGAGCTGAAATCATCATGTGAGAATTGTGATCATGTTAATTTGGTGGGTAGGTTGTATAGGTTGGAAATGGCTGGGTGGATGTTTACATAATTCTAATTCTTAGAAGGTGGTTTCTTCATCCTGAGATAACTGGATTGTAATAGCCACCCAAGTTTGGATGTGTGTATGTATATATGTGAAATAAATAAACTTGGCAGCAACAATGCTGTAAGCACCTTGGAAAAACATGGGGTGACTGTCTGGATTTACAGAGTTTATTTTCCATAAACTCATTTGAACACATGAGAAATTGTAGTACTGTATGTAAATAGACTGAGAGCACCTGCTGACTGTCGGTATTTTGCAGAAGGCCTTCAAGTGCCTGCCTGGAAATGTAGGTTTGCACAATCAAAATTGTATTAAAGTGCTCTGTTGCCCTACTATAACAAACTCACTTTTATGGAAATAAGCTTTCTGTAGTTAGGAAGGTAAAGGGACCCCTGACAGTTAAGTCCAGTCACAAACGACTCGGGTTGCGGCACTCATCTCGCTTTACAGGCCAAGGGAGCCGGCGTTTGTCCGCTCCTAAGACAGTATTTCCAGGTCATGTGGCCAGCATGACTAAGCCGCTTCTGGCGCAATGGAACACCAACACCAAAGCAGCGCATGGAAACGCTGTTTACCTTTCCACTGGAGCAGTACCTATTAATCTACTTGCACTTTCTGGCATGCTTTTGAACTGCTAGGTTGTGGGGATCTGAACCACCGACCTTTTGATCGGCAAGCCCAAGGCTCAGTGGTTTAGACCACAGCGCCACTTGCGTCCCTATGTAGTTAGGGAAGTGACAAGAAAACGCATAGAATTGTAGGCTGAGCAAATTATTAACAGGCAGACATTTAAACACTTCAGAAGCAAATCAGGGTGAATGCTTATTCCATAATCTTCCTGTAAAGAAATCAGAATTAAAATGCATGTCATCATATGGATACAGTGAGGGCTCTAGTGTTTGATCTGAGATCCTTCTATAGCTCCCCCTGCTATCTGTGATAGTGGTTAAATGGTGCCCCAATTATGGAATATTCTTCTTAATGAGATTCATCTAGTGCATATGTTGGTGTTTTGTATTGTAAAACAGCATTAGCATTTATTTGAAGGATAACATATAAATACATATAATAAGAAGGAAAGAAGGAAAATAATCTGTTGGTAGTGCATCTGCTGTCACGAATGAAAGGCTGCTTGCCTTGACCTCTGTTCTATTTGTATATCTGTAAACGGGCAAATATTTCAAAACACTAACTAACTCTCCAGTGCTGTCCTCCAAAAGAAACCAGAATTAAAGTACTGCTGTCCCTGGAATCTGTCGCCATTCAGAGAATCCTGAGTGGGAAGCAATGTATGTTGTCACGTTCAAAGGCAATTAGTCTAAAATGAATAACTGGAAAAACCAGGAATACGTAAATGTAGTTCTGTTCTGCAGTTTTGGTTGACAGCAGGAGAAGGAAGACTGGTGGGAGAAGGTAGATCAAGATATACCGTACTAGGTTTCTGGGTGATCTGCAGAATAGTGGCACGGTCTTCTGGGCAAGTAAAACTGCAAGTTAAAAAAAAAATCTCATTATTCACCTGTAAAACGTGAAGAATGACATTTTTTTAAAAAATTGCTCAGTGATATGTATTTGAAATAAGGAAATCTAAAATATAATGAAACATTCAAACACGCTGTAGTGTATAAGGTAAAGGACCCCTGGACAGTTAAGTCCAGTCAAAGGTGACAATGGGGTTGCGACGCCCATCTTGCTTCAGGCCAAGGTAGCCAGCATTTGTCCACAGACAGCTTTCCGAGTCATGTGGCCAGCATGACTAAACCGCTTCTGGCGCAATGGGACACCGTGACGGAATCCAGAGCACACGGAAAGGCCGTTTACCTTCCTGTCGCAGCGATACCTATTTATCTACTTGCACTGGTGTGCTTTCGAACTGCTAGGTTGGCAGGAGCTGGGACAGAGCAACGGGAGCTCACCCTGTTGCGCAGATTCAAACCGCTGACCTTCTGATCGGCAAGCCCAAGAAGCTCAGTAGTTTAGACCACAGCGCCACTCGCGTCCCCATCCCAGTAGTGTATGGTACTTCCTGTCCCCCCCCCCCTTAATTCAGTTGTTAAACTAAGTTGGCTGTCCTTGATAATTTCAAATTATTTAAGGGTGCCAAGGTGGCATATCATCCAAACTATTGTTCTACAGTACAAAATAAAATGTATTTTAAAAACAACAACAGTGGCTAGTTAATTCTTCCTGATTAATTAAAAACTGAAGTTCTGAATCCTGTTCGAGGAATCAGCCTTTAAAGAGTTGGAGGCTCTTTTACAGGCAAAAAAATATCCGGAGTCTAGTTCTAGCTTTACTTGTCTGTGTTTGCTGGATTTTGAGAGTACACAAAGGCAGTAAGATAATACCTTTAATTGCTCTTACCACCATAGGTTAGTCTGCAGGTATCACCTTACCTTCTTTGTTTCTGGCCTTCTCCGGGATCAACACATTCAATAAAGCTCTGTATCAAATTCTTTATTTTGGGCACTTAAAGGATATAACCACATTCACTCTTCATTTATTTCTGATTCACCATGCTAATACAAGCAAGAGCAGCTACCATGGACTGCTCAGCAGGAGGCTCTTATTGTTTTGATCAAGGACAAGGATACATTTCAACACTGTGCAGCTGAACTCTGGTCCAGAATAAATAGTAGAGTCTCACAAGGCACTCGGATCCAACACAAAATATTTCTCAGTGTAGACAAGGACCACAAGCCACATCCTGTAAACATTTTACTGAAAGCCCCTTCAGAATTTGCCCTCCGCATGTTCCAAACGTGTGGAGGAGGAATGGGGAGTGCTGACCCCTGCCCTGGACAAAAGATCTCAAGGAGGGACTTCACTGCGTTTGGATGAGTGGCCATTAGCTCCTCTGTGTCACTGCATACTTTCTCCCTACAGACCTACTGCCAAACAGAGGGGTCTGGATGAGACACCAGGAGAAGCAGGGACATTGGGACTGGGGACAACAAATGTGTTCCTTCAGTGGAGGGCAGTTTGTGGAGTCAGGTAGTAAATGCAGCTTGAGCATAGGTGGAGGTACAGCTTAACACTCCCAACAAATCCACTGCCCCACATCCCATATCCAGAGAGGCAGGCCCCCCTGCCGCTTTTAGTTTACATCCACCAAAGCCCAGCCCTCTCTTTGCCTTTGCCTTTGTGTCTCACTCAAAAACTGCAGTCTGCCCTTTGCTCCCTTTCCTGTGACATATTACATCATTCACATTACGCCATTCTTCAGTGGGACATGGGGGCAAGGTCCGTTTTTTTTCCTTATTGAGAAGACTTAAGGAAAATAGAGCTTTTAAGAGCAATTGTATAATCATCATCTCCCGTGGAGGCACATCACAGGCATATCCTGGGCTATTAATCCATGGTTTTCCCATCCAAAATTACGCCTGGCAGATTTGCTAGGACTTATTATTTCTGGCTCTATTAACCCTCTCCTATCCTAATTTTTAATCGCACAACAATGTACGTCTTCACCACAATTACATGCTTAAAATTAATATCCAAGTCCCCATTTCCTTTAATAGATACTGGGTCAGTGGTTTTCAACCAGTGTGCCGGGGCACCCTGAGGTGCCTCAAATGATGGCCAGGGGTACCGTGGGCAATGCTGGCCTCTGTCCTTCTTTTCTTCCCTCCCTCTTCTGATGCCCTCTTCCTCCCAAAGGCTTACACAGCTGTTTGCTGCAATAGCCCTGACTACAAGCTACCCAAGTGAATGGTGCCTCTGGAGCTGGTCAGGGGCTGCTCCCCAGGCCCCTGTGGAGCAGGGTGAGGAGGCATCTCTCTTTGGGGTGGGGTGGGGCAGCTCAGAGTCCAGGGGCGGCAGCTGCAGATGCCTGGAGGATTCCTATGGAGAGAAGGCTGAGGGAACACTCCACAAGGGAGGGTGTTCGAAAAAGGGTGAGGGGCTGCCAGCTCTGCAGGCAAGGGGCTGGGCTCCTGAGCCCCACAGGGGTGCCACAGAAAGAATGTAGTTGGTCAAGGGAGCCGTGGACTCAAAAATGTTGAAAGCCACTGTACTGGGTTATAATTAAGCACAGTTAAGACACCGTTCCAGCTGACTGTCATTTGGCCATATAAAAAGGTAAAGGGACCCCTGACCATTAGGTCCAGTTGTGGCCGACTCTGGGGTTGCGGCGCTCATCTCGCTTTACTGGGCAAGGGAGCTTCCGGGTCATGTGGCCAGCATGACTAAGCCGCTTCTGGCGAACTGGAGCAGCACCTGAAACACCGTTTACCTTCCCGCTGGAGTGGTACCTATTTATCTACTTGCACTTTGACGTGTTTTCGAACTGCTAGGTGGGCAGGAGCAGGGAC